CAGGCTGGCACTCCAATTTTTCTAATAAAGAGTTAACTTCACCCACTCCGTGTGATTTACTGCTGGCTCACTTCTGATACCAGGTACAACTTCTCAAAATAAAAATGTAGCCAACTGCAATCCCTAATTCTGCCCTCTTCCTGTTACAACCAACTCTTAAACCTGCCCTATAGGATGATGTATGGAAGTGAGAGCTGGACCATAAAGAAGGCTGATCGCCGAAGAATTGATGCTTTTGAATTATGGTGCTGGAGGAGACTCTTGAGAGTCCCATGGACTGCAAGAAGATCAAACCTCTCCATTCTGAAGGAAATCAGCCCTGAGTGCTCACTGGAAGGACAGATCGTGAAGCTGAGACTCCAATACTTTGGCCACCTCATGAGAAGAGAAGACTCCCTGGAAAAGACCCTGATGTTGGGAGAAGGGGACGACAGAGGATGAGATGGTTGGACAGTGTTCTCAAAGCTCCCAGCATGAGTTTGACCAATCTGCGGGAGGCAGTGGAAGACAGGAGTGCCTGGCGTGCTCTGGTCCATGGGGTCACGAAGAGTCGGACATGACTAAACGACTAAACAACAACAATAGAATGGGACAAAGAGGGTGACTTACCATAATATTTTTGTCTTTCTGTCTACATTTCATCTTGAATGGTGAAGGTCTGGTTTAGGCTTCTCTGGTTGCTCTTAAGCCAGTAACAATAGGGGCGGGTGATTTACGGCACAGTCCCAGAGAAATTATGCTCAGCTGCCCAGGTGGAATTAAGTCCCCCTCCATTTACCTGCAGGGCAGTATAATGCACGGCCGAATGGGTATTTATCTGATTCTATAGCATGAAAAAGAAATAATGGAAGGTTTTACATGTCACTTAGCCCATGACCACAAGATTGTCTTGCATCGAAAAAGAAAAGAAATAGATGACTCTGTTCAGCTGGAAAGAGACATTAGTTTTAGACAGAGTTGAATGTAGTTTAAGAGAGATATTATTCATCATCACAGTGTACACATATCATTTTAGTCCTGCCCAAACAAACAAAAAACCTGGAAAAATGGTTTTCCAGAGTCAAAATGAACTAAGATTATGATGGTTTCAGGTTAGGATTAATGCCTACAGTTCTGTGAGCAGCTCAGAGTGTTTGCTTTTACATTTGCACAAAACTCTGCATAGAACTGAATATTTATCTGAAATCTTCATTCAAACAAGTGAGCTGGAAGGATAACATTAGTCTTCAAACCCCTTATCAAAATCCAACTTTTCCCTCTTTGGCTCAGACCTGAATTTCTCAAATAGTTGGGTTAGGCCGGGGTGGACAGAAGGCACATCTGGATTCACTGAGAGATTGCTAGGTGATTTAACAGTAAGCATTCCTAACTCCCAATCCTTTAATAAGAGGAGCAACAGAAAAACACCACCACCTCCCTGACTCTTAATTGAACTGCTGAACGGAAGGAAGTTGAGTGCCTTCTTTCTGGTCAGAAATGATTGTTCATATTAGTAGTCTGACCCCTGTAGTTGATGCTTTGGGGTCCTCAGGGCTGGATTACAACAATGCGCTCTTTGTGGGGCTGCCCTTGGACGTGGTTTGGATGTTCCTGTAGGTGAAGAAGAAGAAGAAGAAGAAGAAGAAGAAGAAGAAGAAGAAGAAGAAGAAGAATTTATTTGTACCCCACCCATCTGGCTGGGTTTCCCCAGCCACTCTGGGCAGCTTCCACAAATACAAAAAATACACTAATATGTCATACATTAAAAACTTCTCTGAACAGGGCTGCCTTAAGATGTCTTCTGAATGTCAGGTAGTTGTTTATCTCTTTGACATCTGATGGGAGGGCGTTCCACAGGGCGGGTGCCACAGCCAAGAAGGCCCTCTGCCTGGTTCCCTGTAGCTTTGCTTCTCGCAATGAGGGAACTGCCAGAAGGCCTTCAGCGCTAGACCTCAGCGTCCGGGCAGAACGAATGCAGTAGCCAGAGTGCTGATTGGGGCACATGGCCGACAATAGAAAACCATTGTTAAAACATCTGCACTGGCTGCCCATCTGCATGAAGTTTGCTCCTGAAAAGATGTTTGTTTGTCCTTAAGCCAGCCTCTCTCTGTCTCTGCCCTAGCAGTGTTATTGTATTTTTAAAAATGGGGGGGGGGGGGTGTTTTTCCATAGACTACTTGCACAGGAGATAAGTAATTCAACTGCTTTAAGAATACTCTCACAATTTTGTAAGCTGTTTTGCCTAACTTTCTGATGTTGCAAAATTCTGATTCAAAAATAAATGGTGCCCCTCTAAGAGTCCAGGGTTTCACATTGTTTTCCTTCTAAAGTAAGCTAAGCAGTAGACATACATCTCCCAGAATTAGAGGGGGGGGCGACAAACATCTCTCTTATTATTTATTGACAAAGGAAGGGCACGCTAGACAAAAGTTCCCAAATATACACAGCTAGCTGGCAGGTTGGCTGCAGGGGGTGGGATGGCAGTATGTAGCAGTAAAATTGCTGAGCATATTTTGATTTCCTCCTTCCGTCCATCTCTTCCTTTTATATGAGCCAAGCCACTTTTAAAAAATTACAACATGGAAACTAGTGCCCATAACTACAGTGCATGCCACAATCCTGAATTCCATATCTTAGTTATGTACTGTGGGAAGAAATATTTCCTTTTCTCCACTCTGAAGCTATTCTCAATGGCGATGCCGCCCCTTTAACAAAACCATTTTAAATTTCCCCAAGTCCTTTCCATCAGGCTGAGAGGATCAGTCTGCTGTCTGAGTGCTAGACAGAGGACAGGGCTCCTGTACCTTTAATAGTGCACAAGAGGGAATTTCGGCACTGCAATTTGCATGACAAGCTACACCTGCTCAAATGGCATCTTCTGCACAACTCTTAAAGGGGAATGAGCCCTATCCTCTTTTTAGCACAGTGTTCCCCAAACTTTGGTCTCCAGTTGTTGTTGGACTACAACTCCCATCATCCCTCCCTAGATGGCAGGACCAGTGGTCAGGGATGATGGGTATTGTAGTCCCAACAGCAGGAGACCCAAGTTTGGGAAACCCTGTTTTAGCACCTGTCTACCCTAAATGCGGATGGCGCTGTGGGTTAAACCACAGAGCCTAGGGCTTGCCAACCAGAAGGTTGGCGGTTCGAATCCCCGTGACGGGGTGAGCTCCCGTTGCTCAGTCCCTGCTCCTGCCAACTTAACAGTTTGAAAGCACGTCAAGTGCAAGTAGATAAATAGGTACCGCTCTGGCGGGAAGGTAAACGGCGTTTCCGTGCGCTGCTCTGGTTTGGCAGAAGCGGCTTAGTCATGCTGGCCACATGACCCGGAAGCTGTACGCTGGCTCCCTTGGCCAGTAAAGTGAGATGAGCACCGCAAGCCCAGAGTCGTCAACAACTGGACCTAATGGTCAGGGGTCCCTTTACCTTTACCTTTACCCTAAATGAAGATGAAATAAGACTGGCTGCTAACCTGGTGTAAGCATATCACACCAGACAAGAGTTTGGCTCCTGCATTCTGAATCAAAAGCAGTCGCATGTAAATACCAAAGGAGCAGAAACGACTATTTATGCACTTGACGACAGCAGCGCAGATACTTCTGGCCCAGAGATGGAAAGAAGATAAAGTCCCGACCAGAGACAAATGGCTGATGAAGATGATGGACTACACCGAAATGGCGAAAATGACCGGGAAAATCAGAAACCAGGAAGAGAGAAACTTTAATAAGGAATGGGAGAAATTTACAAATTACAGTGGTACCTCGGGTTAAGTACTTAATTCGTTCCGCAGGTCCATTCTTAACCTGAAACTGTTCTTAACCTGAAGCACCACTTTAGCTAATGGGGCCTCCCGCTGCTGCTGCGCCGCCAGAGCACGATTTCTGTTCTCATCCTGAAGCAAAGTTCTTAACCCGAGGTACTATTTCTGGGTTAGCGGAGTCTGTAACCTGAAGCGTATGTAACCTGAAGCGTATGTAACCTGAAGCGTATGTAACCCGAGGTACCACTGTACCTAAGAGAGTACTGTAAACAACTAAAAACTTTGGCAGGATTTGAGTAACGTTTGTTATGTACTATTAATTAAGGTAAAAACGGATTATTTTAAGAAAAATAGAGAAAATGTATGATGCAGTTGAAAAAGATTGAAAATGGAAACCGTGGAAGGGTGAAGTCCAAAGATTCAGGGAATCCTAAATATTGATGGTTATGGCTAATATTTGAATTTAAATATGTAGTGTAAAACTGAATAAAAAATATTATTTTTAAAAAAAACCCACCCACATGTAGAGGATATTGTAAAGGTAATTTCTTCAGGTAGGAACAAAACTGATGTATTAGCAGAAGCTTCTGCAAAATACTCTTGTTCATTGCAGCTACTCGCTGAACCCACAAGCGCCCCAAAACTGCACACGTGATATCTACAGGGAATCACCAGTGGTCACTGGTATACTGGGACAGAGCTGCAGAGTCACCCTGCGGATACTAATATCACTGCATCTTATCTGGATGGGGAGGGGCAGAGTCGATCCAATATTCCCAACCAGTGCATCCATGCCTGCCCCACCCCCAACCTTCCCACTGCACTGCCCCAGTCCCGTACAGGAAAGCTGCCACAATGTTGGTTTCTGAGGAGTTGTTCTACTGTTCTGCACCAGCTGCTACTGGGGGAGTACAAGCCTGTCCAAAATACCTAACACTGGAACAGTGAAACCTCTGTATTGTCTAGACCAGGCATACCCAAACTCAGCCCTCCAGCTGTTTTGGGACTACAACTCCCATCATCCCTAGCTAACAGGACCAGTGGTCAGGGATGATGGGAATTGTAGTCCTCGGTCCAGTATACCTGAAGGAGCGTCTCCACCTCCATTGTTCTGCCCGGACACTGAGGTCCAGCGCCGAGGGCCTTCTGGCGGTTCCTGCAGCTTCCTGCAGCCAATCAAAAGCCGTGCTTTGGTTTGCGAATGTTTCCAGGACAGATTCCATTTGACTTCCAAGGTACAACTGTACGTGATTCAATACAGGGAATAGCTCAGTTGGTAGAGCATGAGACTCTTATTCTAAGGCCCTGGGTTCGAGCCCCACATTGGGCCAAAGATTCCTGCATCACAGAGGGTTGGACTAGATGACCCTCATGGTCCCTTCCACTCTATGATTGTATGTTTACTCAGAAGTAAATCCCTCTGAGTTCAATGAGTCTTGCTCCTCAGTAAGTAGGTACAGGAGCCTTCTCCAAGGAGCACTATCGATTGTTTCTGGTTGCTTTTCTAAATGTTCTGTCAGGGATGGCCCGCCTTTTAACAATCTCTCCATTGGTATATAAGACCACAGTGGATTTGAAAGGCTGTGTTTGCAAGTGACCTTAGAGGCTGAAGTAAGTAGGAGACTGATTTTAGGTAGCTTAAAGCTGTTGGACTTTGAAATTTTGTTTTGCCTGGAATGTGCTTTATTGTGGCTCCATTTATTACCCTTTTAAACAAACTTTGTTTTAGACTTTGAGGGTGTTGCTTAAGGAGTAGCTGCTCCTTCTGGGTGGAAACATGTAACATGGTAGCTGGGTGGAGCCCCCATATTTAGTCGCAGTATACCTGGAGACAAATGAGGGGAGGGCTGTTGGCTTTTCTGCCCCGGCTTTGCATGAATGAAAATGAACTGTCCAGGTGAATGCAAGTTTTGCATGGCAGGGGTTGCGTCCTGACTTTCTGTGTTACGCAAGGAGAAACACTCTGCAAACTCTTGATTGTAGTACTTTCAGTGGCAACACTGCAGAGACTACAGTGGTACCTCAGGTTAAGTACTTAATCCTTTCCAGAGGTCTGTACTTAACCTGAAACTGTTCTTAACCTGAAGCACCACTTTAGCTAACGGGGCCTCCTGCTGCCGCTGCGCCGCCGGAGCACGATTTCTGTTCTCATCCTGAAGCGAAGTTCCTAACCTGAAGCACTATTTCTGGGTTAGCAGAGTCTGTAACCTGAAGCGTATGTAACCTGAAGCGTATGTAACCTGAAGCGTATGTAACCTGAGGTACCACTGTATTCCCAAATATTGTCTCAGTAATGTTAGATGGAAAAACCTTTGACAACCCATTATAGTAAGCCTCTAACCAAATAAACATGCCGCTATAGACACCAAATCCACATCATTCTACATCCAGAGGTGGGTTCCTGAATCTCTGCATGACTCAGCAAGCTGTTAACTATCTGTAAGGCTCACTTGAAGGCCTAGCCCCCACCCCGGCCATCTGATAGGACCATTTGTGTTTTCTCCCCTCCTCTTGGGGAGTTTTCCATTGCCCAATTCTCTTTTTCCTTCATTCAGGGGGCTGACTCAGCAACCGCAGAAACCCAGGTGGTCCCTCTCATCTGTAATCTACTTCAAAATGTGAGTTGTCATATTTTAGGACTTGGCTAGTTAATTCTAGGTTTTGTTTTGCAAAAGCAGATTTCCATTTTTGAATCTCTCTTGATTGCTAAATATACAGTGGTACCTGGGTTCTCAAACGCCTTGGTAATCAAACAACTTGGAACCCAAACACTGCAAAGCCGGAAGTAAGTGTTCTGGTTTGCGAACTTTTTTCAGAAGCCGAACGTGCTCCATTTTGAGGGTTATGTTTCTATTTAGAGTGCCACACTTCCATTTTGAGTGTTACGCTGAGGGCTGTCTGTTTTTGCTATTTATTTTGCGTTTGTTTTTGCGGCTCTTTTTCGTTTTGTTTTTGTGACTGTGTGACTGCAGTACATTGTTTATTGCTTTCATTTTATGGATCAATTGTCTCATTAGTGAAATTCGTGTTAAATTGCTGTTTTAGGGGTTGCTTTTAAAAGTCTGGAATGGATTAATCCATTTTGCATCACTTTCTATGGGAAAGCATGCCTTTGTTTTGGAACGCTTTGGTTTTGTAACGGACTTCCGGAACAGATTAAGTTTGAGAACCCAAGGTACCACTGTACTTCATTGGGATATTTACCTATAAGCCTGGGATTGGCTTTACGCAGTCCCCATCTGTGCCACTTGGTGCAGACGCTAACCTGGCTTTGTTTAAGGCCTCTCGTTCTCCAGAAGTGCAAACTGTCAGCCTGAACCTTCTGCATGTTCAGACAAAGGATTAAAATTTCAGATGGTAGCAGCACTTCTTTGGAGTAAGCAATGGAGGGCATCTTGCAGCGTGCCTTACCTCAGAGGTTGTTGTAAACAAAAATTGCCCTTTTCCCTTATGGGGTATCCAAGAGCCCATATAGAGTCCTTACATAGGTTCCCTGTTGGTAGGAGAAGATAACAGAGGCCAACCAGAGAATATTGAGAAGCAAAGCAGCTAGTAAGCTTGATCTTTATTGATCTGTTGCAACAGGGTGCTCCCCTCACACGCAGGAGATGAAGAGGAACCCAGAAAAATGACGTGCAAGGCCTTATAAAGACTTTTGAAATTGCCACCCTGTAGATCAAGACCACCCCCAGAAACATCATACATACATCACAAAAAAGGCAGTCTAAAACAGAAATCTGAATGTCGTTTTTCCTGTTTGCCAGGTCATCTGATTGTCTTTCCTGATAGTCTGTCACCCATCAAAATGCTGATTACTCAATTCCTGAGACAATGGGAAGGCTCCCTGCCCCCCCCCCCTTGCAGGGAAAACATTTGGTCAGTTTAGGAATCAAAATGGTTCCAGTTCGGTCTTCCTGTGCTGATCTATGTATGTGCTTGGTTGAACATTACCATATATCTAAGACCTCAAAATTCCTATCACAAGGTGGAGGGTGCTGAACCCCATATGTCATGGGTAAAAGTCTCCTCTGATTAGACTGTAATGCTTCCTGTCCTAAGCTTGTAGTGTAGGAATATTGCATCTCCCCTAACTAATTCTATCTGTGACTGAGCTAGGAGATAGGAAGCGTCGGATCCAAACTTCTGCTATCAACGTCCTGGATAGCCTTTGGGCAAATGTGTGTCTGCTTTGGCTCCAATCTGTAATGACCGCTCCCCACATCAAATGGGGGGGCGCCTTTTGCGTGGTCGTGCGCAGCCCCCCCGGATCCCAGTGTGGCTCCCAGTAGTTCTGGCTGGCTTCGCCCTCCCCAGGCTGGATACCTACCTCAGTCTCCACCTACCTCAGCCAATCGCCCAATCCTGCCTGGGGAGGCGTTGCCAGGGGATTGGCCAGTAGGGGGAGGGACCACCCTGCCCACACAACAGAAGGTGAATCTTACCTGCGAAGCGTCAGTTGGCTTCCTGCAGCCAATCAGAAGCCGTGCTTTGGTTTTCAAACATTTTGGAAGTCGGACGGATTCTGTTTGACTTCCAAGGTACGACTATATTAGAAGATCCCCAGATAAAAATCCCCTAACCATTATAGCCTTCTGGCCTCATGACCTTTATAAAAAAAGCAATTAATAAGAGCTACATTTGTTCTGAAAAGTCAATAAAAAAGCAACATTATTTTTCTCAGGTCTCCAGCTGTTGTTGGACTACAACTCTCATCATCCCTATCTAACAGGACCAGTGGTCAGGGATGATGGGAATTGTGGTCCAAAACAGCTGGAAACCTTGGGTATGCCAGAAAGTGAAGGAGTAGACCTGTTAGCTTCATTTAGAGTAAAGATAATAATAATAATAATAATTTGTTATTTATACCCTGCCCACCTGGCTGGGCTTCCCCAGCCACTCTGGGCGGCTTCCAAAAAAATATTAAAATACTGTAATACATCAAACATTAAAAGCTTCCCTAAACAGGGCTGCCTTCAGATGTCTTCTAAAAGTCTGGTGGTTGTTGTTCTCTTTGACATCTGGTGGGAGGGCATCCCACAAGGAGGGCGCCACTACCGAGAAGGCCCTCTGCCTGGTTCCCTGTAACTTGGCTTCTTGCAGTGAGGGAACCGCCAGAAGATAACTAACACACCTGTAGTATCCTTTACCTTTACAGTGGTGCCCCGCAAGACGAATGCCTCGCAAGACGGAAAAACCGCTAGACGAAAGGGTTTTCCGTTTTGAAGTTGCTTCGCAGGACGAATTCCCTATGGGCTTGCTTCGCAAGACGAAAATACCTTACGAGTCTTGAGATTTTTTTTCGCTTCCCCCTTTATCTAATCTGCTAAGCCTTTAATAGCCTTTAATAGCCTTTTAGCAGCTAATCCCCTAAGCCTTTAAGCCTTTAATAGCCGCTAAACCGCTAATAGCGCTAATAGCGCTAATCCGTCAATGGGCTTGCTTCGCAAGACGAAAAAACCGCTAGACGAAGACTCTCGCGGAACGGATTAATTTCGTCTTGCGAGGCACCACTGTATTTTGTTTGACCTCTTGGGTACTCTGTGTGGTAGTTAAAAGGGTCATCATGGGGAAGGCTGTGTTCAGGAGGGATTGTGAGAGAGCAGTGTGGGGATGCTTGAAGGAATCTATGTAGAAAACTTGCATTGACTCTTAATGCTCCCTGCAAAACAGACCACCTTAAGTTGCAGTTCTCAAGTAGGTTTCTGAGTACTTTCTCCACTGTGTGCAATGCGAATGGACCTTCTTATGATGGCTGACGCTTCTCTTTAGCTTTCTGCAGTGACATTTCATCATCGCCATGTCTAATAATGAAGGAAATGGAAAAGCTGAGAGCCATGAGGTCACCGAAAAGGGACAACAGGTAAGGTGGTCCTTGCTGCACCATTTAAGCTTTAGACTCAAACAGCAAGTTAATAGTAGTAGTAGTAATAATAATAATAATAATAATAATAATAATTTATTTATACCCTGCCTATCTGGCTGGGCTTCCCCAGCCACTCTGGGCAGCTTCCAACAAAATATTAAAATACAGTAATGCATCAAACATTAAAAGTTAGTCTAACTACTTCCTCCCCAAAGAGTGACACCACACAAGGAAGGATTTTCTGGTGTTTTGTATTCTTACTTGACAGTAACTGCAGGCAGCTGTACTCCAAATCTGACTAGAGCTACAATGCCTTTTAAAAAACAAAAACATGGAGGCTTCCATGCCTCTGTTATGAACTCTTAAAGGAGCCCAGCCCAGGTCATTCTGCAGAGCAAAATATTCCACCTACAGTAGAAGCTGCCTAGTATACCATATTTTTCGCTCTATAGGACGCACCGGACCACAAGACGCACCTAGTTTTTAGAGGGGGAAATCAAGAAAAAAAATATTCTCTCAGAGCTTCTCGGGGCTGCGGGGGAAGCCCGGGTTTCCCCCCCAGCCCCAAAGAGCAAAGAAGCCAAGACAGCCAGCAGGATCCATCCCGCTGGTTGTCTTGGCTTCTGCCATAGCCGCGCAACCTCTCCAGCCGGGAGCTAAACCTCTCCAGCGTGGCTAAAGAAGCCAAGGCAGCGAGCGCAATCCAACCCGCCCGCTGCCTTGGCTTCCTCTTTAGCCTTGCACAGCCTCTCCATCCTTTAAGGAGTGCGCGGCTCCTGTGGGCTTTTCTATGAGGAGGGAGAAGGAACTGTCTGGCCGCGTCAGTCCCTTCTCCCTCCTGGGAAAAAGCCCACAAGAGCCGCGTGAAGCTTGTGTGCAGCTCTTGGGGGCTTTTCCTGCCTGCCTCCCCCCTGCATTCGCTCCATAAGACGCACAGACTTTTCCCCTTAGTTTTTAAGAGGGGGAAAGTGTGTCCTATGGAGCGAAAAATACGGTAATTACGCTGACAGTCAAAACACAGAACTGGTGAGAGGAAGATAGAGTTCTAAGCTTTACGATTCACTCACACTAAGCTAGACATGCTCAAGGCACACTCGAGACTCGGACCTTCACCACCGCTGGCCTTTGTGAGGATGCTTTTTGACAATAACTCTTACAGTCCCAAGAAAGCAACAGTTTAGCATCTTCTCTAGGGTCTAAGAAGGTGGTGACTCAATGCAGTATCTCTTCCCAGTGTGTCATACAAAGGCTAACTGATCTGCCCCTGGTCAGCATTACCTGCGAGATCCTTTCCACTACTTATAACTCTGCGAAGGCGTCCCATCCAGCCATCCATGCAGTCTGTGGTATGGCAGAAGTTGGACTAAAGAAGATTGCCTCCTCGGCAGTGAGCAGTGTACAGCCCGTCCTGAATAAGCTTGAACCTCAGAGTAAGTAAATCCTGGCTTGATAGTTTTAGGAATGTTTTGGCTCCCTCCTAGGTCTCTCATTTAGGTGTGGGTGTCCCAAGGCTCCTCAGTACCAGCAATGCAAGCCTAGAAATCCATTCTAAGCTCCCCACCCTTCGATGTGTGATAAAAGGGTGGGCTATTATGCAATGTTTATACATACCACAAATACAAAATATGATTATATACATTTTGATTACGATATTGCAATTCAAATACAATATTGAAAACCAAATACGTCCCATTAAAAGGCTGAAGTAAAACTAACCTGTGCTTTGATTGCACTCAGTCACCATTTTGGTTTTGAGGTAAAAGGTAAAGGTAAAGTACCCCTGGATGGTTAAGTCCAGTCAAAGGCAACGATGGGGTTGTGGCACTCATATCGCTTTTCAGGCTGAGGGAGCCGGCATTTGTCCACAGACAGCTTTCCGGGTCATGTGGCCAGCATGACTAAACCACTTCTGACACAACAGAACACCGTGACAGAAGCCACAGTGCACGGAAACGCCATTTATCTCTCCACTGCAGCGGTATCTGTTTATCTACTTGTGCCTGTATGCTTTTGAACTGCTAGGTTGGCAGGAGCTGGGACAGAGCAACAGAAGCTCACCCCGACACGGGGATTCGAACCGCCGACCTTCCGATCGGCAAGCCCAAGAGGCTCAGTGGTTTAAACCACAGTGCCACCAGTGTCCCTTTTAGCTTTGAAAGCTGAGTTGAAAATGCACCAAGTCAACTTCTAAGTTGTCACATGGTTTTAAAGTAAGTTTTGATTTTGAAGGAAGCGATGAGGCCGCCAGCGAAAGGCTAAATGGCTTCTTCTCTTTCGACAGTCATTTCAGCAAATACCTACGCCTGCCAGGGCCTTGACAAACTGCAAGAGACTCTGCCTGTTGTGCAGCAGACTATTGAAAAGGTAATGCCTCTACCTCTGCTTCTTCTGTGTAGACAGTCACCCCCCCCCAATCATAGCTGTCAACTTACAGATTTGAAAATAAGGGACCAGCAGCCTCGAAAATAAGGGATCAGCAGCCAAAATAAGGGATTTTCAGAGCAGAGCTATGTTCAACTTCTGAGCCCCTCGCAGCCAAAGGCAGAAAGCCCAGCCAGCAGCCAAACGAAGCCTCAAGTGGTGGTTCCCACAGCGTAGCAACCCGGCGAAGGGGCTGCAGCAAGGAAAACCACCGTCACCTCTCCGCTGGGAAGCACTGAGCAAAGGCGAGTCCCCAGGCAAGGCGGCCAGGCACAAGGCATGCAAGCTCCACTCCCCAGTTGTTCTTAGACTTCTTATTGGGTGAGCATTGCAGCCAAGCAACACAGTTGGAGCCTCCCTCCTCCCTGGCCGGCAGGGAGGGAGGGAGAGGAGCTGCTTCCTTTGAAACCCGGGAAATTTAAGGGACATCATCAATAAGGGACAGCAGTGGGACACGGCGCTGGGATAAGGAACTTTCCCGCCAAATAAGGGACGGTTGACAGCTATGCCCCCAATCCCCGGCATCCTTTCTGTTACACATTTATGATTATTTGTGCCCTGATGCTATTGAGGTGATCATGCACATTCCCACTTTTGTTACAGTTTGTTCCTGCCAAAATTATAGCGGTGGTCACACTGCTTCATTTCCAAGCAGTGCATATCCTGTAACTTCCTGCTGAAATCCCAGAACTTTTTGTTTTTTAACCACAAATGTTCCGGTTTTTATATATATACAGTGGACGCTTGGGTTGCAAACGTGATCCGTGCGGGATGCACGATCGCAACCCGCAGCTCTGCATCTGCGCACGCACAGGTTGCAATTTGGCGCTTCTGCACATGCACAAAGTACGATTTAGCGCTTCTGCGCATGTGCGACCGCCGAAACCCGGAAGTAACCCGTTCTGGTACTTCCAGGTTTCGGCAGTCCGTAACCCGAAAAAACGCAACCTGAAGCGTCTGTAACCCGAGGTATGACTGTACAGTGGTACCTCGGGTTACATACGCTTCAGGTTACGTACGCTTCAGGTTACAGACTCCGCTAACCCAGAAATAGTACCTCGGATTAAGAACTTTGCTCCAGGATGAGAACAGAAATCATGTGGCGGCAACAGGAGGGCCCCATTAGCTAAAGTAGTGCTTCAGGTTAAGAACAGTTTCAGGTTAAGAACGGACCTCCAGAACAAATTAAGTACTTAACCCGAGGTACCACTGTATATATTTATTGTCCTGCTTGCAGTGTGCTATAACTCCTCCAGGCAGCAATAACATGGTAGCGTTGGGGACGCATCGCAGAACAGCTAATAAAGCAGAATAAATCCATCAGTCGTGAACTGTTGTGGGTGTATTCGACAACATGGTCTTGACACAACAAAACTCCGGTCTGAAGGAGCCCAACAGGCCAATGGTCTGACTCTGCATGAGACAGCTTTCAACTTGGGTCACATTTCAATGTACCATCTATCACAATTAAACTGCCAAGATAATATCAGGAGTTTTACATGTAGAAACTTGACAGGATTCACTTGTTGAGCCCTGTGGCACGATTTCTCATATTTCTTTTGTTTGTTCCTAACAATCGCCTATCTATCAGTGCTGAAAGGGAGGCGGAATAAACATCTCCCCCTCAGGGTTGCGTGTGTGTAGAATTACTGCCATCCATTGATGGGGTGAATCAAATTGGAGTCGATGACTAGGAAACTGGAGATCCTTCCAGATCTACTTGGGAGGGGCTCTACTCTGGTTCTTGGCTTGGAGTTTCACTTCTCTTCTTTCTTGATGTGAGAATATCATTTAAAAATTCCTTCTGCAGGTAGTACTGAATGCCAGAGGCCTTGTCCTAGGTGCCAAGGATACAGTGTCAGGTCTAGCAGGTGGGGTCAAAGAGGCTGCCCAGGAGAGGATGAAGATGGCCGTGTCTGCAGTGGTGGTTGGCATGAACACCATGATGGAGGGCAATATGAAGCAGATGGTGACGAGTGGTATTGACCACATGATAGAGGCATCTGTGGAGATGATAGAATACTACCTGCCAGTAACAGATGAAGAACTAGGTGAGACTATTGCAGCTGCTTTTGTGAGGGAGAATGTATTTGGAACCAGGCAGAGGGCCTTCTCGGCTGTGGCACCCGCCCTGTGGAACGCCCTCCCACCAGATGTCAAGGAAATAAACAACTCTCTGAGTTTTAGAAGACATCTGAAGGCAGCCCTGTTAATGTTTGATGTTTTATTGTGTTTTTAATATCCTGTTGGAAGCCACCCAGAGTGGCTGGGGAGGCCCAGCCAGATGGGCAGGGTATAAGTAATAAATTATTATTAATTAATTATTTTTATTTAATAAGGTATGGACCATACTTATTATCCATCTCACTGTCTGAAATCTGGTCTACTGATGTTATTAAAAAAATGCCATAATATTGTAGATTATAGCTGCCCAGAGTGGCTGAAGCAACCCAGTCAGATGGGCGAGGTATAAATAATGAATTTATTATTATTATTATAGATAATAATTGTAAACCACTTTGATTTAGTGTGTGATTTAGTGGTATATTAACATTTTTATTTTAAAAAAATACTATTTATTAAATTTTCCGCTTTAATAATCCAATCAAACCATATTAAATATTCCAAATTATACATATTATTCGATAATCAAACCGTCCAAATATTATGCCAAAGTATTAAAAAATTTGGAGGTATCTTTCCATGTTCTGAGGTCAGGGGGGGTCTGATTATCTTCTACTGCTTTCATAATTTTTGCAATAGTTCCCATAAATCATTCCAATGTTAATCCTCATTATTTTTCACAGCCTCTGAGTTTATCAAACAAGCGAGATAAAACAAAACAGTATATTCTGGGTGGAATTTATGTCCAGAGTTCCCTCTGCATGTTCACGATATCTCTTCACAAAATGATGTTTTCGCCAAGCCAGTCCAAAAATCTTCTCACCTCGGGCAGCAGATAAAATCAAATCAAGGCATCTGCCCAATGCTTTTAAGACCAGCTGTCCTTCAAACGGTTAACCTGTCCAGGGAAGGTTTGCCATATAAAACTGGGAATGCAAATATTAAGTAAGATATTAAAAGGCACCTATCCCCCTCAGGCTCTGCATTTAATTCAACAAGCTGATCTACTTCCAGTCATGGCCACTTGGTTAATTGGAGTTGCGTCATCCGATTCTAATTCCAGGCAAACTTCCAAAGTTTTTTTGGCGTCTCTCCAGTCATTCTCCAAATCAAAGTTGGGAAACTCTTTATCCTCTTCCAAATATATCTGCAGACAAATACTTTGAACTTGGTTTTCCACTTTTGAATAATTGTTATTTCCACACAGTTAATGATTACAGTGGTACCTCAGGTTAAGTACTTAATTCGTTCCGGAGGTCCGTACTTAACCTGAAACTGTTCTTAACTGAAGCACCACTTTAGCTAATGGGGCCTCCTGCTGCTACCGTGCCGCCGGAGCACGATTTCTGTTCTCATCCTGAAGCAAAGTTCTTAACCTGAAGCACTATTTCTGGGTTAGCGGAGTCTGTAACCTGAAGCGTATGTAACCTGAAGCGTATGTAACCTGAGGTACCACTGTATTAGTCATATTATATCACCAAATACACCACCTCTCCAGTCTCGCTTGCTATAAATAATCAGACAGTTGTTTTTTCAGAGCAGGATTTTGCCATATAACATAGCAAAACAAAATATAATAACAAAGGAGGCTCACACCCCCCCTTTCAGTTCCAACATACCAAGTCTACGTAGGTGTTCTTCCGTTCAAATCCTTTTTAGCACCTCAGTGGCTGAATTAATTAGCAGAGTAGTTTCTCCCCCTTCGCTCAGATCACGTCCAAAATTTAAATCCAATTTTTCATCTTAAGAATTGGAAGCTTACTGTTAACTGGAAGCGACTTTGGAGAGTTGCCAAGTAACGTTCCGGGCTTTCCATCCAGCCTCCCCAGCCCCTCCTTTCTTCTGAATTTGGGGCCAGGGAGTGTAGGGAGACTGATTACTCCCATCTCAGCCTCTGATTCTGGAACGTACAGCAGTGATGAAATTCAGCCATCCTCCATCGCAGCTTGCCAGAAGCTCCTTAGTATATTAAAATTTTTAGAAGTGAAATAAAAATTGTACCAGTTCAAGAACATTGTGGAGGGGCAGAAAGTTGGCCAGAACACATCTCAGGACTTTAGAAAAAAGATGGTCTCAAGCATCACAGGGAGGACTCTGCATCCTGAACAGATTTCCAGAATGCTGTTGAAATATACTCGGAGTCGAGTATGGATTTCATGCTCTTTATTCAGCTCATGGTAGTGAGGAATGAAAGTTCCCCCAAAATATCTGCTTTATATACATTATTTACACAATGGGCAGCACGTGATTGGCTAATTCTGGGATTCTCCCGTGAGCCAATCAGGTTCCAGGTTCACTTCCACCTGGAGCTGGATTGGGTGGCTCCTGCGGACCAATCATACTGTTGCATTGTTCTAGGACCAATCAGACTGCTGCATTTTGGATCCTATTGGTCTAGGACCAATCAGACTGCTGCATTTTGGATCCTATTCAACTCAGTACATAACAGCCATCTTGGTGTTTTATGTTTTAAAAAAGTTCCCAGGTTCAGCTTTCAACTAGGACTGGGAAAGTCTCCTGTCTGAAACGTTTGTGTGTTGTTGCTAGACCGTAATGAGTCAGATGGGACCAATGGTGTGATTTGACCATTGCTTGTCAGTTGCTTGTCTTAGACAGTTTAAAAAAAAAAAAATCTTAAAACATTTTCCATTCATGCACCTGGCACATTACAACCAAATACAAGTCCCTGCCCCAAGGAGAATACAGTATTTTCTATGACCGGTAGACTGTGATATATGTTCACCTTCTGACTTGCTAAGGTATATAACTGGTTAAACAGTCTTAAGAAGGATGTTGCAGCCTGCCATGGAACCTTTTTTTGGATTTTAGTTTTGTTAACTTGTATATTAATGGTTGGAGTGTGGTTTTGGGGAGTTGTTCTGAGTGGATTATTTGTGGAGACAAAATTGGACTATAATAAAATTGGGTTATAAATCTTTCTTTAAAAAAATCAATATGGAGCTGTATGATCAGACAGCAGCACGCGAAACCATAAAGCTAGATGGGTAAAAGATGCTCTGAGCTTGTTTACATTGGTTCTGCTATAGCCAGGTAATTGGTAAAAAGGTACCATATTTTTCGCTCTATAGGACACACTTTTTCCCCTCTAAAAATTAAGGGGAAATGTGTGTGCGTCCTATGGAGCGAATGCAGTCTTGCTCTCCTGGCTTCAGCAAAAGGAACCCGAAGCCTGCGGAGCGCAACGGGAACTCGCGCTGCACTCCGAAGGCTTCAGGGATCTTTGAGGCTGGCGGTGGGGGAAAGCAGCGCTTCCCCCCGCTAGGCCCAAAGAGCAGGTCGAAAGGAACCCAAAGCCTCTGGAGGCTTCAGGTTGCCTTCACTGAAGCCTGGAGAGCGAGAGGGGTCAGTGCGCACCGACCCCTCTGACTCCCCAGGCTTCTAAGGTAGCCACCTGAAGCCTCCAGAGCGCAGCGGGAACTCCCACTGCGCTCCGGAGGCTTCGGGTTGCCTTCACTGAAGGCGACTGAACACACCTTGAACGCACCTTGTTTTAGAGGGGGAGAACAAGAAAAAAATTCTCCCCCTCTCTGCGCAGTGCCCCTTCAGCGAAGCGGCAGGAGAAATGGAAGGGGCTCCGTTTCTCCTGAAGGGGTGCTGAGCAGAGAGGGGGAGAATTTTTTTTCTTGCTCTCCCCCTCTAAAACAAGGTGCGTCCTATGGTCGGGTGCGTCCTATAGAGCGAAAGATACGGTAGATTTGTGGTGGTAGCAGAACTAAATAGCCACTTAACATGCAAAGGGGTTTTTTTTGTCAAGACCGTGTATGTTCTTTTCTAGCTGCCCTCGCAGCCTCTATGGTGATAAACAACCCTGAAGAAGCTGCTGAAACAGCTCCTGTCAAAAAGGAGAAAGAAGAGGAGAGTTACTATCGGCGCTTGGGCGCGCTCTCAGCCTTTTTCCGACACAGAGTCTACCAGAGTTCTCTGGCAAAGATGCAAAGGATCAAGCGAAGCACACAGGATATACTCTTCCAGCTTCAAGAAGCTGTTTTGTTGGTAAGAACTGAACTACTCCTCTGGTTCCAAGATCTGGCTAGAGGACAGAGGTAGCCCCACCATGGTGCCCTCCGGAAGTTGTGGGACTACAACTCCCATCAGCCCCAGCCTGCATGACCAATGGCTGGAGATGATGGAACTTGTAGTCCAACGCCATGAGAACGTCATGTTGGATATGCAGAAGGGTTAATGGGGTCTGGGCAAGTGGTGTTTGGAATAACCACTGAGACAGAAATGCTTGGCACTTAAAGAAAGATATTAATGGTGGCGCCAGGCATGCCTCCCTTAGGAGTGGATTCCACCAAAGAGAAGCCACCACTGAAAAGGCTCATTTTGTGCCACTGCTCTCCAGACTTCCCTTGGAGCAGAGATGAGTATAGTGAGTACTCAGCTGAACACTCTTGAAAGTCTAATCCAATACAGTGGTACCTCAGGTTAAATACTTAATTTGTTCCGGAGGTCCGTTCTTAACCTGAAACTGTTCTTAACCCGAAGCACCACTTTAGCTAATGGGGCCTCCTGCTGCTACCGTGCCGCCAGAGCACGATTTCTGTTCTCATCCTGAAGCAAAGTTCTTAACCTGAAGCACTATTTCTGGGTTAGCGGAGTCTGTAACCTGAGGTACCACTGTACTGTAACTCCTGCCCACCTCTTTACTAACTTCTGTGGCAGAACATTGAAGTGGCTTTTAAGATAATGCTTGAAAAAGTCTCTAATGAAAGATGGAAGGGGAGTGGCTGAATGGAGTTCAAGCTATTGGTCAACAATAGCTGCAAGATATTTCTTTATATTGAATGTTAATATTTTGAAAATGCCTTTCCAGATAAAGTACACCTTGCAGTCTCTGGATAGGCAACTGAATCCTAAAGTTGCTAATCACCAGAAGGAAATGGAACCAATCTTGGTGGAGTGGAATGGGAGTCTTCCAATGCCGGGCCAGAGCTATGAAGAGAGTCTTTCAGAGGTATGCTTTAGAGGTAGCAACAGTGTTTCCCAAACTTGGGTCTCCAGCTGTTTTTAGACTGCAGCACCCATCATCCCTAGCTAGCAGGACCAGGGGTCAGGGATGATGGGAAATGTAGTCCAAAAATAGCTGGAGATCCCAGTTTGGCAAACACTGCTGTAGACCAAGTATGTAGAACCTGTGTCCCACCAGATGTTTTTGTTGTTGTTTAGTTGTTTAGTCGTTTAGTCGTGTCCGACTCTTCGTGACCCCATGGATCAGAGCACGCCAGGCCCTCCTGTCTTCCACTGTCTCCCGCAGTTTGGTCAAACTCATGCTGGTAGCTTCGAGAACACTATCCAACCATCTTGTCCTCTGTCGTCCCCTTCTCCTTGTGCCCTCCATCTTTCCCAACATCAGGGTCTTTTCCAGGGAGTCTTCTCTTCTCATGAGGTGGCCAAAGTATTGGAGTCTCAGCTTCACGATCTGTCCTTCCAGTGAGCACTCAGAGTTGATTTCCTTACTTGCAGTCCATGGGACTCTCAAGAGTCTCCTCTAGCACCATAATTCAAAAGCATCAATTCTTTGGCGATCAGCCTTCTTTATGGTCCAGCTCTCATTTCCATACATCACTACTGGGAAAACCATAGCTTTAACTATACGGACCTTTGTTGGCAAGGTGATGGGACCAGGGGCCATGATCTTAGTTTTTTTTATGTTGAGCTTCAGGCCATATTTTGCACTCCCCTCTTTCACCCTCATTAAAAGGTTCTTTAATTCCTCCTCACTTTCTGCCATCAATATAGTGTCATCTGCATATCTGAGGTTGTTGATATTTCTTTTGGCAATCTTAATTCCAGCTAGGGATTCATCCAGCCCAGCCTTTCGCATGATGAATTCTGTACATAAGTTAAACAAGCAGGGAGTCAATATACAGCCTTGCCGTACTCCTTTCCCAATTTTGAACCAATCAGTTGTTCCATATCCAGTTCTAACTGTAGCTTCTTGTCCCACATAGAGATTTCTCAGGAGACAGATGAGGTGATCAGGCACTCCCATTTCTTTAAGAACTTGCCATAGTTTGCTGTGGTCGACACAGTCAAAGGCTTTTGCATAGTCAATGAAGCAGAAGTAGATGTCTTTCTGGAACTCGCTAGCTTTCTCCATAATCCAGCGCATGTTTGCAATTTGGTCTCTGGTTCCTCTACCTCTTCTAAATTCAGCTTGCTCTCCTCACCCCCAACCATGGGCTGGTCTGATGGGAGTTGGGATCAAACAACACCTGAAGGTTACAAGTTTCCCACCCTCCCCTAGTGTAAACAACACTTGGCTATATGGACCAATGTTCTGACTTGGTACAGGGCAGTTTCCTTTGCTGCATTTCTGATGCTAAGCAACTTTTGTCCCGGGCAAAGTTGCTGGATTTGGGGTGGGTGGAATCTAGCCTTCCTGAAGAGTGAGATGTTTGTGCAAATATTTGCCGCAGTTCTCTGTAAACATGAATGAAGACAATGCCAAGGGTTGGTTCAAAGTTCCTTCGCTTGCGCAAAAAGCATCTCTCTGGCCTCTCACATGGGCAGAAGGGGAAGTAGTGCTTGACTTCCCCCAGCCTGCAGCCTCCCAAAATGGCTCCAGAGCACTGGAGTGGTGTGCGCCAAGTAACATGGACGGTTGCAGCCTTGTAGAGAAATCAGTACTGCCGTTCAGTGCATAAGTAAGTAGACGTGCCTTCTTTCGTAAAGGTAAAGGGACCCCTGACCATTAGGTCCAGTCGTGGCCGACTCTGGGGTTGCGGTGCTCATCTCGCTTTATTGGCCGAGGGAGCCGGCGTACAGCTTCCGGGTCATGTGGCCAGCATGACTAAGCCGCTTCTGGTGAACCAGAGCAGCGCACGGAGACGCCGTTTACCTTCCCGCCGGAGCGGTACCTATTTATCTACTTGCACTTTGACGTGCTTTCGAACTGCTAGGTTGGCAGGAGCAGAGGCCGAGCAACGGGAGCTCACCCCGTCGCGGGGATTCGAACCACCGACCTTCTGATTGGCAAGTGGTTTAACCCACAGCGCCACCCGTGTCCCTGCTTTCTTTCTTAGCCTCTCTCAAATACTTGTACTGAAAGCTTAGGGTGGTGTAGGATAAACATGTCATCTAACAAGTTCTCTCTTCCCTTCCACTCCATGGCAGGCAGAATCGCAGGTTCTAAGCTTGACCTACGGCATCAGCCAGCAGATGCGGAATATCTGCCAGACATTCTTGGCTAACGCGCAGGGCCTCCCTGTTGATCTCCTAGAAAAGGTGCAGCAAACATATAGCAGCATGGAAGAGCTACAGGCGACCCTCTCCGGTGCCCAGTCCTTGAAGGACCTTCCCAGTGGTAGCCTGAAGGAGAGCCAGGAGAAGATTGAGAAGGCCCAGGAGACCATATTTGAGACCATGGAATACGTGGTTTTGACAACATTGGTGGCTAGGTCTTTTTTTCCTGCTCAAACCTCTATGGAAGAACCTGAAAAGGAGGCAAAGGCAGAGGCCTAAAAGAGTGCCAGACGTGGGGTTCTGCTTGGAACTTGTCTACTTCTCTTGGACCAATATGTAGTATAAGGATTCTGACTTCTGGAAAAGTGTAAGAACTAAAATTGTCCCTAATGGTAAATTCCTTAGACTGGTGATGTTTTTAGGGAATGAGAGATGCTTCCAAATGTTTTAAAACAAACTGTTTATCAAATTTGCACACACCGTATGTTTAAAGTTCATGACTTCACCCCCACCTTCCAAAATCCTGGGAACTGTAATTTGTTATGGGTGCTCTGTGAAGAGCAATCTACAGTTGCCAGGATCCTTTGGGGAGACCATGTGCCTTAAATCTATGGTGTGTACACAACTGTACTCCTTTTTGATAATTATATTGAGCAAAGCCTTATATCTACAAATCCAAAGGTTGACCTTGTCTGGCGAGTTGCAGAAATCTTAAGGGGCCTGCCATGTGGGGGGGGGGGCAAATACCGATGCAGTGCTATTTAAATGTGTCTTGAGTATTTTATAAATAAAGAGTGGTGAAAAGCTGAGGTATCGTTACTGTTCCTGAACAAAAGTTTGAGCTGCTAGTGCTTTACTGCACAATTGTCCAAAGTGGGGGGGGGGGGGGTTCCCTCTGGAGCACAGAAATGGCTTTGTGTATACCAGCCACAAAATGGCCAAGATCAACAAACACCTTTCTGTACCCAATAACTAGCAAATTGCTACTCTTCCTTTTGGGCAGAGGGAAGCTTCAAGACATGGCTGCAGTATTCCTGCAGGGTAGAGGTACCCCACCATAGCTATAGCCAATGGTATCTAAAGCCACTTGGAAATCCCTGGCGAATCAGTGGGGCCGTGTTCCCCCAGACCTTCTGCTAGAACAAGTTGCCCACCAGAGCAACCAAGTGAGTTCAGGCACCAAAACCAGCTTAAAGCTGACCAAAAGGTATTCGCTAATTGGTTTTGTCCATTTGATGTGGGGTCATTGTTGATGCATTTGAGCACCTTGCCCAAAAAAGGAATATTGGGCAATAAACTAAATCAGATGGATATAATATATATTTTTATTCAACAAAGGGATACTCCATTGGGACCAGTAGGTAAACACATAACTCTCCCTTCAATGAGGTGTTTCCATCTTTTTAACATAATCAACCCTTGCTTTTTATTTTTATTTTCCCTCCCTTCACCCTTAGATCCCAGCACAGGTCACAACCATTGAAAACATAGCATTGAAAACAGTTTAAAACAATGGAACAGAGTCCTAAAACCTAGAATTTGAAGGCAATGATTAGGAACCACTTTGGATTCTGTTCCTTTGAGGTTCCTTTGCCTCTTTTGCTGTCACGGGACTAGTGGAGGGGAAATGAAGGGCGGGTCTCCTTTTATATTTGGGCTGAGGCTCATGTCAACTTTCCGGTTTGTTTTCCTAAAAGAGGAACTGAAAAGAACAGGCGTGTCTCAGCAAAAGCCTGACTGAATTTCACATAAATCCCACTGCTATGTTGTTGTTTTTGTGTGAAAGAAAAATGCACTTTGAACACAGATAGAGCTCATATCTGGCATAGGAGGGGAGACCACACAGCTGGTAACAGCTCAGAACTAGTCTACACAAAATGCAAACTATACGGGCTATACCCATATATTTAATTTCTGCATTTATCTCCCACCTTTTTTTGCTCCTTACGCCTCATTTAATCCACACAACCCTGTGAGGTAGGTTAAGCTGAGAGGCAGTGGCTGGCCCAAGGTCACCCAGTGAACATCATGTCCCAGGGGGAATTTTAACCCTGAGACTCATCTACATTCGTCAACTTATGACGTTATAAATGTGTTATAACAATGTGACACTAGATGGCGCTGTAGAGCTGAAATCACAAGTCAACAAGAATTTCTGTTGAGCTTTTTGCAACTTTCAAAGCGTTGCATAGTATTTTTTTATAGCTGGTCTCCCAAGTCCTAGTCAGACACTCTTAACTACTATACCACATCGGCTCTCAGTATGACTGTACCATTTCATACTACAGTGGTACCTCGGGTTAAGTACTTAATTCGTTCCGGAGGTCCATTCTTAACCTGAAACTGTTCTTAACCTGAAGTACCACTTTAGCTAATGGGGCCTCCTGCTGCTGCCGTGCCGCTGGAGCACGATTTCTGTTCTCATCCTGAAGCAAAGTTCTTAACCTGAGGTACTATTTCTGGGTTAGCGGAGTCTGTAACCTGAAGCATATGTAACTCGAGGTACCACTGTACTGGTGAAAGATCACCCAACAAAATGCCACCCCCATTTTAAATATTTTTATGATTTCCTGTATGTAGAAAACTGGACCATGTTCATGAAAGATAATCTTACTCGGCTACAAGTGATTGCCAAAGAAGGTTATTTCTAGCAAGCAGAACAGCTCCTTTGGCTTCCAGTAACTGCTGTTCAGAAGCATTACTGTCCCTGGTCATGGAGGCAGAGTACAGTCATCATGGCTAGCAGTTATTCATAGCCATATTCTCCATGAATTTGTCCAATTCTATTATAAAGCTACCCAGTGTCTTCCATAGTTTAACTAATCAGGTCAGGGAGAATGGTTCAGCCCATGAGCCCAGGAAGCAGGGAGGGCAGGTGCCCAGCAGTCAAGTAAATAAATAAAAATACTTAACTAAAAGTAGAAATAATCAGAATATTCGAAATTGAAATGCTTGCTGTGGCCACTTGGATGATGTTGTGGCTCATTCTAGTCATGCAACTGGCTACCCGACTGAGCGATAGGCGTGGCTTCCGCAAACTAGCCAATCGTGTCGCAGGTAGCTCGGTCCAGCCCCACCCATAAATCCTGGCTACACCCATGGTTCAGCCTCGTTATCACCTTGACAAGCTATATTTCTTTGTGCAAGGAGAGATTTGGTCCCACCCATTGCCTCCCAGCTGGGAGCAGGTATATATGCAATGCATCTCCTGCAGTCTGAATTGACAGAGTGGGGAAAGCTTCACCACTTGATTCCGATTTATAGTATAAACTGCACCTTCTTCCTCTTCCTCTTTATCACTGCATTAAAAGGTAACTGCATGTTCTCCAGATTGCATTCTGGCAGCACTAACTCTGGTACCATTTGGTCTCTTACATAGAGACTGCCCTGTGTTGCAGAACCTGTTCTGCCCGCAATATTTCTTTGTGCTAGAAGTGGTATTAAAGGCACAAAAACGACACCTGGAAAAGAAAAACAAATAAACTGGTAATCCTATGCTTAATCTGCCGAGATTTACATGTACTGGCCTGTTTCCTTTTATGATTTTGTTCCTAAAGTACATGGCACCTGATCAGCCTGGCTTGAGTTCAAGCTGAGCATTAAAGGAAAATATAGGCACTGTTTGAAGCTGTGGCTGCGAAGGAAGCGAGGAAAGAATTGGAAAGTGATTGACAAGTGGGTGGTTTCACCCATCTATCAAAGTGGCCCACAGGGGGTGAGGGAGCTCTGGATCCGGCCCACCTTCAGCAATCCTCAATGGGAAAGTGGCCTGGAATGAGAATAGTAGCAGCAAGAGGAATCTGCAAAGACATGTTGCATTATAGAGTGCTGCTGTTCAGAAATCCAGTAACTCCCTCCCAACACACACACACACACACCGAGGGGAAAGGGAGAGAGTTTTTATTCACACCAGCCAAGTCAGTGAGCATTCTGTCCCTGAGAGCACTCTTAGTTCTCATTGGGCTGTTTTTGGTCCTTTGCAAATTAGAGCTCTCCCTACACACACACACACACACACACACACACACACACCCCAAATCACAACAGATCAGTTTCTTACTGAGGAATATTTTTATGTTCTAAAAACTGGAAAATGACTAATGTTATTAAATTAACCTACACTCTTGGGGACTCTTGAGAGTCCCATGGACTGCAAGAAGATCAAACCTCTCCATTCTGAAGGAAATCAGCCCTGAGTGCTCACTGGAAGGACAGATTGTGAAGCTGAGACTCCAATACTTTGGCCACCTCATGAGAAGACAAGACTCCCTGGAAAAGACCCTGATGTTGGGGAAGATGGAGGGCACAAGGAGAAGGGGACGACAGAGGATGAGATGGTTGGATAGTGTTCTCGAAGCTACCAGCATGAGTTTTGCCAAACTGCGGGAGGCAGTGGAAGACAGGAGTGCCTGGCATGCTCTGGTCCATGGGGTCACGAAGAGTCGGACACGACTAAACGACTAAACAACAACAACAACACTCTTGAGGTGTGCTCCTCCAGGGACTCCAGCCTTCATCTCTAGACAGGAGAGGATTTGCACCATTAGAATGCAGGGTTCTGGATATACACATTAGAACTGGTTCTTTGGAGCCAATGGGGCACTGCTCCATCAACTTCAGCCTGCCCTCAGCCAGCCCCCACCTTCTGCCTTCTGTCCAATTCAGAGAGAGGTGCTACCTGTCAGCTTCTTCCTCCCTTTTCTCAGTGTTGCGCTTATAGAATTCAGCAGTGAGGAAGATGGGGACAAAAGTAGAATGAGTTGCTTTTGCCTGCCCTTGGCTCTGGCTCCCCCTGCTGTTGACCTCCCTTGCCTTCCAAATTCAAATGGACACCAGTCACCACTGTAAGAACTTATGAGTCTCGGGTGTTGCGTATGTGCATGCAAGTTCAGTCAAGCACTTACCGTATTTTTCGCCCCATAGGACGCACCGGCCCATAGGACGCACCAAGTTTTTTGGGGGGGAAATAAAGAAAAAACAATTATTTTCCCCCCCAGGCGCGTGCGGGGCCGGCAGCGGGGAGAAGTGCTCTTCTCCCCGCCGCCAGCCTTCAGACCAGGTCCGCTGTCCCCCGACCTTGTGGGGCTGGCGCTGGGGCTCTCCTGAAGCCTGGAGAGCGAGAGGGGTCGGTGCGCACCGACCCCTCTCGCTCTCCAGGCTTCAGCGAAAGCCTGAATTCGCCCCATAGGACACACACACATTTCCCCTTCATTTTTGGAGGAGAAAAAGTGCGTCCTATAGGGTGAAAAATACAGTAAACACTTACCACAGCAGAGATTGTTTTTACTTGGCAAACACACACACACACTATATACACACTGTAAACAGTTGCTTATAGAAGTCTTCACTCTCTGAGCCCAGAGAGGGTTCTAGCTTTCAGTGTTCTTGCTTACACAAAGTCCGCTGAGTAAGTGCGAAGTCCAGTTGTGAAAAGTCTTGCAATGCCACAGTTCTCTTGAGTCCAGAAGTCTTCAGTTTCTCCAACTTCCCTCCAACGATTTCTCTGTACAAAGTCTCCAACAAATTCTTCTCCAACCAACCTCCCACAAGGAATGCTGTAGCTTGAGCTCTTTATTTAGGCCTCACTAGATGCTAATTTGCCCAGCAAGAGAGATAAGAACTCACAATATGTCTGCAGCTGCACTGTAGGGGGGGGGAAATGACATTTCTGCCAACTTATGGAGAATTAACTCTTTCCTTAACAATGAAACCTGCCTGGAAATGTCTGGGTGCCAGCCAGCCATGGCCTTTTCCAGGATATTCCATTCCCTTTCCTATTTTCCATTTCTCTCCCTCAGCAGTTTGCATTCTGTGTCCACTGAGCATGCTACTTTGGGTTCCACCTACAAATTTTCTAAAGGTTTTTTATGGGGTTGCTTCTGCAAGTCTTGAGGTGTGCCCAAGCCTGCTGACGGTTCCCTCTTCTATGTCAGTTGGTGTCATTTTGACCACATAAGCAATAGCACTCACAACCTATGTTGTGCCTACGAGAAGGGTTGTAGCTTAGTGGTAGCACTCTTGCTTTGCCTGCAGAAGGCTGTATACAGTCTCCGGCACTACCAGGTCAGGTTGGAATGTATAGAATAATGTTATGGACTGGCTGGATGCAGAGGAATGGTGGGAGGAATCAGCTGGGGAACCGCCAAGGGAACCCCCAGGGGAAGAAGGCTCAGAGCCAAGGGACTGGTGGTGGGATGATAATGGGTGACCAGAGGGAAAAGAGGGAGAAGACTGGGAGGAGGAAGTGTCAAAAGCTGAAGAGGTAACAGGGAGCTTCATTAACATGTGACCCCAAAATTCCAGGTTCCCTGAAAACTGATGCCAAAGTTTAGTTCTCGTTTTGTGCTGTTTTGTGCCGCAAACCCCACATTTCATGCCACCCCCCAGAACAAGTAATTGACAGCAAATCGGAGTCATGGGTTAATGGCAAAAAATAAAAAATAAAAAAAATTCCAACCTTGTACAATTGACTCCAAGCAGGTGCCATAGTTTAGTGCTAGTTTTGTGCTGCAAATTCATCGTTTTGTGCCGGCCCTCAAACTGAGTAATTGACACTCCAACTGGGGTCAGAATTAAATGGCGCCAAACCCAACCTTGTCTGATTGACCAGAGCCAAAGTGGTGTACTGGTTTGGTGCTGTTTTGTGCCACAAACCCCCCTTTCTGTTCTGCCCCCTCCCAAAACTGAGTGGGCTTCAGTGGGCTAAATTGGCTAAGTGGGGGCTTAAGTAGGCTCAGTTGGTTAAATCTCCACTTAGCTAACTTAAGTGCTCACCAAGCCCAATTAAGTGACTATCTAGCTCACCTAAGTGCCCACCTAGCCCACCAAGCCAACTTAAGTTAGCTAAGTGGGGACTTAGCAAACGTAGCCAACTTAAGTCCTCACTTGAGTCACAGCAGGAGGGGGAGCTGCCCTGGCTTCTTCAGCAGCCTGCCTCATCTCTGCCTCTTGACCGCCATCCGCTTACACTTCTGATTCTGAGCCAGTGTGGTGTAGTGGTTAAGAGCGGTGGACTCGTAATCTGGTGAACCGGGTTTGATTCCCCATTCCTCCACATGCAGCTGCTGGGTGACCTTGGGCTAGTCACACTTCTCTGAAGTCTCTTAGCCCCACTTACCTCACAGAGTGTTTGTCATGGGGGAGGAAGGGAAAGGAGATTGTGAGCCGCTTTGAGACTCCTTCGGGTAGTGATAAAGCGGGATATCAAATCCAAACTCTTCTTCTTCTGAACTTCACTGACACTGGGTGTTTTATTGCTGACAGATAACCAGCCTCATATAAGCAACATGCAAAGATCTATTTAATTGTCAGGAACTGGAGTCAGTCAGAGGTCAGCAATAAAACAATAAAGAGAAGTCGGAAGTTTTGGAACTCACAAGGGCATATTTTAAAGGTCTAGCAGCCTGTATTTTCAGGCTTTACTTTGCTGCACATTTTGTGATTTTAAATATCTGCTGAGGTTCTCTCACCAAAGAGTACTTGCCCCAAGCCTGAATCTTGGCACCCAGGAATTCTCCTTCTATATACCAATGTTCTGACTTGGTGTAAGGCAGCTTCCGATATTCCAATATGTGAAGTGTTGGACAAACATTCAGCAAATGCATTATGTTTCTGCTGCAGCTAGAGGTCTCACTTTAGCTTTTTATTAAATTGCTCATGCTGTACGTATGTTCCCTTTCCCCACTTCACTTTCATTTCCTTCAGTTTAGCTTACGTAGTGCTTTCTGTTCTCGGATAGCCACTCCCTATCCATTATCACCAACTATGAAATATTACAGTAAGCTAACACAGCAAGATAGTAAGGCGAGAAGGCTTGGGCTTTCACCTCAGGAGCAAAGTGAATGGATTTAAAAGCTGGGAAAACATCGGTAGTCAACATTTCACAAGTAAAGAGCACTTTGGCACTGTCGGGTCTGAAATGATGGAAATATTTTTTTAGCACTATAAACCTTTCAGAAACAATACTGTAAATGTGACATCCTCTTAACATGCTTTTGCCAGCGTGGTGCCCTCCTGATGTTTGGGGCTATTTTATTTTTATTCTTATTGAACAAAATTTATATACTGCTGGATTGTAGTAAAACTTTACAAGAAATATTAAAAACATCAAAAAATATTAATTCCTTCCAGTAACACCTTAGAGACCAACTAAGTTTGTTATTGGTATGAGCTTTCGTGTGCATGCACACAAAAGCTCATACCAATAACAAACTTAGTTGGTCTCTAAGGTGCTACTGGAAGGATTTAAAATAATAATAATAATAATAATAATAATAATAATAATAATAATAATAATTTTGTTTCATCTACGGCAGACCAACATGGCTACCTACCTGTAACAAAAAATATTTAAAACTTCAAAAACATAAGAACAGTTAAAGACAATTTTAAAACAATTAAAATTAACAGTAGAAGAGATTAAAAAAAATAATTTAAATTTATGAGTCTGAATAGGCAAGGCAACGGAAGTTTGTTGTTGTTGTTGTTTAGTTGTGTCCGACTCTTCGTGACCCCCTGGACCAGAGCACGCCAGGCACGCCTGTCTTCCACTGCCTCCTGCAGTTTGGTCAAACTCATGCTGGTAACTTCGAGAACACTGTCCAACCATCTTGTCCTCTGTCGTCCCCTTCGCCTTGTGCCCTCCATCTTTCCCAGCATCAGGGTCTTTTCCATGGAGTCTTCTCTTCTCATGAGGTGGCCAAAGTCTTGGAACCTCAGCTTCACGATCTGTCCTTCCAGTGAGCATTCAGGAATGATTTCCTTAAGAATGGTGAGGTTTGATCTTCTTGCAGTCCATGGGACTCTCAAGAATCTCCTCCAGCACCATAATTCAAAAGCATCAATTCTTCGGCGATCAGCCTTCTTTATGGTCCAGCTCTCACTTCCATACATCACTATTGTGAAAGCCATAGCTTTAACTATACGGACCTTTGTTGGCAAGGTGATGTCTCTGCTTAAAACATTAAAAACATCAAAAACATAAAAACAGTTAAAGACAATTTAAAAACATTTAAAAATAATTAAAATTAACAGTAGAAGAGATTTAAAAAAAACATATTGAAATTTATGAGTCTGGACAGGCAAGGCAGTGGAAGTTTAGGACCTGAATTTTCCTTCTCCTAGATGGGCTACCTTCCCAGGATGATGAGCCCCATCTGCCTCTCATTTCCCTCTACAGCTCGGGCAGAAACCGCCTTCTTGACTAATTGATCTTGTCCGCTCAATCCGCCAGAGCCTGTCCTCACATTGCAGGGGAAGCTGCTAATTCACCAAGGGTTTGAGACCCAGCGATCACCTTCACCTGCCTTAACCAGCCAGCAGAAGCCGTTGTCATTGTGTGGCTGCTTCATGCTGAAGCCATAGGTGAAAGCTGAGTGCCAGGTGGGGACCAAAGGTGGACAAACTACCCCAGGGGGAGCATGATGTGTCCCACACCAGTGGTACTACCTCTCCCCCAACACCCCATACACCCCAAAACTCTGACTCAGGTGTAAATATATCTCAAAGTCGCCACAGTCTCCGCAGTGCCTTCTTTCCAAAGGAAACATAGACCCCGGGTAAGCGCCTAGAACACATGCAATCTCACACTGCTGTGGAGACTGGGGGGCAGTGGTGTAGCGTGGGTTGCCAGCAACCGGGGGCGCGTGGAGGGAAGGAAACATGCCTAACCATGTCTGCACACCCAGGAGATCACAGCCAGAGGAAGGAAAGAAGAGTCATCTGTTGTCTGGAGAGGTCACTACTTGGTTTGCATAGAGAAGCCATTTTCAGCGGAGCCCAGTGATGGAAGTGCGCAGTTGTACTGAGGCAGCACCAGGTGTTGAAATGTTGCGCCTCCTAACAATTTTGCTACAGGGGCAACTGCCCCTGTGCCCTCCCCATGTTACACCACTGTTGAAGGTAGGGCTTATCAGTTTGCATCTTAGTAAAGAAAGTATTGACCTGATGTGTAGAGATCTTTCCTATTCTGCTTAATTCAAGAGGGTTCTGGAAGCTTCTCTGTGTGAAAGAAACAAGCAGAAGGTTCATGATGTTTTGATTTCTCTCTATATATTTTTATCCTGCTGTAAAGCACTTTGGGATCCTTCATGGGAAGCAACTGCAAAGGAAATAATAACGTTGCAATAAGATGCCCTCAAAAGACAAAAATAAGAGGCGCCTATATGTTGCATCTGATGTGTGTGCAATCTGCGCACACAGCACTTGAGCTGTATGTGTCAGTTTGCATTTCTTAGTACAGAAAGTATTGATTTGATGTGTAGAGATCTTTCCTATTCTAATTAATTCAAGAAGCTTCTGGAAGCTTCTCTGTGTGAAAGAAACAAGCAGAAGGTTCATGATGTTTGGGTTACCTTCAGAGAAGCTTGAGTGCAGATGGCTTAAACTGGTTCTCTTATCTCTTTTTGTCAAGGTCATGCTAACTATAATAGTAAGGCCAGAAGGAGCCTGGGTTTCACTTTCTCTTTCTATCTCTCTTCCTTTTGGTGTGGTGTTCTGTACAGGGTATGCTTAGTGCTAAGGTTTAGTCTTATTATAAGTTACTGTAAGTTTAAGTTAAGTCTGCTGCAACTGGATTTCTTATGGACAGTGCCAATCCTGAATGTATTGGATTTGTGACCATTATGCTCATTTGCCTTCAGTAGCAGTAAAGCTCTGCTGGATGAAATACAATTGCCTCTGGTCCATTTTTGGGGAATCCTGCACCGTGTTTAAGTTTTTATTCTGCTAACTATACGTTGGGATTCTACTCTGGATCAATAGTGAGCGGAATTTCCATGACACCTGTCCTGTGTAATACAGAATTGTCCCATAATTCAAGGGAAAATTCTACATCCTGTATTGATACCTGTATTTCAGGTCTTCTCTCTCTCTCTCTCTCTCTCTCTCTCTCTCTGCCAAGTTACAGAAACTCTCCAAATGCAAGTGCTTGAAAAGGGTGTGTGAAAGGTCATGTATTTAAGATCTGGGTATAGCCAAGCACAGACAGATTTACACATTCATGTGCATATGTGTGTGACAAATTCTAAAGAGGCCATCCTGTTAGGCTGCAATAGATTGGAAGAGATTGCTTTGAAGTCACTTTGCCACCAGATGAAGAAAAGAAAAAACCCACCCCCAATCACCCTGTCCTGTATTTTGCCAGAACAAAAGTGGCAACTCTAGTTGGGGAGGTGTGAATAATAATAATTGTTATATGAATTCTAGGGTCTTATAGATATAAAGTAAATGTTCATAAATGTACAAGGCAAACACATACATAAGTATATAAACCACGTGTCTGAAATAGAACAGGAGAACAATCCTGAAGCCATTTTGCCTCTCCCAAATTGACCTGAAATATTTCTCAGCAGGGAGGACGGAAATGGGAAAAGCTTTCTAATTGTAGGGGCTTACACCTCCCTGTAAATACAGTCTGGAAAGTATCTGTTAAGCTGAGCACACTATCAATATGTGTAAGAGATTCAGGAACTACTTTATTTACCATCTCAAAGGAATGGACAGACTACCCAGAAAAGGCAATCAGATAAGGCATTATCAGGTATCCTGACAGACAGGAGAGAAGCAACACACTCAAATTTCTGCTCAAAATATGGTCTGAAGCTCAACATAAAAAAAAACGAAGATCATGGCCACTGGGCCCAACACCTCCTGGCAAATAGAAGGGGAAGAAATGGAGGCAGTGAGAGATTTTACTTTCTTGGGCTCCATAATCACTGCAGACGGTGACAGCAATCACGAAATTAAAAGACGCCTGCTTCTTGGGAGAAAAGCGATGATAAACCTAGACAGCATCTTAAAAAGCAGAGACATCACCTTGCCAACAAAGGTCCATATAGTTAAAGCCATGGTTTTCCCAGTAGTGATGTCTATGGCAGTGAGAGCTGGACCATAAAGCCGGCTGATCACTGAAGAATTGATGCTTTGGAATTATGGTGCTCGGAGGCAGACTCTTGAGAGTACCCATGGACTGCAATGAATGATCAAACTCCATCCATTCTTAAGGAATCCTCCAGCCCTGAGTGCTCACTGGAAGGACGGATCCTGAAAGCTGAGGCTCCAATACTTTGGCCACCTCATGAGAAGAGAAGACTCCTGGAAAAGACCCTGATGTTGGGAAAGATGGAGGGCACAAGGAGAAGGGGACGACAGAGGACGAGATGGTTGGACAGTGTTCTTGAAGCTACCAGCATGAGTTTGACCAAACTGCGGGAGGCAGTGGAAGACAGAAGTGTCTGGCGCGCTCTGGTCCATGGGGTCACGAAGAGTCGGACACGACTAAACAACTAAACAACAACACAACTGTGTAACATGCAGAAAACAGCATTCTTAAAGAAATCAAAGACTGGAACTGAGGGAAGCTGGGGTTGGCGGTGGGTGGGTTTTGTGTGGGAGGAACAATGGGGGAAAAATAAGGATGATATGTTTCTGGATAATAATAATAATAATAATAATAATAATATCTTTATTGTCATTGCCCCCTTCGGGGACAACGAAATTACTTGACTGCTCCATAAAAACACTAATTAAACAATACAGTATAATACAGCAAGGGAGATTAGATGACTTTCAAAGTCCGGGCTTCCCATTCAGGGCCGAGATCGCTCTGGAGAAGAAGCTGTTCTTAAGACGGCTCGTTCTGTCTTCATCGTCCTGTATCTCCGTCCCGACGGCAAGAGCTCAAGAGACAGTGACCAGGATGCGATGGATCTTCACTATGTCCAGTGCCTTCCTATGGCACCTTGTGGCATAAATCTGCTCTAAGGTGGAGAGTGGGCAGCCAACAATGCTCTCTGCTGCCTTAACAACCCTGCACAACCCCATCCTGTCTTGGGTAGTACAGCTCCGTACCACACACATAAGCCATAAGTGAGCACGCCTCAATGGCACAGTGATAGAAGGCAAGCAGCAGTTTCTGCGGAAGATGGTTTTTCCTTAGTATTCTCAAAAAGGACAGTCTCTGCTGCGCCTTCTTCACAAGCCCCCTTGTGTTGACACTCCAGGACAGATCCTCTTGTAATTCAATGCCCAAAAATCTGAACGTTGTTACCCTCTCCAAATATGTTTTGTTTTAATTTTGAATAAAAAAGTTTTTTTAAAAAAAATGAATGTGAACAACAACAACAACACTTTCAACGTTCAATGAATAATAATACTGTCAGGTTCAAACTGCGTTGGGCCAAGTAAGTAGCACCCAGAACTCCTATTCGAAATGTAAACGGGGCGTGGGGGGGAGGGGTGTGCGTGGAATGTTGACAGAGCCACGTCTTCGGAACCCTCCTCCTCATTGGCTTTTCAACCGCCTCGCGCCCCCGAATTCGATTGGCGGCCTTCACGTGCCGAGGGCGTGGCGTGGCTTCGCCGGAGAGGCCTTGCGGGGCTGGGCAAACCGGCGCTCGAGGCGCGGGCGAGCGCGCGCACGCGGCCATTTTACCTGACCCGCCTCCTCCTTCGGCACGTCCGGAAAAGGGGGGGGTGGGGGTTCGCTCCCGGCCGGCCTGGTCTTGTTTCGTCATAAAAGCGGCTTGAGGGAGAGAGAGAGAGAGAGGGCGGGGTCGGCTCCGCAGTCGGCCGCGTAGCCCAGGAGGAGGAGGAGGAGCAGGAGGCGGCAGCAGCGGGGTCGCGCGGCGCGAGTCAGGAGGCCGTGGCGGGCCGGGAGAAGCGGACGGCGAGCAGGAGGAGGCTGCGGGGAGCGGGCCGGGCCGAGACCCCTCGGGGTCGCCGCGGGTTTGGGTGAGTGGTGCCTTTTCCCCCCCTCCTCTCCTCAAAAAATAATAAACCTTCAATAAATAATAAACAACATGCGCTGGGTTTGGTCTCGCTCCGCGCCTGCTCACCTTGCGCGCTCTCCTCGGGCGCAGTCCCCCCCCTTTTTTTTTTACATTCCCTTTTGCGCACGGGCGTAACGTGGGAACCGAGGAACCCGTGGCAGCCTTTGCGCTGCTCGCCGCCTGTCCCCGTGCATGAATGTAGCCCAGGTTCGCCGAGCTGTCATATATAAATTCAGGAAATAATAATGCCAGGCCTTCCTGGCATTTGCATCCTATGCCCGCCTTTAAAATTATTATTAGGTATTTCGTGGTTTTTACATCTTGATTTTATTCTATGAACCGCCCTGGGTATAGGGCAGTATATAAATTTAATAAATGTAATAACAATTAATAAACACCACCCAATGTCATCGTCACTAATCTGACTCATCTATCACTAGAGCTCCTGGTTGTCTTGCTGAACTGTTTACATTCTTAAACATTCATTTATTCAAAATGTTTCTATCCTGCTTCTAGGGCGGTATATAAATTCAGTAAATAATAATGTGCTACTAATATTATTCTGTATTGGTCACTTCCCCCGCCCTGATGTCGCTTGGCTAGGAGGTGGGTCTATGGGCTCTCTCTTTCTCCATCTCCTTCACATACACACCTTTAACACACACACACACGTACTATCTCTGAATTTATTTTCTGGCTTGTCATAGATAGTCTTGATATCTGCTTCCCTGTGTTGCTGGTGCTTATAATCTAAACTCTGAATGTCAGGATCTAGTGCCATACGCCTGATAAATGGCATCAATCTGAAATGAATTTATTGGGGCGTACATGAAGGCCTGAGGTGGGGGGAGACCTGGAGCAATGAAGAAGAAATACCTGTCCCCGCCCCTGATTTTTCTGTTGTTTTTCTTTCCTGATTTATTTAATAAAAAAGGCACACAGTACACTGCTAATTGTTGAAAACCTCAACAAATGATAATTATATCGTTTTATCTGTTTACGAACAGTTAAAACAATAAAACTAAAAGTTAGCATTTTTCAAAAGCAGGTTTGGGGGAGGGGCTGGAAAAAATGGGGGAAACTGAGGGTGGTTTTTTCCTTTCAGTTTTTTCTCTCCGCCCCCCCCCCCGCCCCAGCTTTTGTGTCAGTGAGTGCTTCAACATCAGTTGGTGTATCTCTCATTTCTTGGGTAGTTATGCAAATCCATCAGGACTTCATATCAATAAAAACGACAAAAGAGGCTTTAGCACTTTAAAGTCAAACTAATGTTTTATGGCGTAAGCTTTCCTTGACAGAAGTGGAGTTTATGGAGGCATATGCCATTTAAAAATGTTTGGACTTTAAGGCGCTACAAGATGTTTTGTTTTTGCTGCCATGGGCTGACATGACCTCCGGAAATTCATGTCAGTGTTGGAATTTACTTTATGGGTGCTCACTTTAAACTTCTAAAAAGACACAATAGGGTGTTGAATACAGTTTAGTGTTGTATGAATGAGCTTTGGGCTCATGTGCAATGCTCTGGTGTGGTGATACAGAGAAAACAAATGAAAGTTTTTGCTTAGCTTTAAGATGAGCACAGTTACTTCTTATATCCAAACCCAGACAATGTGCTGTTAGTCAAACTGTGGTTAGTGGGAAAGCCAACTTCACACCATGGTTTATGAAGTTGGCTTGTTTCTCTAAACCATAGCCAAGAATAACCACAGTTCTCAGAACAGGTAGACTCACAATTAACTAGAAGTGAAAGTGAAAGTTTCTGATCATCTCAAGGCTCTTGGGGGGGGGGGGACACAAGCCCTAAACAAGCACATAGCCCTAAACCATAATTTAGCATTGTGTGTGAACCAGATGCAGATCTATAAAGTGATCCTAAGCAGTTAATTCTAACAAGCTTTCTAAAGCTGTTACCCATCAATTTTGTTCCTATTTTGATTGCTAATAAATAATAGTTGTTATAAAGTATTATAAAATGTGTTCCGTGAGCTTCAAGTAATTATCTAGCAACAGCCTTGCAGGATAGGATAGTATTATCCCCATGTTGAAGATGCAGGGGTAAGGTTGGAACCAAAGTTTCCCTTAAGTACTGTGGGCAAACTTCATAAACACATGTCATCGCCATTTTCCTGTAGTATGAAATCAGAACTTTTAAAGAACTTGGTACATAATGGGCATTTCCATGTTCTAGGTCTTGAGTGGCAAGGCTTTTCGGGGTGGGCCAGCTAGACCAGCTGACGTGCATATGAATCACCTATGCCAGATGAATTGGGAAAGATATAAATGTTACATTCTTTCATATTTTACAACACTTTAAAAACAACAACTGAGGAAGCTGCTCTTGGGAGATGTGTACTATATCTATGCTCTTTTAAAACAAATGACAGCATTTATTTTTGACAAAATAATCATGGGGGGGGAGCTGTTCACAAAGTGGGGACTGTCTCAACCTTTGTGTTCTCCTGTGCTTGTCATCCTCACTTGGAGATTATTTGACATGGTCAGTTGGCCCCTATAGACTCTACCTTGTGATGTTTGTAAAAGTATTTGATAGCCCTCTCAGATTCTACCTATTTTGTCCAGTTGGCTGCTTATATCTACAGTGGTAGGCAGAACGGAATGTGGGCAGCATAGAAACAAATCATGAGCCTTGTTTGGACAACACAAGCAGCCAGATTCTGGCTTGTGTAATCCATGACAGGGGAGAAGCACTCCAAGAACTCTTGGACAACATAAACTAACATGCTGCTCATTCACATTAAACCATGGTTTATGGTGATATGCAAACTGGGCCAATAAAACGTGGTTAACAAAATGACTTTACTGAATATGCTGTACCTTCTAACTGTATATTTTACTTGGTTGTCTTAAAGGAATTCTTTGGAATTTGTAGGAAGTCCCTCTAGCAACAGCAAGAATAGTTACAGCCACTTAAACGATAGGCTACCCAACATACTAATATTAAAGGAATGAATTCATAAAGTGTAGTGTATAGCCTCAATGATAAAGTTAACAAAACATATTCATTTGCAGGAAGGTAGATTAAAGCAGCATGTCTTTGATACATTTGGTCAGAGCAAGTATTTTAACTTGTCAGACAGGGTAATCCTCCTTTTCTTCCCCTTTGCACTATTTTGGGAGTTCTCCTTCCCCTCAAGCCAATTTTAGAAGGCAGGATGCCCTGTTGCACAAGTGAAGTTTTTGCTGACAGGACTCATTAGTGGAATCTCATCCCCCAGGCTCCACATCCCTGGTTTAGGAGGTTAAGGGTGGTTCCACTCTGTTCATAAAATCAACATGATGATGTGTTAAGAATACAGGTGTCACACCTCAAGCAATAAGTCACCTATTTCCTGTGTCGCATTCTAGGCGTGTATACCTAAACTGAGATACCTTTGCCAAAACTGTACTTCGGAAAATGGAACATATCAATAGATCTGTGAATTTGTCTCCTCTTGAGTTAGCATACATTTTGCAATTTTTTACTGCATTATATTTGCCAAGCCTGTCGGTTGAAATTCTAAGAAGCTGCTGATGCTATTATGTAAATTCAAAAAGGAAGCCTCTTCTTACAGAGAACTGACATTTTTATCATTCTTTTCATTCGAGTAACTCCAGCTCATACATGAGTTACCCCATTTTGTCCTCTCAACAACCTTGTAAGTTATCCTAGTCTTACAGAATTTCAGTGCCCAAGGAATGTCGCAGTTCAGGTGAGGATTTGATTTGAGGCATCTGTGGTTAAGTTGTCAGTGACCACTGCTGGTTGTGTTGCACTTTGATGCCAGTAACGGGCAAGGCATTTGCTCATCTGATGGGGAATGCTTGTTGGGTTAGTAACCAAACAGCTTTTTGGCTTTGCTGTAGCAAGTGGCTTCTTCAGAATCATGGAATCACTGTGCTTTCTTCTTTTGTGTTGGTTATTGACTCTCAAACGCTGAACACAATGGTATTGGATTTTTGCTTCTTAATGGAAGAGGTCAAAAAAAGGAGAAATGCTGACTTGCACCTTAAATTCTAATGACATCGCTTTTCTGTTACAGGTGAAAATGCAGGAAGCGGATTTAGTTGCAAAAATGCTCCGAGCTGTTCTACAATCCCATAAACATGGAGTACCCTTTTCCCGTTTGCAAGCAGAATATAAATCATTAACTGGAGACTTGATTCCCTTTAAGCAGCTGGGACATTCTAATTTAGAAGGATATATAAAAAGCATCCCTGGAGTTGTTAGGGTTGAAATTAGTAAAGCTGGTGAGGTAAGAAATGCATACAGTGCTTCATAATTGTGTGTGTATTTTGGCTGTAAAATGTCATAGAATCATAGAATCGTAGAGATGAAAGAGACCCCGAGGGTCATCTAGTCCAGCCCCCTGCAATGCAGGAATCCTGACCACAACCATCCCTGGGTGGGCTCGAACCACCAACCTTCTGGTTAATAGTCACACTGTCCATTGTGCTACCAGACGAAAGATTAATGTTGCTGTAGGGCCTTTTGCTTCTTTACATTGATTTTGCTGCAAATCAAATAATGCTTCACCCGGAGCAAATTTAATTTGGTTATGTTCATTATAGTGCACAGTTGAATGTAATTTCTTTAACTGAAACACCCCCTCCGGATGATGGGAATTGAAATTAATGAGAGTTCATTATCATTTGGAGGACCACAAGTCCCCCACCCCACTGCTACAGCATTTTCACCTGAAGATCTGTGTGTTACCTCATGACAGAACCTCCTCTACAAGCAAAATATAAACGTTCAACATTTGAAGGGAAGGGCACTAAAGACACATCCTTCTTAAACAGACTAGGTATCATGTTACATATTTGGGAGCCAAAGACAGAAAACAGTGTCCAAATAGCCATCGTCTTATCACAAATTTTGATTACCGAATAGGGTAAATCAAAATCTGCATTAGAATGAATTGCAAAGCTTTGCAGGACTTTAGCTTTCAGGTGGCATGGCAAAGTCTTATACAGTATTTTATAGTGTGTAGCTGACCTGTATCTCTTACGCATTGGATACACTATTATTGCACCTTCCCAAATTAACGTTGTAGCAGTGGGGTGGGGAACCTGTGGTCCTCCAATGCTAATGAACTCTCAACTCCCATCATCCCTGTCCATTGGCCATGCTGGCTGGGGTGATGGGAGTTGGAGTCTCAACAACATTTGGAGGACCACAGGTTCCCCACACCTGCTTTAGCACATTCTAAGCTTCATGCAGAGAGTCTGAGGTGGCTTTCAATGAGCAAGTATCTCCCATAAAAGTCATTGGTAAATGGGTGGCGCTGTGGTTTAAACCGCAGAGCCTAGGGCTTGCTGATAAGAAGGTCGGCGGTTCGAATCCCCGCGACGGCGTGAGCTCCCGTTGCTCGGTCCCTGTTCCTGCCAACCTAGCAGTTTGAAAACATGTTGAAGTGCAAGCAGATAAATAGGTACCGCTCTGGCAGGAAGGTAAACGGCGTTTCCTTGTGCTGCTCTGGTTCGCCAGAAGCGGCTTTGTCATGCTGGCCACATGACCCGGAAGCTGTACGCCGGCTCCCTCGACCAGTAAAGCGAGATGAGCGCCGCAACCCCAGAGTCGGTCATGACTGGACCTAATGGTCAGGGGTCCCTTTACCTAAGTTTCATGCAGTGAGTCTGAAGTGGCTTTCAATGAGTAAGTATCTCCCATAAAAGTCATTGGTAAATCTGGTTCTCCATTTTTGGTTTCCTTCTTTCCTTGATCAGGTGACCTGTCGTGCGGTCATTTGCCAGGAGACTGCACAGATTGCTCAGCTTGTTGCCTGCCAGAGAACTTCCCAAAAGAAAACTGGTCGGCAAGTGAACTGCAGCATGAGGCTGAAAAGAACAGCTCCGTTTGCCTCTGTTGGTAAGTTTGTCAGCTGCAAAACACCACATGGGTATATGCTGAATTAATCAACTTCAAACTCATCACTTGCAGAGCTTCTCTATCGTTGTGATTCTGCTGACTGAAATAAACTACTTACACTCTTGAACAGTCATGTTACAGGGCAGTCTGCCTGACTATTCATGTGTGTCTTGAAACAGCACATAAGGAAACTAATACTGGAAAGAAAAGTAGGGACATAATTTTTTATTGCAGAAAGACAATAGTCTGTGTGCTTTTTAACTGTTCTCAACAAGTTTAATTGGCCCTAACAAATCTGTAAGTTGGCTGTTGTTAACAAACCCCTGTTTTTGAGTGGTGGGGTCTGAAGTACTACTCCCCCCCCCCCCCAAAAAAAAAGACTATATGGCATGAGCAAACATTAATATGCTGCTTTATACATAGTCACCCTTAGTTGTCTGGCTTAGTTATCTTTTGCATCTGTAGCAATCACACACAGGGCCCCCGGACGTTTGACGGTCTATTGACCTTGTGCCGCCTCTGCAATTGCTTTTTCCGCTGCCACCAGCCCGTATCTCACGGGGACACATGGAGTCCAGTCAGTTGTTAACATAAACAAATAATCAAGTTTATTTTTCAATGCAGGAACAAGCTTATGGTTTCAGTTAGTTTTTGACAGTTTCTTAATCTTAGTTCCTAACAACTTCAAACTGATTATTCCCAACTATCTATCTGACTCCACCTAACAATTCCTCTCACTCTCTCACAATACAACTCTACCAACCCACTGCCTTTTCCTCCCTCTTCCTTCGTCAACTCCCAAACCTCACAACTCAACTAACTTCGACTCCCAAACCTCAACTCTCCACTAACTCGACTTCAACAAAAACTTTAAAAACCTCCCACTCTTAACTTTTATTCCCCTCTTGCATTCTCACTGGCCAATCACATCACACCTATTTTAACCCTTTCCTTATGACCCATCCTAGGAGGCAAACGCCACAGCATCTTTTTGGTAAACTTATGAATTTATGTTGAAGTGCCCCAAACCATAGGTAATCTGAAAATGAGAGCTGACATTTTGTGTCTTGCATCATTGTATTGCAGGCAAGCCAAAGGGTACTCTGCGGAAGCCAGGATTCATGCATTTCACAGAAGAAAGCAGGAGACCTGCACTCCCACTGCTGAGAAGCAAAGGAAGCTGTGCTGTTGTTAGGCAAAACATGAGCTCTGCATCGTATCCTCTGCCTCTAGAATTTGGGACCCCTCTGCAGAAAGAAGTCTTAAATCAAGGACACATGACTGTGACAAACAGGTTAGAGTTCCTCTTGTTGGAAAACTTACTGGGTATAAACCAGCTGATATACTTGACACCACTCTAGAATCTCATATGTTCAGGGTGGAAATGGCCTTCTGATTGTATAGAAAACTGTCCTAAACAAAGCGTCAACATACACTGAAAATACTATATCACTATTTGAGAGAGGCAAGCACTCTTTTTGCCATCTTTTTGCCTTTCAACCCTGGGGTTGCTGCCCTTTATTTACGTTTCCCATTTCTTTAAATCATTTTTTTATTAAAAGTTTTCAACATAAAATTCAATGAAAGTCAAACTGGCCCATTTCTTGTGCTTTTAACTGCCTTATGAAAACTACAAGGGTAGGAGATGGAAGGAGGAAAGTGTGTCCAACAATTTTGTAAATTGGTGTAAATCTTAAGAGATTTTGGTGGGGTGAGGGGATGCATGCAGAATTGTGTCTGAGCAGAGTAGCCTGTTTAAAATGGTTATGACTCATTACATCACTGCAAAAATCCTAGATATGATATTGTTAGTATTATCAATTATTTATATACCACATTTTCTACAAATTTAGACTCGGAGTGGTTAGTCATGTTAGCAAGGTTAGATCATGTGTATCTGTGTGTGTGTGTGTGCGTGTGTGTGCGCACACACACTTAGTCTTTACTAAACAAACATCCATAGGACCTTTGCACGCTGACTCACCTTTCTCACTTGCCCCAGATTCTTCTATGTTCCAGAGGGAATAAACTAATGTTTAAAGCTGCACCAATAACAAACCTTTAGTTTTTCATGCCTTCTCTCTCCTGTTCTGCAGCACCTTCTGCACACACATCCTGATGATATGTTACTGTAACTTTGAGATGAATGAAAGGTTAAGACCAAGCCTGTCAGTTTGCTCATTCAGTTAGAGAAGGTTAGGTTCACTCTATGGATGTTGTACATATTTGAGTGTCTGCTTGTTGTTGCCGATCAGAAGGTTGGTGGTTCGAATCTCCGCAATGGGGTGAGCTCCCGTTGTTCGGTCCCTGCTCCTGCCCACCTAGCAATTCGAAAGCAAGTCAAAGAGCAAGTAGATAAATAGGTACCGCTCTGGTGGGAAGGTAAACGGCATTTCCATGCGCTGCTTTGGTTCGCCAGAAGCAGCTTAGTCATGCTGGCCACATGACCTGGAAGTTGTCTGCAGACAAACCCCAGCTCCCTTGGCCTATAGAGTGAGATGAGCGCCGCAACCCCAGAGTCGTCCGCGACTGGACCTAAAGGTCAGGGGTACCTTTACCGTTACATTGAATATGGAATTCTTGATGAAGACAACACATACTACCAGGAGTGAAATACATGATTGTGGGAACCTACTGTGAAGTATTTGTGGGGCTCACAAGTTCCACAAGTTTATTAGTTTTTCAAATTGAGTATCTTAGGATGCAGCACTTTCAACTAATATCAAACAATGGAGACATTTGCAACAATTTCAAGTTATACACAATATATTTTAAGTTTGTACAGTAGTTTTTTTATGTATTATTTATATGCATTAACCCGAGGTATGACTGTACTAGTTTACTGAATTTAATGTATGCATTTGCATTAAACCAACTATATATATGCAACTTTTACTCTTCTTAAGGCTAGGAAGACTGGGATTTTTCATATGTCTTTCCAAAATTATTTGCTAAAACTATTGAATTCATATTCACTGCAGAAAAATTCTACACTTGGGCCAGTGATATTTCTCTACTGCTTTTTTTAGCAGGATATTTATGTCTAGATCTACAGTATACATGAGCGAAATGGCCTGTAAAAAGTATTGACGAATTTGGGCATAGACCGATTTAAAATATTGTCAGTAGCCTGTATTGTGTTGTCAGCTGAAACAGTACTGCCCCATTACTGCATCCTTAACAAGAAAGCGGATGGTTTTGATGCTGAAATTCTGCTGATTCAGTATTGTACTTCAGCGCCCCCACCCCAGCATCCCTAATTATTCCTTTGACTGACTAAAATCCAACTTGGCAAGCTCAGCTGCTGTACCATCACTTCTCTTCATGCATTGTTTGTTGCTGTCATGGGTCATCAAATCATGAGTCAGATAATGTTCTTGCTTGGTCCATCATTTAGTTTATCTAAATTTCGGAATGGTTTGATTGCCTTCATAATCCTCCCATTGTGTTTGTAATGCACGGCTAGGAAAAGTAGCTCATGAAAACTGCTTGTTAGATTTCACATCACTTTTCAGGCAATTATTACATCCCAAAACCTCTCTCGTCAATTTAGAGAGAGAGAGAGGTTTTGCCATCAGACTTAACAATAATAATAAGAGTACAGAGTAGTGACCTATATAAGGGCATGCATACCCAGATGGGGCCAGGCTGATCTTCCCTCTCTGCTAGTGTCTGTGGTTGAATAGTGGTTGGTGACTGTTGTGCCTTTGGCTGACGGATGGGGCCAGAATGTCCCATCTCTGCCCACCCCACCCACTAAGCTACTGCATTCAAAGAACAATTGACAGTTGGAGCCGGGTATTCTTTCTAGTGGAGAGGGAAGGTGGGAGGCAGGGAGTGCCTTCCGGCTGCTCCTAGTCTGGCCCATAGATGGGACCACACTGGTCTCCCCCCTTGCCGCAATGTTCTTCTGGCAGGCAAGAAGAAATAGACCGTCTCAGTGGGTCTATGTTCCCCTGGGCACTCCCAGACTCCCCCAACTTACCTTTCCTTTGCCTCTGCAGTCCCAGGCCAACTTTGGCCCATTTGCCTGGGGGAGTGTGTTTAATTGCCCGAGACTTCTGAATAGGTAACACGTCTTCATTGAGATGAAAAGTTTATTAGAAATAGATTCATTCAGTCAGTCTAGAGTCGTGAATATAGATACGAGAAGGAATAACAGGATGGAGCAGATGTGGGTGGAACTTCGTTAGGTATGCACCATTATGGCATGAAACATGGAGTGGTTGCTTGACCTTGATTCCCCAATTAATTCCTCCATGATCAGGCTTTATTGTTGCATACTCCACAGAACGAGTGGTATTGACCATGTGGGACATACCGTATTTTTCCGTGTATAAGACTAGGGGTTTTTAACCAAAAAATTAGGTTTCAAATTGGGACTCGTCTTATACACGGGTAGTGCTGAGGGGTGTTTTCTTAATCTGGAGTCCCCCAAAATAGGGGGTGTCTTATGCATGGTGGCACGGAAAAATACGGTGTGTTTGAATGCTCTCCCGCAAAATGTCCTAGCAAGCAGATTTAAAACAAGAAGGAAAGGGGCCGGTTCAAATCATTGTTATATAGCAAGTGGCCCGTGTATTTATTAAACAATGTTGCAGATTTGACCACTAAGCCCAAGGTACAAGTCAATAAACTCAATTTATCCTCGTTTCATTCTTTTCATTCTTCTTTCATTCTTTACCCAGGCCTTACACCTACTTGTCACATTGTATATATGTTTTCCATATGTATTCTTTTTTACTCATGGGAAGTTCTTGTTTAAAATGCCCCCTTTAGGTCTTTTTTTTTTTAAAAGACAGGCATGTTGTGAGATTCACTGGACAAAAAAAAAATACAAAGAAAAGACACTTTAATTTGACATATCTGGTAGAAGCCAACCATTCAGCTTTGAGATTAAAATGTAGCACAACCGTATTTATATTCAGGTTATTTAATGCTAACCAAGTTATTCCTGAATTTGTCCCATGATACTGTTTTGGGTGAGCTGGACCCACTTTCCGTGCTCCTTGTATGAGGAGGTTCAAGTATTGGCAGCACTAGGCTTCCAAAAAGAAAAGGAGTCCCTATTGCTCCCTAAGAAAAATGCAAAAATCAAGTTGGATTTTTATTAGCCCTAGCCAAAATAGTCAGTAGATTCCCTAGAAAACTCCGTGTTTAAGCAAAGCAATGAAATGCTGACTTGCTGTTTAAGTTGCAGTGAGCAATCCTAAAATGGCATGTAAAAGGAGATATCACCTAGTAGATCGCAGTCTAATTAAGTCTGCTATGCAGCATTTGGAGCTGCTGTGACAATCACGGCTGAACTCCCCTTTTTGAAAACATGAAATCTAGCACTCACCCAGAGAAGGCTGGAGGCTTGACTTGTGGAGAAGTCAAAAGCCTTCATTTTTACCTTTTAGTTGGCCCTAGTAAAGATATCCCCAGCTGTGGAATTCACCTAAATTGAGCCATCTAGTGGTGAGATATGTTTTGTTTGTGAAGGTAATAAATGCCTCTCAAATACAACCTTTCCTGTAGTGGATTTGCTGTGTTAGTAGCAGATTATAAACTGTAAAGCAATTTCAGAAATTCTGGGATAAGATGGAATCTCTAGGGACAGTGTCCAGCACTTCTGCTGATTTCAGTAGGCTTATTCAGTTTATGCTTGTGGATCTTAACCATTGTATCTGCTATGGGTCTATTAGAAGGAAATACTGTAGCTCAAAAGGACAACATGACAAAAGCCAGGTACAGAAGTGACTTTTCAACAACTTTGTATGCAAACAGACCTGTTCCAATGTGCCTATTTTTCAATCTACAAAATGTGCTGCCAGACTTTGTGGATTTTGCTAGAGAAAGGAGTCAATTTGCAGTTCTGGCTTGCAGAATATATATGAGTTTGCCATCCATAACAGCTTCACGTAGAGTAAAATGGTTCTCTTTTATTTAATGGGATGATTGTCCATAAGCTTATCTGTGCAGATACAAGGACATGGCAGCAAGCAGATGCTTTTACAGTGGTACCTCGGGTTACATATGCTTCAGGTTACATACGCTTCAGGTTACAGATTCCGCTAACCCAGAAATAGTGCTTCAGGTTAAGAACTTTGCTTCAGGATGAGAACAGAAATCATGCCGCAGCGGCAGTGGGAGGCCCCATTAGCTAAAGTGGTGCTTCAGGTTAAGAACAGTTTCAGGTTAAGAACAGAACGAATTAAGTACTTAACCCGAGGTACCACTATACTTATATTGAACATATTAGCTTGTACTTTTGAAAAGTGCAAATCAAATCATAGTAGTTTGCTTTGGGATTTTTAGGCTTGATAGAAGAGCAACACTTCCACCACGATTTCAGAAGGAGCTTCAGGGTCACCCGTCAAAAAACGTACCTGTGGACTTCAATGGTATGTTACCAGAGGGCCACAAAACCTTGACTGCTAAGCCAAGCCACACTTCATGGGTGGGCGGGTGGTTTTATGTACTTAAACAGAACTCATGGTAAAATCAAACATTTTGGTGTTCATGCAAGCAGTTCCATTGGACATAATTCTGCTCTTAATACCTAGTAAGAAAATACATAACTTGGCAAGGTAATGTAGAATGAATAGACGTGGATTATCAACCAAGTAAACATTTCCTAAAAGCACCAACCGTTTCAGTATATACTTCTTAGACTGCTCCTGTGCTCGGTTAGTTAGGAGTAAGCTCATTTAAATTTGTGGTTTACTTCTGAGTAAACATGAATAGGATGATGCTGTAAAGGACATTGTTAAACAAATGCTTAAAAGACTGTCCGTTCTATTGGAACACAACCTTTCCACTGGTAATTAAAAGCCAAAGTATCTTTCCAAAGTATTATGATTGTACAATGTTTGCTCATTGTGAGCACCATCAAAAGAGAGAGAGAGAGAAGACCCTTGCCCAACCCTGCAATATTAGTTTCCTCATTCACCTTTTTAAGTGGCTAGGTGGTTTCCTTTTCGTTTAGTCTAGCTATACTTGAAATATCTCAAAGCTCAGTATGAACTGGGATTGAAAATACTTGCAAGCTCAGATAAAGAAATGAAGCTCAAACATATTTCCTACAAACTTGATATTTACCGTATTTTTCGCCCTATAGGACGCACTTTTTCCCCTCCAAAAATGAAGGGGAAATGTGTGTGCGTCCTATGGGGGCGAATGCAGGCTTTCGTTGAAGCCTGGAGAGCGAGAGGGGTCGGCGCGCACTGACCCCTCTCGCTCTCCAGGCTTCAGGAAGCTCTGCGCAACCCTTGGGAGACTGGCGCGACACCGGTCTCCCAAGGGTTGAGCAGAGCTTCCTGCATTCCAAAGCCTGGGGCGCGCTGAAGAGCGCGCCCGGGCTTCGCGCAGCTCTCCGCAAGCCTGGGGAGACCGGCACGACTTCCCGCCGGGCTCCCTAGGCTTGCGGATAGCAAGCTGTTCTGGGGGCTGGGGCTGGGGGAAGCTCGGGCTTCCCCCGCGCCAGCCCCACGCCTGGGGGGGGGGGGATTTTCTTTATTCCCCCCCCAAAAAAACTAGGTGCGCCCTATGGGGCGAAAAATACGGTAGCCTGGTTAGCTTTAGCTTTAGCCTGGTTAGTTTCCCTATTGTGTCATCATCTTTAGAGCGTTCACTCTAGGGAGAGACAAAGGAAGGAACCTTTGACAGAGCAGGAAAGAACAGTTGCCATGGTGATGGTTGCCAGTATATTTTTTATGTTAAGAGGATGCCCAGCACAGAGAACTCTTCCATAGCCATCTTCAGTGTAGTGTCTCAAACATACTGTTGTTTATATGAATATGTTAACAGATTGAAAAATTAAGCCAGTGTTCTAGACTATTTAACATTTGTATATTTTATATTTGTATATTTATAACATTTGTAGCTTTTATATTTAATGTTTAATATTTTAAAAGGAAAGTTTTAAAAAGCTAGCTACCAGCTTGGAGGATTCCGGTAAGATTGTCATAGCCACCAACAAAAAGGGATTCAGCTAGTTGCTACAGTGGCACTGTGGGTTAAACCACAGAGCCTAGGACTTGCTGATCAGAAGGTCGGCGGTTCGAATCCCCACGACAGGGTGAGCTCCCGTTGCTCGGTCCCTGCTCCTGCCAACCTAGCAGTTCAAAAGCACGTCAAAGTGCAAGTAGATAAATAGGTACCGCTCCGGCGGGAAGGTAAACGCTGCTCTGGTTTGCCAGAAGCGGCTTAGTCATGCTGGCCACATGACCCGGAAGCTGTACGCCGGCTCCCTCGGCCAATAAAGCAAGATGAGTGCCGCAACCCCAGAGTCAGTCACGACTGGACCTAATGGTCAGGGGTCCCTTTACCTTTTTACAAATGTGCTGCTGCTGGACTAGAACAATGGCTTTACCGTGTATCCTTTTAAAAGAAGAAATGCTGTCTTCCAAAAGTTTGTGTTCTTGCTTTTCAGAAAATGCAAAAGAAATGAGACAACTCGTGCCACTTCAGCCTCCTTATCCTTCAAATACCGATATATATGAGATTCAGAGAAGAGTTAAAGAGATTCTAAATCAATGCAGCAATGGAATATGTTTATCAAAGCTACCGTATGTGTACAGAGAGACTTATCGGGAGGACTTAAATACAGCCTTGCTCCCTCAATTTGAGAACTGGCCTCACATTTGTGTGGTAGGTGTCAGCTTTTACCAGAGTGGATAAGAACTGGTTTAGACAAATCCCATTTCTTGGTTTGAATAATATTAAAAAAAAAAATCAGGTATACACAATATCTCATTAAAAATGGGTTTAACTGCAAATTTTAATTTAATACAAAAAGGGCCTACACAATCCCAGCTAAAATATGACTCTCAACACTGAATTAAATGTTGCTTTTCTATGTGGAACCAAGAATGGTGGCCAACTGCTGAGGTTAAGCAATATAAATGATGCTAAGGCTGCAATCCTCTATTATCTAGCTGGCCACAAAGGATCTGTGGAAGTTTCCTAGTTAAACAGATACAGGCTCAAATACTTAAGTTTGTGTTAAATCTTAATACAGCCCAGGAAGGCATATAATTCATTTTGGATGTCTTTTTGACCCCAGTCAAGAATGCAACTTGGAAATATCCCATTTTCCTTTTTGGCTAATAAGTACTATCCTTGCTTCTGGAAAGTTCTAGACACTCACCCCCCCCCCCCCAGTTGTAGACATGTTTACTCAGAAGTCAATCTCACTTTATTCACTGGGATTACTTTAAAATGAGTGTGCATAGGATTGCAGCTTTACACTTCAAGATTTTTTCATGTGCAAAGAGAAGTAAAATATGTATGCAGGTGTAACTTTGCCGCGTGAAGGCTTTGTGGGTTGTATAGCCAAAGGGCTTCAGTTGTGTTCCTAGGGTTGTATAAAGGCTTTATTCCAGCCCCGTTCAGGCATTCAGTTCACACAATCAGCTGTTGTGTGGAGGGGGAGAGCACGGCTACATCCACTGGTTCTGTTGGCCCTACTGACCGTACGTCAGCTATATATATGCAAAATTGTGTTATTTTTAGAATATGTGAAGATGGTTTTCTTGTGTTCAGAAATGTTTTTGCTTTTAAAACCTGTCTTTCGTTCTGTGTTCATCTCGTGTTTACCACTTTGACGGCTTTATGCTGTTAATAAAATGGTTGAATCAGCTAAATTTGGCAGTGAGCGTTTGCAGAGGGGTGGCTGCTCCTTATGCGTAGCAGGCTTCCCCTTGTAGTGTGTCATCGTGATTGTGAAGGGTTGTACTCCACAAGGAAAAGCAATGCAGATAAAGCGGACGCCCAGGTGGGGGTGGGGGGCAGAAGTTGTGCTCCTTCTCTCCTGCTCTGTGCAATTATTTGTGTGACTTGAATGCCTGAAGTCAGTTTCAGTTGCATGCTAAGTTAATGGCTATAGTCACTCAGGATGGACAGTTGTTTTTTAAACAGTACATTTGGAAAGGAGACAGTAATTGAACAAATCGTGTTTACATTTTTTATTTGTTTTTAAAAAATGCATCCGTACTTGCTTTTCCAGCATATCTAATGCTACTCCTGGGAATAATCTAAAAATAGCACTAGCCTATAATCTGCAGCAGGGGTAGGCATTGTGGTGCCTACAGTTATTGTAGACATCACCTCCCATCAACCCTGGTTGTCTCTGGCCATTGGCAATCCTGACTGTGGCTGATAGGCCTTGTAGTCCAAAAGCTATAAAATCATCCATGTTGACTACCTTTGATCTACTGTAAGCCAATTTCAGACTGTTCATTTTGAGTGCTTTTCCATTTTGCATGCAATAAAGGTAGATTTCGCCCTCATTTAAAAATGCTAATCAGAATGCGTATATGAGCACACATATGGTTTTCTGCTCTTACATTTGCCCTTATACTCTTAAATGGATATAAGAAATGTTATTTATAAGTAACGTATCAGCATGTTGACATACCAGCCAGTTTTGGTGGAATGCAGATAAGCTATATTCTTTTTGCTTTCATCAATCTGTAGCCGTACTGAATGCTTCTCAGTTCTTAAAATATGTGAGCATCTTAGCACAAGCCTAAGCACACTTTGAAATATTCTAATCATCTGCTCATTTATACCCAAATACACACAGGTCCCAGTTCCCAAACGCAGTGTGTTCCCGGGAATTGTTCATAACTCACATAATGAGTCCACAATTTCCATTGGTTCCTATGGGAACCTTTCTAATTGGGGATTTGTCCAGTCTCTCCACGGTTTCTTCCTGAAACAGCTATAGCCAACCAGCAGAAGAGACAAAGGAAGACTTATTTATCCGATCTCCCCCACACACACCCTGCATGGTTTCTTCCTGAAAATGTCTGCCACTGGCCAGCAAAACACAAGCAAGGAAGTGGGCAAACACTGGATGTTCAGATACCTGAATCTGTGGAGTGTATTGCAAAGTTTGGGCATAATTCTTTGTTTGGATAAGTGAATTTTCACATAGTGAGAGGGTGGGTAGCAGGACCTGCATGTAAACACATGTATGAATAACAGCAAGCTTCAGTTGTTAAAGATAAGCAATGTTTGTAAGAGGGACACCTTGAGCAATTGAACAGTGCTTGACCATGAGCCACACCTACTTTCATAAGGGTGAGATTATTCCTGCTTTAAACTACCTGGAGATCTAAAACTAAATCAAATCCAACCACAGTTGGAAAAGCACAGTAGAATTTTTTTTTCTGTTGAGATGAAATAAACCTGTGCTAATTTGACATGGTTTTTAGTACAGCTGCAGAAAACAAAGCTGTTTCATGTAGGGGTGAGTGAATGTGACGAGGTGGTGAGAAAACAAAAGGTTAGTCAAAACCGATGGTGGTCAGTGTACTTAGAAGTAAATGGCCCGTCTACAGACATGTGTGGAAGCCACTTTTGAATTGCCCGCAATGCTCCAATTCAGTAACGTAGCTGTTTTTGTAACCCTCCTGCTTTCTCTCAAAAGACAGAGAAGGTATGTTCTGGTGGCCTTAGGGATATATTCCTCTACCCTGCTGCAAAAACACAGCCTTTGGTGAAGGGTGTCTCAAGCCAAGAAGGAAGCCTTCAGCCCCCCTTAGTAAAACAGACTGTAGAGACCAAAGTAGATGCGCCCCAGGAGGATTTCAAGCAGAAAATTGCCGCCATCTTGTTAAAATATTCCAATGGCCTTTGGGCGAATGCTCTCCCCAAAGTGTATGAAGACACATACAAAGCACCATTACCTCAGGATATTCTGAAAAGTCTTGACGCCCTCTCGGATATATGTTCAGTGGATTACATATCTGGCAACCCCAAAAAGGCCATTCTCTATGCAAAGTCGAAAAAGCACACGGACGAGAACCAGAATGTGACTGACAAAACCCACGCAAATGAAGTTCTAGTGAGACCAGCCGAGCAGCATCCCACCACGATCAAGCACGAATCCCAAGAGGAGTATTCGGAGAACATGACCGTGCCTCCGTTAATTATCCCAGCAGAAACATCACCATCTGTGCTGGTGGTGGAACTGAGTTCGACAAATGAAGTTGTTGTCAGGTAAGATTACTGTCCCGGTCTTCCCTAATACTCCTGTAGTAGTGCAATGGGGTTATCTCTTCAACTGTCAGCACACCAGCCATTCAATTGAAGGAGAACAGATTAAGAAAATGAAAAATCTAAAGATTTACTCTGGTGTTCACTTTAAAAATACGGTCTGGCAGGACCATCTTGTGCATGTCTGCTTAGAACAAAGTCTCATTAAGTCTGTATAAGAGTGCACATTCCATTTGTTATCAACATGTTTAAGCTTAAAATCTCTTAACTGAACCGAGGGAGCCTTTTCTTCATGAAAGAGTGGCCAGAAGCCAACTTCTGAGGTTAAACATTGCAAATGACACAAGTATTTAATAGTCCCTTGGTCCAGTAGGAAGTTCATAATAAGTATGAACTTCCTATTGGACCTAGGGACTAGTAAATTTGAGGATGTAGATGACACATTCCTATATTGTGGCAGGATCCTCCACTGAGCCCATAAGAGTACAAGGTTGTGTTCTTAGCCCTCAGACTATCTAGAATGTGTTCAATTGTGAAATTACTGTTATTTATAACTTTAACAACCAGATATCATGGACAATTCACTTGTTGAAACTTTTTTATTCAGCAACTACCATCTCTTCTCAACATTTATTGGAGCTCAATCCCATGCATATTTACTCAGAAGTAAATTCCGCTTTGTTCAGTGGGACTTTTTTCCAAATAAGTGTGTATAGAATTGTTTCCTTAGCCTTTGAGTAAGTGATTTTGCTTGCTGTCCTCGCATGCCCACACACTACCTTGTCAAGATGTAGACAAAGGGTATGAAAAGTATATGCATGTAAGCTCCACGGCCAAAGCATTGTGCATGTAAGTTACATAAAGGCTTTGCTTAGTTGCAGTCAAATACGTTTTGTTAGATCTATCAGCTAGTAAGTACAGCATGTGAAAGAGAAAGAGCTGCCATTAATTCACTTAATTTGCACTCTCTGCCTTGGCTCTCTTTTGGGAAGAGAGGTGTCTCTTTTGAGGCGTCTGCCACATACGGTTGATTTGCAGTCTTGTGATGACAGATTGTCATAAGCCACTCTTACCTTGGGACAATTTGGCATACAGTCAACCTTGGTAGTTGAATGTAATCTGTTCTGGAAGACCATTCAACTTCAGAAACATTCAGCAACTGAGGCGCGGCTTCTGATTGATTGCAAGAGCTTCTTGCACACAAGCGGAAGCCACGTTGGACATTCGGGAGATGAAACGTACGATAATGGAGGCATTCAGGAACCGAGGTTTGACTGTATCAACAATGGAGTCCATTACATGCCTGTAATGTTGCTTTTGAACACTTGGACAAATTATGAATATTGTTCTAAAAAAAAAACCAACCAGCAATAAAAGAGTTGGTGTAAATATTGAGAATATGTGAAATCTTTCTACTCTTTGCAGTATAAATATTAAGATCAGACTTGCAGTGAAATTGGATTTACACACACCTATGCTCTCTTATTCCTGCCAACCTAGCAGTTCAAAAGCACGTCAAAGTGCAAGTAGATAAATAGGTACCGCTCCGGCAGGAAGGTAAACGGCATTTCCGTGCGCTGCTCTGGTTTCGCCAGAAGTGGCTTAGTCATGCTGGCCACATGACCCGGAAGCTGTACGCCGGCTCCCTCGGCCAATAAAGCGAGATGAGCACCGCAACCCCAGAGTCGTCCACGACTGGACTTCAGGGGTCCTTTGCTTTTTTTTTTAATGCTCTCTTATGTGATTCCATACATTCCTGTTTCAAGAAGCAAGAAAGTTGTAGGATGACACACTTCAGTTTAAGAGGAGATCTAAGGCATTAAAAAAACTCACTTGTGCACAAAATAGCATGTAAACTGTGCCTTAATAGCTACACCATGTATATGTATTCCACTGTGTAAGTGTGCACTCTTAGAATCTAGCCTCCATGCAGCCTGCGCTAATCTGTTTCTACACCCTTTTTGCCTTAAAATTATTCTGGGGAAGGGGGGAGATGTTACATAACGCCTTATGTAAACACTTTTGCACTTGTTACCACTTTTGTTGTTGTGATTTATACCAACTATCATTTCTGCTTGAAATCCCGTAGGTATGTGGGCAAAGACTATTCTGCTGCCCAGGAATTAATGGAAGAGCAGATGAAGGATTGGTATGGTCGGAACCCCTCAGGTTTGCAGATACAGTCTCCTAAAGTTGGACAGGTTGTTGCTGTGCCTGCAGTAGAAGATGCTTGGCTGCGTGCACAGATTACTTCGACAGACGGCAATAGGATAAAGGCAAGTGCATTAGGTTTCTGGGGTAAAAAGGGTGTTAAAATCAGATGAAAGTGCTAGTCTCTCAGTTGATTGCAATAGCTGCCTTGGACACTTCTTACAAAGTGGGAAAGTAGGATAGTATTTGCTTAAATAAATAATAATGATAATGTCTCCTAAGGTTTTTTTGGGTGGGTGAGGAGTGTTAAATTCTTCTAAGGCAAACTAATAATTGCAGCATTTGAGCTCTAGCAAATGACCAAGAACAGAGCCTTTCTGGGAGATCTCAGCATAGTAATACGATGCAGTGATTTTTTTTGTTGGATTACAGTTGCTCTCTTTAGATTCAGATGAAAATGGAGCTGTGGATCTTTTATATCTGGTCAAAAATCCCTTGCATCTACTGCTTCTGCTTACAAGCTTGTAGTTAGTAGTGTTTGAGAGAGGATGGGTGGGGTCCAATGTTCCTACTGCAGTCAGCAAAACATTAGGGGGTTCAACTGACTCAGCCACCAGATGTATTTGACTTGCATCAGTCATGTGTATAAATTCAGAAACTGGCTAGGGAAGAGGATCACTGCTTCCCTTTCATTCCAGGATCCCCAATACCTGCAAAACAGGCCAGGGTGGCTGGAGTGATGGCAAAAAACCTCTCTCTCTTGCCAGCTCTCACCTAAGATGTTGATGTCAACCCCCTACCCCTGATGCACTGTTCAGTCCCTCTTGGCTTCTTTGAGCTGAGGAGCTGAACAAGGAGGGAAATAGAGATCAGGTCATACAAGTGTTTGTGGATTTTACTGACTGCAATTCTGTCTGTATGCGAAGAAGAAGGGATCAGTAAGAGAGTGGCTACTGCCACATCCTCCTTGTTCATGGGCTCTCCCCAGCATACTGACAAGTGGTTCTCATCTATACACTCGGAAACATTAAACACTACTTGGGTGACTTGTTCTTTATATATGTGGGGGAAGGCTTGTTGTGCCTCCGATGAAGGATTAGGATTTCTGCAATAAGGGCATTTCCCTGTATGGATAACATGGTAAGTGCCCTTCCATCAGCCTCAACTGTAAGTTGCGAATCTCCATGTGATTTCATAGTATGTATGGCTTAGGATGGCAGCTTCGAATATGAAAACAAACATTCAATTTTTCACTGCATGGAGGCCTATAAGGAGGGATCTTGGATATTCAGGGCCAGATTCAGCTAACTAGTCCCACCAGCAGAAGCCTGACTAAGGACTTCCACTAATGAAGCAATGCTCCCCCACCCCGTTGGCTCTGCAGGGGTCAGGAAAACCCCTGGAACAGTGCGCAGTAGGGAGGAGAGAACAAATGGCTCTATCAGACAAGCATAAATGCTTGCATTGCTGGAGCAAATCTAGCACTCTGCTGAATTTCTCCCTCGGGGATTTACAGTTAACTGCGAACTATGGCAGGAAAAAGAACAGGGCCAACACGTTGTAGCACCAGTAATGTGACCAATGAATAAGTCTTCCTTATATAACATGGCTGTGTCTTTCTGTCTTTGTTCCGTCACTAGGTATGCTACGTTGATTATGGCTTTAGTGAAACCATTGAGAATACCAGAGTGTGCAAACTAGCCAAGCAATTCTATTCACTGCCGTTCCAGGCTTCAAAATGCAAACTAGCAGGTAAGAGATGCGCCTTAGCCTTCAGCATGACTACAGAAGCAGTTTGAACGTACTACAAACTAGGAGCAGGAAGGAAAGAAGGCTGTGCCTAACTCCAAATATTGCCAGCTGGGATTGTAAAGGACTGCCCCACCTGGCAGTGCTATCTTGCAGCTTTTATAGTAAAGAGTGGGTGCAACAGCATGAAGAGTGGTGGGTCTTCCCTATGAATATGTTTCCTTGCAATTTGTACTTAACTCCAGTGGAAGGTGTGTGTCTTTTTAAAAAACAAAAAACCTCTGGTATAGTAAAGTCTCATCTGGATTTTTTAGACGTGCATGTTCTTATTTGGTGCATTTTAACTTTGCAAACAGACATGACAGGAAACGATATTAGTGTATCCAGTGTGATGTAGCGGTTAGAGTGTTGGACTAAGACTGGGGAGGCTTGGTTTCAAATCCCCACTCATCCATGAAGCTCCCTGTGTGACTTGGGCTAATTGTAGGTTAGCCGGAGAGATTACATCACAAGGTTGTTATGAGAATAAAAGGGGAAGGAACTGTGTATGTTGCCTTGTGTTCACTGGAGGAAAGGCAAGAAATAAATGTAATAAGTAATGTTTTTGTTGTTGTTGTTTTTAAAAGTAAAACATTGCACAAGATGCATGGGACATTAATGACTGCATAGCCACTAGGAGTCTGAAATTGGAATTTCTTCTTTGTATGCCTTGAAAGAGCATTTCTCTGTTCTACAAGCATCTTTGTGTGGTGGGGGAGATGACAGCCCTCGTGAAGCATAGTGTGGTTTCTGCTTTTAAAATATAAGCCTATATCCCTGCAAACATTTTGATGATGTATCAATTACTGTGGGTAATTTCTCACATATTTTGTATAATTCTGATTTGCCAAGTCTGAGGAGGAAGCCTTAAGAGTACTGAAGCCCTGCCTTGTACCACTGGAAATCTTAATCAGCCACCTTTCTTTCTGGCTTGCATGCCTTCAAAAGGCATGCAAATACATTTTTAGAGTAGTAAGGGTTACAGATTTGCTTAAAGCAAGGAGCTCTAAGGCGCAGGGAGACTCAGGTGATGGTGGTATACATTAGATGGACAAAATAAGCATCAAGAGAAATCAGGTCCACCAAACAAGTGGAACGCTCCCCCATTTTTGCTATAAGCAATGATAGTCCAAGCAGCCATACTGAGGCAAGAAGATCTCTTTTGGAGATGTCCGCAAAACCTACACTCTCCTCTTAACTGCCTTGCTTTAGGGTTAGAAGCCTTCTCGGACGACCCTGTGATGGTGAAAGTGGTGGAGTCTCAAACCTGTGGCAAGATATTTGCTGTCGAAATACTAGAGAAAAATGACATTCCCCTTGTCATCCTGTACGATACTTCAGGAGAGGATGACATCAACATCAACGCTTCTTGCCTGAAGGCACTTTGCGATAAATCTCTTGAGCTTCGCCTTCAGGTACTGTTTTCATCTGCTTGTAAAACCAGTAAGATGAGTTGAGGGCACTTAAGTTGCAGCATCCCAAAGGCATGTTTTGTTTTTAACAGGTAGATGCGCTCTATACAAATGTCCGAGTAACCAATGTCTGTTCAGATGGAACTTTATACTGTCAAGTGCCATCAAAGGGCCTGACCAAACTCTCTGAAGCTTTGCAGAAGCTGGAAAATTACTTCCACCACAAGGTGAATCTTGCTTTTAATTTTGGTTGCCAACTGTACCTTCACAAAAGTCACCTAACAACCCCTTTGTTCACAAATGAAGAATGCTAGGGTTCCTAATCATTCATTCTTGCTGAGTGAACACCACACACTTTTGCTGTTCACATACTTACAGCTGTCGTGTCTTGAAGTATTAAATATGTGCGCCATGCAGTACTGCATATTTTCATATGTGGAAATCCTTGTAATGTCAGGAAAAGTAGTTCAGTCCTGAAATCCCCGGAGCAATTTTCATGCTCGTGCCTTTTTACAGATAAATCCAGCTTGCGTTATCCAGACTCATATTGCGCAATAAAATAGGGTTCCTCAGTAACAATTGTTGCTTTCTTTGACTAGGCCAACTGCGCGCTAGCCGTTTCAGGACAGGTGATCCCATAGAGCACAGTTTCCCAAACTTGGGTCTCCAGCTGTTGCTAGACTACAACTCCCATCATCCCTCACTAGCAGGACCAGTGGTCGCAGAAGATGGGACCTGTAGCCCAAAAACAGCTGGAGACCCAAGTTTGGGAAAACCTGCGAAGAGCAACCCCAGAGGCATTTTTGTAGCACTGCATATGTCTAGAAAGTACAAGATGCATATTTTTGGAGATTGATAGTGATGCTTGTTCCTGGCTTCTCGGTGGTTCTTAATCGTTTCTCTGGTGCTTCCCTTACCAGAGTGGAAATCTGAAGGTAACTCATCAATGTGTGTGCTAGTATTTTGGGGAAGAAATCTATATAGTGGAATTGCTGCAGGTAGGGTTAGGTATGTTCTCCCTTTTGGTAACTTACTTGAGCTATACTGCACTCCTTACCTGCACATTTGGCTGCTGCATTGTGACTACTTAAAAAGACTTTGCTTCTTTGTTCCAGCAGGTAACAGAGCATTCGGTATCGCTCCCCTACTGTGGCAAGATCTGTCTCCTTAACTGTAAAGGAAAGTGGGCACGTGTGGAGGTAGGGCATGTGGTGTCACTAACAAATGAACTGCAAAAAAAGGTTCAAATATTCTAATTCTCTGATATTCTAAATGGACTACTTATTTGTACATTCAATTCTAGACTAAAATTTGGGGTTTTCGCTACCTTGTACTATTTAATGGGTTTAAGCAGTGCCACTGCCATTAGTTAACAATAAGCGCACAGTTTGTTGCTGTTTTCATGAGCCATTTTCTGGTGAAGCAGAATCCTGACAGTGCCATGGGATGGAACACTCTCTCCCATTTCACACATTATTATAGGAAAGAGTTTTAATTGAGTGAAAACTGCTTCAAGCTTAAGTATTTGAGAAACTGGCAGCTAGTGAAATAAGTAGAATGGAACCAAAATAAAAGCTGAAAACTAGTTGTGAAATGTTTGCTGATCTTTTGCTTGCTGCTTCTCAGAGAATGCTGGTAAGTTGCTGTCTGCAATTTATACTGATCGCAGCCTTGGGTTCAGTAGCTGACATGTCCTTCACCTTCAGATTTCTAAGAAGCTTGGTTCCTTTTCGCTGTGAAAAAATATATATATGGGGCTCCCCACAAAGCAGGACTTGCATAGTCTAGGCTCTGAATGGCAAACCAGTAGATGATGTTGGATTCAGCTGTGCCAGCATCTAGATGGGATAGTTTTTTGTATTGTGCCCTGGTTTTGTTTCATTGCCTTGTATACTTACCTAAATGCGGCACTGTGACATATTTATTTACCGTATTTTTCGCCCTATAGGATGCACTTTTAGGACGAATGCAGGCTTTCGCTGAAGCCTGGAGAGCAAGAGGGGTCGGTGCGCACCGACCCCTCTCGCTCTCTAGGCTTCAGGAAGCTATCCCCCTAGCCCCGCAAGCTCCCAGAGCAATAGTGAAGCTGTGCGCAGCTTTGGGATCGCTCTGGGACCCGTTCTGGGGGCTGGGGACGGGGGAAGCTCGTGCTTCCCCCGGCCCGCCCTGCGCCTGGGGGTGGGGGGAATAAATTTCCCCCCTTTATTTCCCCCCCTCCCAAAAAAACCTAGGTGCGTCCTATGGGCCAGTGCGTCCTATAGGGGCGAAAAATACTGTACTTTGAAAAGATGTTATTGGATTGCAGTCTGTGCCAGCCCCCAGCCTACATGTCTGACTAGGGGAGAGTTGGATTCACCTGGAGGGTCACAGGTTCATTATCCTTGGTGTGGACCACTGGCTTGAAGCTTTTTACAGTGGTGCCTCGCAAGACGAAAAGAATCCGTTCTGTGAGTCTCTTCGTCTAGCGGTTTTTTCGTCTTGCGAAGCAAGCCCATTGACGGATTAGCGGATTAGCGCTATTAGCGGCTTTTAGCGGCTTTTAGCGGCTTATCAGCTTATCGGATAAGCAGATAAGCGGCTTAGCGGCTTAGAAAAAGGGGGGGGAAGGGGGGAAAAAACGCAGGAACTCGCAAGACATTTTCATCTTGCGAAGCATGCCCATAGGAGCTTCGTTTTGCGAAGCACCTCCGAAACGGAAAACTCTTTCATCTAGCGAGTTTTCCGTCTTGCGAGGCATTCGTCTTGCGGGGCACCACTGTATCTTTCAATGAGAAAGAGTTCTATGCTAATAAGATGCTTTAAGCCCAGAGCTTTCCAAACTTTTCAAGTTGGTGATGCACTTTTTGGACTTGCAACATTTCACAACACAGTTTTGCATCCTTTTGCGATACAGTCATTCAGTTTTATTAGCCAACTGGAGGTTAAATTTACCCCTTTCCAGCCCCTAGAGGAGCATGGGCAATGTTCACATAACACACTGCAGCCAACACAGTAATGTGTCGCGGCACAGTTTAGAAAGCTCTGCTTTAAAAGTCAATCTGAATATGCATTATGCTGTCTACAGAATTGCAGAGATGCTGACTAAGGCCCCAGCCTCAGGGTGCCCAGCGGCATGTGCACATAACATCATGTTGCATGCACATGCTGCCGCTGCTCTCTGGCACCACTTCTGTGTTTCCACGACAGCGGGGAGGGGGGTGGAGCACGTCCGCGCCTGTAGTGGACCCCAACAGAGGCCCTGTGGTGGAGGCCCTGGTAATGCTGGAGAGCCAGAAGTCAGGCAGCAGGTGAAGGCTGGGCACCCACAGCGAAAGGTTTGTGGGTGCCCAGGCACCCAGGGCCCACTGGAATTGGCACCAGTGCAAGATTGTCTGGTGAATCTTAGGCGGCATAATGATCCTTGGACTGCCTAATTGCTTAAAGGACCATTCCCACCATGATCTTTCATAATGAGCTTTCAAAGTGGGCATATTTCCTTTTAGACCAGGGCTGCTAACCTGGCCTGATTCAGCCCACCCAAACAGATTTTTATGGCCCCCAAGACCCCACTGGTTTTGTTGGTAAAGCGATGGGGAAGTAGTGTGTGTGTTTGGCCTCTGTGTGTGCATGTAAGAATGTACATGCGGCAGTGTTGGGTGACCACACCGTTGCATGCAGCCTCTGGAAGGGTGGCCGAGGATGAATGCAACCCTCAGACCCAAAATGGTCAGCCACTGTTACTTCATACAGGCTGGATTCAGTTCAGCAGGGATTTCCCACTGCACTCCCCCAAAATTGGCTCCGGGGGGGTATACCCTCAGAAGGGTATGCCAGGGAAGAGAAGGATAACCTTAGCACAACACTGAATTCCACTCTGTGTTAAAATAGGTTTCTCTATTCTCGTATTTTGCTTCGTTTCCTTGACGCAGATAACCAGTGTTCATAGTAGCCGGGCTCTTGACGTTCAGTTTATGGATACTGGAACAGTAGCATCTGTAAAAGTAGTAGAGCTAAGAGAGATTCCCCCGACGTTTCTGCGTGAAGTCATTGCAATACCACCTCAGGTATGAATTTTTGTTAATCGCTTACTGTTCCCAGGAGCTTGCTGTGTAGACATCATCCGTGTTACTCACGTGCATTTCAGTGTAACCTGAATATCATTGTAATTATATTGTATGATCGTTTTAGGCAACAAAATGCTGCTTGGCTGACCTTCCTCTTAATATTGGCATGTGGACTCCAGATGCTGTGCTTTGGCTGAGAGACACAGTATTAAATTGTCCTGACTGCAGCATTAAGGTAAAAATACGCCTGTTCGTTGCTTAAAATTCAAGGTGCAGGATGTTCTTGAATGTCTCTTGCAAAGCCAAACTGTACCACTCTTAGTTCATGTGCTTTGCTAGTTGCAGTCATAAATGAAGGACGTTGATTGATGAACAGTTCCTTTTTGTAGCCACCATATCTCCATATGATATTGTCATGTACAGCTAACCCACAGGTCTTCATGAGAGCAGGAGGAATTGTGATAATGTAACAATTACATTTACAATATGATTCTGCTGCAGATATATTTTTTTTGAAGCAAAGTGTTAACCATAGATGTGCTCTAAGGGTTACCAGAGTCCATATTTTTCTCTGTTAAAAGCAGAGCAGCAGACTTAGGTTGGAGCAGTGCAGTCCTTGGCTTCTTCCTTTTTGCTGATTTGAGAATTTCCCCAGAATTTTTGCACACCTTTTGTTCTCTTTGTGAACGTGCTTTCCTCCTGGGCACCTGAGTGTTTTCCTTCACACCCTTGTAATACTGTTTTCAAATTGAGGATGTTGACATCATGATGTAGGGGAGCCCTAACACTGAGGTTCTCAACTACCTGTCGAAAGAAATTTATCTTTCAGGAAACATGCTTACAGTGATCAGATTTAATTTTTCTGTCCCTGTATTATTATTTTAAAGTGTTGCCATGCAACACACTTCCATCTCATCCTAGATTTCAGTACCATGGCGGGTGTAATGAAAGCTAACTTAGAAAGTATAGTTTTGACTTGGAAGCTTAGAACAGTAGTAAAGACTGAGCTCTGGGCCAGAAAGTCCTGGGATTAAATCTCACCACTTGCCACATTCTCTCTAGCTGCCCTGTCTTCTTTAAGTCTTCACCCTGTTCCACCTGCAATATGGGGATACTACTGAATTGCACAGAATTTATTTAAGGTTTTCTGAGAATAGATATAGCACATTTTGAACACTCAAGTGACCTGTGACCTGTCTCCTCCTCGGAGCTCCTTTTCCCTCCTACTCCTGCATATGTTACTGTTGACAGAGGTTTGCTGCTTCAGTTACTCTCTGGCTGTGCTTACCAGTGAATAAAACTAAGATCCGGGTGAATGAGTGTGTATTACTTTCTGGTCAGTGAATGATCTTCACAGACTCTCTGGGAAGGTAATCACAGTCTGCAAGAACCAAATACAAGCAGCGCTACACTGTTTGCTGTGTACAGTCAAACCTTGGTTGTTGGACGTAATCCGTTCTGGAAGCCCATTCGACTTCCGAAACGTCTAGCAAGCAAGGCGCAGCTTACGATTGGTTGCAGGAGCTTACTGCACTCAAGCAGAAGCCGCGTCGGACATTCAGCTTCAGAAAAACTTTCGAAAACCGGAGTATTCCGGGTTTTCAGCGTTCGGCAGCCAAATTGTTCCAAAACGGAGGCGTTTGGGATCCGAGGTTTGACTGTACTTTGGGAGTTCCTCATTGGTCTTGATTCTGGTGTTATATGAGAGGGAATTTTCCATTTTGTCTTGAGGTTATGTTAAGAAGAGAAAAGGCATTGGCTTCAAAATGCTTCCCTGAGCAAATGATTTGATAAACCAGGGATCTGGTGTTGGGGTAAAAACTGGTATCTTACTCTGCTGCTCACTGGACTGTGTTTTTTCTGTTTTCCAGCCTATTTTAATGGGGCACTACTACTACTACTACTAATAATAATAATAGTAATAATTTATACCTCGCCCATCAGACTGAGTTGTCCCAGTCACTCTGGGTTGCTTCCACAAAAATACAAATAAAACAAAGCAAAGAGGGAAACAATCAAACATTAAAAGCTTCGTGAAGCAGGGCTGCCTTCAGATATATACGAAATTTTATATAGTTGCTTAACTCTTTGATATCTGCTGGGAGGGCATTCCACAGGGTGGGTGTGACTACTGAAAAAGCCTTCTGCCTGGTTCCCTGTAACTTCACTTCTCGCAGAGAGGGAAACGCCCGAAGGCCTTTGGAGTTGGACCTCAGTGTCCTGGCTGAATGATGAGGGTGGAGACTCTCCTTCAGGAAAGTGATGTCTCAGTAGACTTTAAATTTACTGTGGTCAATATTAGAACCCCTGTTATAGCATTTATCTAACAATGTACGTTTGTATGCCATACCAGTACTGTCAAATCATTGGGAGAGCTGAGCGGTGGGAGGGTTCTGAGCACTATATTTACTGTAATGCAAGGGTGGCTAACCCAAACGCTTGTCTTCCTTGACCATTGGGCATGCTGGTTGGGAGTGATGGAATTGGGAATCTAGCAATATCTGGAAGGCCACAGGTTCAGTTAAGAAATAATATTAAGTTCCCTTTTTTTATTGTAAGTTGCTTTGAGTATTTTAAAGAGAAGAAGAGTTACATAAACTTGATGTGTGTTTAGTAGTAGTACTTTCTCGTTTGATGGCCTACTCTTGGTGACGTTTCTAATGGTGCCAAGAGTTCATGCGTTAACATTTTCCTGCCACTGTTTTGAGTAAGAGTAAATTTGCTAGTAGGAATGTACTTTCTCTTTCTTCCCTCCTCCACTCTTAAGGTGGTTAAACTGGATGACAGGATTGCACACGTCTATTTATTTACGCCAAAGAGCTTTCCAGACCCAGACCATAGTATTAACAGGCGGATCACTAACGCAGACTTGTGGAAGCATCAGAAGGACGTCTTCTTGAGTGCCTTTCCTGGTAGCTCCCTCCCTGCAAAGGGGGAAACGAACTTACCAGAGACAGCAAGCTCAGGTGCCAAGAAGGGTTTTGCTCCACGTGCTCCAGAGGCCAGCAGTGCTGGGACAGCCTTGACTATGCCTCCGCCTTTGCCGTTGCCAAAACCCCAGGAGCAGATGGATGTGTTCGTCACCTTGGCCTGCCATCCTGGTTACTTTGTCCTCCAGCCTTGGCAAGAGATGCACAACCTGGAAGTACTGATGGAAGAGATGCTTTTATACTACGGCAAAGCAGATGAGGGAACTACCGCCGTTGAAAAAAACAAACTCTATGCTGCTAAAGTGAAAAACATGTAAGTAGCTTTTCATCAATGGCACACGAGTGAAGTGGCCTGGATGCAACCCTGCGTACTTAAGGATCTCAGAGCAGTCTTTGTGTATTGGACCCAATCCCATCGGTTTAGACCAGCCTTTCTTGGGCCCAGTGGCCAGGAATGATGGGAGTTGTAGCTCAAGGGCACCTTGGCACCGAAGGTTGAGAAAGGCTGGTCTCAACAGTGGCTAACCAAATCTCTCTGGGATGCTCGCATCCCTACCTCTCCCCTACTGCTTGTCCTCAGCGTTTGCAGTCTAGTGGTATATTGGCCCATAGCATTTAGCTCTGTTGGTTCAAGTTCCATCCTCCTCTCTCTTTCTGCATCAGTTTCCCTCTGCTGAAGACCTTGGTGCATCTTTGCCCCTACTAATTTCTGACTCCTACATGTTATTTCCTCTTGGGGGGCCATAACATTGTGGACAAATATCTGTGTACCTTTTCACCAATAACGTATGGAGAGGGAGGGGGAAGGAAGGAAACACACATCGGTATGTTGAGGAATATATACAGTGGTACCTTGGACGCTGGACGCCTTGGCTCCCAAACGATCGAAACCCAGAAGTGTGTGTTCCGGTTTTCGAATGATTTTCGGAAGCCGAAAGTCCGGCGCAGCTTCTCATTGGCTGCAAGAGTGACCTGCAGCCAATCAGAAGCTGCACTTTGGTTTTTGAACGGTTCTGGGAGTCGAACAGACTCCCGGAATGCATTCTGTTCAAAATCCATGGTACGGCTACACACACACACACACACACTTTTTCTATAATTTCAGTTAAACAAATTAAAGTGAAAAAATAAGAAAGGAATAAAAAAGGGTATTAAAATACAAAAAGAAAGGGGAAACGCTATAATTCTGTACATACTTGTCTAATACAAAGGTATATAAGTGAAATTCTTTTAATACATGTAACATTTATTTATAAGATACTATCTTTTTATAAATGCATTACAAATACCATTATATTTGTCCATATACAATCTGTTGTTGTTATTAAGATTTGTAAACTGCCCTATACCTGTAATCTCAGGGCGGTTTACCACATAAAATGACTATATATATATATATATAATACATAATAAAAATAAGAACAAAAAAACCCCAATAATTGGGACATTCTCTCGCTCTCAATTCCCTTCCCCAAAACATGCAGCATTGCTAAATTGGAGATTTTGGGGAAGGGAATTGTGAGCTGGGGGAAGAACAGTTGGCTTGGCGGTGACCTTGAAGAGTGGCATTGCCAGCAGACAGAAGTTCTGCAGGAGTTGTGTGTCGGGGGGGTGTTTTTTAACGGTGCAGTGGGGAGAAGGAAACTACAGCGGCTCAGAGTGCCAGGCAGTAGCGGACCTGGAAGGCGAATAAAGCACCAACTGAAGCAAAAACCCTGAAACAGAAAGAAAAGTACCCTCACTTTTTAGGAGGGAAAAAGTGAGTCTTATAGAGCAAAAAAATACGGTACTTGCTGAGCCAACCTGGCCATATACCTGGTGGGGAAGAGGAAACTCTCTTCCTCAAGGTGGGGCAAATACTTCCCTTCTGGGCGAGAAAAGCGAGACTGAAGGGGTTTGACTTCCTGAAGCCACAAAAGAGGTTCTTAAACAGCAGGAATAAATTAATACATGCTTGTAGGGTGCATTCTAGGGGGTGCAAGCAGCCATTCAGACGTCAGAATGGAGCGAGAGGGGCCTGTCCCTATCATAGTGGGGTTACCTGGCTTTATACGAGGATCCCATGTGACACTTTGTCCCTGCTTTTAATTAAAATCAGGGCCCCTCTGTCTTAGAAAGCTCCTGTTTGTCCTCTGCGTGTGACGGGTATCATAGCAACTCTTGATTTGTGTGATTTAAAAAAGGCACTTAACTATATTAATAGTAATTGATTACTTATAACCCGCCCATCTGACTGGGTTGCCACAGCCACTCTGGACGGCTTCCAATGTAATATAAAAACACGGTAAAACTAGCAGTGATGGTAAACTTCTGTCCATGTTACTGGACACTTTATCTTAAATGCTTTGTGTCTGTACACTCTCCAAACGCCTCCTTTGTTTCTTAGGTGGCACAGAGTGCTAATAAGAGGAATGTTGGCCAATGGGCTGGTGTCCGTTTATGAGCTGGACTATGGTAAACATGAGCTTGTTGGCATCCAGAATGTAAAGCCTCTGCAGGATATGTTCAGAAAACTGCCATTTCAGGCCATAACAGCCCAGCTTGCAGGTAGGTGATCTATCGTCCAAAACCGGTTTGAAGTCCATATCCTGATATTAGTTTCATGGGTTTTTTTGACCTGACAATATAACGCAAATCATGATGTATGTAAGGGCTGGGCGAAATATCATCCATAACCAGTTGAAGTCCATATTGTGATACCGGTTTCAAATTTTTTTATCGGGCAGTATATTTCAAATCATGGTGGGAGGGTGTGTGCTATGCAAAAATGACAATGGGGGAAAACTGTGAAGTCAGCCAATGCCTCTACATAGCTCCATCCTTGTTGCAGACAATGTTACATATCATAATTTTTAGCTGGTGAGATATCGCAATCCTGTAACCAGATATTGCCCAGCCCTAGTAGATGATTGAGATGATGGTCATGGATGTAATTAAAACTACAACACCCCTAATCTGAGTATAGTAAATAACATTTGGTTCTGGGAAGTTAATGAAACTTCACCATCTGCCTTGAAATAATCCCAAATTGGTATACTATAAATAATGTTTTAACACTTAAAGAAGCAATTTTTGCTCTTCCGTCAAAATGTATGTTCAGTAGGACTGTCTGCTGTATGACATTCTGAAAAGTCATAGCTATGTTACCGTCTTATGAGACGTGTAGCTGGTTCAGCCAAGCTTCTTGTTGTTGTTGTTGTTTATTTTAATAATAATTATATTATTACTAATGTAGGCTCAGATTAAGTAAAATGATGAGGTGTAGTTATACAGTGGTACCTCGCAAGACGAATGCCTCGCAAGACGAAAGAGTTTTCTGTTTTTTGAGTCGTTCCGCAAGACGAATTTCCCTATGGGCTTGCTTCGCAAGACGAAACGTCTTGCGAGTTCTTGCGAGTTTGTTTCCTTTTTCTTAAAGCCGCTAAGCCGTTAATAGCCGCTAAGCCGCTAATAGCCGTGCTTCGCAAGACAAAAAAACCGCAAGACGAAGAGACTCGCGGAACGGATTAATTTCGTCTTGCGAGGCACCACTGTATAGAAAATCTGTGACTGACAGCAAAGCCGTAATTGACTGCTTTCAAACTCTCCAGATCATGAGCTTTCAAATGGCTTGCTGCCTAGACAGGTCCAGTAGCTTTCAACTTACGCCACTGTTCTGTGGCTACATGTTAACTTGCTTTTGTGCTGCTTTCCTCTAGGAACAGAGGGCAAGCAGTGGTCTGAGGAGGCCTCAGTAGTCTTCCGAAATCATGTTGAGAAGAAAGCTTTGGTAGCGCAGGTGCAAGCAGTTATTGACGGGGCTAATCCATGGGAGCGCAAAGCTGTCGTCTACTTAGTTGACACATCACAACCGGACACAGATATCTGGATTCATGATATTATGACCCAATATTGTATGGAGATTTCAAAGGCAAATTAATGCTTAACAAAACCTTCATTAATATCAGCAATAAGAATGTTAACATAGCTGTGACCATTTGTGGTTTTGCTTCGGATTTTTTGCACTGTTGAATGCTAGAATGTTAACTGTATAAATAAATTTATCTTAACTTATTCTATTGGAACAATTTCCTTCTAGGAGCTAAGTCTACAGGTAACCACCTTTCATCAGCTCGCTAGGTGGCAGCCCCCGAGACAACTTTATCTGCTTTGTGGTGAACCTATTTTAATGGCATCTCCCATTTAAAAGATCTAAGAGCGGATATGAGGAAAAAACCTTGGAAGTGCTGGTGACAGTCAGTGTAGACTGCATAAATTAGATTAACCAGTGGTCTTAATTCCTTATGAGACACATTCATATGATCACGGCTATGCCTGAGGATGTGATCTTGATTATGGAAACCATACAGTAAAATGCCGTCAACCTTTACAATTGAGATTGAACATTCCCGACTCTGTAGAATAGTGGCCCTTGAAAAGGATAGGCTGGGACAGGGATCTACATTGATTATAAGCCATCCACGCTACTGCTTTTCCTCCATATATTTGGCTCTTCCCCATCCCAATTAATAAGCCTGGTTCAGCCAATAGTAGTTACAAAAAATATGCAGAAACAACATCATTCCTGAACTCTTTCTTACAAAGCCCATTTATATAACCTGACTGCAGTGGCCTCTGTGGCTCCTGGTAACTGTGTACATCTCGCACAGTTATGGTGGATTGCATGGTTATCAGGCTATTGATGTATATCATTACTTGAAAATCGGGCTCCTGGCATGGCTTATATTTATCCATAACAGGACAGCCCCTACCCTCAGACATACATTCTAAGAAACAAATGAAAGGAAAAGTGATTCAGAGGGAGGAGGAGAAAACCAAACTCTGGCACTACCTAGTTTGTTGCAGAGTTCTTGTAATGACCAGCTGGAATGGGAAAAAAATCAAAAGTTGCTGGTCTTTCATCAGAGCTGATGGAGAGGCCTTGTAATCACATCTCTCCCTCTCTGCAGGTTGACAAAACAACTGCTGAGGGAGGAGCCCAGTGGAGCTGGGAATGTAATGTATAAATACATTTTGGAGCTGTAGAGCAGGGAAAGGGAACTTGGCCCAGTATTGGGAGGAGAAACTGTTCATTAAAACACTCTCCAACTTGGTTTCGTGGAATCATTTTGCTAATGTTTACTTGTGTAAAGCCCATGTAACTCAATGGGGCTTAATTCTGATTGGACATACATAGAACTGCACTGTTTAATTTTGGGTCTTTTCTTCCCACGGACGCCTTTTTAAAACCTTTGGGTCTGGTTCTGAATAAAGCACCTTGGGTTTTGCAAGACATTCTTTGGTGTGTGTGTGTTTTTCATCCAACCTTTCCCCTCTCATTTCTGCCTAAATATAGGATTGCATAGAAGAACACACTGAGGTTGGTGTTTTTTATAGCAAGCCTGATTCAACCATTGCCCTTTCTTTGGAGCAGTATTTATACCTACACCTCTTCCTGCCCATTAGGGGAAATAGGAAGCCCCGAACATATATTTTTTAGATGTCCTTTTTATGCTGAGATTTGTAGAGACACCATTGACCCTTTGCTGAAGAGGCTCGCCGATCTTCCACACAAGTCTAAACTTAATTCTCTCCTCTTAGGCAAAGATCACAAGACAACCTGGCTGGTAGCCAGATTCTGCGCCCAGATTTGTAGGCACAGATCATCCTCTAGAATAAAATAGCTTACTAGGGAAAAGCTGAAGTCATCCTTTGGGGTGCCTCAGGGTCAATTTTTATGGTAGCCCAAAACTCAGTTGTATGGATGTATGTATATATCTCAATTTTAACTCATAAGCTATTGTTTCAATCTGCTCTAATTGTATATTTTACCTTTATGAACGCTGTCATTATTGTGTTATGCGAGCTGGTCTTTGATCATAATAAAAATTATCTTACCCTATCTTACCTACACCTCTTAAACAAAATGAGCTGTTCAAGGAACAACCCACCGCACTCTTCCAAAAGGGTTTCTGTTATATATTCAGCTGTGGCCACCACTAGAATGGCAGGTGCCAATAAGTGGCAAAAGAAGCAGCTGTTTTGAATTTGTGAAATCCAAGAAGCACCCCAGAACAGGAATTTCAGGGAACGAGAAACATTAGCGGCAGCTATGATTCTCCCCCTTCTCAAAGAATTTTGCCTTGCTCTGAAATTCAGTCAAATCAAAACAAGACAAGTCAGTATCAAACTGGGGCATGGGAGAATACCAAAGCTATTTTCTGATCTTACCAGGTGAAATCCTAGCCACATCGCAGAGATGGCCCTTGCAAAATCTATTAGCAAGTTTCTTTTTGAAGAACTCGGGGTGATGTTAGCACTTAGTGCAGAACAGGGTTGGTTGGTTGGTTTGTTTGTTTGTTTGTTTTTAAAAGGGAAGTCAGATCCAAAATGGGCAGGTAGGAGTAAGAGGCAGTTCAGAAAGAACATCAGGGGAGTTCAGTCATTCAAGTCATGCAAAAAGTTGTGCTGTGTTAGGTAATAGAAAAGGGTGTAGCCCAGACCCTGATCAAGTATACCCATTTCTCTCACCCTGCCAACGACCCTTCCTGCAGACTCCACTGCTCCGTGTATTCACCAATGCTTCTAGAAAAAAGGAAATAGTTCTAGAACATTGTTCTAGTCCTGTGGTGTTGCGATAAGGGTGGTGTGATAGGAATTTTATGGTCTTAAAGGTAAAGGTACCCCTGCCCGTACGGGCCAGTCGTGACCGACTCTAGGGTTGCGCGCTCATCTCGCTCAAGAGGCCGGGAGCCGACGCCGTCCGAAGACACTTCCAGGTCACGTGGCCAGTGTGACGAAGCTGCAACTGGCGAGCCAGCACCAGTGCCACACACGGAAACGCCGTTTACCTTCCCGCTATAAAGCGGTACCTATTTATCTACTTGCATTTAGAGGTGCTTTCGAACTGCTAGGTGGGCAGGAGCTGGGACCGAACAACGGGAGCTCACCCCGCCGCGGGGATTCAAACCACCGACCTTACGATCAGCAAGTCCTAGGCACTGAGGTTTTACCCACAGCGCCACCCGCGTCTTAGATATATGGTAATGTTCATAAGTGTACCAACCAAACACATACATAGATCAGCACAGGAAGACTAAACTGAGCAAATGTTTTCTCTGCAAGGTCAAAGTGGGAAACCTTCCATTGTCTCTTTCCTCACAAATCCTGTCTTAAGGGCACATTTAAGATATGAATAGGGTGTGAGCCTGTGACCTGGCCCAGGAACTAAGTATTTATCATTACAAAAGACTAGCCAGGCTCCCCAGGAAATCCAATCAAGTAACCTGCCAGACAGGAGATAAACAAGGACAGGAGAAAAACAACACTCAAAGTTCTGTTTTAGACCGCCTTTTTTGTGATGTAGGTATGATGTATCTGAGGGATGGTTTTAGGTTACAGCCCTTCTGTGATGTATGTATGATGTTTCTGGGGGTGGTCTTGATCCTTGCGCACCATTTTTTCTGGGTTCCTCTTCCTCTCCTGCATGTGAGGGGAACACCCTGTTGCAACAGATCAATAAAGATCAGGCTTACTAGCTGCTTTGCTTCTCAGTATTCTCTGGTTGGCCTCTGTTATTCTCTCCTACCAATAGGGAACCTGTGTAAGGACTCTATATGGGCTCTTGGATACCCCATAAGGGAAAAGGGCAATTTTTGTTTACAACAGTGGGAAGCCAGAAATATCCAGTACAGTGGTGCCCCGCAAGACGAATGCCTCGCAAGACGGAAAACTCACTAGACGAAAGAGTTTTCCGTTTTGGAGGTGCCTCGCAAAACGAATCTGCTATGGGCTTGCTTCGCAAGACGAAAATGTCTTGCGAGTTCCTGGGTTTTTTTTTCCTTTTCCCCCTCTTTTTCTAAGTCGCTAAGCCGCTTATCTGCTTATCCGATAAGCTGATAAGCTGCTAAAAGCCGCTAAAAGCCGCTAAAAGCCGCTAATAGCGCTAATAGCGCTAATCCGCTAATCCCATCAATGGGCTTGCTTCGCAAGACGAAAAAACCGCTAGACGAAGAGACTCCCAGAACGGATTCTTTTCGTCTTGCGAGGCACCACTGTATGGCATTCCTAACATGGACCTTAATGGACTCAACATGGATGTGAAATATTTGTGTCCCAAATGCACAAAATTATTAAAGCAGTTTGGATGTCTTCTGTCTAGGTTCCTCACTGTAATGAGAGGCAGCCACAAGAGACACAAAGGAATTACGAGTTCTCAACTCTCCCAAGAACCCCCTTTCCTCCAAATCCCAGTCCTGAGGAGCTCCTCCCACTCTGCGTCGATTTCTAAAGGCTGTGGGATTTGACACTCACCAAGAAAGGATTATGCACACATGCAGAAAAGGCATAGGTGCATTGTAGCCGCGCATGCTTTGAGCATGAATTATAATCACATACCACTCGGCAATTGTAAATTTTCCTATAAGACCACTACGAGCGGTGGGCAAATCTGTCAATTTCTGTTTCTCTTGCTCTCTCATTTTCCTATTCTTAAGTTCTCCACATTTCCACATCAGTTTGCAAATTGTTTTTTCTCTCTCCAAAAAAGTCATCTTGAAAAAATGATCAGTATTTTTGTGTGAATTTCTTTTACTGTGCACATTCCCCCCCAAATTCTCCAGCCAAGTAATGTGTACAAAAAAATGCAAATATTATGGTGAGTTGTGCATGAATATGCATATATTACTAGAGGCTCTCCTGCTGATCTTAAAAGAGTGGAGTGACTCCCATGATCTATCTCATTGTTACATTTATCTCTCTCCTCTACAAAGAATACAGGCAATTTTTCTGAAGCCATACTGGCTCTCCTACAGGACAAGTGAACCAAAACATTCTATGCTCAGCTGAGGCAATCACAGTTCACCAGGGGGCACTATTACCCTTTCTAAGAAACTTGGTTCAGGACCATCCTTGACTCAAAGTTCTTGCTCTGCGCTCTTCTGCACCGCTCCCCAAAAGCCACATTTTCCAAATCTGCTTTCTGCATTGTGGCCCTCTGTGGTTCATACCTAAGGGAGTTGTTTGCTGTTCTTGCATTCCATTGTATTTCAGATCGATAGTCGTGTTGCTCATTTAAAAAAACTCGCCCATGGACCCTTCATAAAACCCTCTCCCTCTTTCCAGAAGAAATAAGGAAAACACCTGGGCTCTGCTTGCTTCCCTCTTCCCTATATTTTGGGGGCATTGTTAGACTGCTGCTATTTGGACTGGACTTCGTTTCCATGTCTAGCTAGCTATGATTCAGCGATCGTCAATCCTGCTATCAGCTCTATAACCCACGCAGGTGGTACGCTCTTAGTCCATTGCTGCTCTAAAGGAGGAGCAAGATGCACTTCTGGGGAAGCAGTGGATCTGTGTCAGTTGCTTTCTAGTGGTGAAGCTTTTGCCAGATTGTGACAACCAGTCTCAGAAGGGACAACAGCACATTGTGTGACTTTTCTGGTGGGTCTGTCATTCTCTTACAACATTCCTCCCCTCTCAGGTCAGTAAAGGAAAATCTGCCCTGTGGTCCTGACTGACTAACACAGCCAACAACTCGGCCTACTCAGAAGCAGGTCAAAGGGACTTCCTCTCAGGTAAACGTGTCCCTGCCTGCCTGCACCACTTGCTACCTTGCATATGTAGTAAGGTTAAAGCTTACTGGGAAATGATATATAATGAATTGAAAAGGATGTTTAAAATAACTTGGGGGGGCAGAAGCTTTTATTTTAGGAATTATAGGTACAGAACTACCTAAATGGTATAGAAATTTATTTATGTATGCGACTACAGCAGCAAAAATGCTACTGTGGAAAGAAGCAGAAGTCCCAGCAAAGGGAGAATGGATACAAAAACTTATGGAATATGCAGGAATGGCAAAACTTACCAGAAGAATAAGAAATCAAGATAACAAATTTCTTATAAAAGAATGGAAATGGTTTATTGAATATATACAGCTAAATTGCAAACAGATAAAAACATTGGCAGGATTATTGTAATAACCTGCAGTTTCATAAGACTATATATTTAAGACGCAGGTGGCACTGTGGTCTAAACCACTGAGCTTCTTGGGCTTGCTGATCAGAAGGTTGTCAGTTCAAATCCCCACAACGAGGTGAGCTCCTGCTGCTCTGCCCCAGCTCCTGCCAACCTAGCAGTTCAAAAGCATGCCAGTGCCAGTAGATAAATAGGTACTGCTGTGACGAGAAGATAAACACTGTTTCTGTGCACTCTGGTTTCCATCACAGTGTTCCGTTGCCCCAGAAGTGGTTCAGTCATGCTGGCCACATGACCCGGAAAGCTGTCTGTGGTCAAACGCCGGCTCCCTCAGCCTGAAAGTGAGATGTTCGCCGCAACCCCATAGTCACTTTTGACTGGATTTAACCGTCCAGGGGTCCTTTACCTTTACCTAGATTTAAAGCAGATAATTAATTGAGCAAATTAAGTGAATTTGGATATGCAGAAGATATTTTAAAAAATAATTTAAGGAACTGCAGTAAGACGGGGAAGGAAGTCAAACTCTGAAATATTAAAATGACTGTTCAGTTAATGAAATGTATAAATTTGAAAAGTATATCTATAAAAACTTGCTGCCTTGCATCTAGCATGCAGGGGCCTGATGGAGGATGGAAGTGGCACAGAGGAGGAGTTAAGAGACAGGGGGAAATGGGATAACCCCAAAACCTTGATATTACAAATGCATGTTACACAGCACAGTGGCATGTAATTGATTTAGAAATGCTTTTTGCGTTATTGCTGAAAAGCGGGTTTTAGCGCTGGGGGGAAAAACAGTGGGGATAACCCCTAAGCTAAATAACAGCACAGGGAGTGAACTAAGTGCCTGAATAGTTGTGGCTAATCCTCGGCTAACAGAAGATCATATCTTCTTACTTCTCTGAAATCCTTTGCAGCCCCACCTTTCTGTTGCCACTTCCTAAGCAAACACTTTCTCACAGCCACATGCCTAAACCACATCCTAATGCCAAGGCAGACTGCCCTTTGTTAATGATGAGCATGTTGACGCTAAGCAGGCACCTGATTCTGCTACCTCTCAGTCTCGGGGTTCTTCCAGGTGGGGGCTGAATATTGCAAACTGATCATTGGCAGGTGACACAGTTTTCGGTAACTTTTTGGATTTCCCACCCAAAATGTAAATCTGTATTAAATGGCTGGGGGTGAGGGAAGGATAGTGGCTGGCATTTTGATTCCAGCAATGCTGCGTGGATGCTGTGAAAAGCCTGCATGCGCAAGAAGCATAGATACATGTCTGGATCATTATTTGGGCAGTGTGGGAGAGAGAGGGAGAGAGAGACAGGGAGGGATAGAGAGATAGAGAGGGATAGAGAGACATAGAGAGATAGAGATGGATAGAGAGACATAGAGAGATAGGGGTAGAGAGTGTTAGCAGTTGCATTGGAAGTAAGCATGGACACCGCAGGGATTTGAACCCCGTCCTGGGAACCAGGAGCGCCAACCACCAGTGTCTTTTGCTTTTTTTTTTGAGCAATGCAACAAGGGGAAAAGCAAAACCTGAGAGAACATTCTGTGAATGTTCTCTCAGGAAAAAGAAAACCTTAAGATGTTAAGAAGAGCTCTTTGGGGAGCCCTGTGGAGAGACCAGCAGAAAAGAAAATGAGGAAAAGGAGAGACCAATACCAAAGACATTGTTTTGAAAACAGACGACTGAGTGGTGCAATGTGAACTTACCTAAAGCAGCACAGTCCTAATGCTGGTGACTCTCACTTCAAGAACAGTGAACTCTGGGAAGTCTGGAGGAAAGAAGAGCTGGAAGAAAAGAAGAAGTCTTCTCCTACCTGCAGGTGAGCCTCATCGTGATGACACGGAATAGGGCCTCTTCTGATGACTCAGTCACCCCAACCTGAAAGAATCTTAGCACAATGAGTTGCAGACAGAACACAATAGAGATTTCCCCCTAGCCATGCAAGGGATACTCTGAGAAACCTGAAGGAAAGACAAGCTGGAAGAAAAGAAGTAGTGTTCTCCTACCTGCAGGTGAACCTCATCGTGATGACACGGAATAGGGCCTCTTCTGACAACTCAGTCACCGCAACCTGAAAGAGTCTTAGCGCAATGAGTTGCAGACGGAACACAGTAGAGATTTTCTCCTTAGCCAACCAAGGGATACTCACCTAAATGTCCTTCAGTCATGGAATACCATTTTGTCCGCCATTTTATTTGAAGCTGGATGAGCCATTAATCTAGAGGGGCAGAACAGAGACATCTAGAATCACTAGTTTGTCCCTAGTCACCTTCCACCAATCTTACAGAAAATGAGATTTAAAAAAACAAACAAAAAACCAGCTGAGGGTGTACCACCTTATGCTGAAGTACTGTATTTGCGGACCACTGTTTGTTAACAGCAAGAATGGTAGAGGAAATTAACCTCAAATTAGAAAAGGTAGTGTCCCTCCTGGCTGAGTTGGCGCTGTTGGCAACCCGGAACAGTCCTATTGCCACCCAAGAGTCTGGCACAGCTCTTAACAAGATCTTCAAACTCAGGGGTGTAGCTGTTCTTGTGCCAGAACCCGTAAAACCTCTTACAGAAAGAATAACAAACATGAAAACAGCAAACTAATCCTGCAAAGCTCTCAAGTAGTTCTCGATGGTTACCCTTTTAATGGTCTGCTCCCTTTCTGGAATTCAATCGCAAGTGCAAAGCGAAATTTCAAACTGTTGCTAAACATCCAGCGTGACAATCTTACCACGGTAAACCTGCTTTCATCGGACTCTCAGCATTCTAGACTATTATTATCGTTCTCTGATTCAGTTATTCCAAAACTACTTCTGAAATACAAGACCTGCCTATAGGATTATAAAATTATCTTGAGGCATGTTTCTGAAGACACACAATTAAAGCCTTTACTGCCGAATCTTCTGTGCAGTCGGACTGACTCCAATCAATCCAAGCCCTCATCATCAGCGGGCATTTGCCAAAGGTTTAAGGCACAAACCCCAGTGCCACTAAGGCAGGTTCTGGGTGGAGAATTTGGCCGAAACATCCCCCAGGACAGAAAACCTTCTGAGTTTAATGGCCAAGCACACAAATAATGCTTGCCCAACTCCCCTGTGCCAAAAATCAGTTCTTCCACCAGGACTTTGGTAGATCTCGAAATCCACCACTCACCATTTTCACAGAAAACAGATCATCCATTGCCAGGCGTTGCCCCACCCGAGGAAAGCATTACACCAAGACTGCCAGACTCCGATCCCCCGAAAGCCACAAACAATTGAACACTACTGCTGATGGCTGGCAATCTGGACAAGTCTGTCAAACAACCCCAAAAAGAACAACACTTCAAACACCTCAAGAATGGTTGTGTTATAACTGAGACAGAGGGAGAGCTGACTACAATCTGCCCTCCACAATGAAGCCAAATCGCCGGGGACGAGAGTAGCCTAAATATTGTTTTATGGAACATAGCAGGTTGTGCCAACAAAGTAGGGGATGAGTCATTTCAAGAGTATATAACGCGTTTCGATGTGATAATGTTGCAAGAAACCTGGACAACTTTCAATATAGTCCTGGAGGGTTACTTTGCCCATGAAATTAAGGCCACTAAACTGTATGAGAAAGGACGTCCAAGGAAGGGCCTTGTAATACTGGTATCCACTTCCTTGACAACACAGGTTATTGAGTTTAAAGATTCAAAGCACTTGGCCCTGTGGATCACCTTGCATTCTGATTTTGACTTGGCTAAGCTTTCTTTTGGGGACTTTCTCAAAGTCCATCTTTTGTCCACAATTGACTATCCCTCTTTGATTAAGATTAATTCTTCTTTGGTCTTCTAGTTTCTTTCTGTTTCCGTTTGATTTCAAAATTATTGCCTCTCCTAACACTTTTTAGACAGATACCTAATTAATACATATATATCAGCTCGCAGGTGAAAATTACGTGTACCTCGTTCTGAAGTTGTAAACAGTAATGTTTCAGTAGAGTAAAATCCCTTTGTTTACTTAAAAAATGTAACCTAAACTGGTTTCATTTGTGTTTACAAACCTGTTCATCTTCCCCAGCCGGGTCTCTCTCCTAATCCCTCTGCCCCTTAACTCCTTCAGCTTTGACCAGTGAGAGGGCTAACACCAGTACTATAGCCAGGGACAGGCTCACTCACTGGAATGCGGCTCGCTCCCTCCACCACCTGTCATAATGACACATAAAAAAGTCCCTTGCAGCATTAATACAGTGGGTGTAAATGTCTTCATTTTCAGCATGCAATGATTGCAGGGCTTTGGTGAGGAATTAGTATTTTCTTCCCACATTCATACATTCTGGAAATAAATGTATTTCACACTGTTCCTTTCATCATCTTATTATTAAGGTGACTCCCTCGCCATTTCATCTTGACCCACACTTGAATAAACCTGCAAACAGATGTGTGTTTACTCAGAAATTAATCCTGGTATATTCTATGGGGCTTACCCCTTCATGTTTTTAGGATTGCAGCGGAAGATGTTGGATTGGGGAGGCCATGCTCATCACTTCTTGGCATTCATTAACCCATCGCACTCTCGAGTGACCACTGTGGTGAAAAAGGGCTGAGGGAAAAGCTATGGGAAGAGGGGCTGGCTTGGGACCATGGGCCTAGCCAAGGGGGCAGGTGCCCCCCTAAATCAATAAAAATAACTAACTGAGGTTCTGCCCTCCCTAACAAAAGTCTGCCCCCCCCAACAAAAATCCTGGCTACGCCCATGCCTGGGACTCAGTGGCCCCCATTGAATTCTATGGAACAAAATAAACAGGCTGCAATCTGGGGCACAGCTGAAAAGGACAGCAGTTGCTTCTCACTCCAGACACTTGATTCTGCATACACACATTTTAGTCTAGAATCAATGGAGTCTGAGGGCTGGTGTGTACAGGCAGCAACTATTTTACGTGCATCCGATTGAGGTGTGACTGTCAGACACTCATCTCTGTGGACCTGGAAGTGGCCCGAAAAGGGGGTGGAACGAGATGGGGGCAGGGTGGGGGGAACAGGGTCTGCCAACAGGCGCGAAGACCCTGAACGCAACCCCCATGCAAATGGGCAGTTGTCTGTAATCCACACGGTCTAGAGCTATTGCACATCTTTTGTCTGAAAAGTGCTTCTTGAGATTATGTACACCCTATGGGAGCAATTCAGTGTTGTGTTATTACTGAATGTTCTGTCAGCGCAAGTGGTTCAACTTGCCAGATGGAACAGTCCCTCCTCTCTGAGACTCCATCCCAGCATGCTTTTCTGGGGGTTCTCCTGACCCTCCCAGAGCCATTTTGGGGGAACAGGGGGCAGCGGGAAAGAGAAGGGAGGACACTCCATTTCACAAGCAAATCTCCATATGCAGGGTTTCTGCTGAAAGGACTCATTAGTGTCATGAGACACATGTTCTTGAGAGCAGAAGCAGTAAGGCCGACAAGTCCTACACAATCATTCAAGCCTGATAACAGTTAACAGCAAACTGCTACATCACTGTGACTCCTTACTCATCTTGAGTGATGACTTATTTTCCCTGCAAAAGTAGCCAGCCTCTCTGTGGGCCTCAGTGAGTGTCTGTGTGTGTCTCAGCCTGTGTGTGTTGTGTTGTTGCAGACAGAGTGGCTCCAGGACTCCAGTAAATCAGTAACCAAGACTGTGCCCCTGTGAAGAGTCAGATAGCTGCAATGAGCACTCTGTGTACGCTCTTTAACTATGCTGTTTATGAACAACTTTATTTTCTCAAGTAAAAGTTTTATTCTGTTTATGAAGAAGACACTGCTTGATTCATTTACCGCTATGTGACAATTAGGTGACTCCCACCCTCTACCTTCAGTGTAGCCGCTCTGAGCCCGGCCTTGGCTGGGGAGGGCGGGGTATAAATAAAAATTATTATTATTATTATTACCTTTACAGGACATTGAAAACACATTATTTCCCTCAATAGATTCTGGACACTGCAGTTTGTAAAGGGTCTCTGGGGTCAGTTTCAGGGTCCGTTCCATAACCTACGAGCTATGTAGCCTTTTGTCCTCAGGTAGGGAAATCAAAGCATCAGCTGATGCATGAATGAGCATATGACTTCCTTCTTTGTACTGGTGCCCATTCATCCCCACTGCCCAGCAGAAGCAAATTTCCCTTTGCAATGGTGTGTTGATGGTGGTTGGAGCATGCTGGGCTTGGAAGGGGGAGGGTGGAAAAGATGTGCTTCCTGGGAGGCATCTGTGCTCTGGCCACCAAAAGGTCATCTCAGGTGAGGGGAGCATTGTCAGTGGCAACTGATGAATGCAGTTTCTCAAAGCTCAAGACTTACAAAAACTTACTGTTATGTACTGAGTTGAATAGGATCCAAACTGCAGCAGTCTGATTGGTCCTAGAACAATAGAATCCAAAATGCAGCAGTCTGATTGGTCCTAGAACAATAGGATTCAGAATGCAGCAGTCTGATTGGTCCTAGAACAATGCAGCAGTCTGATTGGTCGGCAGGAGCCACCCAATCCAGCTCCAGATAGAAGTGAATCCACAACCTGATTGGCTTACAGGAGAATTCCGGAATTAGCCAATCACGTGCAGCCCATTGTGTAAATAATGTATATAAAGCAGATACTTTGAGGGGACTTTCATTCCCTTCTCACCACTATGAGCTGAATAAAGAGCATGAAATCACTTTGCGACTCTGAGTATATTTCTCTTACTGACACTCAACCATGTTGCAAGAGATACTAGTTGCCTTGCAAACCATATCAGTTGTACATGCCTGAACATCAGCACTTGACCTGAAGGAATTCGTGGCAAAATTTGCAAAGGAAAAGTCATGCAAAGCGAAGGTTTCATGTGCCTGAAATTTAAACTTTTAAGAGGCTTAAGTTTTAACACCACAATTCACAGGATTATTTGATATGATTTGTATGCTAAAACATTTTCTTTTGTATTTGAGAAAGATAAACAAAGATTATTGTATTACTTATATTTGCAATATATACTTAGCAGTGTCAAGTTTTGTGCTTTTAGTTTTTTCCGACAATACATCTGCTTTTGAAAATTGAAGTTAGCATGGGGGGGGGGGGGTGCAAGTTGTTAGCCTTGCTTGTCTAGAGTGCAAAATAGCCTTCCATTGGCACTGCTTGGAAGTTGCTCTGTAATGCAGAATAAGGGCAAGTTAAAATTTTTGCTGCCTTAAGGCAACCTTAGCTAGTGCTGCCAGCTTTGCTTTCTATCAGGACTTTTGTTCCATAAACAGTGGTTTGACAGGCAGAAGTTCAGCTGTTGTACCTTCCAGCTACCTGGAGATAAATACTGGAGAACTTACTGCTTGTCATGGCAGCTGTTAAAAGCAAAGTCGCATGCCCAGGAAACTGAGGATGAATAGGAAAAACGGGCTAAGAGGGAGGCACATTTGGCAAACCCTCACTGTGATCAACTCCAGCCCAGAACCCAATGTCCCCACTGTGGAAGGACGTTTGGATCCAGAATTGGCCTCCACAGTCACTTACGGACTCATTGTTAAAACTGTGTTTATGGAACACAATCTTACTCAGCTACGAGTGTCGCCAAAGAAGAAGAGAAGGAGGAGGAGGAGGAGAGTGTGATCATAATCTTTCTGGAAATTCTAACATTTTAATTGCATGGAGCAAGCAAAGCAGGCAGCCAATAATGGTAGCATTTAAATAACAGTTGCAAATATTAGACACGGCTTGCTTTTTAATTTTTGTTCTTGAGAATCCGTGTGGTAAAGTCGATAAGATCTGGGAGGAAACCATCTTCAATCCCTGCTCAATCATGAAGCTCACTAGGTAACCTTAGGCCAATTGCTCTCAACTTAGTTTACATTATAGGCTGATTGTGAAGACAAGATGGGAGATTAGAGAAAATAATTCATTGGAGGATATGTTAAGAATAAGGTTTTTTTAAAAAGGTAAAGGATCCCTGGATGGTCAAGTCTAATCAAAGGTGGCTATGGGGTAGCAGTGCTCATCTCAGGCCAAGGGAGCCGGCGTTTGCCCACAGACAGCTTTCCAGGTCATGTGGCCAGCATGGCTAAACCGCTTCTGGCGCAACGGGAAACCGTGATGGAAACCAGAGCACACGGAAACGTCGTTTACCTTCCCACCACAGCGGTATCTATTTATCTACTTGCACTGGTGTGCTTTTGAACTGCTAGGTTGGCAGGAGCTGGGACAGAGCAATGGGAGCTCACTTCATCACAGGGATTTGAACCACCGACCTTCCGATCAGCAAGCCCAAGAGGCTCAGTGGTTTAGACCACAGCGCCACCGGCTCCCCTATGTTAGGAATATAATGTAACTATCAAAACTCCTTTAACCCTCTGTTGAATAAATAAATAAATAAATATAAACCTGGGATCAACTGCACCACAAAAAGTCTTATATATTTCCACCAGATATTAAACATAACTCATTTGCAGATTAAAAATCACACCTTCGCTGATAATTTTCCTTTTCCAGTAAAAATATATACACTCAGATCAATGGGATCAGCAATACCCCAGATGTAAGGAACAACAAATGGTAGATTAAAATTGGTGAAGTTTTGGTGGGTGGCAGGTTGGGACTAAGTGCTGACAGTCTGCAAACGACCGGAGTTGTTCTAACAGGTTGCACTTTTACAGAAGCCCTTTACTGTGTTTTATTCAACTGTAGTTAAAAGCCACAGGAGCAGAAAGGAAAAAGGGGGGAATGGCGCCCCTAGAGGTTACACGAATAACGACAAACTCCGCGGCTGTTGTTTTTTTTTCCTTCAAGGAGTTAAATAGCCACTTCTGTGTTTTTATTGTCTTCCCGGAACCACGTGCGTTTCTCCCGGTTTTTCTAAACGCCCCTTTGCACACTTACGATTTGCGGCATAGATAGGCTCGACCACGCGGTTGCCATTCTGTGCACACCTAAAAGTGGCGGGGAAGAGAGAGATAGAGGTCTGTTGCACCCGGGGCGATTTGTTGCTTCGATGGGTGGGTATACCCTCCCCAGCAGGGGTGCCAAGTTGAAGAACACATTTGGGGGTGGGGCAGGTAATCCCCGCGTAATTAAGCACATGACGCAGCACACACACACTTTTTGAATGCTAATGTCCATCAACTTGGGGGGGGGCTGCCTCCCTCAAATAATTTATTGGGGGGGGCAAAGGGACATCGGCCCCTAGGAGCTTCTCAGGCATGGGCGTAGGCAGGGGGGCAAATCTAAGTCAAGCAAATAAATCAAAGCACTTAACTAAAAGCAGAAACCGTAGAGTGGTTTGGACAGATTTTTCTGCGCCGTTGGAGTAAAAAGAACATTTAAAACAACTACTTGTGGAAACATTTTATTCCGAATCTGCTAGACAGAGCCAGGCAGAGGATGATGAGAGGTGGGTGTCTTGCCGCCGCCCCCCAACATAAATCCTAGCTACGCCCATGCTCCCAGGTAACTGTATAAGAGGCGGATCTCGCCTCCCCGCCAGCGATCCACAGTGGAATCGCCCTCTCCAGGCTCTCCTTGCCTCTTCCCACCCCCGGTGGCTGGGAAGAAGATCCACCCTTCTTTCCTCGGTGGATCCTGCCTGCCAGCCAGCCAGCCAGCCAGCCGGTGGGGGTGGGCGGCCTTCCCCTTCCGCCATCCTCTGGGCCGCATGACTGACAGAGGCGGCGGGAGGAGCCCCCCCCCCCCGGCTCTCCTTTCCTGCGCAACTTTAAGAGCGCGCCTGTCCCCGGCGCGCGTCTTCCTGGCGCACCGCTCGGCAGGGCCACGGCCTGGGAGGCGGCAGCAGGTACAGAAGCGGGCGGGGCGGGGTGTGGGGAGGCCGGGGGGCCCCCTCCGGCTTGGGACACCCCCCGAACCCCACCTATGTCCGAGAAACCCGGCGGCAGCCCGCCAAGCCATATGTGGCCAAAACATCCCGCGGTCACCACCGGGGACCGGCCGGGCGCAGCAGCAGAGCGCCTATAAATAGCCGCCGCGTCGTCCTCCCTCCCTGCCGCTGTTGCGTGGAGGGAGGGAGGAGGCGACGCCCCCCCCACGCGTCGAATTCGGGAGCCCCTTGGCTCGTGCGAAAGCAGTGGGGCCCCTGACGCGTGTGTGGCCATGGCAAGACCAGGCTAGGCTAGGTTTGGCTGGAGAGTGGCAGGGCGAGACGCGCACCCGGAGGGAGCCTGCCTGAAAGTGGGACCCTGGAATGACAATACCCTCCAACATTTCTCCGGTAAAAATAGGAACGTCCTATTCTATTATTATTATTATTAATTTTATTTATGTCTGCCCATCTGGCAGGGTTTCCCCAGCCACTCTGGACAGCTTACAGCACATATAAAAACTTACTAAAACGTCAAACATTATTATTATTATTATTACTAATTATTGCCTGCCCATCTTACTAGGTTGCCCCAGCAATCTCCTTGGTCCGGGGGTCCCGTAACTCCATACCCTCTGACATTCTGGGACCAAATCAGATTCTGTAAATCCAGGGCTGTCCCTGGCAAATAGGGACACTTGGAGGGTCTGGAATGGTCTCCTTTCAGACATTTTATCCAAACTCCTCCTGGACCTCTTAAGCAAGCAGCCTGGCACCAAAGAGCTAGGCAGGTGACTCTCTTTCCCCCTCCCCAATTCCTCTTCTGACAGGGAGATAAGTGGGGCGGATGGCCGGTGGACCTTGCCACCTTAAAAGCTTTGGGCATTGCAAGAGACGAGCAAGCAGGGCCAGGAGGAAAGTTGTTGGCAATCCTTTTGGTGCCTCTGCCCAACTCAGTGCAAAGTTTCTCTGTGTGTGTGTGTAGAAGGGACACTTCTAAATAAATATCAGCGTCCTGACAATAAGCTGGCCAATAATAGTCTGTTAATGTACAGTAGCAACGTGCTTGAGAACTTGGGAGAGGGGACTCTGTAACTGCTGGGCATCCCAAAATGAGCAACGGACCATCCTGAATTGTACGTTTCCAGCAACTTGTCTTGAAGCGTGTTTCAGGCTTTTAAATTGTGTTTATGCGCAGCAGGCTAGTTGTGCCCAGAAGCCATGTGGCTTTGTGATGCATGTGAGGTAAACATCTTGGGCCCATGCAGCTACATTGGTACTGTTAAATGTGTTGCTTTGACCACCTCTGGGTGCAGCAGCGAATCCTGGGGTTTGGAAAGTCTGCTGTTTGATGGACTTTCATCCTATTTTTCCTGACCCAGGAAGAGAAGACCCTCCTGCTCTTTATGCCAGAATCAGAGACAGTTTCTCTGCCTTTTTTTTTAAATTTATGCAATCCCAATAACCTAAGACAGTGAGTCATGAAGTGGGTGGGTTGCCATGCTGTGAGAGGGAATGTTACGCAGTGAAATGGTTGGCAGGCCAGCGTTGCCAGTTTTCTCAGATGTGCTCCTGTTCGTTGACAGGAACAACCAGAGCTGCCAGCTGACCAGAAGAAAACAGCCCAATTTGTTACTTTTGCAATAGGTAAAGGTAAAGGGACCCCTGACCATTAGGTCCAGTCGTGGCCGACTCTGGGGTTGCAGCGCTCATCTTGCTTTATTGGCTGAGGGAGCCGGCGTACAGCTTCCGGTTCATGTGGCCAGCATGACTAAGCCGCTTCTGGCGAACCAGAGCAGCGCACAGAAACGCCTTTTACCTTCCCACTGGAGCGGTACCTATTTATCTACTTGCACTTTGACGTGCTTTCGAACTCCTAGGTTGGCAGGAGCAGGGACCGAACAACCGGAGCTCACCCCGTCACGGGGATTCGAACCGCCGATCTTCTGATCGGCAAGTCCTAGGCTCTGTGGTTTAACCCACAGTGCCACCCACGTCCCTTCTTTTGCAATAGTGTTCCTTTAAAAAGGAAAACAGCAAAGGCATAAGCATTCTCGCCAGTTATCGTCTCCCAGCTGACCAAAATAAAACAGCCTCGCTTACTCCTATTCCTTTATATTATACCAGTTTCTGAATGCCACAGGAGGGGAGAAAGCTCCTGTGCTCAGATCCTCCTTGTGGGTTTTCCATAGGCATCTGGTTGACCACAGGATACTGGACTAGATGAGCCATCGTTCGTTTTTAGCATTTGCTTCATTTGCAGACATCAGCAAACTTTTGTTTTAGGGCATGAGCGTAAACATTCTCACCTGCTAATGGCTGCAAATCATGTTGCTGTTAAATGCATAGAAGCAGGACCTGGTAGAATGGTTGACAACCTTAGCAGCAATCTAGTGCACAGGAATTATAACCAGGTGGAGTTTTTGCCTAGTGTGTAGACAAGCAGCAGGAAAATACTGTATTTTTCGCTTTGTAAGACGCACAAGACCATAAGACACACCTAGTTTTTGGAGGAGGAAAACAAGAAAAAAAATATTCTGAATCTCAAAAGCCAGAACAACAAGAGGGATCGCTGCGCAGCGAAAGCAGTGATCCCTCCATTCGCTCCATATGACACACACACATTTCCCCTTACTTTTTAGGAGGGAAAAAGTGAGTCTTATAGAGCAAAAAATACGGTACTTCTTTGCTGATTGGGTGTGTGTCAAACTGCTGTTAATAGCACCAGGACTGATAAAAATAGGGCAAGCAGCAAACTCTCTAGGAAGCACTTTGAGCCTTAAATAAAGACAAGGATCGGGGGGTGGGGGTGGCCTTGAGATGATGGAACCTTTCTTTACCTTCTCACTAGAAGGATGCTCACTGAGTGAGCATCTGAGGCTAGTGGTGCAGGTGATCAGATGTCAAGCAGATAACAGAACCTCTCTTTTAATCTGCTGTAAATAAGAGATATTCCAGGAGGTGCAACTATATTGTGTAGGACAGGGTGGATAAAAATAGATGATTTTTAAAAAATTAAAATTGGATTTTTAAAATTTAAATCAGATTTCTTTTTTATTTAAATCAGATTTTTAAAATAAAATGCTTTTGGAGGAAAAATCTTTCTAAAGATAGTTTTCTATTTAAGTTACATTACAGTCCAAAGGCTATTCATCAGGAAATCAGGATTTGTTTAAAGTTTTCCATGTGTGCTAAAACTCAGTCTAAGTTTGTTTGTTTTTTAATTGTTTAACCACATCAGTTAACAAACATGGATACATATACCATAATGTTATTGTTTTAGTTAAATAAATTGTTATTAAGGAAATGGTTATTTTTCTCCTTCCAATAAAGTACAGCAGAAAAGTTGTCCAAATATAAACAGTTAACTTATTAAACCTCACAATAATTTCATAATCATCAGACTATGTATTTCTAATACTAGAATCAAATCAGTAATTTTTGATATAAATGTAAAAACTACTCTGAAAATATATTATTCCAAAAATGAAACCTTCATCTGGTTGTAAATATTAAGACACCAGGAAGGATGAGACTTCCGGGGGAGCGTGTGTGGAAATGATTTGAATCAAGTCTTGCTGACTAGTGATTTAAATTGATTTGATTTAAATCAAATCCACCTTGTGTAGGGAGAAAAAAAGGTGCACCTGCCAGAGCTTCCTCTTCTACACAAATGTTTAAAGGGACATGTTCCTTTCCACCTAAACTCCAGATTGTAGTAATAATGAGAGTGGGGAGAAATCCCCATTGTGACTGCAGCTACATGCCACCATTATGACATTTGCAGACGGTTTTATATATAAAAGATGTGATGTTGTGGCTGTAAGGCTGGGGTGCAAACCAGAGAGGTCTCTGCGTTCCTCTCTCCTCTTTCAAAAACTCGATTGGTGGCCTTAATCAAACCACCCCATCTTGCTTTGAATAGGAACAGTAATACTGGGCTATCTTGTTTAGTTAAAGAAGTTAAAGAAAGGAGTTTCCAACTAAACACCAGGAAGAACTTTCTGACTGTGAGAGCTGATCGACAGTGGAATGGACTCCCTCAGAAGGTGGTGGACTCGCCTTCCTTGGAAGTTTTTAAGTAGGGATCGGATGGCCATCTGTCATGTATGATCTAATTGAGATTCCTGTACAGTGATGCCTTAGTTCTCAAACTTAATCTGTTCCGGAAGTCTGTTCCAAAACCAAAGCGTTCCAAAACCAAGGCATGCTTTCCCATAGAAAGTAATGCAAAACGAATTAATCCATTCCAGACTTTTAAAAACAACCCCTAAAACAGCAATTTAACATGAATTTTACTACTTAACGAGACCATTGATCCATAAAATGAAAGCAATAATCAATGTACTGTACTATGAAATAAATAAGACGGTATTGTACTTGATAAAAATTAAAATTACTATTATTTTTCTTACCTGCACTGATGTTTGTCATTGTTTGGATGGGGTTTTTTTTATCCATTTCCGCAATCACACAATCAATCAGTAGCTGAACTGGGTTCCACACAGTCCCAAAAACAAATGAACCGGAAAAGCCTCAAAAAAAAACAAAAAAAAAAAACAGCAAAATAAATAGCGAAAATAAAAGCACCAAGCTTAATCCGTTCTGGAAGTCCGTTTGACTTCCAAAATGTTCAAAAACCAAGGCGCAGCTTCTTGCAGGGTGCAGGCTCCCCGGAAACAATAGCCGACAACTGCATTGACGTTTGGCTTCCAAAAATCGTTCGAAAACTGAAGCACTTCCGGGTTTTCGGAGGTTGAGAACCAAAGCGTTTGAGAACCAAGGTACCGCTGTATTGCAGGGGGTTGGACTAGATGACCCTGAGGGTGCCTTCCAACCCTACAATTCTATGCTTGAGTTCATGCTTGTTTAGGCTTGGATTAGTTGTGGGAGTTGTTTGTAGCAGGCTGCTCCACAGGCACCTTCTGCCGGGCTTATGCTATCCGCTTGGCGGCAGACAGCGGACTGGATAGGATAAACTGATCTGAAAGGGAGGGACTAGTGCAGACATAGGGGAAGCGTGTTCTCCGTCATGGAGAGCACGTGTTGCGGTGGGGGCAAACAAGACATCCCTCTGTTGCTGGGCGGGTTAGTTTGGATGGCCACAAATCTTATTGGGCACCTCTTGGTCGTTGGGGAGAATTTGATGTTGCAATTTATGATTGATGGCCAAGGGGCTATTTATTCCCTGCGCGCAGCGTTGAGCTGCGCCTTTTCTCGCTGCACGCATCGGATCACCCGTCCACCCTCCCTATATCTAGGAGTGTTTGCGTTGACCTTGCTATGCCTGTCATGGGGTCGTCTGTTTTGGGGCAGGGGCCTGGTAGGAATTTTTCCATTTGGCTGATTGGCCAGTGCCATTTTGGTTTTTGCCTACTGCGTTGCAAAATCGTCACAACTTGTAAGGTTGTGGTTAGGTAAAGGTCAAGGGACCCCTGACCATTAGGTCCAGTCGTGACCGACTCTGGGGTTGCTCGCTCATCTCGCTCTATAGGCCGAGGGAGCCGGCGTTTGTCCGCAGACAGCTTCCGGGTCATGTGGCCAGCATGACAAAGCCGCTTTTGGCGAACCAGAGCAGCGCACGGAAACACCGTTTACCTTCCTGCCGGAGCGGTACCTATTTATCTACTTGCACTTTGAAGTGCTTTTGAACTGCTAGGTTGGCAGGAGCAGGGACCGAACAACAGGAGCTCACCACATCGCGGGGATTCGAACCACCGACCTTCTGATCAGCAAGCCCTAGGCTCTGTGGTTTAACCCACAGCGCCACCTGCATCCCAGGTTGCGGTTAGGCAATTGGGCTGGATCCGGCCCCTGGGCCTTAGCTTGCCTACCCATGACTTAATTGAATACCACCAATTGAGTTTAGATGGCGTTTTCATGTGCCTCCTCTGCAAGAGGTCTAGAGAGCAGCAACACGAGAGTGGTGCTTTCCTTCACTGTCTTTCCACTTGTGCAATGCTCTCCCTAGAGAGCAGGGGCGGATTTAGGTTTGATGAGGCCCTAAGCTGCTGAAGGTAATGGGGCCCTTTATATTGCCAGCTGTCCTTTGTCAACAACTAATTGTTGCTGTTTTTTGTGTTGAATATATGCTATATAGTAATTTATGGACCTAATAGGTATCTAAAGCCATTTGCACAGAACAAATAGGAGCCTACACAACACAAAACACTGTTGCTGTATGTAGGTTTTATTTTATTTGTTTTTTATCTTATACAGTATTTTGGAAATGTACACCCAGTTATTTTTTCCTTTAATTTTTTTGGGGCCCCCCAATCTTCTCTAAACATATGTTCTCTTATTCTATATGTTAGGTCTGTAAGCTATGCATATTCTGTGAGCTTAAGTTGCCATTCTTCTTTAGCTGGGACCTCGCTCGTTTTCCACAAGTGTCCTGATTTTATAGGGACAGTACTGGACTCACAGAAGCCATCCCAGGGTTTTATTTGATCCCAGAATATCCCGGTTTCCCTTTTTCCTCCCCTCCATCTCTTGGAGAACAATTAAAAGTGGTGTGTGTGGATAGGTGCAAAAACAGAGTCCTGTTTATACTGAAAATAAAATACCTGCACAAAAAGAATTTTACAAGGTGGGTGAGCGGGTTCCCCTGTTTCTCTGCACTTAAAAAAGTGTAGTTTCGTGGCTTACCAACATCACCATGTTTTCCTTGAGTACCCATGCCATCCACACTGTAGGACATAATTTCTGTAGACATTCCAGGATGTGTGATGCAGCTGAAAAGCAATTTAGACTCTCAGACTCTCTCATTTTAGTGCGCAGAAAGTCACCCCCCCAAAAAAATTTCAGGAAACTTTGCCCATTCATCCCAGAGTCATTGGGGATATCTTTGCCTCCCCCACAAATTGCCAAACGACAACAAACTCTACTGAAAATTGCAGCGCAGGACTAATAACTGCAAGTTCATTAATCTGTTGTTAATTCAATTCTTTAGTAGAGTTGAGCTCTGGCAACTGAACCAACTACGAAACCAAAAACTGGCCGGATTCAGCTAAATAGTTATGCTAGCAGGAGTCAATGCAATGAGTCCTGCTGTCCCCACACTTCCCCCAAAATTGGCTCTGAGGAAGGGGGTCAGGAGAACCACTAGAACAGTTTGGGACGGGTGTGTGTGTGTGTGTGTGTGTGTAAGATTGTTCCATTGGCCACTCAAGGCTTGCAGTCATGGAACGAACATGGTAGCCCAATGTTTAAATTCCATCTTATATTTTGTACTTTCTCTTTTAGAAACGTACAGCTTGTATATTAGAGAGAAGCTCTTGAGAGCAAGAATTCTCCAGGATGTCGTACCGAAAAGAACTAGAGAAATACCGAGATCTGGATGAAGATCAGATCCTTGGAGCACTGACAGAAGAAGAGATCAAGATGTTAGAGGATGAACTGGTGGACCTAGACCCTGATGTAAGTGATTTTAAAGGACAGGTCATGTGATACTTCTTGAATTGTGTGAAAACATCTATGTCGGGCACACTAAGCAATAAAATATAAATAAATAGGGGACCCTTCTGCTACTCTTTGCAGTAGTAAACCATCTTTGGATCTGCTTGGGCTTTCCTTCGCCCTCTTTCCCTCCCGACTCTCCTTGGACGTGAGCCAGGTTTGATACACAGTCTATTTTGGAATCTTACACCTTCGCTGTCTGCTTAATTTGAAGCAGACTGTTGCCTGCAAACGTCGGCACCGCACTCTGTTTGGTGGTGTCAGAAATACTAGAATTGCCCCCTTGGTTCAGATCATAGAGTCATAGAATCTTGTTTAGATTTTTCCTTGGCAGTCACTCCTGATTAAAAAGATGCTGCTTTAATTCCTTTTGATGATCTGCTGTTGCTGCTGGGAAACTGAGACATGGTTTAAATGTTACGTGAACGAGCCTTGGCCTCCCCTTTCCCTCTTCCCCTCCAGGACACCTCCAAGGAGAAGATTGGAAGTACAGTACAGTCGTACCTTGGCTGTTGAACAGAATCCGTTCCAGAAGTCCTTTCGACATCCAAAACTGTTCAACAACCAAGGCGTGGCTTCTGATTGGCTGCATGAGCCGCTTCGGACGTTTGGCTTCCAAAAAACTTTCGCAAACCGGAAAACTCACTTCCGGGTTTGCTGCGTTCAGGAGCCAAAACAGACGAGTACCAAAGCATTCAACAACCAAGGTACGGCTGTAGTTTGTTCTGTGATGCTTCCCCAATGTGACTCCGTCATTGCCGTCTGGAGAGGCACAGCACAAAAAAAAATCTGAAATGTTTGTGCTATAAAAAAAGTTGTAAGATTTAAGCAGGAAGCTTCAGGGCAAAGTTGCATGTCGACTCCGAAACATTTGGAGGTGCAGACAGTATTGAAAGGGGGATTGCATATAATTGGCACAATGCCATTGTTGGCACAAAACATCAGAAATGCACAAGAAAAAGCACATCTGGAGGGGCTCTAAGGTTCTTTTGTATTGTGCTAAACCAGGGGTCAGCAGACTTTTTCAGCAGGGGGCCGGTCCACTGTCCCTCAGACCTTGTAGGGGGCTGGACTGTATTTTGAAGGGAAAAAATGAATGAATTTCTATGCCCCACAAATAACCCAGAGATGCATTTTAAATAAAAGGACACATTCTATTCATGTAAAAACACCAGGCAGGCCCCACAAATAACCCAGAGATGCATTTTAAATAAAAGGACACATTCCACTCATATAAAAACAGGCTGATTCCCAGACCGTCCGTGGGCCAGATTTAGAAGGCGATTGGGCCGGATCCAGCCCCCGGGCCTTAGTTTGCCTACCCATGTGCTAAACTCTCTCTTAAACTTAAACTCCCTTTCATACTGAGCTGCAAAGGTGTGCTGTTTTCCTTGGGTAGGGGGAAGCTGTTGCTACTTTTGCGTGTTTCCACTCGCCTTCTTCCCCACGTACAGTAAGAATATTTGCCAATATGTAAATACCACAAAAATGGCTATTGTCTGCATGCTGTTTTCGCCGTGCAAAGAAGCTAGATTTGTGAAGAGGAACTAGCGGTTTTTGTGCCAGAGACAGCCATTTCTCCGGTAGGTTTGAAATGTAGACGTCCTACATTTGTGATGGGATAACCCAAAATTATACACAGTGGGTGGAATTCAGCATTCCATCAGTGCAAGCGTTTTGGCTTGTGAGATGGAATGATCCCCCTCCCCACACTTTTCAGAGAGTTCTTGCACCCACCCCCAAGCCAGTGTTTGGGGGACCAGACAGAATGAGAGGGGGGACAGAGCCCCATTGCAGAAGCCCTTCTACAGTGGTGCCCCGCAAGACGAAAAACTCGCTAGACGAAAGGGTTTTGCGTTTTTTGAGTCATTCCGCAAGACGAATTTCTCTATGGGCTTGCTTTGCAAGACGAAACGTCTTGCGAGTTCTTGCGAGTTTGTTTCCTTTTTCTTAAAGCCGCTAAGCCGTTAATAGCCGCTAAGCCATTAATAGCCGCTAAGCCGCTAATAGCCGCTAAGCCGCTAATAGCCGTGCTTCGCAAGATGAAAAAACCGCAAGACGAAGAGACTCACGGAACGGATTAATTTCGTCTTGCGAGGCACCACTGTATAGGGCTTCTGCTGAGAGCAGGAGCGCCAGCTATAGGGGGCAGAAGGGGCTTCAGCTCCCTCAATATCTGTAGGCAGCCGGCTGAACTCCAATATTGAGGGCCTCCCAAACAGATCAGCCTTCCACCTGCAAACATGTCAGGAGCTCAGCCTACACTCGAGTAGGACCCTGGCAGAGACACATGCCCGACTGGCATGTTCTCCCCCTCCTGGTCGATCGTTCGGGAGCTTCAAAAGCTTTCTTCTGCCCGAACATCACAGCGACCGATGCCAACAGACATCGGCACACTTAGGGATCTGCAGAGTCTTCGCAGTTTCGTAACAGACCTCAGCAACTCAGCATTTTGGCTAATCTACTTTATTTACATATAAACACACACGGAGCACTGCAACATGGCTCCCTCTCTCTCTAGCATCAGACAGCAAAGAGAAAAAGAACAAAGGACAATAGTCCCACTTCACGGAACACTGTGACACAAACACCCTGTCTCCGTCACTTCCAACTCTGTGGAGTCAAAACATATACTGTCATGTGATAGACAAAAATCCCATTACTGCAATCATGGAGCAGGAATTCTAACGAAACACGCCCTCCCCGTTGGCGTGCCGGGCAGGGGCAGGATGCGTGAAGGATCATCTTCCACGCTTCCCATTCCCCGCCACCGACCCCCAGATTGCGCATTATGTGCATATGACGTCACGCGATGCCAGGCCCCTTCAATGTGGGGGGGCAAGTGGGCGCCCCTGGCTGACAGGACCGATTAATTGAATCCCAGCCAGAGAGGGGAATGAATTGTGGATTTGTTTTATTTTTCAAGCTACTTCTCTTTTTTTAAAATAATAAATCTATTGTTTTAAAATACAATCATACAGCAAAGGTAAGTATAACAAAGTTAAGCACAAAGTAAAAAGAAAAAAGAAAAAAGTTTCGTCACATCAAAAAAGGCAAAGAAGGGTTTGAAAGTAATGAGAAAAAAGAGAAACGGCAATAAAAAGAACCAAATGTTTATACAACATCATGTCTTATCCAATAAAGTTTTCTGTTCTCAATGCAATGTAGCTAGAAGTCATGTGAGGACTAGGCTCCTTCAGGGATATTCCAGGAGCCTTCCCTCAGTGTGAGATTTTAGAAGTCTTCCCCTTAGAGATCTAAGGGGGAGTGTGTTGGTGACTTGCCAACCACTTGCTTCCTAGCAAGTAAACCTGCCACCAGCTCCCCCTGTTCCAGTCAGCAGGTACAAAGAGGTGCATTTGCCACGCAGACATTTATTCCAGTTCCTCTGTACTGAGAGGTCAGAAGAGTGGCAACAGATTTACTCACAGATATTTATTTTTATGTTTTTGGGAGGCACAGTGTGATGAGCTTTCCTGTGGCTCCCTGGCTGAAACTGCCTGGCATTCATGATGGGAGATGCAAAACCAGTAAAGATGGGGGGAAATGGAATGATATATTCTGGAAAAGGGTCGTGGCTGGCTGTTTGGAACCCTGGAGAGGATCACTCCATGCTGCGACATTTTGTTGCAGATTCCGTTTACCTCTTTAAAAAGAACTTACCTGGTCACCTTCCCTACACACTGTGGATACAGTCAGATGGGCACAGTCAGTGTGCGGTGTTTCAGTGGTATCTTATATTTAAGAATATGGGCTGATAAGTGATGGTGATGGTGTGTTTTCCCTCCCCTTCTCCGAAATCTAGAATGCATTATTGCCTGCAGGAATGAGACAGAGAGATCAAACGAAGAAAACACCCACTGGCCCCTTTAAAAGAGATGACCTACTCGCCCATCTGGAGAAGCAGGCAAATGAGATTAAAGACCGAGAAGATCTGGTTCCTTTTACAGGGGAGAAAAGAGGTATGAGACAGTCAAGTAACTATGCCCGGGTGTTTCTCAAGTTTGGGGTATGTGTTCTCTGGATTTTCAGTTAGCCCCACTGAATGAATCGAGGTGATGTTGAAGGTTAAGTCTCCTGTTTCATATACCATTCATTTCATATATTTTTTAAATAATATTTATTATTTTTCCAAAAACTTAAACACTAAAAAAAAAAACCCAATACAATATAGCACATCAAATTAACAAAACAAGACAAAGACAATAAAATAAATCAAACAATTTCATTATCCCATCTTTCATTCACTTGTTTCCACGACCTCCTCACACCTCCCTTTTTGTATTCCACTTCTGTTAATTATTTCAGCAATTCCTTTCCATCTTCCTCTGTTTTCTATCCTATAATTATCTTAACTCATTCTAACCTTATTTTTTCCTTTAATGCTCTATTAACCTATCTGTACTTAATTCCTTATAATATTTCTACTAAAGCCATATAACTTCATTTCAACATTTTTCTAACATTCATTAATTTTATAATATTTCTGTAAATAGTCTTTAAACTTTTTCCAATCTTCTTCCACCGACTCCTCTCCCTGGTCTCGGATTCTGCCAGTCATTTCCGCCAGTTCCATGTAGTCCATCAACTTCATCTGCCATTCTTCCCGGGTGGGCACATATACCATTCATTTCAGTAATGGTTGCTCAGACCAACTTCCCACTGACTTGGCCTGGTTCGCACATCCCATTAAACCATAGTTCTTAAAGCAAACTATGGTTTAATGTGAGCGTGCAGCCTGTTGGGGCACACTGCTCAAAAGTTCTCACAGCGCTCCTCCCCTGCTTCTGCCATGCTGTGGACAAAAGATAGCAGATTGCAGCATGCCTTGTTATCCAGATGTTGGCTTCTGGTTTCTTTCCACCCAATAAACCTCAAGTGCTAAGCCAAGGACAAACCTTGGTTGCCACTAACGGCTCAACAAGCCAGACTCTTGACTTGCTCACATCCTGCTCACTCACATTAAATCGTAAGTGTGTTTGAGGCCACTGTGTCATGAGAGATGCATGTAGATTGGGTTTAGGAATGCAGAAAATTCATAACCCGTCTCCAAGATTATATCCACTAGCAGCCAAAATTGCGGAAACCTTTTGGTATTATTTTATTGTTGTTTTTTTTAAAAAAATGATATTTATTAAGGTTTCAAAAGAAGGATACATAGATAAGAAAGAGAAAAATAGAAAAAAGAAAAATACAAAATACAAAAAAAAAACAATTAAAAACAATTCCATCTTTTCATCACTTCTCTTTCATTTACTTGTTTCTCGGACCTCCTCATACCTCCCTTTTTTGTATTCCAGTTCAATTTATTAGTCCAGCAATTCCTTTCCCTCCTTTTTAATCCTGATCTTTAATCTTAATATATTATATTGTTAGGTTTTTACGTATTGAAAATCCAATTTTTCCATATTCTTTTATACCATTACAGCTAGAAACCACTTAACTTCAATCCAACATCATTCTAACATTCATTAATTTTACAATATTTCTGTAAGTAGTCTTTAAATTTCTTCCAATCTTCTTCCACCGACTCTTCTCCCTGGTCTCGGATTCCACCAGTCATTTCCACCAATTCCATGTAGTCCATCGCCAATTCCATGTAGTCCATTGGTATTATTTTATTGTTGTTAGCCGCCCTGAGCCCGGATTCGGCTGGGGAGGGCGGGATATAAATTATTATTATTATTATTGGGGAAAATGTATTTCCAAGGTTTGATGGCTCATAACACTCTTTCTTTTTGGAGTAATACCATAGAATTATATATCAATGGGAAGATAATTTGATGGAGAATGTAATGCAACAAAGTTTGTTCAATTATTTGAATTCTATCAAAGGTTATAGCCAAATAACCAGAAAAAGGAAGCACAACTTGCTTAGGTTGATATGCAGTAGATTTCCTTCATTTGAATGTAGCCAGTGCTTTTTTTCTGGGGGGTACACAGGGGTACGCATACCCCTAAACTTTTTGTGACTCTAAGTTTGGCCTCATTGAGGGGCAGTATTTCAGTATGAGGGGCAGTATTTCAGTATGTCCTGCCAACCTAGCAGTTCGAAAGCACGTCAAAATGCAAATAGATAAATAGGTACCACTCCGGCGGGAAGGTAAACGGCGTTTCCGTGCGTTGCTCTGGTTCGCCAGAAGCGGCTTTGTCATGCTGGCCACATGACCCGGAAGCTGTACGCCGGCTCCCTCAGCCAATAAAGCGAGATGAGTGCAGCAACCCCAGAGTCAGTCACGACTGGACCTAATGGTCAGGGTTCCCTTTACCTTTACCTTATTTCAATATGGGTAGGAAAATGAGAGTACCTCTAAACATTTTTTTAGAAAAAAAGCACTGAATGCTTTCTTTTGCTTGCACTCGGTGAGAGAAAGAAAGCCATGAGGCAGAGGGCTGATTTAGATGTTGTGGTCTCCATGTGGAGACTGTCAAAAGCCCTTCCCTACGGGGTTGGTCTGTGTGGGGCGAGTTGCCTTTCAGAGAGCCTTGCCCTGTTTGGCACATCACTGGCAACACCACCGCTGGCCTTTCCGCTTCACAAACAATTGGCCAATCACTTGCTGCAGATCGCTGCTGCTAGGAAGGGATTACACAGAGGCTATAAAATGTACATGGTCCCACAGTAGTCGGAGTCATGGGGATGCGGGTGGCGCTGTGGTCTAAACTACTGAACCTCTTGGGCTTGCCGATCAGAAGGTTGGCAGTTCGAATCCCTGTGACGGGGTCATCTCCCGTTGCTCTGTCCCAGCTCCTGCCAACCTAGCAGTTCGAAAGCATGCCAGTGCAAGTAGATAAATAAGTACCACTGTGGCGGGAAGGTATACGGTGTTTCCGTGTGCTCTGGTTTCTGTCACGTTGCGCCAGAAGTGGTTTGGTCACGCTGGCCACATGACCCGGAAATCTGTCTGTGGACAAACGCCAGCTCCTTCGGCCTGAAAGCGAGATGAGCACCACACCCCATAGTTGCCTTTGACTGGACTTAACCATCCAGGGGTCCTTTACCTTTTTTTTTCTTTAATCGGAGTCCCTTCTCCTGTGAAAAGGCAGCATCCCATAAATGTTGAGTAGCTAGGATAAGCTGAATTACACATCCATGTTACGGCTGAGTCCAGGGAAGGCACAGCTGCCTTCACGCAAGGGCATCTTCTTGGCCATTGTGGTAAATGGGATGGTGGAGAAGATCGAATTAATTAAATTGATCAATTTAATTAGACATGCATGGTAGCAAAATTCCATATTTCAAGCTTCCCTGAACTCTGGACTAGGTGGGCTTTTGTTTTGATTCAGAAAGGCAACTCTTCCTTTACAGTGGTACCTCGGGTTAAGAACTTAATTCGTTCCGGAGGTCCGTTCTTAACCTGAAACTGTTCTTAACATGAGGTACCACTTTAGCTAATGGGGCCTCCCACTGCTGCCGCGCAATTTCTGTTCTCATCCTGAAGCAAAGTTCTTAACCTGAGGTACTATTTCTGGGTTAGCGGAGTCTGTAACCTGATGTGTCTGTAACCTGAAGTGTCTAACCCGAAGTACCACTGTATTTTTAAACAAACACACACTGTTTGTCCCATCAGCACTTTTATTTTGGAATATAAAGTGACACACATTGAACATTACTGTAAACCTAGCATACAGTGGTGCATCGCAAGACGAAATTAATTCGTTCTGCGAGTTTTTTCGTCTTGCGAATTTTTCGTCTTGCGAAGCACGGTTTCCCAAAGTCTTCAAAATCACCAAAGTCTTCAAAAACCTCAAAAAAGGCTACCACACCGCGTGCTATGAGTTGCTCCTCGAAGTCACCCTGGGTATTAACGGTTTTAAGAAAAAGGAAACAAACTTGCAAGACGTTTTCGTTTTTCGTCTTGTGAAGCAAGCCCATAGGGAAATTCGTCTTGCGAAGCAACTCAAAAAACGAAAAACTCTTTCGTCTTGCGAGTTTTTCGTCTTGCGAGGCATTCGTCTTGCGAGGTACCACTGTACTTTTCTCAATTTTAAACTCGCTCCATAATCCCTCCTCCCCTCCTTCATTTCCCTTTGGAAGCCCAGCCAGCCTGTCACCTGCCATTTCGGAGCACTAAACCCAGGTAAATGATGGAAACAACAGGAATACACATATCAAAATAAAAGGGGGGGGGACACTCTGAACAACACAAAACCACAAAAACAGTCTTTGGAAATTTTCTTAGCAATATATCTATGATCAATAAGAGACCAGGGAGTGGAGTGATTATACTGGTGGCATTTCCCCCCCAAGTTACATTTTAAGTCAAAATTCCTATTTGATGTTCTCTGGTGTTTGTGAGCATTCAGATCTTTGCCTCTGTAAAAGTCCACCCTTTCTCTTCTTCAGTATAGTGGTACCTCAGGTTAAGTACTTAATTCGTTCCGTAGGTCCGTTCTTAACCTGAAACTGTTCTTAACCTGAAGCACCACTTTAGCTAATGGGGCCTCCCGCTGCCACCGCGTGATTTCTGTTCTCATCCTGAAGCAAAGTTCTTAACCCGAGGTACTATTCCTGGGTTAGCAGAGTCTGTAACCTGAAGCGTATGTAACCTGAGGTACCGCTGTATATGCTTTTAAAAATCTAAAGTGACTAGAGTGGGCAGTACCATAAAGGATTTCAAAATTTATTTTTTCTTGATCTCGAGAGGGAACCAGGGAGCAGTTGGTTCTTTTGTGAGGCCTAAATTTAGCCACGCTCAACCTTCGAGCGGCTTTCGGGATAGCGTGGTCTTTGTTCTCCTCTCCATTCTGCGTCGCAGGGGCAGCAAGGACAAAAATAGCCCCAGTGTCACATTCCATGCCTGGAGCAATGAGTATGCTATCTCATTTACAGGCGTCTCCCAGATTGTTTTCTTTAAAAGTGCCTCTCTTTTTTTTCTTTCTTAAAGCTGCCCGTGTTTTCACTATTTCAGTTTTGGTGTGAATCTTTCAAAATCCAGCTTTTATAGAACATTTATTGAACTTCTCCCCCCCCCTTTTATTGGAAAAAAACTAAACAGGTATTAAAAATAGATAAACTTTTCCCCTCTAACCAAAACCACCTTGTAATCTATGTATTTTTCCTTACAATATACCGTATTTTTCGCTCTATAAGACGTACCAGACCACAAGACGCACCTAGTTTTTGGAGGCGGAAAACAAGAAAAAAAAATATTCTGAATCCCAGAAGCCAGAACAGCAAGAGGGATTGCTGCGCAGTGAAAGCAGCAATCCCTCTTGCTGTTCTGGCTTCTGAGATAGCTGCGCAGCCTGCATTCACTCCCTAAGACGCACACACATTTCCCCTTACTTTTTAGGAGGGAAAAAGTGAGTCTTATAGAGCAAAAAATATGGTAGTGGTTGATTGTTCTATACTATTTTCAACCCTTTGTCCCTGCTCCTGTGTGTGTGTGTGTGTGTGTGTGTGTTTACTTTGAAGATTTTGCTGAAAGGACATCTGTAGGAGGTTACTGGTTGCACCCAGAGCTGATGATGCTCATTTGACATAAGTAGGAAACCGAGCCTTCGGTATAATTGGCCCCCTCTTGTGGAATGCTCTTCCGATAGAGATTAAGCAGGCGCCTTCTGTACGAACTTTCAAACATTTGCTGAAAACTATTCTGTGCTGCCAGGCTTATGCAGACAATTAAGAAAAACATTCTTTGTAAAAGTCAGCTGCTGACGTTTAAATTTTTTAATAATTGGTTTGTCATTTTCAAAATCATATTGTTGTTCATTTAAAAAAAAACAAAATTGCAGTGTACAATTATTTTTTATAAATAAAATAGAAATACAAGATTACATATCTCCTATCTAGCTGATATCAGAGTGCCATCGTTACTACTAAAAGCCCTACTAAACAGTACAGTGGTACCTCGGTTTTTGAACACCTCTGTTGACGAACTTGAATGCCATAAACCCAAAAGTAAATGCTTCCATTTTTGAACACGCCTCAGAAGTCAAACGGCTTCCGCTGAGTGTATATGTTATCTTTCTCAATTTTCTCTATTAAATTTGCAGACTGCCCTTTGCGCCTCGGTTTTCGAACATTTCAGAACTCAAATGGTCTTCCGGAACGGATTATGTTCAAAAACTGATGTACCACTGTATTGGCTAACCCACTTTCTTTAACATTAAATTAGTTATCAAACATCTCTTTCTTTCTTTTTTTCCAAATGACTTAATTGGGATTTAGTTGTCCCCAGTTTCAGATACTTTTTACAAGTGTAGGAGGTTTAAAGTTTTGAAAGTGAGGCAAGAAATGCCATGGGCGGTTAACATGATAAGCAAAAATAAGATCATTTTGGTGCAAGGTAAGGATATACATAGCAAGAGTAATAAAAAGAAATTGTTATTTAGGGGATTTGAATTTAATTCTAAATTATATACCGGAAACATGGGAGATTACAAGGGGTCAAAAAAAAATGGATGTACCGTGCCATATTAGAAGCAAAAAAACTTGTTTTGATGAATTGGAAGAGCCGCAAAAAGATCCCATTGAGCACATGGATTGACGATATGGGCAGACTAGTTACATACAAACGAATTGCATATCGACGCAAATTAAAATGGATAAATATGAAGAAATCTGGAAGGAATACTTAAGCGATAAGGCGGAAAGTGTTGGGAAGTAGGGGGAGGAGAGGTGGGGAAATATTGTTAAAAAGGTGTAGTTATAGGTATCTCAGTACTCAAATCTGAATTGTTAAATTGTATTATTAGTGTTACTGTGGTTTTTGTTGTACAGTGGTACCTCAGGTTACATACGCTTCAGGTTACATATGCTTCAGGTTACAGACTCCGCTAACCCAGAAACAGTACCTCAGGTTAAGAACTTTGCTTCAGCATGACAGAAATCGTGCTCCGGCGGCACAGTGGCAGCGGGAGGCCCCATTAGCTAAAGTGGTGCTTCAGGTTAAGAACAGTTTCAGGTTAAGAACAAACCTCCAGAACGAATTAAGTACTTAACCCGAGGTACCACTGTATGTGTTTTTTGTGGTTGCTGTTTGTATTGAAAAAAATGATTAAATAATTTTTTAAAAAAAACATAATAAGCAAAACGGGAACAGTATAAAAGCAGGGTTCTGGAGTTTGAGTGAAGATCAGACGAAACACAAAGTGTCCCTCGCTTGTGGGGTGAGCAGGGAGAGAAAGGCTGAGCGATGTGCCCACCTCATTTGGCCGATGAAGGCAGTTGGGCGGTAGTGCCAGTACCTATCCAGTCTGCCATCACACAACCAAGCCCCCTTAACTAGCCTGCCTTGCGCCCCATAAGCTAGCCTGCTGTCTGGTGGAAGACTCTGTTGCCAGTTTTGAAGTACGATTCAGCTGTCAGCCCAATCAGGCTCCGTACACAAAATGGTGAGGGAGCGCCGTCCTGTCCGTTGCCTCAGGCACCAAAATGTCTTGAGACATCCCTGGGGGATGAGCCTGGCTCCTTCTCAGCTTTGCAACTGAAACAAGAGATGTGCATACCAGCAAATCCAATGCTGGCACAGCTGACAGACTTTGCCTCCTTGCGGCGTTGAGTACCTTTATTTTTTAAAGCACCGCATAAAGTTCGTGAGTTTGTTCACCGTACAGATTTTTCAGTGCAAAACTGCTCAGAAGGTAAGAGAGGTTCCTTAATGCCGTCACGACCGACTTTTCCGCTTCAGTCTTGAGGAAAGGTATTTTCGGAGAATGGGACTGAATGCAAGGAGGGTGTTTCCAGAATAGACCTGCTGCTCTGAAAATCGGTAAAAGGTAAAGGACCCCTGGATGGTTAAGTCCAGTCAAAGGCGACTATGGGGTTGCGGCGCTCATCTCGCTTTCAGGCCAAGGGATCCGGTGTTTGTCCACAGACAGCTTTCCGGGTCATGTGGCCAGCATGACTAAACCGCTTCTGGTGCAACGGGACACGGTGATGGAAGTCAGAGCGCACAGAAACACCATTTACCTTCCCGCCACAGCGATACCTATTTATCTACTTGCACTGGTGTGCTTTCAAAGTGCTTGGTTGGCAGGAGCTGGGACAGAGCAACGGGTGCTCACCCTGTCATGGGGATTCTAACCGCCGACCTTCTGATCAGCAAGTGGCTTAGACCACAGCGCCCTCTGAAAATACTGCACTGCTTGCTACCCTTTGCTATCCACTGATTATATATCCTGTCGTTTTATGTACTTTTGCTTAATCAAAACATACTTGCATCCCTGTCAGTAGGATCAAATTTGAACCTTTGGGTTGGAACACAGTAGTTGTTGTTCCTGGTGCTACATATTCTGTTTACTAGGGGTTTGTGGCAAGGAAACTTAAATCCCTGTTGTTAAAGCAATTGCTACGAGGCTGATGGCCCTTTTTGTATTTACAGGGAAAATTTGGGTCCCCAAGCAGAAGGCTATAGATCCTGTTTTGGAAAGCGTAACTCTGGAGCCAGAACTGGAGGAAGCACTAGCAAACGCCTCAGATGCTGAGCTCTGTGATATCGCTGGTAAGACACGAGACTGCCTACATTTGGCTTCCTTTGTAATTATCCTTATCGGTTTGGTCAGTCTGTATGTGCTTTTTTATCCTCCAGTTTTCAGGTTTTTTGGGGGGACTGTTCTATAAGTTTGCAGCAGAAGCTGCCTCTAGACAGCACTGAACAGCTAATTCATGCGATCTCACAGGTTATCTCTTCCCACCCACAGAGCAATTTTGAACCTGTTTTTTAAATACAAGGTGTGACCAGAAAGGTTGGTGATTGGTCACAGAAATCAGACAGCGAGAAATATTCGAACATACATACTTTACAGGCCTTCAAATTAGGCCCCCTCTGATACAATGCACCATTGACAATGTACATAGAAACGTTGGTAATTCCTGGAGAAGTCCTTTTTCGTACTGCTTCCAGTTCCCTCATTACAGCACCTTGGACGTGTGAAATGTTGGAAAATCTATGCCCTTTCAGTGCAGATTTCAGTTTTGGAAAAAGAAAGAAATCCAGTAGGGCCAGATTGGGAGAATATGGAGGGTGGGACAACTCAGTAACCTCAGCAGCAATTTCACGTGGAATATGCAATTCTTCCGCCATCCAGATGGACAAACGCCGATCCCACATCAATAACTCACGAACTCTGTCGTCATTTGCTGCTGTTCTGCTCGTCAACGGTCTGCCAGATTGAGGGTCATCTTCAATGGTTTGCCCCCCTTCACAGAAACACTTAAACTACTCATACACTGTCTTTAAAGTTACAGCTTCATCTCTGTACACAACTGTGAGAATTTTGTGGGTTTCTGATGCCGATTGTATGTTTGAATATTTCTTGCTGTCCAATTTATGTGATCATTTATCGAACTTTCTGTTCACACCTTGTACATCAGTATTTTTTGGAAATATTTTTTTTAAGTGCTCTACTTGGAGTGTTAAGGCTAGCGTTTAATTGAGAAGTCTGTCGTGCAGATAGCAAGGTGAGAGACCACGTAGTGCAGGTGAAGAACCCTCTGTGACATCTTTAAATACTTCTACCGTCTTCATCCGTACCTCTGCGCTGCTCCTCCGTGTGTTTCTGCCACAAAGTCACAGCCAGTCTTGGATTCCCTGATCACGGCTCAATACATGTGGGTGGTGCAGCTGACGCGGAAAATGATCTTCGTACAGGTTGCTCCCCGTGGCCTACACAGATGTGCTTTCTTTCTGTGTGTAGAAACTCAGCCCCAAATTTTCCTTCCGCAAGAGAAAGTGATGGCCTCTAACTTGGATGGCTTTAAGAGAGAATTAGACAAATCCACAAAGAACAAGGCTATGTTCTGCCTCCACTGTCAGAGGCAATATACCTCTGCATCCCAGTTTCTGGGAATCACAAGCTCTCAGGTCCTTCTTCCAGGGTTTCTCTACGCATCTGGTTGACCCCGTGAGAACAGGATGCTAGATTAGATCGGCCTTTGATCTGCTCAAACAGAGCTTTCCTCAGTGCCGGATTTACGTATAAGCTAAACAACCTATAGCTTAGGGCCCCACTCTCTTGGGGGCCCCCCAAAAATGTAAAGGGAACAAAAAAAACTGGATGTACATTTCCAAAATATAAGATAAAAAACAAATAAAACCTACATACAGCAACAGTGTTTTGTGTTGTGTAGGCTCCTATGATGTAAGTAATGGGCCCCGCCTAATAGCCTGCTCCCTAAAATATCACTGGTTTGCTTGTTTCTATATCAATTACTTTGATTACATACAGTCATACCTCGGGAAGAATACGCTTCGGGTTAGGCAAATTCGGGTTGCGCTCCGCGGCGACCTGGAAGTAACGGAGCGTGTTACTTCCGGGTTTCACCGTGCGCGCATGCGCAGACCATCAAAATGACGTCATGCGCAGAAGTGCCAAAACATGACACGCACAGATGCGTGGACACGGGTTACGTTTGCTTCGGGATGCGAATGGGGCTCCGGAACGGATCCCGTTCGGATCCCAAGGTAGCACTGTATTTTGTTTTGTGCAAATGGCTTTAGATACCTATTAGGTCCATAAATTACCATATAGCATATATTCAACACACAAAAAACAGCGACAATTTGTTGTTGACAAAGGACAGGTGGGCATATAAAGGGCCCCATTATCTTCAGTAGCTTAGGTCCTCATCAGACCTAAATCCGGCCCTGGCTTTCCTTATATTCTTACTTTCCTGCATTGCAATGTCACAGCGTTCTGCACTTTCATCTCCTCCTGCCCACCCTCCAGCAGCAGCCGCTGATGTGGTGCAGGGAACCATAGTGCTCTGTGATGTGACAATACGGGTGAGTGATGCTTCCTTTTGCCATCGAGGAGAGAGAAGGTTACCATGCAGCTGCTATTTTCAGCGTTGCGTCCAGTTTTGTCAGGGGTTGGACTCAAGAGGAGGAGGATTGGTGGAGATCACACACGCCCTTCTCCTGACACTTCAGGAGGAGTACAGGAACGCAGCATTGGTTTACAGCAGGGGTTTGAGGAGTTTGAGGGAAGTCACAGCTCAGAGACAGGCGAACAGAAAAGTTGGGAAGTGTTAGAAGAAGGGGGGGAGACTGGGGCAGGGCAGCCAGCTGACACTTTGTCACTGGAGAGTATTTCTGATTCCCCTTCCCCCAGAACTTGGCGTTTGGAAACAACAGAATCAGAGACATTTGACCCGGGTGGCCACCGTACGGGAAAAGGATGCTGCTAGGAAGGAGGGAGGTGGAGCCCAGTTTGGAGCAACACCATTGTTAAGGCTTGTTGCGTTCTTTTGTCTCTCGCTATTAGGTAAAGGTAAAGGGACCCCTGACCATTAGGTCCAGTCGTGACCGACTCTGGGGTTGCGGTGCTCATCTCGCTTTATTGGCCGAGGGAGCCGGCGTACAGCTTCCGGGTCATGTGGCCAGCATGACTAAGCTGCTTCTGGCAAACCAGAGCAGCACACGGAAACGCCGTTTACCTTCCCACTGGAGCAGTCCCTATTTATCTACTTGCACTTTGACGTGCTTTCGAACTGCTAAGTTGGCAGGAGCAGGGACCGAGCAACGGGAGCTCACCCCGTCACGGGGATTCGAACCGCCGACCTTCCGATCAGCAAGTCCTAGGCTCTGTGGTTTAGACCACAGCGCCACCCACGTCTCTCGCTATTAGAATGGAATAAAACTCATTAAAAAGGACTCTACCTTGTTTCCTCTGTTCTTGCTGCAGCCGGGGGAGGAATAGCTTTCCCGAAACCTTGACAAGTTTGGCCCTAAGCTGAGGCTCTAATGCAGTCTACCCTCTAACCCCGTTTGCCCTCCAGATGTTGATGGACTACAACACCCAGTTTCTCTGACCCATTGGCCTTCCTAGCTGGAGCTCATGGGAACTGGAGCCCAGCAGTACCTGAAAAGCACTTGCCTAGCACAGACTGTCTTGGCTTATTTCCCAAGAGTTCGTATTAACACCCGACTCGCTCGTTTTGACTAAAATCCTCTTTCCCCCTCCGTTCATCTCATATTCATGCTCATTTACTGAATCCAACCCGTTCCTTCCTCCTTAAACTGTGTCTTGTTTCTTCCAGCCTGCTGTCTGTTCCTTCCCATATTCCCATGACATCATCCATCTCACTAGAAGCCGCAGAGGGACTGTAAGAGAACTTTGCTGGTGGCCTCGTGGCCCTGCTTAGGAATGCTTTGGTCCTGCTGCTCTGCCCTGCCGTCCAAAATGGTTTTGCTGCTTGGTCATTTTGTATTTGCAAAAAGCTGCCTGTCCGCACTGTCAGTTAGGGCTACCACCATAATAAGCCAGGTTACCATTTGCTTAGGTGCTTTCTTTATTCGCAGACGCAGATTGGCAAGCTACCGTATTTTTTGCTCTATAAGACTCACTTTTTCCCTCCTAAAAAGTAAGGGGACATGTGTGTGTGTGTCTTATGGAGCAAATGCAGGCTGCGCAGCTATCCCAGAAGCCAGAACAGCAAGAGGGATTGCTGCTTTCACTGCACAGCGATCCCTCTTGCAGTTCTGGCTTCTGAGATTCAGGATATTTTTTTTCTTGCTTTCCTCCTCCAAAACCTAGGTGGGTCTTGTGGTCTGGTGCGTCTTATAGAGCGAAAAATACGGTAATCAGCTGAAGCTTGCAAAGACTCAAGAGGTTCAGGGCGCCTTGTAATAATCCAGGCGTGTGTCCCTGTGGCCTGTTCTAACCTCCTCAGGAGCAGGCGCAGTCGGTGGACCAGCTTAAACTTGGCAAAGACACTCCTGTTGTCCCGTGACTGACACCCCAGCAAGCAGGAATGGTGCATTGTAAAAGCCCTGTGTAATCATCTGCTAAAAGGCAGTCCCACATTTCTGCAAATGTGTACACGATCCATTTGGGGGCAAATAACGCTGACTTCCTCCTGCCTTTGAGTAGCATATATATCATGGGTAAGATTGTACAGTTGTGGGCTAAAGCCTGTCTTCCTTTCTTTTTAATTTCTGTACTTGAATAATGATGGCTGTGGGTAAGAAAATGAGTTTGCCTGAACCTTACTAACTGGATGTCTTACAATAAAGTTTAACATGATATTCATTTCCAGCGCATGTTTATCTGGAAGTTAAGGCCAAGTGGGCTTATTTCCCTAGGAAGCCTATTTAGGATTGTATCCTTAGTCAGGCTTATCAGATGAGTTTATTTAAAATTATTTCAGCCATTTGAAACACTGCCCCAATTGAGCATATTTTTTAAAATGAATGTTTAAATAAAGAGAGATGGTTGCAGGCCCTATTTTTGAAGAGGCCTTTCCCTTTTTCTCCTATACGGAAGCAAAGGCCTCTTCTAGGAGATGCAACTAACTGACATGTAATACTCATAGAATGAATCAGTTGAGATCAGATTGCAGACGTGGTAAAGATAAATTCTAAGCTGCTCTCAGGTTTAAGGCTACACAGGATGTTGCATGTTGCCAGGTCATTTGCCCGAGGAGAGATCCAGCTGTTACTGATTGTATTTCTGTCTGCTGTTGAGTGCATGTCATAGAGTGAATTACATGGACAAACTCTGAAATCAAGCCAAGTCCAAGTCTTCTTTGTTCTGACAGCAACAGGAAAACTTCACACATATTTTTTTCCAGGCCTTTGCAAGTTCTATAGGTGGAACACATCCCAGACAAACTAGAGTCAAAGGGTCGCTACTCTAACAGTAATTGGTTGCAGTGTGCATGCAACCCACTTGGCAGACTAGTCATTTATGACATTTTGCCAAATGGTGAGGATAATTTTGCTCCTTCCTTTGCTGCTTCCACCAGATTTCCCTTTGATTTCTGAACCATTGCAGTAAAACTCTCCTTAACACTTGGCAGGATCGACTGTTCACCGAGTAGCAACTTGCTGATTTGTGTATAACACTTAAGGTTTAGTGCAACTCGCACAAGCTGGAATGAGCCCAAGCAAAGCCACAGGCTCACAGCGCCTTCTGCATGACTGGGGAAAAGACTAATGCAGAGTTTAGTTTCACTTTCCATGAATCCTGGTTTAGCCCTACGTAAAACAAAACTGGATAAACAAATAGGATAAACATAACTGACCAGAGTTTTGTTTTAAATCACAATTTCTGGCTTGTATGTAGGGATAAACCAGGATTCATGGAAAGAGGAGTAAAACTCTACAGAAACCATTTGTGCAAGAGGGGGAAGCAATCAAGCCTAAGGCTTTGCTTGTACAGTCGTACCTTGGAAGTCGAACGGAATCCGTTCTGGAAGTCCGTTTGACTTCCAAAATGTTTGGAAACAAAAATACAGCTTCTGATTGGCTGCAGGAAGCTCCTGCAGCCAATTGGAAGCCCCATCAGACATTCGGCTTCCAAAAATAGTTCGCACACCGGAACACACACTTCCGGGTTTGCGGCATTTGGGAGCTGAAACATTCAAGAACTAAACTGTTCGAAAACCAAGGCACGACTGTACTCGTCCCAGCTCATGCATGTAACACTAAACCACAGCTTAGCATTACAGGCAAACCAGTAAGTTGCTGCATGGTAAAAGACCATCTGTGGTCAAACAAAGTGACTATTGAGAAACATGGAATGGTATCCTCTCACAATTTTTATGTAAATTGTGTTGAGTCCCACCCAGCGCATTGGATCTTCTTGCATTGTCCTCCGAGTCCACCCAAAATGTGAACAACATAATCGACTTGAGTTCTGCTGTTTCGTGCTTTTCCCCCTTGCCTTCTATGTATCTTGGCCAGATTCTCACTTTCCCAAGAAAGGAGTTTAGTTATTTTGCTTAACTTGTTTTGTTTTATTTCTCTCCTCTCTCATGTAGCTATTCTTGGCATGCATACGCTGATGAGTAACCAACAATATTACGAAGCACTTGGAAGCACGACTATAGTCAACAAGGAAGGTTTGGATAGTAAGTAAGATTTGCAGCCACATGACATATTCTGGACACCTGAGCCAATAGGTATAATGTTACCGGTACTTGTTGAATGAATGCATATGCTTGAGGTGAATCATCACCAATGTATTTTCTTGGCTTTGTCCTTGTTCTTCTCCGTGGTATTCTAGGAGGATTCGTTGTCTAGTCTTCCACTTCTAGGCTTTTTTTATGAGAGAGCAAATTCCTTTCTGGGAGGCCCAGGGATCATCAGGTCTGCTGGCTGGGAAGGACTTGTTGTCACAAGTGTGGGGACCTTTAGGCCCTCCAGATGTTGTGGAACTACAACTCCCATCAGCCCCAGTGAGTATGTGAATGGTTGGGGATAATGGGAGTTGTAGCTCATCAAAATCTGGTGGGCCAAAGTTTCCCCTCACCTGCCCTTTTGGCAGGTCTACCACTGAGTAAACATTCTCCTCTTTCCATTCAGGGAAGACCAATTTTTTGAGGAGGTTTAGATTTTTTCTTTCTTTCTTTGCTGCTTAGTTCCATTTATCTTCTAAGCGGTATAAAGGTGGCCCCACCATTCACCTGTATTGGGGGGTATGGGACCCAGCTGGAATTCGAATCAGGGTGAAAATGCACATGAAGAGGTACTGAGGTAAAGGTAAAGGGACCCCTAACCATTAGGTCCACTCGTGACCGACTCTGGGGTTGCGGCGCTCATCTCGCTTTACTGGCCGAGGGAGCTGGGTCATGTGGCCAGCAGGACTAAGCCACTTCTGGCAAACCAGAGCAGCGCAGGGAAACGCCGTTTACCTTCCTGCCAGAGTGGTACCTATTTATCTACTTGCACTTTGACGTGCTTTCGAACTGCTAGGTTGGCAGGAGCAGGGACCGAGCAACGGGAGCTCACCCCGTTGCGGGGATTCGAACCGCCGACCTTCTGACCAGCAAGTCCTAGGCTCTGTGGTTTAACCCACAGCGCCACCCGCGTCCCTAAGAGGTACTGAAGGAGGTACTAAATATGGGTTGAGACTAGTGCTGCAGTGTAACGTAGGGCAGAGGTGGACCCAGCCGGCGGTCAGGAATGGCAGAAATTCTAGTATAGGCAGCAGCAGTGGGAGCAGCGCAGGATAGCTACCCCTGATTTAGGGGGAAAGTTGAAAGCTTTTCAGAAATACCTGCTTGTGCATAACCAAAGACAGAATCAAAAAACATTTCCCCCCAACCGCACTTAGTTTGCTTTCGTGCTCATTTAGTGAGGCTTGTTGTGAGCACATTACACTGTTTGGTTATGTGCTAAAACTATCCCGTGCCATTTCTATGTAGATCCAATATCAGAGAATCAGATCTCCTCTTTTATTCCCCAAATGAAATGAAAGCTGGCAAAAGTAGTATGGTTACCATGAATCAGAAGCTGCAGGGCTCAAATCTGGAGCCCTGAGAGATGAGCACTAGCTTCTTTCTCCCACTAGGGGAACTGGTCAGAGGAAGAGACATTGTAGGCCTTTTCTTTGTTTATTTGTTATCCTTGTCACACTACCCCTTCCCATGCAGGCATAATCAAGCCCACACAATATAAACCAGTTCCTGATGAGCCCAATGCAACCGACGTAGAAGAAACCTTGCAAAGAGTGAAAAACAACGACCCGGACCTTGAAGAAGTTAATCTCAATAATATTAAGGTATGAATTCGTTCCATTCATCAAATAGTGGAATGTATGTCAGCTGTGCAAGAGCATTGTGGTAAAGGTAAAAAGGTAAAGGACCCCTGGACGGTTAAGTCCAGTCAAAGGCAACTATGGGGTTGCGGCGCTCATATCGTTTTCAGGCCGAGGGACTGGTGTTTGTCCACAGACAGCTTTCCAGGTCATGTGGCCAGCATGACTAAACCGCTTCTGGCGCAATGGGACACCGTGATGGAAACCAGAGCGTATGGAAACGCTGTTTACCTTCCCGCCGCAGCAGTACCTATTTATCTAATTGCACTGGCGTGCTTTTGAACTGCTAGGTTGGCAGGAACTGGGACAGAGCAATGGGAGCTCGCTCCGTCGCAGGGATTTGAACTGGCGACCTTCTGATCGGCAAGCCCAAGAGGCTCAGTGGTTTAGACCACAGTGCCACCCGCAAGAGCATTACAGTGAAGCCTGCACTGGAGAAATACCTACAGATCATTTCACTGGCGTAGGCCTGGTCTACACATACAGTAGAATGGACTGATCACTTTTTTAATGTTGTGTTTTCCTCAGTGTGTGTAGTTATGATGCCCCCCCAACAAAACAGAACACACTGCCATTGACTGCATGTTTCTCTTTTGAAGGACATTCCCATACCAACTTTAAAAGCCTATGCTGACGCTCTGAAGAACAACTCGTACGTGAAAAAGTTCAGCATAGTAGGAACAAGGAGCAATGACCCTGTCGCTTATGTAAGTATTAGGCAGATTACTTTCAGCTAATCTTCTCAGGGAAGTGTTTAATGGGACTGTCTCCTTTAAAGACGGCCTGCTGGATGAAGATGTGTCAACATGCAAGTCCTGTGTCAAAGATCTTTCATAAACTGGAAATAAGGTTATGGCAGCAAATTGAGTTAAGCACAAGGCCCTGGGCTTTTTGGGTCTGCAGTCATTTTTCAATATATGATTTTTCATCTCAGAAACTGTCCCAGGCACCACAGAATACCTGTTTCACTGGCCTGACAAGCTATTGCTTTGGTCTGATACAACAGCAGGAATCTTAAGTTCTTACAACAATAAAATAAGCTTTCTAGTTATTGATGATGATCTTATTACTTCTTTTGTTTATTATTATTTATGGAAGGCATTGGCAGAAATGCTAAAAGTCAACGGTGTATTGAAGAGCTTAAATGTGGAATCAAATTTCATTTCTGGATCAGGAATTCTGGCGCTTGCAGAAGCACTGCAGGACAACAGGACGCTAATTGAGCTCAAAATTGACAACCAGGTAACATAAAAATCCATGTCCGTTCTGTTATACAAGGAAGCACAAAATAAAAAGTTCTGCTCAGAAGAGAAACAGAAATTTTGCATGGGGAGAATTAAATAAGTGACACATATTTTGTAGATTGTATGCACAGGTGAGGGATGAGGCAAATTCATCCAGTGAAGACAGGCCTAATGGCTGCATTTGCACTTAATGCTGAGCCATGGTTTGTTTTAACCATGGTTGGTTCAACAAACCATGAACCATCTCACATCTCGGCAAAGAAACCATGTTTTATTTCTCCTAAGCTTGGTTTGCTTTTCAGATGCTCTAGCTTCATGCCTTTGAAGCGTCTGGGTTGTATGACTGAGCAAACCATGGTTAAGCAAGGTTTTTGGCTTCAAGTATGACACCAAACCATGGTTAGAACAAACCATGGTTTGTTAGCAAACAATAAACCATGGCTTCATATTCTGGTTTGTTGGCAGGAAACAAACCATGGTTAGTCTGGTAGGCTGGGTTCGAACATGCCATTGTTAGGCTAAAGAATCACTTAGCAATAAATGTGAGCCACACCAATGTAAAACGAGAGCCCAGCATGACTCCGTCCAGCTTCCTCCCAGCTTTACAACTGAAATGACTTGCATGCATTTCATTCCAGTAACTGAAGCACTGGCTCAGCTGTCTGTTTTGTGCCTTTTCTCATGCTTCACCAAAGCAGTTTACTTCTTGAATTATTACTGTTATAAAGTGCAGCCTGAGAGCGTAGATCCATTCAGCCAGTTAAATGTTTATTATTTGTAGCCAGTGGCTAAATCTCAGAAAATAAACAAGGCAATCCATGAGTGAGTCAAAACATTTATCAATTTTCAGAACTGCAGATCATTAAAACTTAAAATTCTGTAATTCCACGAATCGTTTAGATTTTTTTTCAAAAACCCTTTTGACCGTCAACCTTGTTTTGGGTCAAAGCAAGTAGCTCATGACTTTCTTGCAGCTAGTGGATATAAGGGGAAAAACATCACTATATCAACCAGCAATCACCTAATTTTGAAGTCATCTGGCTGACTTTCTAAAAAGAATTTGCTAGGTGAAGTGTATAAACGGCAATACAGGATATACTTTAGCACACATTGTCTTCTGTCTCTCCTGAACCACAAAGATAGCAATTGGTTGGCCTATTAAGGAAATTATTCTTCAGGCATAGTTTGAAATCTGAGCTGGGCTTAATTTCAGTATGCTTGGGATTCTCCATATATTCAAAGTCCATTTTGGCTGCATCAGCAAAAAAATTCTTCACTGACCTTCAGAAATGGTCAGAAACATCCCATGATGACATTACGAGGGAAACTGGGCAAGTTGACACCATTGTGCCCAGCCTTCTCTGTTCTGCAGGTCTAAAAAAAACCAGTTTTGCTCAGTGTTGTTCTGGTTTCAGTGAGAGGATAGAATCATAGAACTGCAGAACTAACCTGTCTGCTAAATGAATAAAAGCTTCTAACAAGGTGCCTACACATGAGTATACTCACGCAGTGAAAGTGTGATGGACTGTGACCTTTAATAGAAGCAGACTGAGGCAGCCTGCCTCAGTTGGCAGAACCCAAGGGGTGGAAAATAATAATAATAATAATAATAATAATAATAATAATAATAATAATAATAAATTTTATTTATATCCCGCCCTCCCCAGCCGAAGCCGGGCTCAGGGCGGCTAACAACAATAAAACAGTACAAAAGTACAGCACAAACAACTGTCTAAAATCATTCATTATAAATTAATTCAAATCAAGCCACTGGCAACCATTGGGCCAGAGCTCCGCGAAGATTGCCGAGGGAGGGAGTCAGGCTGTGCCCTGGCCAAAGGCCTGGTGGAACAGCTCTGTCTTGCAGGCCCTGCGGAAAGATGTCAAGTCCTGCAGGGCCCTAGTCTCTTGTGACAGAGTGTTCCACCAGATTGGAGCCACAGCCGAAAAAGACCTGGCTCTAGTTGAGGCCAGCCTAACTTCTCTGTGGCCTGGGACCTTCAAGATGTTTTTATTTGACGACCGTAAGTTTCTCTGTGGGGCATACCAGGAGAGGCGGTCCCGTAGGTACGAGGGTCCTAGGCTGTATAGGGCTTTAAAGGTTAAAACCAGCACCTTAAACTTGATCCTGTACTCCACCGGGAGCCAGTGCAGCTGGTATAGCACCGGGTGAATGTGATCTCGCAGCGAAGACCTCGTAAGGAGTCTCGCTGCAGCATTCTGCACCCGCTGGAGTTTCTGGGTCAGTCTCAAGGGCAGCCCCACGTAGAGCGAGTTACAATAATCCAGTCTGGAGGTGACCGTCGCATGGATCACAGTGGCTAGGTCAGGGCGAGAGAGGTAAGGAGCCAACTGCTTAGCTTGGCGGAGATGGAAAAATGCCGCCTTTGTTGTAGCTGCAATCTGCGCCTCCATGGAAAGGGAGGTGTCGAAGATTACACCCAAACTCTTAACTGACGGTGCTGGCACTAATTGCGCCCCCGCAAGAGATGGGAGTTGCCCCCCCCAATCCCATATCGTCCCGTCCCAGCCACAGGACCTCTGTCTTCGAAGGATTTAGCTTCAACCGGCTCCCACGTAACCATCCAGCCACAGCTTCCAAACATCTGATCAGTGTGTCTGGGGCCGAGTCAGGATGGCCATCCATCAACAGATAGAGTTGGGTGAAAAGCGGTTGCAGCAGCTTCCGGGTTCTGGCGAGACTCACAAGAGCCCCCTGAGATTGCCAGAACCTGGAAGCCACACCCGCTGAACCCCTGTAAGCGAGGTGAGGGGCAGGGGGAGGCATGTGTCTTGCAAAAAGCGGCCCCTTCCCATTTTGCCTCAGGCAGAGAAATGGGACTGGCCACCCCTGTGGAGCTGAAGTAAGATCTAAAGTCAAGATCGAGTGGACGGGGAAGTAAAAACTGAATGGGTTCCTGTACTAACTCTTTTCCCTTTTCCTTTTTAAAATAAAGAGCCAGCCCCTAGGCAACAAGGTAGAAATGGAGATTGCGAGCATGTTAGAAAAGAACGAGTCTCTCTTGAAGTTTGGGTATCATTTCACTCAGCAAGGCCCCAGGCTTCGCGCATCCAATGCCATGATGAACAACAATGACCTGGGTGAGTTGCTTTCTCCAAGTGATGGGGCTCCCATTTGTCTTATTCTCTTGGGTCTGTAAAAGCAGTTGCGCCCAGAGGCGGCACGAATTCCGGCCTCTGCCCCAGCCAATGCAGCGCTGATATTTTGTCTCTTTAGCAAACAGAAGAAATTGCTTTCCTCGTATCTGTAGCAGTACTAAAACACATACAGTGGTACCTCAGGTTAAGTACTTAATTCGTTCCGGAGGTCCGTACTTAACCTGAAACGGTTCTTAACCTGAAGCACCACTTTAGCTAATGGGGCCTCCAGCTGCTGCTGCGCTGCCGGAGCACAATTTCTGTTCTCATCCTGAAGCAAAGTTCTTAACCTGAAGCAATATTTCTGGGTTAGCGGAGTCTGTAACCTGAAGCGTATGTAACCTGAAGCGTATATAACCCAAGGTACCACTGTAATCCCAACACAATAACAATCAACAAGTGCTGATCAAGAATTAATAATCAACCCCTCAGATACCGTTGAATGCCTGGAAGTAAAGGAATATACCAAAGTCAACACTGGTGAGTCCACAACCAAAATTACCATCTCCCACATCGCCATCCTCCAAACTTCTCTGTGGGGGAGAGGGGAGATCCAAATTCTGTTTCGTGCCCTCATTTCCCCTAGTTCCTGGTGCTTCAGTGCCATTTTTCTAACACTTCCCCACCCCTTTCCTTGTACATGGTTGATCCCAGCCAATTGGGGAACACATATCCTGAATAAACTGACTCCCTTGAAGCACTGCTGAATTATTTTGAAAGAGGGAGGGGGATGTTGCCAAAAGTATTGAAAAACACACCCTAAACATTTGGGTCAGCCCTATTTGCATATATCAAGCTGCCATATATTGAGGCAGAACATTGATTCATCTGCCCCAGCATTGTCTACTTTGAGTGACAGCTGCTCTTCGGATCGTCAAGCAGAAATCTTCCTTGGTTCTCTGGGATCCTTTAATGGAAGATGCCAGGAACTGAATCTGTACCCGAAGCATATACACTTCATAGCAGGGCGCACAAGCCCTCCATATCTCTGTTCTATGAACAGTGGGATGTCTTGAGGTCCTGAAGACTCACATAGGGCCTCAGCAGTGATTGTGGGTGATCAAACCTTGTTAAGCAGCTGCTGTGCAAAAGTTAGCTTGTCTATTGCAATATTTATTTTATATTGTGCTTCAGGTAGATGGTTACCATTGGCTGAGTTGGTGCAATTGCACAGATTAGTCCAACTTCACGTGGGACAAAGTTGTTACTAATCTAAGCTTTCTAGTCCAGTATTTGTGGGAAGAGCAGTTGTCAGTTTGGCTGGGAACCGCTCAGAGTTTGCTTCCGTCATGGCAGGAGCTGTGCAAAAGATATCTGACTCAGTTCTTATTTGCAGCTCGTATGCATCGATGTGATGGCCTCTGGCATAACACCTCAGCCCCGGAACTGGAAGATGTATAAGTATAGATTCTTCCCTCACCCACTTTCCTCTTGGCAATCACTCTTTTTCGTTCGTGGGCTTCAACTCGCAGTGCCTTCCTGCGACTCCACTTGGTTTTTACTGTCTCTTTTCAGCTTCTGTCATGGCTTTGCTATGGATATGTTTTATTCTTTAGAAATACCTTCATCTGCCCTGTTGCAGGGAGTGGGGTGTGGGGAGAGAGCCGCTCTTGCCTTCATTGTAACATGAATGTGACCTGTTCTCTTTCAACTTTTTATTCTTCCCGGTCTTATTTATCAGAATGACTAAAAACTAACTCTTTTGGAAGCAAATATGTTTAAAAGGTAGAACATCAACAAAGGGTAGCCTGTGATTTCAAGGGGGGAGTGTTTTTAGAGTGTGTGCGTTTTTAGAGGGATTCATTCATGAAATGAGAGACGCTTATATATTCCTCTTTTTATATAAAGAAGCAGTAAACGTTCAAAGGATTGAATAAAGGTGAAGGTAAAGGGACCCCTGACCATTAGGTCCAGTCGTGGCCAACTCTGGGGTTGCGGCTCTCATCTCGCTTTATTGGCCGAGGGAGCAGGTGTACAGCTTCTGGGTCATGTGGCCAGCATGGCTAAGCCGCTTCTGGTGAACCAAAGCAGCGCACGGAAAGGCCGTTTACCTTCCCGCCAGAGTTGTACCTATTTATCTACTTGCACTTTGACGTGCTTTCGAACTGCTAGGTTGGCAGGAGCAGGGACCAAGCAATGGGAGCTCACCCCGTCGCGGGGATTCAAACAGCCGACCTTCTGATCGGCAAGTCCTAGGCTCTGTGGTTTAACCCACAGCGCCACCCGCATCCCTTACTGAATAAAGGCATGCCCATACAATTGATTAATGAATAAAGGTATGCCCATACAATTGCCGTTGGCACTCCCCACAGCAGGATAATGGGAAACATGACCCCCGAAATGGCAAGAAACTCCACACACACAAATGTCACCACAGATGAGTGTGCTTATTTTAAGAGCAACCCATCTCAGCCACTAAAAAGTGGCTGTATGTTTGATTCCCTTCTTTAGAGCAGTTCTAGATTCAATTGAGCCAACATTTGCTGGGGACTGGATTGCTGGTGAACAGATTTATGTTTTCAGGGGGCCTTGAGAGTGATAGGAGGAGCCATTACCGTCTACCGCTAGACTGGTGACAGGGAGTGACCGCCGAGATCATATAACACCAGTCCTGAAAGACCTACATTGGCTCCCAGTATGTTTCTGGGCATAATTCAAAGTGTTCGTGCTGCCCTTTAAAGCCTTAAACAGCCTTGGCCCAGTATACCTGAAGGAGCATCTCCACCCCCATCATTGAGGTCCAGCTCCGAGGGTCTTCTGGCGGTTCCCTCACTGCAAGAAGTGAGGTTACAGGGAACCAGGCAGAGGGCCTTCTCGGTAGTGGCGCCTGCCCTTCCATCAGATGTCAAGGAAATAAACAAATGTCTGACTTTTAGAAGACATGTGAAGACAGCCCTGTTTAGGGAAGCTTTTAATGTCTGATGTTTTATAAATTTATTAGTATCATTATTATCATCATTAATTCTGTTGGGAGCCACCCAAAGTGACTAGGGAAACCAAGCCAGATGGGCAGGGTGATAGTAGTAGTAGTAGTAGTAGTAATGCATTTTTCACCCTGCAAGCATCCCTTTTCTAACAGCTTTGGGAGGTGCGTTTTTTAAAGGAAATAAAAACAGGAAGGCCTGTTTGGCCAATAACCAGAGCAAAACAGAGAAGAGGGGAGAGAATGTGTGCCTGTACCAAATAGCTTCACCATACAGTTTTCAAACCTTGGAAAATCAGTCTTCCTTACACAGCCTTAGATATACCAAAGCTAGCTCTTCAAGCCCATTCACCTTAGAGCCAATTCAGGCAGTACAGTTCTGCCCTGTTGCAAGCACGGAGTAGGTTAGAAAACCAAGTCCTGGAGGGTCAGGACTTGCAGCAGGTCCTGAAGACCCGACCTGAGAATTCATTCTTGTGCAGCACCGTCTAGCTCTGGCCAAAGTGTGGATCTGCAGGGAGACTAGGCCAACCAGTAAGGAAGCCTCTCGACACTGGTCATTGGCCAGAGCAGATCATTGCACCCGCCAAAAAAGTTTCCAGGTCAGGCTTGTTCACCAGAGAAGACTCTGTGGCTGTTCCTGAGAAAGGACTGCCTTCATTATTGTCATTTGTTATGTATCATCTGACAGTCCCCGACTCTTGTCGTGTCACACAAAACTGCTAACAGGTATTCGCAGAGACCTGCTTTGACCCCTCTGCGATATACCTGTGACTGGTTCTTCCTTCAGATGTCCCTCAACAGTGGAAACAAGCAGGCTTAGGCCTTAATGCAACAAAAGAAACTCCTGCTGTCCCGTTACATTTTCAGACCAACATATCTGTCTTCTGTTCCTTTTGCATTCAGTAGTAGCACATGGCTTAACTAGCAAGACTTCATCTCAAAGACTCCCAAGGCCTGTTCCGTGTTGGACCTGAGACCCCAGCCCCTGGTCCTTTCACAGAATAGAACAATTTTCCAGGGTTTCTCAGCTGGGAGGCAAAACAGTTGAGGCATATCCTCACCAAAGACTACGCTGCCATCTTCTCCACACTTAGCTGGGAACAACCGCCACCGAAGTTTATTATAGAGATTCCTTCCGAGTAAACATTTATGGCAGGCACGTCCAACAGGTAGATCGTGATCTACTAGTAGATCACTGGATGTCTGTGGTAGATCACCGGCTCCCCCCAAAGAAGCTGAACAGGGATTTCCTCCCTTAAAAAAGCTGAACAACTTTGACCTGAACCGCCCAAAATGGGGTTGTTTTTAACTCTATGAGTAGATCGCAGTCTCTTGGGAGTTGGCCACCCCTGATTTATGGGATTGCACAGTGATGTGGCTTTGCGGACATTCCTTGGAACTGTAATACAAGGGGCAGTGGTGGAGTATCGAATAGAATTCCTCAAATTAAGATTCCTAGGATTCTTGAGCGATGGAGAAAGGCAGTCTCGAGCCAATATAAATTTGTGGTGTAGAAAGGGCCTCGCATGGATGTCACTACGAAATGGCCGTCTTGGTTTAGATTGTTTCCAGAGGAGATTAGCAGGCTTATTACCACAGATTTTACACACAAAACATTCTTCTGTGTGAAAGAAGTATTTGAGAATTTAGAACAGGCTTCCTCAACATTGGCCCTCCAGCTGTTTTTGGCCTACAACTCCCATGATCCCTAGCTAGGAGGACCAGTGGTCAGGGATGATGGGAATTGTAGTCTCAAAACTTCTGGAGGGCCGAGGTTGAGGAAGCCTGATTTAGAATATCTCTGGAAACGCCCTGCCCCCAAACCGGACAGGCACATAGCAGCTCTTTTACCTCAACTGTATTATTTTTTTTCTTTTTTTTCAGTGAGGAAGAGGCGACTTGAGGACCTGAACGGGCCCATTTTTCCCAAGTGCCGGACCGGAGTGTAGCTCTTGGCTGTGCCGATGGCACTGGATTGCAACGTCTCGTGCTTGCACTGGATTGCAACGCTTTGGTGTGGAGCAAACAGTGCAGAGAAGTTGTGGTGCCTGCTTTTTCTTTCTTCTTCATATGACATCCTTGCGCACTGAAGGTTTAAATGAAATAGTGATTGTAGGCAAAGACCCGTATTATCATTGTGTGGAGAATGACATCTTCTTGTTTGTTTGTTTGAGTAATCCCAGTTTGAGCCTGTTTACAGTAAGGTGCTAATTTTGGATTCTGACAAAATAACATCATAGCACAAAGATGGCTTCAGCTGATAGACCGTAGCTTAATTTTGGTATGGAATTTTTGTGTGTGGTGTGATATGCATGAGTAGTTCACAACAACAAAAGGATGCAATGCTACTCTGCAAATGTAGCAGAAAGGTTAAAAAAATACTTTTATTTTTATTTTGACAATCTCCAAGAATTAGAAAGAAGCTACTAGTTTGACAGCATTTCTATCAACCCAGTTTGCATTGTTATTTTTTTAAGGACTTGTGAATTGCGGTCGCCTAATATCCACAGCCCTGCATTGCAACCTAAGTTTATAAAGCATCTGTTAATAAGTCTCTACACACCCACCCAACAGAAAGAATGTAAGGCCACTCTTTTCCCCCCCTAAGCAATAGTCACAAGAAGACAGCTGCCGACTGGGGTGTCGGTTGTTTCTCTCTTGCAGAAGAATCCAAGACCTTAAAACAGTGAATTTGCACATGTTGTTCTCTTAAAAACGTCTTCTAATAAGCACAAGGAAGTGTCTAGACTCTTTATTCTCCTGAATGGCTGCTTTGTTCATTTGTCACACTTTTGTTTCAAGAACTGTCTTCACTATTGTTGCCTTGGATCAAATGGGTCTTCTGCCAAAGGGTGCTGCCTGCCTGGGTGCAAAATCTCCGTGGCGGTGTCACAATATGCCCCATCAAAGAATTCCCCAAAAATCAATAGGAAAGAGGGGCAGAGGTTGATGCTGCCCTTAAAAGCTCAGGGCACTACCAGGCTCTGAGGAGCAGAGATTGGCTCAGGGCCCTTTCAAACATGGCACGGCACCCTCTGTGGAACTTAATAAAATGGATGGCAGGTTCATTGCAGCCCTGCCTGGTCCATTGCAGCCAGCCTTGTAATGTTCCACTGCTTGTAAATTACCGTATTTTTTGCTCTATAAGACGCACCAGACCACAAGACGCACCTAGTTTTTGGAGGAGGAAAACAAGAAAAAAAATATTCTGAATCTCAGAAGCCAGAACTGCAAGAGGGATCGCTGCGCAGTGAAAGCAGCAATCCCTCTTGCTGTTCTGGCTTCTGGGATAGCTGCGCAGCCTGCATTCACTCCATAAGACGCACACACATTTCCCCTTACTTTTTAGGAGGGAAAAAGTGAGTCTTATAGAGCAAAAAATACGGTACCCCTTAATAAACCATTGCTCATAACAACAACCTCGGCTGAAAATAGATACTGGACCATTCCAGCTAGAAGAATCAAGAATCTGATTAGTGCCTTGTTAGGCTCTTTAAACCCTGCACCACATCTCGTAAAATATGCCAAATATTGTCTGCCAGCTTCTCAATTCTTTCCTCCTGCTTGCAGATCCAGGAGTCCAGAAGGGTCTGCCTCCTGTTGCAAGAAGGTGCTAATTGCAACTAGATGCACAGGCACTGTGCAGAAACGTATATTTGGAATATTCCCGCCAGTTCTGTCTATACTTTGGGCGGTTGCCAGAGATGCATCTTGATTAAGCCTGCCCTTCCTGGAAGCCACTGGACACCAAACTACGGGTCAGTTTTGCTGAATTTCCAAACAGCCTCTGCTTTTAAGCCAAGGTTGTGTGAATTTTGCTCCACCCACAAATAAAAACTCCAAACCAAGAAAGGCCGATTTCTACAACCTGTGCACGTTATGCAAATATAATAACTTCTGTTCCCTTGCAAAATTCTGCATCTCCTAAGCTGTATCCACACAGGAGTTTATCTTACTTCCTTAGCTGTTAATTTCTACATTATATCTGAGCTTTCACATGAAGTAAAAGCCACTTCCAGAACGTAGCAGAATATAGTCGTACCTTGGAAGTAGGCTTCTGATTGGCTGCAGGAAGTTCACTTCCTGAACAGTCACTTCCAGGTTTCGATTGTTCAGGAGCCAAAACGTTCGAGAACTAGACTGTTCGACTTCCAAGGAATGACTGTATAGTGGAAGTTCCATGCTCATTTCCATGTACATTGCTTCCTGGAAAAAAAATCTGTTTGCAACCCGTTAACCCAGAAAATAAGAGTGAAGTGGCAGGATTTGGGGGAGTATGTCAAATTGATTCACAGAGGTTTTGCCTCCCCTGTTTTGGAACCTGCTAACCACCTTTACTCATCTATATGTGCATTTTAAGGAACTTTTAAGTCCCCTTTCTGAGTCCTCTTGCAAACCTGTGGTCTCTGACGTCTTTTACTATCTAAAACAGTGATGGCCAAACTTGGCCCTCCAGCTGTTTTGGGACTACAATTCCCATCATCCCTGGCCACTGGTCCTGTGAGCTAGGGATGATGGGAGTTGTAGTCACAAAAACGTGGAGGGCCAAGTTTGGCCATCACTGATCTAAAAGATGATCAAGGATCTGGAAACCAAGTCTTGCAAGGAACTGTTGGAGGGAGTTGGGTATGTTTAGCCAGGATAAGAGGAGACTTGAGAGATGTGAAATAGCCATATTCAAATAACTAAAAGGCTGTCACAGGGTAGATGTAGCAAGCTTTTTTTTCCTCCTGCACTAGAGGACAGGACTTGAACCAATGGCTTCAAGTTGCAAGAAAGGCGTTTCCAACTAAACATCAGGAAAAACTTTCCGATAGTGAGAGCCGTTTGACAGTGGGAGGGAGTCCCTCAGAAGACAGTGGACTCTCCTTTCTTGGAAGTTTCTAAGAAGAGGATGGGCGGCCATCTTGTCATGGATGCTTCAGTTGAGATTCTTGCATTGCAGGGGGTTGAACTAGATGGCCCTTAAGATCCCTTCAAACTCTACAATTCTGATTATTTTGATTCTTCAGATCCCCCATGCAGATCTCTTACCCGGTCAGGGGTGGGGATTCCACAAAAACCGGGAACCAGCGCAGTTTCCTACCCAAAATTCACCTTTTGGGAGGGAAGACTGGGAAATTTGCAGGCCGATCACAGCCTATACCTACAAGCGCATCACTCACTGCATGTATAGGTGGCCCACATTTGCTGGAAGCCAGAGCACATCGTAGCCTCCCAATGCACATACACATGAGAGTCTACCTGTCGGTGGTGTGCTTTTCCTTTAATGGAAATCCTCTTTACTGTTGTCTTGCCCTGGTTCAGAGAAGCAGAGCAGTGATGTTTTCTGTCAGAGCTCTGCATCCCACTGGAAGGGAAGGGATGATAAACTCACATGAGGAAACGGTTGTGTAGCACCATGGGAGTTCTATTGTGTGTACATGCTTGCACCAGTAATTTACTTCGGAGAGTTGCGATAGCGTTGCCATGAAGCCCTGATTAACTGCCTGAAACCGGAGGTCAGCAAAGCTGCTTGCCTCAAATCCCCTGAAAAGAGAGCTGGGATTTGGGCACCCCAAGCGGATGTCCAAGGAGGTGGGATCCTTGGTTAGATGCGCTCCACCGGCACCTGCCGCCGTGTGCCGGTGCACTCACACTCCTCCTTGAAGGAGAGTCCGGAAGGAGCTGAAGCCAGCGCCAGGCCTTTCTTCTGGCAGAGGGGGCAGCAGGCTGTGAACCCTTTCAGCTGGCACTGGGGGCATGCCAGGACAAGCTGGCGGCAGGGCTGGGTGGAGCAAAGTCGATACTGGTCCCAGAGCATCCCGCAGTAACGGCAGGCTGGAGGAAGAGAGGGAAGAGGGGGTTAAATCTCCAGCCAATAGCCACTATTTGTGGTTGCCACTGACACCACCCTCCCCAAGTCCTCTGGCAGACCCTTCAGATCAGGTTTCCTCAACCTCGGCCTACAATGTTTTTGGACTACAACTCCCATGATCCCTAGCGAGCAGGACCGGTTGTCAGGGATGATGGGAATTGTAGTCTCTAAGCATCTGAGGGGCCGAGGTTGAGGAAGCCTGCTCCAGATGAACTTCTTATTCTGCATTCATCGTAACTTCTGCTCAAGACACAATCAATGCTTTTTTTCATTAAAAATGTTTAGGGGTACTCTCGCTTCCGTCTGAGACTCAGGAAACACCGTGACAAGAAATGAGGCTGCCATTGGGGGTAGCAACGGAACAGACGATTCATAAAAAATTTAGTTTCTTCTCCCGTTCAGTTCACAAAATGTTTAGGGGTATGCGTAGCCCTGCGTCCCCCCAGGAAAAAAAGCGCTGCGTTCAATCCACAAAAGCTGCCTCAATGCAAGAAGGAAAGGCACTCCTTATTTTTTTTCCCCTGCTCTATTCTGCAACAAAAATTGACTTAAGGCTGCCATCCTAATCCCACTTAAACCTTACGCACCATTAAATTCATGGTTAAAAGGTAAAGGGACCCCTGACCATTAGGTCCAGTCGTGGCCGACTCTGGGGTTGCAGCGCTCATCTTGCTTTATTGGCCGAGGGAGCCGGCGTACAGCTTCCGGGTCATGTGGCCAGCATGACTAAGCCTCTTCTGGTGAACCAGAGCGACACACGGAAACACCGTTTACCTTTTACCTTTACCGTTTACCTTTATCTACTTGCACTTGACGTGCTTTCACACTGCTAGGTTGGCAGGAGCAGGGACCGAGCAACGGGATCTCACCCCGTCACTGGGATTTGAACCGCCGACCTTCTGATCGGCAAGTCCTAGGCTCTGTGGTTTAACCCACAGCGCCACCCGCGTCCCAAAAATTCATGTTTAAGCCTGCCTAATATCGCAGAGAAGGAAGATCTCGGGCAGCCATTGGCTGAGGTGCTCAGATCCAAGATGGAGTCCTAAGCGCACCTGGCCCAAGGAGGATGAATGGCAGGTAGTTTGAGTCTTTATTGACAAATCACAAACATACAGTAGTTCCTGAGGTGCACCAAACATGCACAAGACACTTCTGGTGTTTCGCGAGCTGGTTCCCCTCTCTGGGCGTGTGCTCCGAGCAACGGGTGGCCACGCCTACCCCCCAAAAATTAAGACCTCTTGTCCGACCGCGCACCACAAGCAACCTGCGACTTCTCCTACATGGAAGGTGTTACTGCACCTGCTTTTTCAAGCCCCCTCCAGGTCCTGGGGGGCAGCAGCAGAGGGGAGCCCCTCACTTCAGGCACCATCTCTCCCTCAGCTCCTGGTGTGTCCTGTCCTCCCTCCACCGTTTCTGACTGTTCAGACCCCCTCCCCAACCTTCAGCACTGGCTCCTGCCTTGCAGGGGGCACAAAACCCCATAAATCACTGTCCCCTTCCCCTAGATCAGCCTCTGGCACCACTACCCCTTCCACCCCTCCTCAGAGCCCTGCCAGTCCCTGACAGATAAAGGCAAAAGAGCCCAGGGAAGACGGGAGGTGAGATGGGGGTCTAAGGGAATGAGGCAGGGGATCTAAGAAAGCAGCAAGACAGGGATTATTATTATTATTATTATTATTATTATTATTATTATTATTTCTCCAGCCACTCTGGGTGGCTTACAGCATATATATAAACATAATAAAACATCAAACATTAAAAAACAATACAGTGGTACCTCAGGTTAAGAACTTAATTCGTTCTGGAGGTCCGTTCTTAACCGGAAGCTGTTCTTAAGCTGAGGTACCACTTTAGCTAATGGGGCCTCCCGCTGCCACCGCACCACCACCGCGCAATTTCTGTTCTTATCCGTTCTGGAGGTCCGTTCTTAACCGGAAACTGTTCTTAACCTGAGGTACCACTTTAGCTAATGGGGCCTCCCGCTGCTGCGCGATTTCTGTTCTCATCCTGAAGCAAAGTTCTTAACCTGAGGTACTATTTCTGGTTTAGCAGAGTCTGTAACCTGAAGCGTATGTGACCCGAGGTACCACTGTACCTTATACAGACTATAAATAAACCAATAAATCAATTAATAATAATAATAATAATTTACAGTTTTACCCGAATGAAAATAACCCCAACCCCAACTACTGTGCCCAGTTATCTGCTTCCCTCTGCGGCATGTACAGAAACTACCTTCATGACCATTGTAACCTTTATTGGTCTCATCCGCTCAATCTGCCAGAGCCTGTCTTCGCATATAGGACAAGTCCCTAACTCACCAAGGGTTTGAGACCCATTGGCAACCTTCACCAGGTTTAGGTGCCCAGTCAAAGCCATTCCCAGAGCGTGGACGCTGTTGCATTCTGACAGCTTCCAGGAGCCACGGATAATAGCAGAGTGCAGGGTGGGGAGCAAAGGTGGACAAACTACCCCAGAAGGAGCATGGTGTGTCCCCCACCAGAGCTACTGCCCCTCCCTTAACACCCCATACACTCCCATCCCTGGACTAAAATTTACAAATAAGACTAAGAAAGGAAAAAGGGTCGAATGTCAGAAAAGCCCCTCAGGAAAGGAGCTCACTTACCTGAAATCACATCGCCATTGGAGGAGATGCTATAACGTTCATCAAAGACGAAGAGCTTCCCGCGGTAGAACCCTTCTGGGAATTCTTCCAGGTACTTGTGGATACCACCCTTGAGGTGGTATACTCCTTTGCACACGCCCTGTTTCAGAACAGCCCCAAACCACAAAGAGTCATTATTAATTTCTGACACAGAGGCAAAGACTTCTCTCCAGTCTACAATTGGCTTGGTTATTGTAACCTGCACTACCTGCTTATTTTCTGAAGTGGGAGGGAACATCCTTGTACTGAATATCCTGGCCCTCCCTGTAGGTAAGGTAAAGGACCCCTGGACGGTTAAGTCCAGTCAAAGGCGACTATGGGGTTGCGGAGCTCATCTCGCTTTCAGGCCAAGGGAGCTGGTGTTTGTCCACAGACAGCTTTCCGGGGCATGTGGCCAGCATGACTAAATCACTTCTGGCAGAATGAAACCAGAACACAGGGAAACACCGTTTACCTTCCTGCCACAGTGGTACCTATTTATCTACTTGCACTTTGGCGTGCTTTTGAACTGCTAGGTTGGCAGCAGCTGGAACAGAGCAACGGGAGCTCACCCTGTCGCGGGGATTAGAACCGCCGACCTTCCGATTGGCAAGCCCAAGAGGCTCAGTGGTTTAGACCGCAGAGCCACCCTCTCCTTACCTTACCTTGCCCTCCACATATGCCCTCTTCACGTGTTGCTCGGTGCTGAGTATATAATAAGCAAAGTGCCCCTGCTGCGTCTGCTCCCACTGTTGCTGCTGTCGCATTCACAACTTGTGCATGGGGTAAAAGGTAAAGGTAAAGGGACACCTGACCATTAGGTCCAGTCGTGACCGACTCTGGGATTGCGGTGCTCATCTTGCTTTATTGGCCGAGGGAGCCAGCGTATAGCTTCCGGGTCATGTGGCTAGCATGACTAAGCCGCTTCTGGCGAACCAGAGCAGTACACGGAAACGCCGTTTACCTTCCCGCCGGAGCGGTACCTATTTATCTACTTGCACTTTGGCGTGCTTTTGAACTGCTAGGTTGGCAGGAGCTGGGACCGAGCAACGGGAGCTCACCCCGTTGCGGGGATTCGAACCGCCGGCCTTCTGATTGGCAAGTCCTAGGCTCTGTGGTTTAACCCACAGCGCCACCCACGTCCCTGTGCATGGGGAGTCTGCTTTATACATGCATAAGAAGACGGCCTGCACGACTCAGAACGCTGATCACATAGGGAACAGGGCTGCAACATAGGAAACTGAGGGAAACATGACCCATGTTTCTGAGGGAGGAACCAGGAAGTTTCCAGCCAGAACCCAGAAGCTCTGCTCCTTGACTGAAAAAACTTTTTACAGGCACCCCCTGCCCATTTAGAAATGCACTTCCACCAAACAGGAGGACGAGAAACCAGCTTTGCGTTTCTTTAAAACAGAAGCCAAGCGAGATGGGATTCTGTGCCAGGTAACTGTGAAATGACAGGAGACGATTTGCTTTGGTTATCACGGCAGGGCCTCAAGTGTAATATCTGTTGCCTCTAAGCTCAGTGAACTGCCTTGAAAGGACAAGCGTTAATCTCCGAACCTTAAAGGACCTTGTCTCTAGGGGGAGGTTTGCCAAAACACAGACAGCACAGGAAATAACAGGATGGCATCTCCTGTCTGCTAATGGCTTGAGCGGTTACTCCTGGTGGCACTCAAAAGAGCTTTGTTTCTTTAAGGAAATAAATTAAATGTTTTGAAGAGATGTTGCAGAAGATTCTTTGCCTCCTCTAAGTTATACAGGGGTACCTCAGGTTAAGAACTTAATTTGTTCTGGAGGTCTGTTCATAGCTGTCAACTTACAGATTTGAAAATAAGGAACCAACAGCCTCGAAAATAAGGGATCAGCAGCCTTGAAAATAAGGGATCAGCAGCCAAAATAAGGGATTTTCCAGGCACAGGTATGTTCAACTTCTGAGCCCCCCCGAGCCAAAGGCAGAAAGCCCAGCCAGCAGCCAAACAAAGCCTCATCAATAAGGGACAGCAGCGGGACATGGCGCTGGGATAAGGGACTGTCCCGCCAAATAAGGGACGCTTGACAGCTATGGGTCTGTTTTTAACCTGAAACTGTTCTTAACCTGAAGCACTGCTTTAGCTAATGGGGCCTCCTGCTGCTGCTGCGCTGTTGGAGCACAATTTCAGTTCTCATCCCGAAGCAAAGTTCTTAACCTGAGGTAATATTTCTGGGTTAGTGGAGTCTGTAACCTGAAGCGTATGTAACCTGAGGTACCACTGTATTGGCTCATCAGCTAAGGGTGCTGTTACAGCTGATCTAGCTCTAATCAGAGCATTTAGAATAGATGAACTTTATGCCCTTTCCATTCCTTCTTAATAATTATTTCAAGTGCTGAATGCAAGCTTACCTGGTGCTGTCATCGTTCTGCTGTCATCATTTTTTCTTCTTAAATTTGTGGACCTACATTTATTTACATTAGGTCCACAAATTTAAGAAGAAAAAATACTTAATTGGCTTAGGATTTTATTTACGTTGAGAATTAGTATGTTTAATTTCATAATGTGAAGATCTAAGGATGTTAATGTTTAAGTTAAATTTCATAAGAATTGTGACTTGGGAAACCGTTAAAAGGATATGCAATGAAATTCAACCAAGGGGAAGCGGGGAAGTCACTTAACAAAGTTAATAAGTGTAATTTTCAATAAGGCTATGATTTATGTTTGTCTGTCTTATGTGTTTGTTTGTTTATAAAATTGTGAAAATCAATAAAAAAATTGAAAAAAATAAAATAAACAAATTTGTGGACCTATATGTCAGACCAGCAAAGCTATGAACATTTGACTGCTCCAGTCGTGGTCTTCAACACACAAAGTCTCTCGGCCGAGTGCTTTCCCCTGAGGCAGCTGCTCACCTTGGACCTGAGGTAGGCGGAGCCCCGCTCGCAACGGATTCCTCCCGTGCAATACATCAGGATCCTCTTGCCCCGGAAAAGATCCAGGTTCTCATCCACATAGGTGGGGAAGTAGCTGAATTTCCTGATGTCTGGAGCCAAAGAGCCTTGGAAATGTCCCTGGGGGCCAAAAGAAAGGCATGCCGCTTAACTTGAGTGTTTTGCAAAGTGGGGCCACTGAAACATTTCTGGAGAGTGGGAAGTCTCGTGGGGTTTCTGCATCAATGTCCTATTGCTATTGAGAATGAAGAGGCACTTCCAGACTGCCACTATTTCTGGAGTGGGGATTCAATCACATACTGGCAAATTCAGGCTACGCAGTTGGGAAGGATTGCACAATAAACCTGCTTCCCCCCAAAATTGGAATGTTTGCGGTAAGGAAAGTGACAGGGAAATGCAATGGGAAGTGTGGGATAGCACTTGCATTGACGCCACATCATCTAACCCTACAAAGCAAGCATGAAGAATGCTCAATAAACAGGTCATCTGAAAGTGCCACAGGCAGGCTAAGGTAAAGATAAAGGGACCCCTGACCATTAGGTCCAGTCGTGACTGACTCTGGGGTTGCGGCGCTCATCTCGCTTTATTGGCCAAGGGAGCCGGCGTACAGCTTCCGGGTAATGTGGCCAGAATAACTAAGCCGCTTCTGGCGAACCAGAGCAGCACACGGAAATGCCATTTACCTTCCCGCTGGAGCAGTACCTATTTATCTACTTGCACTTTGACGTGCTTTCGAACTGCTAGGTTGGCAGGAGCAGGGACCGAACACTGGGAGCTCACCCCGTCGCGGGGATTCGAACCGCCGACCTTCTGATCGGCAAGTCCTAGGCTCTGTGGTTTAACCCACAGCGCCACCCGCATCCCACAGGCAGGCTATAAATCTTATAAGTGAAATCAATTTTAAAACATGGCAGAAAGCAGATGGAATAGAAAGGAGGAAGTGTTGTCTTTTTGGCAACTACTGATGACGACCTTCCCCTGTCAACAAATCTTTAAGCTGAAAACCTTCCCCAGGCTGCATCTGTTTTGGAATTGTTTTTAATATGCTTTTCTACTGTTTTATCACATGTTGTTTGCTGCCCTGGGTGGGATATAAATTAAAGAAAGACGAAATCTGCTTCCTTCAGACTTTCGAATCCCCAAGGAAGAAAATAAAAGCCAACTCAAAAGCCACCTACTATTTTACTTTCGTAGAAGTTCCTGCAGTCCAGCAAAATGGTGTCCGCTTGCCCTTTGTTACCCTGAGAGAGATATTTCTCCACTTCTAGATGAAACTCCTTTGGAGTCAGACGGATCCCTACAAGCAGTTGAAAGTGGCTTACAAAGGTATAAAAAACAAACTTGAATTCGGACTCAAACAGCATTCCTCTCCTCCCTTTGCTTGTGGGGAACCCTGCGTCAAAACAGGAAACCCCTTCCGATGAGACATCTTTCGGTATAACATTAAAGTGTTTCAAATCCATAGGGCAGCAACAATTTGGGTGCGTGAACCAGGACCGCCTGAAGTCTCCCTTTGCAGTAACAATTGGGGGAAGAGGTCCTGAAGACCAGGTTCTTCAAGGGCAGAGCAAGGGGAAGCAAACAGAGGCTGTGGCATCAATTCAGCGGCCATTTCCTTTTACAGTGTTCAGTCAATGCAGCTGGTCCATTAAGGCAAATGGGGCTCACTCCACCAACCTGAGCCTGCCCCCTACCTGCCTTCTAGTTTTTACAACCGGTCCGGAGCAGAGCTCTGGGTATCACCTACTTCCACCTTAGTCTCAGTAGAACTCAGCAGGAAGGAGGGTAAAGGCAAAATTCGACTCAGTCGGCTCCGCCCATCCCTAGATTTGGCTCCGCCTTTCATTGATTTGGGCTCCCTGTCCTCTGCCCCACCAGCCTCCCACCCTGTTCGGTGCCCCCTACCCATCAATTCCCAGTCCTTCTAAAGGCAAGAGATGTTGGCCTCGGCCCAGGAAACCTGAAGGAGCGTCTCCACCCCCATCGTTCAGCCCAGAGACTGAGGTCCAGCTCCAAGCGCCTTCTGGCTGTTCCCTCTTTTGCAAGAAGTGAGGCTACAGGGAACCAGGCAGAGGGCCTTCTTGGTAGTGGCGCCCGCCCTGTGAAACGCCCTCCCATCAGATGTCAAAGAAATAAAACAACTATCTGACTTTTAGAAGACATCTGAAGGCAGCCCTGTTTAGGGAAGTTTTTAATGTTTGGTTTTTTTGTTGTGTTTTTAATATTCTGTTGGGAGCCGCCCAGAGCGGCTGGGGGAACCCAGCCAGATGGGCGGGGTATAAATAATAAAAAATTATTTTAAGATATAATTATACTCCACACCTGTTTCTTTGTAAGAGACTTTCTGCGGGTTGATTCCCATGGGCACAATTTCTTCAAAGACGCCAACCCGAAGGTCTGTGAAACAGTGGGCTCCTCCTGCGCTGGTCTGAGGAACAGGGAGAAAACCAACAACAAACAGGTACCAATAGATCTACGCTGGAGGCAGGTCAAGTGGAGACAGGGACGTTGTTGGACTCCAACTCTCATCAGCCCCAGCCAATGTGCTCCATGGTCAGGATGATGGGAGCTGTAGTCCAGCGGCACCTGAAGTTCCCCATCCCTAGACAACAGGCTGCATTGTCTCTCTATCGCCCCCTGGAGCTGAAGGCTATTGGCAGACTGTTGCTATAAGGCGGTTTATGCACTTGCTGAAGAGGGAAATGAGGAGATGAGGTTTGTCAACCTGGGAAGGTAGCATCATTGTTCTGCCCGGACGCTGAGGTCCAGCTCCGAGGGCCTTCTGGTGGTTCCCTCATTGCAAGAAGCAAAGCTACAGGGAACCAGGCAGAGGGCCTTCTCGGTCGTGGCGCCCGCCCTGTGGAAGGCCCTCCCATTAGATGCCAAAGAGATAAACAACTACAGTGGTACCTCTGGATACGAACAGGATCCATTCTGGAGCCCTGTTCGCATCCAGAAGCAAACATATCTAGTGACGGCATGTCTGAGCGCGCACGCGTCGCTTTTCACTCCTTCTGCGCATGTGCGTGATGTCATTTTGAGCGTCTGCGCACGCGGCGAAACCCGGAAGTAATGCACTCTGTTACTTCCAGGTTGCCGTGGAGCGCAACTCAAACGTGCTCAACCTGAAGAGCATTCAACCCGAGGTATGACTGTACCTGACATTCAGAAGACATCTGAAGGCAGCCCTTCAGGGAAGTTTTTAATGTGTGATACTGTAATGTATTTTTAATCTTTGTTGGAAGCCACCCAGAGTGGCTGGGGAAACCCAGCCAGATGGGTGAGGTACAAATAATAATAATAATAATAATAATAATAATAATAATAATATCCAGGAGAAGGAAAACTCTCCTAAACCTCCACTGCCTTGCAGGATATCTTTGGGGGGAAAAAGGCTCAGTAAATCTTGTCAACCTTGTACGTCTCCTTCCAGCGACTCCTGTAGCCAAGCTGGGGCCAAACACAGTGGCGTAGCGTGGGTTGTCAGCACCCGGGGCAAGGCAAGTAATTTGCGCCCCCTAACCCGTGGATTTTAGTAGGGGCAGAGAGCTGCGAGTGCGAGCGCCCCCCCCCGATGTTGCGCCCAGTGCGGCCGGCCCCCCTGCACTCCCCACGCTATGCCACTGGCCAAACATCTTGCCCTGCTTTCCTTCGGACCCCATCAGGCAGGCTGAGAGGAGGGTCTTGCCCTCTGGGCAGCTTAAGGCCTCCATCCACACTGCCCAGGCTTGAGCCCCAGAGAGGTCACTTTGGGGCTGCTAATGCAGCAGTTTGACTTCACCCCCGGAGGCATACTCCATTGTCTCTCAAGACAGATGCCAACAACTACAGTGGTGCCTCGCAAGACGAAATTAATCCGTTCCGCGAGTCTCTTCGTCTAGCGGTTTTTTCGTCTTGCGAAGCAACCCTATTAGCGGCTTAGCGGATTAGCGCTATTAGCGGTTTAGCGGCTATTAAAGGCTTAGCGGCTTAGCGGCTAAAAGGCTATTAGCGGCTTAGCGGCTTAGAAAAAGGGGGGGGAGCGAAAAAAATCTCAAGACTCGCAAGACATTTTTGTCTTGCAAAGCAAGCCCATAGGGAAATTCGTCCAGCGAAGCGCATCGAAAAACGGAAAACACTTTCGTCTAGCGGGTTTTTCGTCTTGCGAGGCATTCGTCTTGCGGGGCACCACTGTACTATTTTGCAGATACGTTTCCGTCGTTCAGCAGCAAATTTAGGTTTGCCCATTTAAAGTGGATTTGACAGTCTCACGCTGCAAATCCATTCTTTTGGAGCTCTAGCTCTGCCTTCTACTGGCTTCTCTGCCTTCCACCCTAGAAGTGGAGAGGAAAGGGCACTTCGAGAAATGCTGGCTGTAGGACCAAGAATGGGCATTTCCGCATCATGCCAACCAGATCAGGTCTCTCACCTTGAAATCCTCCCTTGTCAAAATGCCTTTAAAGAGGGGATGGGACAACATCGCCTCCACGTAAAGGCTAGCAGCCATCTTGCTCCCACCAACGGTTCCGTTGATTCCTTCAGAAGCTATTCGCACCTGGAAACCAACCAAGGAGGAAAGGACAGGAGACGAGATGTGAAACTCAGAAGTAAAGTGCAACTGACTGGCTTACATCCGAGAAAGGATGCGTTGGATTTTGGCCTTCCAGCCCAAACGACACATTGTGCACTGCTGCATGTAAGTAATCCAAGGAAAAATCTAGCACAGATTGTATTATGTACAGTATTGATGTTTTCACCCTGGCCACCAGGGGGTATTGTGTATATAGCCGTATTTTTTGCTCTATAAGACTCACTTTTTCCCTCCTAAAAAGTAAGAGGAAATGTGTGTGCGTCTTATGGAGCGAATGCAGGCTGCGCAGCTATCCCAGAAGCCAGAGCAGTGAGAGGGATTGCTGCTTTCACTGCGCAGCGATCCCTCTTGTTGTTCTGGCTTCTGAGATTCAGAATATTTTTTTTCTTGTTTTCCTCCTCCAAAAACTAGGTGCGTCTTGTGGTCTGGATGTGCCTTATGGAGCGAAAAATACGGTAGTTTTCACTCAGGTCCACATAAGTTAATTTAGGCGGGAAACCCTGGGCGGTTGTTGTTAAACGTTGACAGCCGGCTGCCTATAAAAGCAGGCCGGCTGAGCTATTTGCTGTTCAGTTCAGTTCCAGCTTACTTATAAAGAACTACTTGGAGAAATCTCTGTATCGTCTGCTATGTCCACCCACTATAGGTTGTATAACACCTTTGGTGGACTTAACTCTCCAAAGGATTGGATTTCAGGAAAATTAGTTCCTCATTGGAACTAATGTGACTTATTTATTATTGCGTCTATAGCCCACAATCCCTCCAGGGAGCTGAAGGTGGCATGCGTGGTTCCTCCCTCCCCATTTTATCCTCACAACTACCCTGTGAGGTAGGTTAGGCTAGGAGACCAGTGAGCTTTGTGGCTGAGTGGGGATTTGAGCCCTAGGTCCTACCAGGTCCTAGTCTCATAAGAGGTTTAAAGACTCTCTCAAGGCAAATCTTTTAAAATGTAGTATAAACACCGACAACTGGGAAACACTGGCCTGCGAGCGCTCCAGTTGGAGAACAGCCTTTACCAAAGGTGTCATGGGCTTTGAAGATGCCCGAACTCAGGATGCAAGGGAGAAACGTGCTAAGAGGAAGACACACTTGGCAAACCCTCACCATGATCAACTCCCGCCCGGAAACCTATGTCCCCACTGTGGAAGGACGTGTGGATCCAGAATTGGCCTGCAGTCACTTACAGACTCACTGTTAAAATTGTGTTCATGGAAGGCAATATTACTCAGCAACGAGTGATCGCCAAAGAAGAAGGAAGTCTGACAAGCTATGCACATTCAAAGCACATTATTTCCCCTCAAAGAATTATGGGCATTACAGTTCCCCCCTCAAAGAGATACAATTCCCAGCAACCCTTAACAAACTACAGTGCCCAGAATTCATTGAGGGGCAAGGGAAGGAGCTTCAACTGTGCTTTAAAGGAACAGTGTGCGCAAAGCCTGACGCTATACTAGGGCTGGGCGATATCTGGTTTTCAATGTTGAGACATATCACCAGCTAAACGTCGCGATGCACCAATATATCACAATGTCTGAAATAAGGATGGAACTCTGAAGAAGGGAAGAAGGACACGGGTGGAGATGTGGGTTAAACCACAGAGCCTAGGACTTGCTGATCAGAAGGTCAGCGGTTCGAATCCCTGCGACGGGGTGAGCGCCCGTTGCTCGGTCCCTGCTCCTGCCAACCTAGCAGTTCAAAAGCACATCAAAGTGCAAGTAGATAAATAGGTACTGCTCCGGTGGGAAGGTAAACGGCGTTCCCGTGCGCTGCTCTGGTTTGCCAGAAGCAGCTTAGTCATGCTGGCCACATGACCTGGAAGCTGTATGCCGGCTCCCTCGGCCAGTAAAGCGAGATGAGCGGCGCAACCCCAGAGTCGGCCACGACTGGACCTAATGGTCAGGGGTCCCTTTACCTTTTTATGTAGAAGGGAACAGCAGGACTGGGCGATATCTGCGTTTCAACTTTGTGATGTATCATCCGCAAAACATTGCAATATACCGATATATCACAATGTCTGAAATAAGGATGGAGCTGGTTTTCAGCTTCGTGAAGTATCACCAGCTAAACATCACAATATACTGGTGTATCACAATGTGTGAAATCAGGATGGAGCTATGTAGAGGCATTAGCTGGCTTCGCAGTATGATTTTTGCATTGCAAATGCATCCTGATTTGCATCCAGCCCTACACTAGGTAAACAGTAAAGGTAAAGGACCTCTGGATGGTTACACCCAGTCAAAGGCGACTATGGGGTTGCGGCGCTAATCTCGCTTTCAGGCCGAGGGAGCCAGCGTTTGTCAACAGACAGCTTTCTGGGTCATGTGGCCAGCATGACTAAAGAGTTTGGATTTGATATCCTGCTTTATCACTACCCAAAGGAGTCTCAAAGCGGCTAACATTCTCCTTTCCCTTCCTCCCCCACAACAGTCTGTGAGGTGAGTGGAGCTGAGAGATTTCAAAGAAGTGTGACTAGCCCAAGGTCACCCAGCAGCTGCATGTGGAGGAGCGGGGAATCGAACCCGGTTCACCAGATTACGAGTCTACTGCTCTTAACCACTACACCACACTGGCTCTCAAACCGCTTTTGGAACATTGTGGCGGAAGCCAGAGTGCATGGAAACGCCGTTTACCTTCCTGCCGCAGCGATACCTATTTATCTACTTACACTGGTGTGCTTTCGAATTGCTAGGTTGGCAGGAGCTGCGACAGAGCAATGGGAGCTCATCCTGTCGCGGGGATTCAAACCACCAACCTTCTGATCGGCAAGGCCAAGAGGCTCAGTGGTTTAGACCACAGCACCACCCGCGTCCCATAACAGCCCTACACTGTACCACAGTGGCTCTTGTAAGGTGTCTGAACAGATAGGAGATTCCGGATACGGGAGGCGCCCCTAGCCTGCCAGGTCTGCTGATGGAGATAGCTCTGGACAGCCAATCTGCTGCAACTCTTCACCGTGTAGTGCGCTGAATTACTTACCTTGCCCGTGAGATGCAGGTGTTGGCATAAAGCCTTCTGCCAGTCACAAAGTCCCTGGGGATCTGCCACCTCACAGTAACAATAGTACAGCAAAACGTGGCCAGGCTCACTGTCACTGGGAAGAAGGGAGAAGCTTATGTAAGAAAAACTATAACACCTGAAAAGTTATTATACAAATTTGTAGACCGCTTTGCAGCACGAAGACATGGAAACTGTGCGGGGTCAGTAGTAAGGCTTGGGGGAGAAAACTGGTTTCGTTTGCACTTCCCGAAACAGAGGGCCAGACTCCTGCTAGAGGGATGGGGCTTTCTCCCATCTTCTCCCCACTGTGTGCCCCCCCCACGCCTCCCCCAAATCCATGTTAGAGGGCCGGGAGAACCTGTGGAACAGTACACAGGGGGAGGAAGGGAGATCAGTCCCCCTGGAAGCAGAAACGCTTGCACTGACGGAACAATTGTGTCAGCTCAAATTCCGTCCAATACGTGACCCAGCATGCAGCTGTCCTTTGACTTTTGTATTTCACTGAATTTTCCTGTGTATTTCGCCAACCAAAAACGAGGGAAACACTCACATATGTTAGTGAAAACAGCATATATATATATATATATATGGGGAAATTGCTTGCAGAAGTGTCCGTAGAACCATAGAATTGTAGAGTTGGAAGGGACCCCCGCGAGTCATCTAGTGTCTTCAGACATCTGAAGGCAGCCCTGTTTAGGGAAGCTTTTAATGTTTGATGCATTACTGTATTTTAATATTTTGTTGGAAGCCACCCAGAGTGGCTGGGGAAACCCAGCCAGATGGGCGGGGTATAAATAAATTATTATTATTATTATTATTATTATTATTATTATTATTATTAGTGCAACCCTTGCTATCCAGGAATCTCAGCTCGATCATACATGACAGACGGCCATCCATTTATAGGCAAAATTGCACACTAACAATGCTGACAAATTTGGGGGAGTGGCTGGGGCAACCCACCCAGGTAGACGGGGTATAAATGATAATATGATTATCATTGGGGTGACCTTATTTTTAAAAAACTGCAAACTGATGTAGAAAGGTGGAGATTTGAATTTAAGATGGGGGGAGAGGATAAACTGGAATTTGCTGAACTGTACATTCCCAGGTGCTGTTTGTGCCTGTTAAAAAACCCCAAAAACCTCTTACCTTGTCATTTCATTAATATCGATATGGCTTGTGTCTGGAAGCTTCTGGAACATCTCTTGGCTTCTGTACAGGGGCCTGCTAGGCCTGGATGTTTCATCTGCCGACGAAACTGGGCTACTTGTGACACTGACGCTGCGTGCCATCTGTTTCAGGATCACGGAGGTCTGCTGCCCCACATCGCCCGAATGCAGAGCCGATACATGCCTGTGAATGCCAGTCAGGTCTTTGAAAGTTTCTTGGCAGCATCTCCAGGAAATCGCCCTTTGGCAAGCCGACATAGGGCAGCAAGTGTCAGCTACCACTTCCTTGGCTTTGACAAAGAGAGCAAAGGCCTGCGAAAACGACAAAAGGAGAATTTGGGGCACAGACCACCTTTCCACTGGAGAAGGCGAAGACTGTGGTCACACTATGCACATTCGAAACACATTTCCCCCCGCTCAAAGAGCACTAACTCTCTGGCACCCTACTTTAATCCTCCTCCTAGGTCTCTAATGCTGTTCAGAACAGATTTGATACGGGGAAAGTTGGGGAGGTTTAAATAATAATAATAAAAATCTATTATTTATACTCCGCCCATCTGGCTGGGTTTCCCCAGCTGCACTGGGCGGCTCTCAACAGAATATTAAAAACACAATAAAACATCAAACATTAAAAGCTGCCCTAAACAGGGCTGCCTTCAGATGTCTTCTAAAAGTCAGATAGTTGTTTATCTCCTTGACATCTGATAGGAGGGCATTCCACAGGGTGGGCCTCACCACCGAGTAGACCCTTTCCCTGATTCCCTGTAGCTTCACTTCTCGCAGCGAGGGAACCACCAGAAGGCTCTCGGAGCTGGACCTCAGTGTTCAGCCTGAACAATGGGGTGGAGACGCTCCTTCAGGTATACTGGGCTGAAGCCATTTAAGGCTTTAAAGGTCAGCTCCAACACTTGGAATTGTGATTGGAAACGTCCTGGGAGCCAATGCAGGTCTTTCAGAACCGGTGTTATATTGTCTCGGCGGCCAGTCACCAGTCTAGCTGCTGCATTCTGGATTAATTGCAGTTTCCGGGTCACCTTCAAAGGTAGCCCTGCGTAAAACGCATTGCAGTAGTCCAAGCCGGAGACACCCAGAGCATGCACCACTCTGGAAAGACAGTCTGTGGGCAGATAGGGTCTCATCCTGCGTACCAGACGGAGCTGATAAACAGCTGCCCTGGACACAGAATTCACCTGCGCCTCCATCAACAGCTGTGAATCCAAAATGACTCCCAGGCTGTGCACCTGGTCCTTCAGGAGCACAGTTCCCCTATTCAGGCCCAATACCAAGAAGCTGCCATCTGCACAACAATTTTCACATCACTAGGTGGTTCTGTACGTTCTAACCGTGTGACCCAGATGCCAAATACCTTTTTCTTTGCGCACGCATACTTCTTTCGGGCCCTGGCATCTAATTCGGCTTTCAGGTGGCCCTCGGGTGGGGAAGGACCGTGATCTTTCAGCTCCAGGTCTGCAAATGTTAAAATGCAAAATTCCGCAGTATTGTCTCCATCAGGTAGCGACAAAGAAGAGGTCATTTCTACGTCACAGCAGCTGGGCATAAGTTCTTCTCTGGGACCTAAGAGAGATTGTTCCAAAAGAGGAATATATAGTTAAACCACAGAGCCTAGGACTTGCTGATCAAGTCACGACGGGGTGAGCTCCCGTTGCTCGGTCCCTGCTCCTGCCAACCTAGCAGTTTGAAAGCATGTCAGAATGCAAGTAGATAAATAGGTACCACTCCGGCGGGAAGATAAACGGCGTTTGTGTGCGCTGCTCTGGTTCACCAGAAGTGGCTTAGTCATGCTGGCCACATGACCTGGAAGCTGTACGCCGGCTCCCTCGGCCAGTAAAGCAAGATGAGCGCCGCAACCCCAGAGTCGGTCACGACTGGACCTAATGGTCAGGGGTCCCTTTACCTTTACTTTATATATATATATATAAGCAGAGGTGGAGCACAAGATATGAAAATGTGGAAAGCAAAGAGCAAAGGCAGGCAGGATGTTTTAGGGCAGTGGGTCTAAGTCTGAAAGCATCCTCACTGTGATCAGTCCAAATCATTCCTATTCCTTCCCAGGCTAATGTGTGAAATAGCCTCCTTGCTCACCATGGAAGCAACATGTGGCACTTAAAAAAATAAAATAAAAAGGTAGGAAAAGTCCACCTGAAGCGTGGGGGAAGGGGGCAAGACTGATAACTTCACCTTGCAGCTGAGGACCATGCCGTGATCTCTCTTTCTTATTAAGCTCTGTCTTCACCTGTGGAGTGTGATTCCGAATGACGGTGGAGGTACAAAATAGCCATTGTGGCAAGCAAACTTTGATAGCTATATTTGCCATGGATTTCTCTGGTTTTTTTAAAACCATCCCAATTGCTGGCCATCCCTGCCTCTTGTTGGGAGCCAGTTCCACAGTTAGTGCTGTGTGAAGGAGCTTGCCCATCTCTCAAGAGGTGGGTGGGTGTCTGTGGCATGACACTATCCCCCAGAATCCGGCCCTCCCCCTGCCTGCAATAAGCACATAAGAATACCAGACTGCTTTACAGGGTCGTTGTAAAGGTGTCGCGAGATCAAAGTGCTTTAAAGCATCATTCCGCGAGCGAAAAAGACCCATGTTTACGGCAAGCAAGCTGGAGAGCTTGTCGGCTGCCAGAATTTGCCCAAAAAAAGTTCAGCTGTTTCCCAAAGTTGTGCTTCGCTCTTTCCACAGTCGTGTGAATGAGAGGAAGCAAAAGTGAGTGGTTCAAAGAAATCATCTGTGCCAGATGCTGGACTCACGTTTCTTGGCTAAATAGGCTTTGCCCCCTCTCCAGACTGCTGCAACCCGGTGTCCCACAGAATTCAATGGGAGCGATCATGAGCCAAGGCAGCACCTCTCCTTTCCGGATTCTCTTTCTGCCTTGTTCTGTTTGCTGCGTCCCAGCGCTCCTCTCCCTCCTTCCTGCTATTGCACCATCGCCCCTTTTTACCTTGCAAAGCTCCCTGTGTCCCCAGGAGATCTCTGATCCAGCTGTTCTCTGAAGCGGCTCCTTCCCCTCCCGAGCAGGCAGCTGAATTTGCTGACTCTCTCTGCTAAGGGAAAGCATGTCTTTTCCCCCTCCCACCCAACCCTCCACCCCGGCTCCTCCCTGGGAAAGCTGCACTTGAGGGACTCCTTGCAATTCACAGCCTTTTGCAACAAAGGTCTGTATAGTTAAAGCTCTGGTTTTCCCAGTAGTGATGTATGGAAGTGAGAGCTGGACCATAAAGAAGGCTGATCGCCAAAGAATTGATGCTTTTGAGTTATGGTGCTGGAGGAGACTCTTGAGAGTCCCATGGACTGCAAGAAGATCCAACCTATCCATTCTGAAGGAAATCAGCCCTGAGTGCTCACTGGAAGGACAGATTTTTCGGAGCTAGCCGACCTAACCAGACCAGAAGGAGGAGGAGTATCAGGAAGATTGGATCAAATTTAATGATTACATAGTTAAATATGTTAAGTTAAACTAACTGAAAACAGCTTGCAGATACTTAATTGGCTTAGGATTTTATTTAAGTTAAGTGATGAATTAATATGTTTAATTTCATAATGTGAAGATCTAAGGATGTTAATGTTTAAGTTAAATTACTTTAAGAACTGCGACTTGGAAAACCGTTAGAAGGACATGCAATGAAATTCAACCAAGGGGAAGCGAGGAAGTCATTTAACAATGTTAATAAGCGTAATTTTTAATATGGCTATGATCTTCGTTTGTTTGTTTTATGTGTTTGTTTATAATGTTGTGAAAACCAATAAAAACTTTTTTGGGGAAAAACAAACAAACTGCGGGAAGCAGTGGAAGACAGGAGTGCCTGGCGTGCTCTGGTCCAGGGGGTCACGAAGAGTTGGACACGACTAAATGACTAAACAACAACAACTGTGGGGCTTGGTAAGCAAATTGCACCATTTAAAACACACAATGTCTTTCAAGACCTATCTGCGAATAAGCCCTACAGAAATCAGTGGGGATTCCTTCTGAGTAAGGAAATCAGCCCTGAGTGCTCACTGGAAGGACAGATCCTGAAGCTGAGGCTCCACCTCATGAGAAGAGAAGACTCCTTGGAAAAGACCCTGATGTCGGGAAAGATGGAGGGCACAAAGAGAAGGGGACGACAGAGGACGAGATGGTTCGACAGTGTTCTCAAAGCTACCAACATGAGTTTGACCAAACTGCGGGAGGCAGTGGAAGACAGGAGTGCCTGGCGTGCTCTGGTCCAGGGGGTCATGAAGAGCCTAAACAACAACAACAAGCCTGCAATGGGAAGAGGAAAGGAGACAAAAGCTGGAGGGCTGGGGTTGGCACTCTCTCTGCAAGGGGAAAAGGCTAGCAGCCTGTAAGGACATCCTAACAGGCAAATCTCTGGAACCTGAAACCAGTATTTCCAAAATTTGTGATAGCAGAAGCGGCCTTTCCTTTAAAACAACAACAACAAAACTGAATGAAAATTGGAGGGGGTGCCATCCTTCACTCTTCCACCGAAAGAGGTTTTATGTGTAAGAGGAGCTCACTCTTTGTGCTTGTCAGTTGGTTAGAGGGTGGTGCTGATCATGCCAAGGTTGCAGGTTTGATCCCGGGATGGGATAGACAGTGCCAGATTTTTATTTATTTATTTTTTTATTTATTTAATTTTTATTTACATCCCGCCCTCCCCGGCCAAGACCGGGCGCAGGGCGGCTAACATCGGGTATAAAAACAATTGATTAAAATACAACTTCGAAACAAGATTAAAATACTACTTAAAATGCAGCCTCATTTCAAATGGTATAAAAGAATATGAAAGAATTGGATTTTTAATAGGTAAATATTTAATGCTATAATATATTAAGATTAAGGATCAGGATAAAATAAGGAGGGAAAGGAATTTCTGAACTAATAAATTGAACTGGAATACAAAAAAGGGAGGTATGAGGAGGTCCGGGAAACAAGCAAATGAAAGATAAGTGACAAAAAGATGGAATTGTTTTTAACTGTTTTTTATTTTGTATTTTTTCTTTTTTCTTTTTCATTATGTAATATTGTGAAAACTTTAATAAATATTTATAAAAAATAAAAAATAAAATGCAGCCTCATTTCAGTGGAAGCCCAGATCAAAAACGGTTTTGTGGGGGAGAAAACGTCAAATCTTCACCAAGGCCAGCTATCCAGACTGGTCCTATGTGGGACAGAAAAGCCCAAACAAGCTACCGTATTTTTTGCACCATAACACTCACTTTTTTCCTCCTAGAAAGTAAGGGGAAATGTCTGTGCGTGTTATGGAGCGAATGCCTACGGATGACGGGGGGATCTGCTGCAGTCGTGAGCAGAGGATCCATGGTTACAGCCTGCACCAAAAAAATCACGCACCCACTGTTGCCTGGGGCCACAATGGTGCAAAAACATGGTTACAAAGCATGGATCCACATGGATCCTCAGGATTTTTGCATTGGGCTACCCCAAACTCACTGTCAGATCACATGTCTGTGGCCACAGCATGAACCACAAAAATCATACATCCACTGTTTCGTTTAGAATATTTTTTTTTCTTGTTTTCCTCCTCTCAAAACTATGTGCGTGTTATGGTCGGGTGCGTGTTATAGAGCGAAAAATACGGTATATAGCTTAGGACCCCACTCTCTTGGGGGCCTGAAAAAAATTTAAAGGGGAAAAAAACCTGGATGTACATTTCCAAAATATAAGATAAAAAAGAACAAAATAAAACCTACATACATCAACAGTGTTTTGTTTTGCTTTGTTTTGTTTTGTTTTGTGTTGTGTTGTGTACGTTCCTATGATGTAAGTAATGGGCCCGCCCCGCCTGCTAGCCTACTCCCTAGAATATCACTGGTTTGCTCATTTCTATATCAATTACTCTGATAAAATACATATTTCGTTTTGTGCAAATGGCTTTAGATACCTCTTAGGTCCATAAATGACCATGCAGCATATATTCAACGCAAAAAACAGCGAGAATTTGTTGTTGACAAAGGACAGCTGGACAAATAAAGGGCCCCATTACCTTCAGTAGCTTAGGGCCTCATCAAACCTAAATCCGGTCCAGAGAGAGAGTGTATGTGTCCTTTTTTTAGGGGATACTCAATGGTACGCAGTACTGGCACCTCTTTTTTGTTGTAAAAAAGTGTGACACTTAACTGTAACAACTTCATGGTGAATACCGGCACCTATTCTCTCTCTGTGTGTGTGTGTGTGTGTGTGTGTGTGTAACATAGTGTCGAATCAAGAGAAAAAATACACGAAGAGCAGACACAATATTATAGCGCGATCTTAACCATGTCTACTTTTTTATAAACTGAATGTGCATAATCCAAATAAAATTCTGAAATCCACACTTGAGTAATACCAGTATTTGACCCAAACTAAATGTCCACAATATAGTGAGCAAGCTTAAATGGGCTGGGTATTACACAAAGTAAGGAAAAATTAAACAGATACTGCCACCTCATAAAGGAGATGTGTGTATATGATTTGTAGTGGCACAAACATGGCGGCACTCAAATCTACTCTTATTTGCATGGTCATACCATGGACCTGGATCCTTGACCACAGCACACTGGGATTTTAAAATTTTTTGAACAGTAATGTGTCATTTCCTATAAAGTTCAATGTGATGCTCCAGGTAACTGTGTGAGAGATACCTCAGTTGGTAAAGCATGAGACTTCATCTCAGGGTTGTGGGTTAGAGATCCATGTTGGACCAAAGATTTCTGCATTGCAGGGGGTTGGACTAGATGACCGTTGGCGTCCCTTCTAACTCTATGATTCCATGATAAGAGTGCAGCCTTGGTCTGAGTTCAAGACCAAACCTGGAGATAGCTGCTGCTGAATTTAGAGCCTGTTTCCACCTCGCAGGTATGCTCTGATTTTGCAGCCTACCCTGAAATGTTTGCCTTTTTAAAAAAGCAAATAGCAGCAAAACGCCACCCGCTGAATCACAGGATGAAGGATTATTTATAAATAATAGTTTTAAAATGAAACATGATTCCAAGAAAAATAATACTTAAAATTGTAATATGAATTAAAATATGAAACCTGATTGCACGTGAAAATAATACAGTGGTACCTCGGGTTACATACACTTCAGGTTACAGACTCTGCTAACCCAGAAATAGTACCTCAGGTTAAGAACTTTGCTTCAGGATGAGAACAGAAATCGTGCGGTGGCAGCTGAACGTCCCATTAGCTAAAGTGGTGCTTCAGGTTAAGAACAGTTTCAGGTTAAGAACAGACCTCCAGAACAAATTAAGTATGTAACCTGAGGTACCACTGTAATTAAAATTGCAATATGAATTAAGAAATGAAATACGATTCCAAAGAAATATAATAATTAAAATTGAAATATGGATTTAAAAAATGAAACATTATTCCAAAGAAAGATAATAATTAAAATTGCAGTACGAATTTAAAAAACGAAACATGATTCCTAAGAAAAATAATAATTAAAATTGCAATATGAATTAAAAAATCAAACATGATTCCCAAGCAAAAATAAATTGCAATATGAATTAAAAATTTGAAAGATTCGAAAGAAAAATAATTAAAATTGCAACATGAATTAAAAAATGAAACACGATTCCAAATAAAAGTAAGGATGAAAACTGCAATATGAATGAAAACATGGAACGTGAGTCCAAAGAAGGGTGACATAAAAAAAAACCGCTTCTGCGCGTTTCGTTCGTTCCCGAGGAAGCCACTTTGCAGACCTTCCCTTACTCCTGGCTGCCCCGGAAGAGCTCCTGCTCGCTTCCTGTCCCGCCCCCTTCACCTCAGAGCTGAGCTGGTTCGTCCACAGTCTGCGGCTACCGGAAGAAGCCTGCGAGCGGCTACCGGAAGGGAGGGAGGGAGGCAGGCGAGGAGGACGGAGCTCTCCGCGCGCGGTTTCTCGGCGGGCGTTGTGAGGCGGCAGCGGCCGAGGCCTCCGGCGAGAGAGCGGCGGTTTCGAGCTCGCGGGACGCCCTCGGCAGAGCCTTCCCCGCGCCTGGACGCCGCCGCTGGCGAGGCGGGAGCCGGGCCATGTCGCGCAGGCGGCACAGCGACGAGAACGATGGTGAGCGGGCGGGCGGGCGGGGAGAGTCCGGGGGTGGCCCCTCAGGGGACCCGCCGCCGGGGGAGAGAGAGACCCCCCCCCAACCCGCCTCCTTGGGGCACGTGCTTCGTACAGGAACAACGGCAGCCTTGGCGCGCGCCTTCCTGCACGCCAACTTTAAAAAAAAAAAAAACCAACACCGTGCGCATTAAATTTATTTATTTTATTAAATTGAACTTGCCACAGGAAGGCGCCACAGACCGAGTTCTGTCAGTACTCAATGCCAAGCCCAGTTGTGTCTGCTCTGGCTGGCAGCACTTGGCCAGCCCAGTTGTGTCTGCTCTGGCTGGCAGCACTTGGCCAGCCCAGTTGTGTCCGCTCTGGCTGGCAGCACTTGGCCAGCCCAGTTATGTCTGCTCTGGCTGGCAGCACTTGGCCAGCCCAGTTGTGTCTGCTCTGGCTGGCAGCACTTGGCCAGCCCAGTTGTGTCTGCTTTGGCTGGCAGCACTTGGCCAGCCCAGTTGTGTCTGCTCTGGCTGGCAGCACTTGGCCAGCCCAGTTGTGTCTGCTCTGGCTGGCAGCACTTGGCCAGGTTCTGGGGGAAAGGGCTTCTTTCCATGCCCACATGAGAGAGAGAGAGAGACTGTGAACTATTTGCACCAATGGCATGGGACCTCCTGCAAGGAGGAGTGGGGGGTTTAAGGGGTTTGGAGATCCGGGTTTTCCCAAACCTGGGTGTCCCACTGTTTTTGGACCACACTTCTCATCATCCTTGACCGCTGGTCCTGTTAGCTAGGGATGACAGGAGTTGTAAGACACAAGTTTGGGAAACCCTGGTGTAGATTAATTTTATTTAGGGGAGACTGTGACTGAGGCCCCCCCCCCAAGGTATGAGTATGTGTTGTTAACCCTAAAAATACCTTAGTTGCAGCATAGAATCAGAGAGTTGGAAGAGACGACTAGGGTCTCCGATCCAACCCCCTGCAATATTTTGCCCAACTCAGGTCTTGAAACCCAGGACCCTGAGATTAAGAGTCTTGTGCTCTATCAAATGAACAATTCCAACCAAAGAAAGAAAACCAATGTATATATTTGACGAAAAGGGATTCGGAGGACAGGGAAGAAATACAGTAGATATGTGGTTTGTTTAATGGGTGGAAATGCTATTTATGCTATTGCTTGGGAGTGCTGTGGCTGCCCAGTACCAGCCCTGGGCCAAGACCCCTTTGTCCCAGGTCATGTGCATTTTCAGCTTTTGCTGATTGTAGAATAAAGTGACCATTTTCAATATGAATAAACTATCTTCACAGACGATTTCCATGCCATTTGTTGCTGACTCAAACAAAGTACTTTTTTATGCAGAGAGTTTGCACAATTTAGTGGCAGCCAAGTAAAGAGTAATCAAGTTGTATTATCAAGTATATGAAAACTAACTGTGATTACCATTTGTGTTTCATTGGTGTCCTAGCACCATGTCACATATTGTGTAGTAGCGGCTCCCTCCTCTTCTGTGTCGTGGGAACATAGATATCACGGAAGGTACCATTATTAAGTAATAAGTAGCAGATCAATAAGCCTTGGCTTGTCCTCATTCAGTGTGAGGAGGAAGGAGTAGTATAAGGAATGGGGTGAAGTTTTGTATGAGTATAGGATTTGGTGGTGGGGTTTCCATAGAAGGAAGAAATGGAGTTTAATGTTGAGCTTTGAAAAGAGAGTGTCTGATTTTCTTGTCTTACTCTTAATTTTGAGAGCTGAAAGCAGAAGGTATTTGGCAAAATAACTGAGATGTTCAAAACACCTTTGCAATCTGTCAGACTTGTCAGGAATTCTTTAGTTCATGGATAGGCAAACTAAGGCCCAGGGGCCAGATCCAGCCCAATCACTTTCTAAATCTGGCCCACGGATGGTCTGGGAATCAGCGTGTTTTTATATGAGTAGAATATGTGCTTTTATTTAAAATGCATCTCAGGGTTATTTGGGGCATAGGAATTCATTCATTTTTAATTTTTTCAAAATATAGTCTGGCCTACCACATGGCCCGAGGGACAGTGGACCAGCCCATGGCTGAAAAAGGTTGCTGACCCCTGGTCTAGAACAAATTATTTCAGCCTGGTCTGTGGAGAAAGCCTATCGTCATTTCCTGCACAACACTATTAGGGCAAACAAACTTTCACATTATTATTTTTCCCTGTAAGTGCAAAGCTGCTTGCAGTGTTGGGCCCAGTTACCGTATTTTTCGCCCTATATGACGCACATTTTCCCCTCCAAAAATGAAGGGGAAATGTATGTGCGTCCTATGGGGCGAATGCAGGCTTTCGCTGAAGCCTCCAGAGCGAGAGGGGTCGGTGCGCACTGACCCCTCTCGCTCTCCAGGCTTCAGGAAGCTATTCGCAAGCCTTGGGAGCCCGTGGAAGTTACCGCTGGGCTCCCAAGGCTTGAGGACAGCAGCCTGCAGCCCGAAACCTGGGGAGCGCACCCCGGGTTTCGGGCAGCTCTCCGCAAGCCTTGGGAGCCCGGCGCGACTTCCCGCCGGGCTCCCTAGGCTTGCGGATAGCAGTCTGCATACTGAAGCCTGGGGCGTGCTGAGCAGCGCGCCCCGGGCTTCGGGCAGATATCCACAAGCCTGGGGAGGCTATCCCAAGGCTTGCGGATAGTAGCCTGTTCTGGGGGCTGGGGTCGGGGGAAGCTCGGGCTTACCATGCCCCAGCCCCGCGCCTGGGGGGGAAATATATTTTTTTTCTTTATTCTCCCCCCCCCCAAAAAAAAACCCCTAGGTGCGCCCTATGGGGCGAAAAATACAGTAGTTTGCACGGATGCAGTAGTTGTGTGGAACAGGCCTCCCTCAGGGCCAGTTCAAGCTGAACTTTACCCTAGAAGGTGCTCCAGAGACCTTTCCTATACTCAGGGGCTCCATGATAGATAGGTCAATACGGAAGGAAAACTGGGAGGGAAACTTCTCTAAAGGCTTTCATCCAAATGTAGATCTATTCTGGTGTTGTTCAGTGTTTCTTCCTTTAGATTCAGAATTTGTAAGCAAAAGCTTTTCTTCCCTTAACTAATCTTTTTGTTAAAAGATGCTGATAAACTTTGTGGAACAGTTTCTTGCTGTTCTTCGGCATCGCCCATTAAGATCGTTGCTATTTACAGATCAGCCATCACTTTAAGTGTCACTTAAACCTAGACTGCAGTCCAAACCTTGCTTGTCTGGGAGTAAGCCCCATTGAATTAATTAGGACATGGTTAGGATTGTGTTGTAATTTAGACCTGTACCACCTATTAAGTCATTTGAATACTACTGTGCAAGTACAATGAGGTGGTAGTCTAAAACTATGTTGACAGCTAACGTTTTCACTTCCGATTGGCGATGGAAAATGATTGGTTCGTATACATGCATTTCAGTTTTGCATGCCTTGTTTAGCTCCTTGACCTTTGGAAATAAAAGGTTGATTGCTTACTCTCCTTTCCTTCAAGTCTTTAAAATGAGCCCTGCTATATTCTCAATAGGGGGTGGGGTTTTTTGGTCTCGCTTTCCTCCTGGCAGGGTCAGAGGAAGCATGGCCTACTCACATCAGTTTAGCTACAACTGCTATTTTGGCTGCTCCTCTCCCAGAACTTTTCCATGTAGGCGTTAAACATTTTATATCTGCAAAGAGTTTTTGTCTGAATTGGCTTGTTCTGTTTGATCTTCCTCCTTTTGTATCGTGTCTGTTAAGTTGTAAGCCTGTGGGCAGAGTGTTGGATGCTTTTCATCTTAGGACAGCAACTAGAAAATTCCAGGTGCTCTATAAATAATGGCTTGGATCCTTCATTTCTTTCTGCCAGCAGGAACATCATGTGGGTGGAGTTCCACTCATAGGACACTCAGAACAATGGGGAGGGAGGAAAGCGACTTTTCAGTGGCATTGTGGAGGAGGCATTAATCACCTCCGTGGCCCAGCCAGCTGTCCCCTCTTTGCTAGTTTTATCAGCCAAGGGTCCAGAGTGCAAGTAGTTGCCTTGACCGATCCAAGTACCTTGTCCATGCCATCAAGCCTTACCGACTGAAACTCATCCAACACAACAGGACCAGACAGTGCTATGGACCAGAGTTTGAAATTCACCAGGCATGTTTTTGCTACTGGTGTGGGTCCAAGTGCGACTACATGGAGATTGTTGAGTGCCGGGTTGGCGGCTGACATCTCCATTGAGCCAGCTGACTCACACGCAGTTCTCTATCATCACATCAAGGAATGTAAGTGCAGGGCTGAGTACAGATATATTTGACTGTGCTGCAGCCTGTCCACAGGCCACCCAAATGAATCTCACAGACCACAGTTTAAAAACGCCTGCTTGGTCCATAGTTGATTCCATTTCCACTGTGTGTGTTTCTCCTTCTTGCATACTGGGACAAGTGAATTGTTGTAAGAGCAAGCTGCAGTCAAGCAATGTAGCTGAGATCATAGAATTGTAGCACTGGAAAGGACCCCATCTGGTCCAACCCCCTGATGAATAGACATTCCATTGTGGCGATCGTAACTTAGGTTTAAGGTGCACTTTGGTGCCTAGCTTCCATATCTGAGTTTCTAACACTGCTCTGGATACCCCTTGAGTGGATTCAATATTACAGTGGATGCAAGCGATTTTATTCTCAAAATGCTTAGCAAACAAGTCGCAGTGAGATACCATCGGTTCTGCCACTTCCTTCAGGCCAGACTGTAAGAGACCCTGCACGGCCTGTAAAAGCTTTGTAATGAAGGCAGCAAAGTATGCCGCCTTTGCTCCCTTCACTGCTCAAGGACAAGCCCTTACCCATGTTTGATTGCATTTGACCAGAGTTTTCCCCTGCTCATGTTCTAGCTGTCTCCCAGCTTGTTTCCTCGCCCTAAGCTCTGGAGTATACCAGGGGAGCCAAGCAGGCTCCACAAAACAGGAGAGAGCGCTCGGGCGAGTGTGTCAATGACTCAAGCCATCCAGATTTCCCACAAGTCATCCAGGGCTTCAACAGGAGCGCCAGTCATACCAGCTGGCAAATCCCCCAGGGCCATCTGGAATCCAGTTGGCTCCATCAGCCTCATAGGTCCATCCATCCTTATAGGTCTCCCACCTGTAAAGACACTGAGAGCCTAAATCTCAACAGGAAGTGATCTGGTTATGACAAAGGACTTGTGTCAATATCCCCCACTCTTGGATCATCCTTTCCCTTCTTAGTTGAGAAAGCAAAGTCCAGAGTGTGACCTACCAAATGTGTTGAGCCAAAGGCTTATTGGGACAGCCTCATGATTGCCATGGCAGTCATGAAAACCTGAGCCACCCCAGAGGCATGGATGACCCCCAACAACAGCAGTCTGGGAGTCCTCAATACTGCCTCCAAGACCAACTCTGTCAGCTCAGGCAGGGGAACTGTTGGGCAGCAAGGCAGCCAGTAAACCAGAATTGGCCAACATCAGGGACAGGGACGGGTCCTCACTCAACTGGACAGAGAGTCTTGACAGAGAGATGGAATATCTAGACGATCGCAGCTCCCCCTCCCTGACCCTCAAGTCTGTCCTGATAGTGTCCTGATACCCAGGTGGGCACAGCTGGGTAAGACCAACTCCACCCTGTTCACTTAGGACTCAGTGATACAGGCGAAATCGGCCTCCTCATCCACAATCAGATCATGGATGAGAGAGGCCTTCTTCAAAGCCAGTCTGGCATTCAACAGCAGCAGGCACAGACTCAACAGTTGGATGATAGGACAATTACAGTTCCCCAGGTTGGAGGGAGTGTTGTCACACAGCACAATTACTAACTGCCTGTCCATTTGCCCCTTACCAGGCCTAGCCCACCCCCACACCATACCTCCCCTCGTCCAGAACCACTATGATTGGGTTCCCCTCTGCTCTCCCCAGCTCCACTCTTCCCAGCTACATTTTACATCCTTTAATTTAAAAAACCACAACAAAAACCCCAAATTTAAAAACACACGTTAAAAAAACAATTAAAACAGGATTTGAAACAATTAGAGCAAGGCTATCCCCAGAGAAAATGATGTTATGCCCCTTGCCTTTCCCTAAGGTCGCTCCCCTTTGGGGGGTGCCACCGCTATTGGCCCAGGTCTTGATATAGCTCCCCCCGCCCCCGGTAGATTGAGCAGACTTCTCTCTGCTGACCAAAGGTGCAAAAAGACCGGCTTTCTCAAGAGATGGAGGAAGGCTAGATGAACAGCTCACCACCTCACTGATGGTCTCTGGCTGTTGCTACCTTTGAGAGTGAAGCATCAGCATGGAAGATATTGTGGGCTGAGTTCTTCTCTGCTTTATCTCATTGATACAGGAGGGCAGCCACACAAGAGGAGGAGAACATCTGAGCCATCTGAAATTGAAGAGCGGCTGGAATCCTTAATATGCAGAGTAGGAGAAAAGGTATGAGGGACTGCAGCTTTATACTGTTTTGCATGCGTGGTTTTAAAAGCTTTTAAACTGTGTATTGCAGTGCAAATACCTTTACCCAGAGTTCTTCTTCTTCTAATCCTCTCAGAGTACTTCTTCTTTGGAGAGTAACTTGGAAGGCCTGGCTGGGGTCTTGGAGGCAGATTTACCAAACTACAAAAGCAAGATACTAAGAATCCTTTGTACAGTGTATGTATGCAAAAGATTTATGGATCCAGGTGATAATGTATTACCTACACTAAATGCTTTTAAACATTCATAAGGTTACGTTGTATATTTGTGTGTGTGTGTCTGTCATTAATTTTCTGTCCTAGATGTTTTCTGTCTTAGATGTTGAAACTGAGAGGAAATCTCAGGGAGGAAATCAACAAACTGAGTAAAACCAATAGTCTGTTTACCTTAGGCAGAAAGTTTTTGAGCTGATAATCATTGACTAGCCTTTCTGAGTAAATGTGCGTACGGTTCATGGTCAGAAATGGGAAAAAGGACCTCAGGTTTTAATTAAAAGTGCACCACTTGCCAAATATTTTGAGGTGGTTGTTGGCGATGGTGAGGTGAGCAGTAGTGTGTTGGTACTTCTTTTTTTCCACTGTATTGCCTTGCGTGCATGCGTGCTTTCTGGAGTGCTATTGCTGATCATTTAGCCACATACACTGCAATGCAAATGCCACAGTTGGTCTGTTGACTGCAGCAGTCAACTGAGGCATGTTTTGTAGTTCCACATTGCTGGGAGATATTTCAAGGCGCTCCAGGAAAGTATAAGAACTTTGCCTCAGTTCTGCCTCCTGCTCTTCCTCCTGTTTCTTCTGTTCTTTTCAACCAGTGCCCCACAGTACAAGGAGAGACACTGCTACTCTACAGTGGAGCTGAACTAAAGGCCGGACTCAACTGCCCCGTTCTGCTAGCGGAAGACGGCACGAGGACTCCTGATATTGCAAAGGAGCTTCCTCCCCCAAATCTGCTCTGGAGGGTTGGGAGATTCCCCCCCACCCCCAGTAATATTCAGGGAGAGGAGTGGGGAGATCATTCCATTGGGCAAGCAGAAATACTTGCGCTGATGGTATGATCTCCTTAGTGCTATGTTGAATTTCACCCTAAGAGGAAAAAACACAGTTGATCATGTTGCGTAATTTATATGTATTTTATTCTAGTTTTCCAAGGAGAGCTTCAAAAATAAGTCAGATTCAAGCAGAGCCCTTTCTCACTTTGTTCTAGGATATAGATTCTTGAGTTCAAAAAAATATCTGTATCCCACCTAACGGTTTGAATTTGCCATGTTGAAGACTGATAACACAATGTTTGCAATCTGAATTAATGCCTGATGTTTGTGTCTCCTCCTTAATGGGAAAAAAAATCAGTGCACGTTTGTTACCCGTAAAGCTGACGGTTTACACTACTTTAGTCGGCCTCCTGAACGCAAGGAACTACAACTTTGGCGGAGAGTTTGTAGAAGCCATGATACGTCAACTCAAAGAGTGTTTCAAAGTCAACATGTATAGTGAAGCTGTGGTTTTAGTAAGTTCCTTTTGCATCTTACAGCCTTTATTTAGTTTTTTTCCAGTGAATCTGAAGGGCTTACCTTTCATCTTGCAGGGTGCAGTTGTGGAAAACTCAATCTCGTTTTCTCCCCAATGCACCCATCCAAACCCACACTTGCCCATCTATTTGTAGCTTTACTACAGTGCTAGTGGCATGGCATGTTGTGTGATTTTAGTGCTTGTTCAGAGAGCATCCTCATTACACTGACGGCACACAAAGGATTAAGATCCAGCAGGTAGATTTTTTTCTTATTCACTGCGTCTTTTTGATACAGTCGTACCTTGGTTGTCGAATGGAATCTGTTCCAGAAGTCTGTTCGACTTCCGAGAACGTTCAACAACCAAGGCACGTCAGACATACAGCTTCCAAAGAACGTTCACAAACCAGAACACTCACTTCCGGGTTTGCAGCGTTCAAGAGCCAAAACGTTTGACTCATAAGGCGTTCGGGATCCAAGGTACGACTGTAATTTACAACTCACAGGTGAAGCTTTTTTGTTTTCTGTCTTGCTGCTGCCTTTTTAAGGGATTCCAGCCGATGATAAGGTTGGGTCTCGGTCTCGTGTGCTTCCTCTTCTGCTCCCTCACCAAGGGCAGAAGGTAGTGCGGTCACAGTGGGACTCTGATTTTTGGAGAGCCTGCTTTTCTCTATCGGCTGAGGGAGGATCCCAAAACAGATTCCATTCTCACCACAACTAAACTCCCAGCTCCCCCTTCTCTTTCTCTAGGTCCGTTTTCTGTCTGATCTTGTGAATTGTCATGTAATAGCTGCCCCATCAATGGTGGCCATGTTTGAAAATTTCGTTGCTGTGACTCAGGAGGAGGATGTACCTCAGGTAAGCAAAGACATTCTTTTGTTCCATTGATGATTTTGCTTTTAAGATACCTGCCTTTGGAAGAAGAAAAAGCAGGCTTCCTCGGCCCTCCTGATGTTTTTGGCCTACAACTCCCATGATCCTTAGCTAGCAGAACCAGTGGTCAGGGATGCTGGGAACTGTAGTCTCAAAACACCGGAGGGCCGAGGTTGAGGAAGCCTGAGAAAAAGAATGCCTCAACACAGTCAGAAACGTTCCATCAGGATTCTTGAAGGATCTATAATTCTAACCTGCTAGGGCCAACCCTAATTCAGGTTTGGGATTTGAAGCTCCTTGAATAAAACAGACACTGAAATGTCAAATTGTCAGGGATAGGAATTTACCCTTTAGGAAGCCTGGACACAAACTGGTGATCAGAGAACCCATCACTTATCACCAGAACATCCTCCTAGTGCCTCTACCAGAAACTCTGTTTATTCATATTAAACTTTGCCTAAGGAGACCAAATAACACCAGGGTGCTGGATTTGGGTTGGCGGGCCACCAGTTGCTTACTTCTAGACTAGATCATCTTGCACACACCTGCTGACATCTCTACAGCATTATGGTATGTGCTCTGTCACTGAGCTATATGGCCTTTCCGTTCTCTGGCTTGTTCATCTTCTGCGTATTTTCTGCAGCTGTTTTCATATTGGTATAGTTTTAGAATCGGTATTTAAGATATCTAGATCTGTGGGGTGATTTCTGCCAACTGCTGGCAAGACTGGGCATTTTCCAGGCCATGGGTGATCTAGGGAAAGTGAGGGTACATCCTAAATAAAATTGGAGGAAAGATGTGGTCAATTAAAGTAGAACTTAAATAAATGCTTATGCAACCAGTATGATGCATGAACAACTTTTGAGAATTTGCCCTCTTTGTTTAGTAGTCTAGTTGCATATATTTAGACAGCTGTTAATGGATATAAGCATATTGGCCTGTTGTGTTTTAGAGATCCAGCGTGGTGTAGTGATTAAGAGCGGTGGACTCGTAATCTGGTGAACTGGGTTCACTTCCCAGCTTTTCCACATGCAGCTGCTGGGTGACCTTGGGCTAGTCACACTTCTCTGAAGTCTCTCAGCCTCACGCACCTCACAGAGTGTTTGTTGTGGGGGAGGAAGGGAAGGGAGATTGTTATCCGCTTTGAGACTCCTTAAGGGGAGTGAAGGGCAGGATATCAAGTCCAAACTCCTCCTCCTCCTCCTCCTCTTCTTCTTCTTGATGATGATTTGTGTTTGAAGCATTATATCGGAATATAAGCCCCTTACCCTTGTTCCTTTTATGCGCCTGAACATTACCATCACTTCTGTTTGCCACAGGTACGCTGTGACTGGTATGTGTATGCTTTTCTCTCATCCTTACCTTGGGTGGGGAAGGAGTTGTATGAGAAGAAGGATGCTGAGATGGACCGCATCTTGTCCCAGGTTGAAAACTACCTGAAGTAAGAGAACAGTAACCAATCTGCTTTGCCTTACTAGATAGCAGAGTAGAAAAAAGTATTTGTTTTATCAGTCTCTGTCCTCACCCTCCTCTCCCCCTGCCCCCAAGAGGGGGGGGGGACACAGGACACATTACCGTGCAAAGTACTACAACTGTCATCACTCCTTATGTCCAACCAGTCTGGGACAGAAGATTACCAGACTGCACCAAGATTCAGAGGAAGAAAGAGCTAAGAAGCAGGCTCTCTGCTTCCTGAACCCTAGACAAAACACTTAAAACAGTAACAAGCAACCCAGATGGTTAGGAACTGGGTTCAGTACCATGCCACCATGTCCTCAAAGACAAATCCACAGACGCGTCGTAGGCCACCTGAACGAAGCTCACGGACCACAGTTTGGGAACCCAGGCCCTAGAACTTTATTAGATTTTGTTTTTTGAATTGTGCCGAAGTCGTCATGGTTATCATGTAACTTTAAAAGTGTGTGCTCTTAGGTCTTGACTTGACTTTCTTTTCAAAAGCCCCATAAACTCACACAAAAAAGAAAAAGGGGAAAAAAACTGAGCTGGGAATTGGATAATTGAAAATGCATACCTAACCATACTCTGGCAACAAGCCCACCCCTCTATCGGTCATGCTTGCTTATCTGAGTAACTTTTATATTTCCTTTCACTCTATTTCAGACGGCGTCAAAAGATTCACGTACCAATGCTACAAGTTTGGTCTGCTGATAAACCACATCCACAAGAAGAGGTAAAACGTGGCAAGGAGTCTTGAGTACATGTCACCACATATATCTGAATAATTTTATTTCAAATATATTGTCCTTTGTAGAGCTTGCAGTGTGGTTTACAAGTCCAAGATAAAATACTAATTGAGCGCATTTTAAAAATTAACACATTATAAACCCTGGAAAAATAAAAAAAGATGTTTTTATCTGGCAATGAGAAGAAATGTTGGCACCCAGTAGGCCTCAAATAAAGTCCTCGGTTTTTTTAAAAAATATATATCATGTGGCGCTGTGGGCTGCTGTTTTCAAATCCAAGTCAAAACTTACTTATGTGGTTCTTTAGATCAAGGGGGTGGGGGCTAAACCGTGGCACTCCAGATGTTGCCAGACTACAAGTCCCATCACCCCTGAACATTGACTGTGTTGGCTGAGCCTGATGGGAGTTACAGTCTAGCCAGTTCTGATGCCCTACAGGCTAGCCACCTCTGCTTTCCTTCCTGAGGCACTAACAGCAGCAGAGGACAAAAGGACGTTTGCGGGGATGGATGGAGAGTTGGCTTCCAAGTTGGGCAGTGGAGTGGATGGAAGAAGAAGTGCCATTCTGTTGGCAGCGGGCGTCTTCCTGCATGATGGGCACTTTTGTTTTTCAGTACTTGGATTGCCTGTGGGCTCAGGTTCAGAAGCTGAAGAAGGACCGCTGGCAAGAAAGGCACATCCCAAGGCCATACCTTGCTTTTGACAACGTGCTCTGCGAGGCGCTGCAGCACAATCTGCCGCCCTTCACTCCGCCACCTCACACCGAAGACTCCGTTTACCCGATGCCGAGAGTTATCTTCAGAATGTTTGACTACACTGATGATCCTGAGGTGAGTTGCGTGTACGTACGGATGGTGGTTAACGGGTTGAGGCTGAATCACGACAAGACAGAAGCACTGTTTCTGGGGGACGGGGCAGACAGTTGTGGGGGGCTCCCTAGTCCTGAATGGGGTAACTAAAGAACCAGGTGCACAGCCTTGGGGTCATTCTGGAGTCACAGCTGTCCATGGAGGCGCAGGTCAATTCTGTGTCCAGCTCCCTCTGGTATGCCAGCTGAGATCCTACCTGCCCACAGACTCTCTCACCAGAGTACAGTGGTGCCCCGCAAGACGAATGCCTCGCAAGATGGAAAACCCGCTAGACGAAAGGGTTTTCCGTTTTTGAGTTGCTTCGCAGGACGAATTTCCCTATGGGCTTGCTTCGCAAGATGAAAATGTCTTGCAAGTCTTGAGATTTTTTTTTCGCTTTCGCCCCCTTTATCTAATCTGCTAAACCTTTAATAGCCTTTAATAGCCTTTTAGCAGCTAATCCGCTAAGCCTTTAAGCCTTTAATAGCCGCTAAACCGCTAATAGCGCTAATCCGTTAAGCCGCTAATAGGGTTGCTTCGCAAGACGAAAAAACCGCTAGACGAAGACTCTCGCGGAACGGATTAATTTCGTCTTGCGAGGCACCACTGTAATCCTGCTTGGATTACCGCAATGTGCTCTACGTGGGGCTACCTTTGTTTTTTTTTTAAAATATTTTTTATTAACAGACCAATCAAATCAAATCACATTAATTACAAATTACAAAGCCAAATTTTAAATTTTTGTTGGGGGTACCCATATTTCAAGTTCCGAAAGGGATCCAATCATCTTGTTGCTGCTGCTTTAATGTCCACAAATCTGTCCAAATGATGTTCACAATTCTATCCAATCCTTCCTTGTTGTTCTCCACATCTCTTCTTGTTGTTTTCATATATTTTTCCTTTTTCTTTGTGACCTCTGATAATCTCCACAAGCGAGTTGAAACCAATTGTAGTCCTGTGTGGGCTTTTCCATTCATCCAAGGGTCATATTCAGACGGCTGCCGCTTTTCATCACTTCCATAAATAAACACACTCTTGCCGTCTACTCGTTAATCTTCACAGGTCTGTCACTCCCTTTCTCAGTCTTCTGAGGAGGTTCTGCCAGAAATCCCATATAAAAACAAATCCATAGCTTCCTCCTCCTCAGTCATCAGTCTTTCAACAGAACCTGCCAACATGGCGACTCCCTCTTTATTGCTGTGCCATTCCAAAAGCCCTTATTCTTTTCTGGATCTCCATATGCCAAACTTTTGGTTGATAATTCATTTCCACAGTTTTTAATCGTCCCGCTTAGGTCAGTTATGCGATGGTTCTTTTTGGGGAGGGGTTCGTGGGTAATCACATAGAAGAAAAGAAAAAAGTTCCCCCCCTCCATCCAGTCCCGTTCCGACATACCAGCCCTTTGATGTTCTTCATGATGAATTCCTGTTAAATCCAACCCGTAGCTCTTACTTCACAGAGGTCACTTCTGTGAAGTTAGCAGTCTTATCTCCCGTTCTTTACTTGAAATATGTGCATTTGCTTCTTCTCTAATTGTTTATTTCGAGCTCCTGCAGCCAGTTCGCGCGATCAGAGACAGCGTCAGGGAGAGCCGGCTCCCACGGGGGTTGTGTGCCTAGTGCCTTCACCCCCTTCTTTCGAACTTGGGGGTGATTTATGGCAGCTGCAGGCAAGGCAGTGTTTCCCCATTCCCTGGGGTAAACAAGGGAGACTGCATACTCCCATATCAGCCTCTTAATTACCCCGTGTGAGCCGGAGAGATGGTATTGTCGGCCATCTTCCAATGCGCCCCTGGTGGCCCCCCACGTGGGGCTACCTTTGAAGGTGACTCAGAAACTACAACTAATCCAGAATGTGGCAACTAGACTGGTGACTGGGAGTGGTTGCTGAGACCATATGAAACCGGTCTTAAAGGATGTACATTGGCTCCCAGTGCATTTCCCAGCACAATTCAGAGTGTTGGTGTTGATCTTTAAAGCCCTAAATGGCTTCAGCCCTGAATATCTGAAGGAACACCTCCATCCCCATCATTCAGCTCCCTGAGGGCCGCCTAGCGGTTCCCTCATTGCGAGAAGTGTAGTTACAGGGAACCAGGCAGAGGGCCTTCTCGGTAGTTGTGCCTGCCCTGTGGAATGCCCTCCCGGCAGATGTCAAAGAGATCAACAACTTTCCATAGACATCTGAAGGTAGCCCTGTATCGGGAAGCTTTTAACGTCTGATGTTTTGCTGTCTTCTTTTATATTCTGCTGGAAGCCAACTAGAGGCTTGCAGTAGTCAAGTGATTTCTTCAGGGCATAACCTGTCCCACCCTGCTCATGACAAATAAATATATTTTTGAGACTTTTGTTTCAAAAGTTGCTTTTGGAAGGACATAGGGGGCTACTAAAGGATCTAAAGTTTCTTTGAGGTCATGGAACCGGTTTCACAGTTCTTTGAATCTTGACCTGTTTTTAACAGCAGCAAAATTTATTACGGGGGGAAATACTTTTTAGCATTTTGAAATTGCTTGCAAATGTTAAATGCCCTAGAAACAATAAATTGTATTGTATTATAACTATTGTCAAAGCTATAGTGCCAGTAATGCAGCCAAACTTTGTCATTTATTTTGTTTAAAATGGACTTTTATGTTATATCACTTCTGCCGTTTCTTAATTCCTTCATCAGGGTCCTGTTATGCCTGGCAGTCATTCCGCTGAAAGATTTGTGATAGAGGAAAATCTTCACTGCATCATTAAATCACACTGGAAAGAAAGGAAGACATGGTAGGAGTTACTTTTCATGCAGGGCAACCATTAGGAGATCAAAAGACCTTTGTTTTCTACCACCTGACGGCACTGTTTTCTGAGTGTTGCTAAAGAGCATATTTGCTCATGAGGTGAAGATGGCTGCAATTCACCAATTCATTTAAAAAGCAGCTTGCCTCTTCATCCAATTTCTGCTGTGAAAACCTCAAACTCTTCAGCTGCACGTGCATCAAATTTCTGCAAATTGCACTGATCTGGAAAAGTTATATTTCACAGTGTCTCCACACAACCACTGCCTAAGCCAGCCCTTTCACAAGTGCAGTATATTACAAACCTTTGATAAAAATAAGATCTATTATCTGATAAAGGGGGAAAGGTATCTTTCCTGTCTGGCAGACAGTGACCTACCAAAAACCCAAATGTCTTAAACTTTGAAATGAAACCCTATAAGGAATTCTTCATAATGAAAAGTGATCAGGATAAAATATCTCCTGAAATAAAATTTCCAGTTGCCAAATGGGTGGTTGAAAACAAACTGAGAAGAGAGGGCCTCCTGGGATACAGTCCCCTGAAAGGACAAAACACTTCTGGGGTTACTCCTTTTTGAGCCACCTCAGATTTAGGCTGGAAGGAGAACTGCCCCTCTAATTTTGACTGCTTTCAAATGCAAAGGTACCATTGAGGAACTGTAAAAATGGAGTGAGTCACTGATGTATCCAGGAGGGATATGATTTTAGAGTTGGGTAGCTGTAAAAAACACATTTAGCTGTAAAAAACACATTTAGAGAATTTGCTGCTGTCTACTTGGGTGCAAAATGCTCTTTTTCAAATTGTGTCTTGACAATAAGTTCACAAAATAATGCTTTCAACATCCAGACCTCTTTTCTTGCAGTTTCTGTAATAATGGCACATGGATCTCTCATTCTAGTCAATCAAAAGCTTATGGTGGGTTTTGAGGAGATATATACAGATACTTCAGATGCGGGTGGCGCTGTGGGTTAAACCACAGAGCCTAGGACTTGCTGATGAGAAGGTCGGCTGTTCGAATCCCCACAACGGGGTGAGCTCCTGTTGCTCGGTCCCAGCTCCTGCCAACCTAGCAGTTCGAAAGAACATCAAAGTGCAAGTAGATAAATAGGTACCGCTCTGGTGGGAAGGTAAACGGCGTTTCCGTGCGCTGCTCTGGTTCGCCAGAAGCGGCTTGGTCATGCTGGCCACATGACCCAGAAGCTGTACGCCGGCTCCCTCAGCCAATAAAGCGAGATGAGCGCCACAACCCCAGAGTCATCCACTACTGGACCTAATGGTCAGGGGTCCCTTTACCTTTACCTTATACAGATACTTGGAGTCATCTTCAGTTTGCATAGTCCTTTTGCTATGCTTATGAGTCTTACTGTCACTTTAGTGCCAGCTGCATGTGAATTGATACACATGCACTTAACTGACAGTCTGTTCTTTAGCAAGGCTTCAGTTTGCTTCCTAAGTGACTTTTTTCTGTATTTGCATTCTTTGAATCACTGAGTCTACCTTTTCCTCTAGTGCTGCTCAGTTACTGAGCTACCCAGGGAATAACAAGATCCCCCTGAACTACCACATCGTTGAGGTATGCATCTCTTTACCATATTTATCTTTTTCCTCTTTCAAAATGCCTTTACTTGCTATGCTGTAAACTCTATTATAATTTATCCAGACTCATTTGCAAAAAAAATCCCACCCAACCGTGCAGAAAAGGAGGTTGAATCTGCGTCAAACCTCATATATAAAAAAATATGTTAAATACTAATGAACTATATCTGGCTAAATTGTTGTTGTTTTATTTACACCCCTTCCATTTGGCTGGGTTTCCCCAGCCACACTGGGCAATTTATAGAATATATAAATGCTGAGGATAGTGGTTAGAGCAATTGACCCAAGGCTAATTTCAAGCCCCAACTCAGCCTTCCAGATTATTGGGTGCCCTTGGGGTCAGTCCCTCTCACTCAGCCTACCTTGCCTCACAGGGTAGGGGATAAAATGGGGGCATTAGACCTTGGAGGAAAGGCAGGAAATAAATTTAATAAATATGCAAGTTTGTTCATATTTGTGCAAAGTGTTGGTGCTGACCTTTAAAGCCCTAAACGGCCTCTGCCCAGTATACCTGAAGGAGCATCTCCACCTCCATTGTTCAGTCTGGACACAGAGGTCCAGCTCCGAGGGCCTTCTGGCAGTTCCCTCACTGCAAGAAGTGAGCCTACAGGGAACCAGGCAGAGGTCCTTCTCAGTAGTGGCATCCTACCATCAGATGTTAAGGAAATAAACAACTATCTGGCTTTTAGAAGACATCTGAAGGCAGCCCTGTGTCGTGAAGTTTTAAATGTTTGATGTTTTCCTGTGTTTGATGTTTTAATTTGCTGGAAGCCGCCCCAAGTGGCTGGGGCAAGCCAGTCAGATGGGCAGCATATCAATGAATTGTTATTGCTGCTGCTGCTGTTGTTCTTAGAGCATAAGAAGGGTCATTTCATCACTATATCCCAACAGTTTCCAGACTTAATACTAATAATACCTTCCGATATCAGTACAGATAAGACAGGTATACAGTTCACTGTATCTGTGTCATGTTTTCCCCCCAGGTAATCTTTGCCGAGCTGTTTCAGCTTCCTATTCCACCACACACTGAGGTCATGTACACAACACTCCTTATTGAACTTTGCAAACTTCAGCCCGGCTCCTTACCCCAAGTTGTATCCTTTCTTCTCAACAACTCTGATATCAGTTAGCACATTTTTTGTAGGAAAAAAATGTTAATGCATTATGTATTACTGTTCACAACTGTATTAGAAGTCGGTTGGTTGCAGATGCAGGTTATTTTGAGTAATCGCTGAAATGAAAGTTGTGACTAAAAATGTTTTCATTGGTAACCATTCTTATTCATCAGGCAAAAATAGGAAGGCTACGCAGAAGCTTAAAGGTTGTAGCCTGCCCTGAGGCCTTAGGGTGAAGGGCAGGTAATAAAATAACAATTATAATAATTCTACATGGCAAATAAAATATTGCCCTGCCTCTTAAAGTGTCTAAATCCAAGATACAGTGGAATCTCGGTTGTTGAACGTAATCTGTTCCAGCAGACTGTTCAAGAAGAAGAAGAAGAAGAAGAAGAAGAAGAAGAAGAAGAAGAGTTTGGATTTGATATCCCGCTTTATCACTCCCTTTAAGGAGTCTCAAAGCGGCTAACATTCTCCTTTCCCTTCCTCCCCCACAACAAACACTCTGTGAGGTGGCTGGGGCTGAGAGACTTCAGAGAAGTGTGACTAGCCCAAGGTCACCCAGCAGCTGCATGTGGAGGAGCGGAGACGCGAACCCGGTTCCCCAGATTACGAGACTACCGCTCTTAACCACTACACCACACTGGTTCAACTTCCAAAACATTCAACAACCGAGGCGCAAAGGGCTGTCAGCAAATTCAGTTGAGAAAATTGAAAAACACGTAGTGGAAGTCATTCGACTTCCAAGGTGCGTTCGAAAACGGAAGCATTTACTTCCGGGTTTTCGGCGTTTGGGTTCCCAAATATTTGTCAGCTGAGACGTTTGAGAACCGAAGTTCCACTGTACTTGATTTGAGTCTGATTCAGTAGCCTAGTACTCTAGGTTTGGGCACACATAGTTTCTCTCTTAACAAAGGGAGAGTTAAAGGTTCATCCATATTATTCCTTAAATGGAATCTTGCAGCTTGCACAAGCCACAGAAATGCTGTACATGCGCTTGGATACAATGAACACTACTTGCATAGACAGGTAAGTAAGTGCACTTACCTTTAGATTTCCAAGAAGTTTGTGAAGCAGGTTTCATCAGATGTCATGGAGCGGTTGGATGCAGAGGAATAGTGGGAGGAATCAAGCAAGGGAAGAAGGCTCAGAACCTGGGGTGGGGTGGGGGGACAATGGTGAGTGGTCAGAGGGAGAAGACTGGGAGGAAGAGGTGTCGGAAGCTGAAGAGGTAACAGGGCTTAGTGATCTGGGAGAGTCTGGCAGGGGGAAGTCCAGAATCCGGCAGAAACTGAAGGAGGAGGAGAGTGGAAAGAGGGAGGCCAAGAGGCAGAGATGAGTCAGGCTGGTGAAGAGTTATAGGTGTCTGCCCTCTCCCCAACTCCCAGAACCAGAAGAGGCATGAAAAGGCAAGAGGAGAAATTGGCTGCATGCTGATGCCATCTCCGATTGCTTCGGGAAAGCACTGGAGAGCAGGGGACTTAAGACAGCTGTGAGAAGGAAGGGACTTTCAGTCTTGGCAATTGATTTTCATGGAGGAAGGCCGCAGGGAACGAGCCGCTCTGGTCTCTAGGCCTGAAACTCAACGAAGTCTGTGCAGATCGTGTTTTTTGCTAATAAAAAGTTAACTCCATTTTTGAGATGTGTGATTGATGGCAGGCAGGTTTCTCTGGCATTAGCTCATTTGAACTGAATGAATGTATAACTTTTGAGTTGAGAAGGGGTAGCCAAGTACATCTTGGCTTGGAAGAGGAGGCAGGAGCATCTGAAAATACACTTTGAGTATTACATACAAAACTATTATCTGAAGCTTCCATATCTGAACTACAGTGGTACCTCTAGTTGCAGACATGATCCGTTCCAGGGTGCCATTTGCACCCAGAAAGTCTGCATCCAGAGCAGCGCTTCTGCGCAAACGTGGAGCGCGATAGAGTGCTTCTGTGCATGTGTGAAGCACGCAGAACGCTTCTGCGCATGTTGTGCAGCGAAACCCGGAAGTATACACTTCTGGGTTTGCTGCGTTCGCAACCCGAAAAGCCGCAACGTGAAGCAAATACAACAAGAGGTATGATTGTATATAATTAGCTTGTTGTACTAACTTCAGAGATAATTAGAACTAGATAGCCTTGCAGAAGATCCAGTTATCTGACAGCTTTGGGCATTCTGCTCCTTAATTTATTAAGAGTTCTCTATTTACTTGAGCTTCATAACCAGTATTTCCAGGAATCCATGTCAACAAAATGGGTTGTGGCATTCCTTGTAATGGCTAGGATATAGTGTGAATAATGTCACTGTGAATGGCTGTGGTTTGGTCATCTGGGAGTTAGTGAAAGTTTCCTTCTTTTTTCATGAAGGTTCATTAATTGGTTTTCCCACCATTTGAATAATTTTCAATTCCGTTGGAGCTGGGAAGACTGGTAAGTTTATTTCTTGTCAGTTTCTCAGTTGCTTTCACATACGCTTTTGTAATTTTTCAGTGATTCTTATTATCTCCTTCTGAAATATCCAAATGGTGCTAAATTCTGCATATGTCAAATTACAAATGTGATATATTTTCAATGATTTCTGTGCAAGACTAGATAGCCCACAGGTATCTGTGGTTTAAAATGTCATTATGTGAAATTATGTAAGCTTTGCTGCCTTAAACTGTAACCCTCAGTACTGTATGAATTTGCTTCCTAGTGGCTCTGACAATGCAGAGAGCCAAAGAAGCACAACATTGAAGATTGCAGCTTCCTAAATCAGTGCATATTAGACAAATAAGCCTATATATGCTTCTCTGGGTAATGGCAATTGCACAATTTTGTTCCAATGATAGGTCAGATTGTCTTTCTGAGGACCTTGACAAACCCAGACCTAAATTCGTAAGAGAAGTTTTGGAAAAATGTATGAGGTGAGTGAGGCATCAGAATTGCAGAAGGGGTAGTATTCAAGATGGATCTAGCCTATTTTTCCAACTTAATGCAGTTGCTAAAGTGTGGAAGAAATAATATCAGCTCCCACTTCAAACCAATAGTATTTGCTTAGTCTTTGTATGTTTGGCCAGGAATAGGGCACTTACTCATTATGAGTTAAGACATCATCTGGATGGTATTTGTCTCACTAACAGGAGGGGAACAGTAGTTGGAAGTATTCTGCTGGGGGAAAATTCAGTAAATAAAAATAGTGCTTTTGAATGAATTTTTAAAATTCTCTCTCCCAAGTTTAGATTCCTCAGTTTAATTCCTTGTTTTGTAATGTCTAATGATCAATCAACAAAAACAAAATTGACTAAATGGAAAACAATTGAGCATACAAATAAATGATCCCAAATAGTTACTGGGAAGTAACTTCTATTCAGATCAGTGGAGCTGACTTCTGTGTAAATATGTTCAGGAGCTGGGTGTTAGGGGCATAATTGTACTTTGGACTATTCCTTTCCTGTTCCAGTGTAAAGCATAGACTTTGATTTTGCCATATCTAGATTTATAATCTGCATTCCGTGAGGCTAAGTAAGGGTTCATGCTTGGCTGGGTTTTGTCCATAGACCTGTATCATGACAGGAGTATCACTTCTTCATCTTATGCAAAATCTTTTTTCCCCCTAGGCTTTCCTACCACCAACGAATAGTGGATATTGTTCCTGCTACGTTTTCAGTCCTAACTCCTGCAAATCCAGCATGTATTTATAAATACGGAGATGAAAGCAACAGTATGTATATGGTGCAGTGTTTTCTTTCTATTTTTAAATAGTTGGACTAGTTTTGTTGAATCTGTCTTTGGGGAGCTGGTGTAGTCTAGTGGGTGAGAGGCTGAGCTATGGATTGAGGAGGGGTCCTGGTTCAAATTTGGCCCCTGCCATAGACTCAACAGGCATTCTTGAGCAAGCAACTCTCTCAAAGCTACAACCTCCATCTGCAGTATGAGAATAAGGATGGAACGTAGTAAGGATTACAAGAGAACTAGGAAATTCTTTAGCACTGTTTGTTTTGTTATACTAATAGCCTGAGCTTTCTCTAAAACAGCCTTTCTCAACCTGTGGGTCCCCAGATGTTGTTGAACTACAACTCCCATCACCCCTAGCTAGCAAAGCCAGATCTCAGGGATGATGGGAGTTGTAGTCCAACAACATCTGGGGACCCACAGGTTGAGAACCGCTGCTCTAAAGGGTCCAGAACAGCCTACAAACAACTCCTAATCTACAATCCAGGTCCACATCCACTTTGCTTCAACAATATGATAGCAGAAGGTGCCCTTAAAGATGTACAGTTGTACCTTGGTTCTTAAACGTAATCCATTCCGGAAGTCCGTTCGACTTCCAAAATGTTCAAAAACCAAGGCGCAGCTTCCAATTGGCTGCAGGAGCTTCCTGCACACAAGAAGAAGCCAAGTCGGACGTTCATCTTCCGTAAAACTTTCGAAAACACTTCCGGGTTTTCGGCGTTTGGGAGACAAAACATCCAAGTGCCAAGGCATTCGTGAACCCGAGGTGCTACTGTATTTGTCAGTTTCCTGCATGGCAGTCCAGTTTTTATGTTTGGAGCTCCTCAAAAGAGTTCAAGGAGCCTGGCAAACTGCTGAGCAGAAAACCAGGCTAGGCTGTTAGTGTGCAGGCAACTCTGGAATGAACAGTCTGTTCATTCTTAACAAGTTTTAAAACTTAACATCTAGGCTGGTGGGAGAGAGAAGGATTGTGAAGATTGACTTGGTTGTTCATTCTACTCATTACATGACCTGGAAGTCTGCAAGATGATGGCTTCCAAAGAATGGCGTTTCTGCTGTCTTGGCTTTTATGAGGAAATAGGGCTTTTAAAAAAAAATTAAAGGAAACTTTGCTTCTTTGTTTATTTGTAGAGTCCCTTCCAGGATACAACGTTGCGCTCTGCTTAAACATCGCCATTAAAAACAAAGCAAGCAACGATGAGATTTTCACTATTTTGAAGGATGTGCCCAACCCTAATCAGGATGATGATGATGGTAAGAACTTCTGATAGCTGTAGTCAGGTGCTCCTAGTTCTTTCTGTATTTAAGCTTATTTCATTGTTCTGTAGAAGTGCTACATTGCAACGTCGTCTTCTCTGAATGCATAGATTTAAACCTAGTTCCCATCATTCAACAAGTGTACAAAATACAGTGGTGCCTCGCAAGACGAAATTAATTCGTTCCGCGAGTTTTTTCGTCTTGCGGTTTTTTTCGTCTTGCGAAGCACGGTGTCGGAAAAGTTTTGGAAAAGCTTCAAAAATCACCAAAGTCTTCAAAAACCTCAAAAAAGGCTACCACACCACGTGCTATGAGTTGCTCCTCGAAGTCAAGTCGCAACTGTATTAACGGTTTTAAGAAAAAGGAAACAAACTTGCAAGGCGTTTCCGTCTTGCGAAGCAAGCCCATAGGGAAAATCGTCTTGCGAAGCAACTCAAAAAACCAAAAAACCTTTCGTTTTGCGAGTTTTCCGTCTTGCGAGGCATTCGTCTTGCGAGGTACCACTGTATTAAGGAAACTGGATGACATCAGGTAAAAAAGTTGGATCACTTGATATGGAATGACCCTCCCATGGAATTTTTGACTTTCTTTGAACAGCTGACACCACCAGTCGTTCACTCTCTGCCTCATACACACAACAGTTTAGCTTTGCGCAATGGCTGTTGTTTATATAGCAACATCTGTATTTGGTGCTTTACAAAAAATGGCACATGAGACGAAAACAGAAGCGGAGAAAAATTGGGGAAGAAAATGGCTACTCTTTGGTTTCATGTACACACATTTAGGCTTAGTTACACACAGAGAGAGATCATACTTGCCTTTGGTTACATAGGCATAGATTTATTTTTTTAAAAAAAGGCAGAAAAATGTGGGTGCTGAATCAAAGGCTGTACTGGAAGTACTGACTCAAATGTAATTTTTATTTTCCAGATGAAGGCTTCTCTTTTAATCCTTTAAAAATAGAGGTGTTTGTGCAGACGCTGCTGCATTTGGCCGCAAAGTCATTCAGTCACTCCTTCAGTGCTCTGGGAAGGTAAGTATCAATAGCACACTGCTACTGGCTCATATAGGGACGTGGGTGGCGCTGTGGGTTAAACCACAGAGCCTAGGACTTGCCGATCAGAAGGTCGGCGGTTCAGATCCCCACGACGGGGTGAGCTCCTGTTGCTCGGTCCCTGCTCCTGCCAACCTAGCAGTTCGAAAGCACGTCAAAGTGCAAGTAGATAAATAGGTACCACTCCGGTGGGAAGGTAAACGGCGTTTCCGTGCGCTGCTCTGGTTTCGCCAGAAGCGACTTAGTCATGCTGGCCACATGACCCGGAAGCTGCACGCCGGCTCCCTCGGCCAGTAAAGCGAGAGGAGCACTGCAACCCCAGAGTCAGTCACGACTGGACCTAATGGTCAGGAGTCCCTTTACCTTTACTACTGGCTCATATAACCAGTTTTAATTGTTTCTTACTTTATGAAGAGCCTGCCTGGAATTGATTCACAAGGCAGAAACTGCAAGACAGTTTTGCGAAAACCTTCGATTAAAGTCTTTATCATTATTGTAGGGAGAGATGTGATACATATTTATTTTTCTATCATACTATCAGTCAGCTGAACCTATGGGCGCCTTGGTTAGCAGGACTATCTGCCCTTGTGCGGTACTCCTGGTAACAGACAAGCTATCACTGCTGCGCTATCTATTTTACCTGTAACCAGCAGGTGGGCTGTGGAGGAGATGCTTGAGATGAGGTGGAGTGTTCCCCCAAATCACCTTGCTGGTTGACAACAGCAAGCACATGTTGGATCCCTGTGTCAGAGCTCAGAGTCCTTGCCTCCTCCCATTCTGAAAGAGACTCTGCTCTGTATGACTCGAAATGGAGGGGACAGAATCATCTAGCTTTCTTCTCACCCTCTCAGCCTTGCCGCTCAGCAGCTGTAGGTCCAAAGTGAGCTGCAGCCCTTGTTCAGCAATCAGCTTTTGAATGTCAGGTCACAGCCAATGAAAGGAGCAGGCAATATAACTTTACCTCTTAACGGCCTTTCATTGCTATCTTTCCCTGTTCTGATAAGATTCCGCGAAGTCTTCAAAGCGCTGGCGGAAAGCGATGAAGGGAAGCTGCATGTGCTCAGAGTTACGTATGAAGTGTGGAAGAATCATCCACAGGTGAGAGTGAATGGACTTATAGATTTCCTCCCTTTCCCACTCATCCAAAAAGTACCTTTAAGTTCCATCAATTGATTTCAGTGTAAAGTGTGTGCTGCTGCACACCAGGCCCTAAATCAGGCTTCCTCAACCTCTGCCCTCCAGCACTGGCGGAGGAAGAGGAGTGCGCGGCTGCCCCCGCCCCCAGAACGCGCGCACCCCGCCCCCGCCTGCTCTCCACCCCCCCACCCCCCCGGTGCTGGAGCATGAAGGTCCGCCACTGCCCTCCAGATATTTTTTTTGGCCTACAACTCCCATGATCCCTAGCTAGCAGGACCAGTGGCCAGGGATGATGGGAATTGTAGTCTCAGAACATCTGAAGGGCCGAGGTTGAGAAAGCCTGCCCTAAATCCGTGGGAGATTATTTCAGTGTTGCCTTTCGCTTTCCGCTGCCCATTTTGCAGTTCACTTTCTCTTGCAGGCTCTGCATTGATTGTACATTAGAATATATCGATGATGCGTTTGAGATAAGATATACGACGTATAAAATTAGTGCGGCTTGTATTCTGAGCCGAGCGCCAGCACTGGCTTGGGGAGCTGTGCACAAAGCGCCGGCCGTCCCCCATTCAGCGCGGTAGTGCCAGGAGGCGGGCCGCACCCACAAGTAAGCCTTGAATTTTAAAGGTGCTGCTTATTTGCGGATGCGGCTTATAGACGGGTCAATACGGTAATACAGTCATACCTTGGGTTGAAGTAGATTCGGGATGAGTATTTTCGGGTTGTGCTCTGCGGCAACCCGGAAGTAACGGAGCGTCTTACTTCCGGGTTTCGCCGCTCATGCATGCACAGACGGTCAAAATGACATCATGCGCGGAAGCGGGTTGCGGTCACTTCAGAATGCGAATGGGACTCCGGAACGGATCCTGTTCGCATCCAGAGGTACCACTGTATCTTTTTTGTAGTATTAAACAACATTCCGCATGTATTTTCCCTGTAATCTTCACGATAGCTCATTATCACCGCATGCAGCAATGATTCCCAATCTTTGCATAATTAGACAAAGTGGCCTAGACACCTGTTTCTGTACAGCAATGAAGCTGGAATAAACCCTGCATGCAGATTTAACAATTAAAGGTACTATTTTGTTACTTGGAGTGTAGTTTCCTTTAGGTTTAAATTGCAGGCAGCAGGGATAACACAGCTAATATTGCCTCCCAATGCAGAGACTTCTCTCTTAAGTGACACACCTTGAACTCCCTTTTTTGACTGGCACCAAAGCACAGGGGAGTAAGCTCATCTCACAGTTTTGGTTTTGCAACCCTTTTTTATTCTGAATTAAATTTCAAAAATAAAAAGTGTACCATAGCTTTCAAAAATTAAGGAAGCAGCATTAGATTATGCTTCCTGAGTAGTCACCACTATAAGATAGTTGAGCAGGAGAGACATGGGTGTGCCCTTATTTTGCCTAATCTGTTCTTTTCAGTAGCAAATAAGCACCTGCTTTTGATAGGCTGATCCAGAAACCCTTTGCTTCCCTTTTCACGCAGATGATTGCTGTGCTGGTGGATAAGATGATTCGCACACAGATTGTGGATTGTGCTGCAGTAGCAAACTGGATTTTCTCTCCAGAGCTGGCTCATGATTTCACTAGGTAACTAGATGTAAATCTCCCTCTTCCACACCCCCCTTTTTTTAATTGTTTGGGTTGTGATTTGAATGATGCTGGCAGCAGATCACCTTTTAACTTTCTCAAAATACTCGCGTTGAGTAAACAGTCTTTCACTCAGCTTTTCAAAACTCGCACGGAGAAATTACAGATTTTTTTTGTAATTCAACCATTTCTGTTTATGGCAGGGAGCAAAATCCTGGTGCGTTGGGCCCAATTCACATACATTATGCTGCAACAAACCTGGATTTGCCAGTGTGTGTGAATGACAACAGGCCACAGCCAGTGACAGTTCTTTCTCATGTACATGTACAATGCACTCCAGGTTGAAAACAGAATTGTTACATTCATGCTTGATACTTCAGGAGATGTGGTTTACAGTACAGTCAAACCTCATATCCCAAACACCGAAAACCCGGAAGTAAATGCTCCAGTTTTCAACCATTTTTCGGAAGCTGGACGTCCAACACGGCTTCCGCTTGCGTGCAGGAAGCTCCTGAAACCAATCGGAAGCCGCACCTCAGTTGTTGAACATTTTGGAAGCCAAACGGGCTTCCGGAACAGATAATGTTCGACAACCAAGGTTTTACTGCATGTCTAAGACATCATTTATGAAATGCCCCTTAAAATGAATTGTAGGGAAGATCCATTGATGGTACAGGATGTTTATTCCTAATCCACAGCCTTCTGTGTCTTGCAGTTAATAGCCGCTTTACAAGCGAGCATATACGATGTGTACATTAGCATTATGTCTCAAACAAGCCAAAGTATATTGTATGAACTAGAGCGTCTCTTTCTTTCTCTGCTAGGTTTTATATCTGGGAAATCTTACACTCAACAATCCGTAAAATGAACAAGCATGTGGTGATGATCCAAAAGGAGCTAGAGGAGGCCAAAGCGAGATTAGCCAAACAGCACAAACGTGTAGGTAACCATTTTCCAGGGCTGTGAAAAAAACATTACTTGACGTAAAGATGTGTATAAACAGCAGTACTGTAACTCTTTTCCACCAAAAATAAAAACGAAAGAATTGCTATACTGTGTAAAAGTCCAACACTCTGTTTTCAGCAGCAGCCAGCCAGAGGCTTCTGTAAACGTCATTGTGTGTTTGTCTCCATCATCTGATACATTGCCTCTGAAAAATGGGGGATAGCCTGGCAAATAGCCATTGGTAGACCTATCTTCCATGGCTGTGCCCATTCCTTTTTTTAAAAAGCCATCGAGCAAATAGCAATCACCACATCTTGAGGTAATATGTTGATTATGGGTGTTATGTCTGGCAGACCAAAGGACCAAATTAGGCTATTACTTTCATTGTGTAGCAAGCAGCTACAGCTGAGCTTTTTCTTTATTTAATCCCAGGCACAATTGACTGATTGTCATCAGGAACACATACAAGGAGGAGAGGTTTACCCCTTCCTAGCAGCGATCCTTACTAAAATTGCTGCACCCTAGTCTAGCTATGAGGCTTACATGAAAAGTTCCCATTGATGCCAGTGCAAGCTTTTGTTTTCGTTAAGACTCCTGCCTTGCACACGCTGTTCCCGATGACATTGGCCACCTCTGCAGCTGCAACATTGGGCAGTAGCCAAACCACTCATTCCATCAGTGCAAGATTTATTTTTGCACAGTACACACATACACCTCTGACACACTCTGTGTATTCTCCCAAATTTGCTCCATGGGGCTGGGGGAAACCCCAGAACAGAATTAGGGGGCTCAAGGGGAGAGGAAGTTCTGTTGCCCAGCCAAAAGTCCTTGCACTGATAGAAAGTGTGCAGTGAATACTGGCCTAAATTATGCTAGGAATCTAATAGGACATGCAGAGATCAGAAATGCTTGCAGTGACTTGAGTTTCTCATTGTATTGTGTACCACTGTGACAACCCCCTTTCTTTCCCTGAGAACCCCAGAGCAGCTTATATTGGGAATCCCAAGTGGTTTCCTGGGCTGGGTCAGCTTATCTTTAAGATGAACAATATTTCATGGCTTCAGGCAACACATGCAGCAGTACCTTTTTATTTTGTTTTATCTTACATGTTGCATTTATTATTTTATTAAATGCTATAGGTGCATGCTAAAATCATGACTGTAGCTCACTTCGAGCTGGAAGAGAGAAGCTTTCAGCGCTTTGGTGGGACAGGTCTCTATAAACTAAAAAAGGAATGAAACAGAATGTGCCCTAGCTAACCTTTTGGTCTCGGAGCTCTTATGATCCCCCTGTTAAACGTTAACTATTCCTCCCCAGCGAGACAGTGATGACGATGATGATGATGACGATCGAAGTAGTGACAGGGAAGATGGACCCCTTGAAGAGCAGATAGAACGCCTGCAAGAAAAAGTTGAATCGGCTCAAAGTGAACAAAAAAACCTCTTCCTTGTAATATTCCAGGTAAATGCAGAAATATTCATTGGCTTTTAGAAAATGAGTTACCCTATTTTTCTGTGTATAACATGACCCCTATTTTGGGGGACTGAAATTTATGAAAATGGGGGAAGACGCCCCCCATTAAAAAAAATTATTTTGGAGTAAAAAAACCTAGTCTTATAGATGGAAAAGTACGGTAATAGAAGAAGGGCTGTTGAGTGTTGGGGAAGCTATGAACCTCAGCTTTGCAAAACTTTATAATGCGTATTATAACCCTTTAAGTTATCCAGTTTTACTGTGGGTGTTTTTGGTGTGAAATTGCTTGAGATATTTTATGGGAAGCGATTCATAAATGGAACCAAATAAATGAAATGAAAAGTTTCAAGTAGAGGAAGCAATTCCAAGTATTTGGGAACTTGGGGAGGAATTCATTGCAGTGCTAAGTTAAAGTCCCTGAACGGTACTGCTAGTTGTACTAGCACAGGGGTCAGCAAACCTTTTCAGCAGGGGGCCGGTCCACTGTCCCTTGACCTTGCGGACTATATTTTTGGGAAAAAATAAAAATGAACAAATTCCTATTCCCCACAAATAACCCAGAGATGCATTTTAAATAAAAGGGTACATTCTACTCGTGTAAAAACACTCTGATTCCTGGACTGTCTGCGGGCCGGATTTAGAAGGCGATTGGGCCGGATCTGGCCCCCGGGCCTTAGTTTGCCTACCCATGTGCAAGCAGAATGGCTTGTGCTGGATAAGCTCTGGAAGGCAGCATGGTCTCATAGCTGTGGTTAAGCAACAGATTGCTGTAGCCCTGATACTGTTTTACAACCAGCTTCAAGAAGTGAAACTATTGTGCTGGCCTGTTCTCACGCTCGTTGAACCCGGGAAAAGATCTCCGGAAATTAGCAATGAATTCTGTGCTAAGTGGCGCTGTTCTGTCATGAAATTTCCATTCTTTAATTCAGAAATACTATTTCTCACATGTCCTCATTCTCTTGTCTTGTCTGTGGACGTTGACTTCCCTGTATTTAAAAGATGTTGCTAATATTGCCCTTTCCAGCGCTTCATTATGATCCTCACGGAGCACTTAGTGCGATGTGAAACCGGAGGCATTGATGTGATTACACCTTGGTACAAGAACTGTATAGAGAGGCTGCAGCAGATCTTCTTACAGGTAGGTCTCATTCCTTTCCGAAATCACGAACGTGGTAACTAGAAATTGCATAGAAATGTGGTTGCACAGAAATGATAATTCTGCTTTCGCAAGTACTTGCTTGAGGTAAATGTTCAGGAGGAAGCTATATTCGGCTGATAGTCCATATAAATGGGCTTTTTCAAAATCGTTTATACTAGAGGCCAATATAAACCTGAGGCAGGTTTCACTTATTCTTTCTATACAGAAGCACATCTTGCTTGTCTTAAACTGACTGATTGTTCCTGTCACTGTCGTTTATGATTAAGACCAGGGGTCAGCAAACTCTTTCAGCAGGGGGCCGGTCCACTGTCCCTCAGACCTTGGGGGGGGGGTGTGGACGGACTATATATTGAAAAGGAAAAAAAAATGAACAAATTCCTATGTCCCACAAATAACCCAGAGATGCATTTTAAATAAAAGGACACATTCTACTCATGTAAAAACACACTGATTTCCCGGACCATCTGTGGGCCAGATTTAGAAGATAATTGGGCCAGATCCAGCACCTGGGCCTTAGTTTGCCTACCCATGATTAAGACTGTCCAGCCCTTCAACCATTTTTATACTATTCTTCTCCCTGTCTCTGGCTGCTCTTCTCAGGTTCTGTTTTTTTTAAAGTGGAATGACCAGAATTGCAGGCAACATTCTCGGTGTATTTTATCCATTCATAATAAGTTTCTGGTGTTCCTCAGCTGCCGAGTGAATGTGGGGGGGACTGTGACTTCTCTCACTATGTCCTGCCAAGTAATGAGTAACTGAGACGGCTCTTTTCTGTCTGCAGCATCACCAGATCATCCACCAGTACATGGTGACGTTGGAAAACCTTCTCTTCACAGCAGAATTGGATCATCATATATTGGCTGTATTTCAGCAGTTCTGTGCATTGCAGGCCTGAGAGACTTCGTTTTTGTACAGGACTTAATTGACTTCACCTTTTTAAAACAAAAATGGGAAAATTGATGAGGGAAGAGGAGGAAAGAAGCTTTTAATTGGAAAACAAGCTTGCCGTGCTGTCGTAGATAAGCTACTCGGCACTCAAAACGGGGCAGTTCTTTTAGCAGTAGAGGCCTAACTCTGTTTTACGACTGCTAGGTGACTGGCTAGGTGACTGGGATGGAATAATGTGTGGATTTCTAATTTTGAAATGGTTTGAATGCTGGCTTCATCGTGGCATTTGTTTTGTCCCCTTCTGTTGTTTGTATAAAAATAAAAATAGGGAATAAATAGGATTGGTTACCTTTGCTTGGCCCTTTCATAATAATGAATTCCCTCATTATAATAATGTGAAGCAAGCATCAAGACTTGTGAATCTGAAGAGCAGCTTCCCAATGAGTAAGATTAAACTCTCTGAGGGACAGGAGCATAGGACACGTGAAATGCTAAACAGGTCAAGCCTCCAGAGTAGCCTAGAGTATATGTTTGTTATCAAAATTAATTTTCATGGTTGTATGAAACATGGTTGAAATACAATCGGAATATGTTTTTTAAATCTGCCTATTGTACTTATTTTGGGTTGCAACGAATAGGTGAAACGTCTATTTGGGTCGCAAACATCCTGTAAGAAATAACTACAATACATAACAATTTCTTAGTGCTTCACATACGTTCTTGATGGAGGGTGGGGTGGGGGTTGAGACTCCTATGACTTCGTAACAATGGAAAGTTTGGCGTTCACCTACTTAGCAGAAGTTGGCAGCCCAAGCTCCGGAATGTGTTCTGCTCCAGCCACCATTACAGGGTAACTTTCTGAAAAAAGCAAATTGACTGTGAGCTGGACTGGGAAGAACCTTGTCTCCAGCTTAACTGTATTCCCACATGCCATGAACCTGTTTCTCTGCCCAAGGACTGTGTGAAGAAGACTTGGTGGTTTTTCCGAAGACCTCACATTCTGCAATTCAGTGATACTGTTGTATTTCTCACCTATATTATCTTTGCCATGAACAACTATAAAGGATGGGCAAAACTTGGGAGTGATGGTAAAGACTGGGGAGGCTGCTGTCTCATATTAGAAAAGAGTATTTTAGCAGTCCTAAATTACGGGTCTAAATTAGCTTTTCCCTAATCTTTGACTAACTCAGGAATGGAGTCGGACAAATTAAGACAAGAAACAAAGTATTAGGCTGCATTGAAAAACTGACAGATTGCCGGATCCAGATGGTATCTTAAAGGATTCAGAATGAATTTGTGATCTTCTAACAAAATTATGTAACTTGTCTCTGAGGTTTGCCTCCTGAGGCATTCTCACAGGAGTGTACATCAGTATTTGCAGTCCAAATGTTGCTAGGTGTTCCTACCTTTCCTCGTTGCACAGAACCATTTCTCTCCGATTAATTTCCCCAAGCACTTAATTTGCATCCGGTTTCTCTACACACCTCATTACTGAATGCCTTCACCATTTAAGTTGTTTCTTACTGAAAAGCCTTGAGATTGTCTTGGCTTAAAAGCCCTTGCTGTGGTGGACATAAAATCACTGCTTTGTGTGCGTGTGTGAGATGCCACTGGATTCGCACTTGAACTGCTGCTTCTCAGCTTTCATTTTAACTAATGAAAGTTGCATGTATTTTAACTAATGAAAGTTACGTGTGTGCTAAGGACTGCTGGCTAAATAAGATCTCAAGTGGTTAAGGGAAGGGGTACGCTGGCTTTTCCTCTATCCAAGCAAAACTAGAAACCATACACGTGCATAATTTAAGGGGGGCCACTTCCTGTACTTCCAACTTTTGTAGAGTATTACCAAGCCCTAGTAAATTACTTCAGTAGCATCTTTATTAGTCCTAAGTGAACAAAATGCTATTGGGATGTACACCCAGTGGAAGTCTTAACACTTTTTATCACGCTGTTAGAATATCCAGCAGGAATTACTGAAGATAATGTGGTGCAATGAAAGATAAAAAAGGGATGAGCATACCATTGTTTTCATTTATTTTATTTTATTAGCAGTGATACACAATACAATTCAATACTTACATGATTCAGCAGGCTGCAGTTCTACCATGAAATCAGATTTTTAACATTGCATTTCAATTGTGGATGAGGAAGGCTGCGTGTAAAAAAAGTCGCTGAGCACTTAGTTCATTGGATTAAAAAAATTACAAAAGGTACATTGTAATGTAGCACTAAGAACATACTACATTTTTTCATATGTTAATTCATGACCACATGTCCTGCAGGTTTTCTTGTACAGGTCTTCGTCTATCATTTCTTCATCTCCGTAGTCATGTTGATGAACACTTGTATCTTTTTTCCAAACACTACTCCTTACAGCTCGGCGCAGTTCTAATACAAAATGAAGAAGAAAATTATTCAAGGCAGACCAGAAGCCCCAAAGTTTTTCTTTTGTGTCCTGGAGATGGGCTCCTGCTTTCAACCACGATCCCTGATTTATATATTGTAATCCAGGATTTGTAAGAGCAGAAAAACTGCAGAAGTCTTCGCAACATTGCAAGTTCCAGAACAATTATAACAAACTGAAATATTTCAGAGGACCAAATTACAGAGAAACTATCCCATAGATGGGACTAACTCCCTCCCCGCCCCCCTTGTAGGTAAAAAGGTAAAGGACCTCTGGATGGTTAAGCCCAGTTAAACAGCTTCTGGCTCAATGGGACACTGTGATGGAAACCAGAGCGCACGGAAACGCCGTTTACCTTTCCGCCACAGCGGTACCTATTTATCTACTTCCACTGGTGTGCTTTCAAACTGCTAGGTTGGCAGGAGCTGGGGCAGAGCAACGGGAGCTCACTCCGTTGCGGGGATTCAAACTGCCGACCTTCTGATCAGCAAGCTCAGGAGGCTCAGTGGATTAGACCACAGCGCCACCCGCGTTGTACAAATACGCAGTAAGCTGTTCAGTGTGCTAGAAGATGAAGAGACCTGTTGTTTAACTGGTAGGTTTGTGGGGTGGGGTGGTCAAGAGAACGCTCAATTCACACCTTTAACTTTCTTATCAAACTTCTTTTGTTTCATCTTCTCTCTGTTGTCTTGTCTGCTTTCCTTCGCTTCTTCTAACGCTTCTTCGCTACCCCAGATTTCAAGAGAGCGCTTGATCACCTGCAGATTAAGACATTTGAACAAACAAAAAACCGGTCTCAGAGTTTGATCTCTGTTGCAGCGCACTGTGGTCTACGCCCAGAGGCATGATCTGTGTAGGCCTCAAGCCTGCATGGATCTGTTCCAAGGGAATTCCTCTGGTTCCCTCCACACTATAAAAATGGGACACAAAACTATGCAGATACCCCCACCTCATTATTTGTGTTGGTACAGAAGTAATGTGACATTTAATAAACTAGATACATAACCTGTATCCAGCAAAGGCATTTATAACAATGCTGCCCTTCTGAATTAACGTATAGAAGGGATTCCTGCATGTAAAGGGGAGGATGCTGAGGAATGTACATAAGTGTTCAGAATAGGTAAAGGTAAAGGGACCACTGACCATTAGGTCCAGTCGTGGCCGACTCTGGGGTTGCGGTGCTCATCTCACTTTACTGGCCGAGGGAGCTTCTGGGTCATGTGGCCAGCATGACTAAGCCACTTCTGGCGAACCAGAGCAGTGCACGGAAATGCCGTTTACCTTCCCGCCAGAGCAGTACCTATTTATCTACTTGTACTTTGACGTGCTTTTGCACTGCTAGGTTGGCAGGAGCTGGGACCGAGCAACGGGAGCTCACCCCGTCGCGGGGATTCGAACCGCCGACCTTCTGATCAGCAAGTCCTAGGCTCTGTTTTGAATTATGGTATTGGAGGAGACTCTTGAGAGTCCCATGGACTGCAAGAAGATCAAACCTCTCCATTCTGAAGGAAATCAGCCCTGAGTGCTCACTGAAAGGACAGATCGTGAAGCTGAGGTTCCAATACTTTGGCCACCTCATGAGAAGAGAAGACTCCCTGGAAAAGACCCTGATGTTGGGAAAGATGGAGGGCACAAGGAGAAGGGGACAACAGAGGACGAGATGGTTGGACGGTGTTCTCGAAGCTACCAGCATGAGTTTGACCAAACTGCTGGAGACAGGAGTGCCTGGTGTGCTCTGGTCCATGGGGTCACGAAGAGTCGGACACAACTAAACGACTAAACAACAACGAGGCTCTGTGGTTTAACCCACAGCGCCACCCGTGTCCCTGTGTTCAGAATAGGGCTTGGTGATAGCAGCTTTTCAGCATCGTGATGTATCACCAGCCAAACACTGTGATGTTGAAAAGCGAAGTGAGGAACGAGCTGCGTTGGGCCCAGTCCCGCGAAGCGCTGGGGTGAAACTGTCTCAGCTCCTTGGCAGGAGTACTGGCAATTTCACTCCAGTGAGCCAATGCATTTTGTTCCTCCACACAGGGCATCAGCGGCAGAGGGACTCCCTCTGCCCCCAGTGCCCGGGCGCTGAGGGAAAAACAAGTTACATTAGCTCCAGCACCTCGCAGCTTGTTCTTCCCTCAGTTTGAAGACGAGAGCGCGAGGGCAACCTCACCTGGCGGTGTGCAGTGGGTGAAACCATCGCTCTCTCACCGCCAGGTACCCAATTAACTTTTCTGGAGGGTCACACCCTGCCTTTTGTCTTCACTGTTGGGATACTGCCAGGGAGATAAAGTCCACCAAGGCCCCCAAGCCGTCTGCCGGACGATCCATCGACCTCCCGTAGGCACGCAGCGACATGAGTTTCTAGAAAATATCTTGCCACATTCTCGAGCTCATGCACGCTCTATCAGCAGATAATGCACAGCCAAAAGTTGCAATCAGGAGAGCATTATTTACAAGTTTATTCAGCGTTGATCAGAACACAGAAAAACATGACTGACTGCTTTTAGTGTCTGCGACACAGAGAGAAAACGAAAGCAACAGAAAACATAAACATCCTGTGAACAGGAAATACGCAGACTCTGACTCACAAAGCCTGCTCCCTTTTAAGGTGGAACGGAAATATCCTAACATTCACTACTGCAAATAAAAACTGGGTGTTTTTTTTATAGAGAGATCACACATTACTGAACAAAGCTCCGTACCTGTAGCTTTAAGTAAAGTTTCATGTCACCCCATCGCGGATTATGAGGGTTTTTCTTCAGGATAAATTTTAGCACTGGTTCTCTCTTGTCTAAATCGCAGTCTTTCAGAAGATATTCTTGCTTGGCTTCACTCCTTGTTATGAGTTTATGCTTTTCTTCAACATCTCTGAAACAAGGTCCCATTCAGTGAAACTAAGACCGTTATTATGTATGAGCTGCTATTTTCTGAGCTGTAAAGTAGTCCGTCAGCAATCTGATATGGGAAGGTGCGTTACACAGAGTTAGTCCCCTGGTCCATGAGATCTTTATTGCTTACAGTGACTAGAAGCGGTTCCCCTACTCTGCCAGGAGATGGTCGGGCATGAAGTCGAGACCTCCTGAGAGCAAAGAGTGGTCTCTCTCACTGAGCCGTGGCCCTCTCCCTTCGGTCCTATACATAAACACACAAAAGTAAATCCTACTATTTTAATGTGGCTCACTGTCATAAGTGTGCCTAGAATTGCAACCCGCAAAACTTAAGCCAGCCATGAATTGCATCTCATGGTTCAAAGGCATTCCCTGTTCTAGTTGCTCAGTAACTGCACCGAAGCAGCAATGATCCAGGCAAAGTTCAGCAATTTTGGACACAATCCTAATCCCACTTATTAGGATATGGGTGGCCAGATGGGCGGGGTATAAGTAATAAATTATTATTATTATTATTAAAGTGGTACCTTGGTTTAAGGGACACGGGTGGCGCTGTGGGTTAAACCACAGAGCCTAGGGCTTGCCGATCAGAAAGTCGGCAGTTTGAATCCCCGCAATGGGGTGAACTCCTGTTGCTCGGTCCCTGCTCCTGCCAACCTAGCAGTTCCAAAGCACGTCAAAGTGCAAGCAGATAAATAGGTACCACTCCGGCGGGAAGGTAAACGGCGTTTCCGTGCGCTGCTCTGGTTCGCCAGAGCTTAGTCATGCTGGCCATATGACCCAGAAGCTGTACGCCGGCTCCCTCAGCCAATAAAGCGAGATGAGCACCGCAACCCCAGTGTCGGCCACGACTGGACCTAATACTCAGGGGTCCCTTTACCTTTACCTTACCTTGGTTTAAGAACAGCTTAGCTTATGAACAGCTTGGATTAAGAATGCCGCAAATCCGGAAGTAGGTGTTTTGGTTTGTGAACTGTGCCTTGGAATAAGAACATGTTCTGCTTCCTGTTGAGTGTGTTCGATTTGTAAATTGAGTCCCCCGCTGCTATGGGAAAGAATGCCTTGGATTAAGAACGGACTTCCGGAACAGATTCTGTTCATAAATCAAGGTACCACTGTATTATTATTATGGTCTGCACTGGGCACAGTGTGTATTCCTTCCTAGTAAACATACGTAATATTGGGCTACATTCAAATACCATTTCATTCCACGCAAGACTTGAGCATGTGCTTCACAGGGCTATCCTGTACAGGCCTTTACAACAGGCAGCTCATGTTAGCGTGAAAATTCAGGTTCCTTTTTGCTCAGCTGAAACATACGACCTTTGACAAACTTCATCATACTTTGCAGAAATGAAGTTTATCAAAGAACATTTATACTGAGACAAGAATAATTTTTACAACACAAAACTACACACACAAAATATGAAATATTGAGGGCATTGAGCCACAGCCCAAGCTGTGGCTCCACTGGCACAAAATATTTCCATGTGCGCAATGGAGTTTCCACTTTCTGTCCCCTCTAGCTGTTCTGTGCACTCTCCAAATCGGCTCCAGAGAGTTGGAGGATCCAACGGGGCTCCAGCTTTTAGGGGACTACACTTCCCATCATCCTTGACCACTGGCCCTGCTAGCTAGGGATGATGGGAGTTGTAGTCCAAAGACAGCTGGAGATTCAAGTTTGGGAAAACCTGCTCTACAGCAGTTTTGCAGGGAGAATGAGAGAAATGGTGGGTGCCGCTTTGCTAGTAATAATAATAATTCCATTACTTGCACTCTGCCCATCTGACCGGGTTCCCCAGCCACGTTGGGTAGCTTACAACAGAATACAAAACAACACAACACAGTGAAACATCAGACATAAGAAGCTTTCCAATACAAGGCTGCCTTCAGATGTCTTCTAAGGGTTGTATAGTAACTTATCTCCTTGACGTCTGATGGGAGGGCGTTCCACAGGGCAGGTGCCACTACCGAGAAGGCCCTCTGCCTGGTTCCCTGTAGCTTCACTTCTCGCAATGAGGGAGCCACCAGAAGGCTCTCGGTACTGGATCTCAGTGTCCGGACTGAATGATGGGGGTGGAGATGCTCCTTCAGGTACACAGGGCTAAAGCCATTTAGGGTGCTAAAGGTCAGTAGAATCCTGTTGGCCACAGCATTGCATACAAGCCATTATTTCCCCCTTTCTTTATTTGCTATATACCTGCAATTATCGCATGTTGCTAGATCGAAGTGGTTCATGAGGTAGGAATCCATGAATTCTTTACCACATTCTTCACAAATAATGTAATCAAATTCTAACACAGGCCCTGTTTAAAAAAAATGAATAAACAACAGGGCGTAAGCTGTTAAAGTGCATTCAAGATAGCAAAAATATTTTTTTCATTTTAAATTTATTTATTGATATTTATTCAGAGATACACCAAAAAATACCCATTACAAAGCATCTTTTTATAATGTACTGATATAAAACAGCTACTCGGTCTAAAAAAGAACAAAGGCAGAAAGGAGAAAAGACAAGAAAAAGGAAAACCTGAAGAAAGAAAGAAAGAAAGAAAGAAAGAAAGAAAGAAAGAAAGAAGAATAAAAGGACTTCTAACTCTCTGTCCTGCAGCTAAATATAGTATTCATGCATGCAGGCTTCATATTCCTTTTAACATTCTTTACATTCCCAGCCCCGCGAGACCAGACTGTTAGATGATTATGAACTGATGCACAATACAGTGGCTACCTCAGGTTAAGAACTTAATTTGTTCTGGAGGTCCGTTCTTAACCTGCAACTGTTCTTATCTTGACGTACCACTTTAGCTAATGGGGCCTCCCGCTGCCGCCGCGCAATTTCTGTTCTCATCCTGAAGCAAAGTTCTTAACCTGAGGTACTATTTCTGGGTTAGCAGAGTCTGTAACCTGAGGCGTCTGTAGCCCAAGGTACCACTGTAATGTTTATCAGCTCTTCTAGAAGAACACATTGCAATGTGTGCTTGTACCAGCCTTTCAGACAAATATTTTTATGTCTCTGCAAGCAAGGAATTTCTCTTTTGGCTCAGTTCCCCCTATCATGGCACCTTCCACTAACTAAGCACAACCAACAGCAGCCGTTTCCTCACTGCCATATTCACCAGGGAGATGTACAACTTTCTCTGCTTTGTTTTCCTCTTCCTCCTCCTCTTCAAGAAAGAATCCTCCCCCGGTATCTATTATCTTTGGAGGTGCTTTCACTTTGGAACTGCCTGCAGAAAAAACAAAAATAAACTTTGCAATCAGTACCTGACACTGATGTAATAAAGTCTATTGGTAGGTGAGGAAGCCATGTCTAACCTTGCTCAAATGTTAAGAAGCAGCCCACAATAAAAAAAAGGAGTATCTATTGAAATCCAATACATTATTATTGCATTGCTTGGGTCTCCAACTGGTTTTTTTGGACTACAACTCCCATCATGCATAGCTAGAAGGACCAGTGGTCAGGGATGACGGGAATTGTAGTCCAAAGACCTATCCTAGATCCTAGATATCCCCGACCTAGACACAGTGATCCATGCACCTCCAGGCTTGACTACTGTAATTCGCTCTACGCGGGGCTGCCCTTGAAGCTGTCCCAGAAACTCCAGCGGGTGCAGAATGCTGCAGCGAGGCTCCTCACGGGGTCTCTGCCATGGGAGCATATTCACCCAGTGCTTTTCCAGCTGCACTGGCTCCCGGTGGAGTACAGGGTCAGATTTAAGGTGCTGCTTTTGACCTTTAAAGCCCTTCACGGCCTAGGACCCTCGTACCTACGGGACCGCCTCTCCCGGTCTGCCCCACGGAGAGCCTCAAGGTTCATAAATAGCAACACCCTAGTGGTCCCGGACCCTAAGGAAGTTAGATTGGCTTCAACCAGAGCCAGGGACTTTTCAACTCTGGCCCCGACTTGGTGGAACGCTCTGCCTCATGAGACCAGGGCCCTGCAGGATCTGATTTCTTTCCGCAGGGCCTGTAAGACAGAGTTGTTCTGCCTGGCCTTTGGCTTAGAGCCAATTTGATTCCCTCTCCCTTTCTTTTTTCTTTTCCTTTCTCCTCCTGCGATGAGGTTTCAATACTTTAATGTTGTATTTTAATTTTGTTTTTAGGTTGTTATTATTGCTTGTTAGCCGTCCTGAGCCCGGCCTTGGCTGGGGAGGGCGGGGTATAAATAAAAATTATTATTATTATTATTATTATTATTATTACTACTACTATCTGACTCTAACCACTATACCACACCGCCTCTCTATACATTTAGAGATCCCCATTCACTTTTAAGAAGGTGTAGGATCAGATTGCTAGAACTAACAAGGAAGATGGGCCTGAGGTCTCTGAAAAGTCTCCTTTTGGGTTGTCAATATCAAGGATCACCCCAGGTATTTTCTATCCCTGGACCACAACTCCAAAGCTGGTAGCAACCACCTAAGATTTCTGCTTTGTAGCATTACAGATTGAAGGCTTTCCCTTCTTGCCTGAATGTTTTTAAGGAACATTGCATTAGCCTCCTTCAGGAGCTCACAGACTTCAGCAGCACACAGCCACAAAGGAAACCCACAACTTCCCATCATAATGTGCCTTTTACTTTCCAGTATACTTTTGCTAGCCATATGCACAGTAGAGCGGTTCATAAAAAACTTTTTTTTGAAAATGCCTGCTTCAAAAGTCTTATCTTACTACACTAGGGATTATATAGCTAGATCTGAAATTTCAAGAAAATAGCTGTTTACTTGGCCGTTTTCCTATGTCGTGAAGTCTGAAATTTCAATTCAGTGGAGCAGGGTCAAGATATTAACTGATGTGCATGAAATTTCAGATCTAGCTATATAATCCCTGGTGTAGTAAGAGAAGACCTTTGGAGCAGGCGTTTAAAAAAAAAAAAAAAAGTTCTTTATGAACCGCCCTAAATTGCACAACTGACTCAGACTACAGAAGCTTCAGAGGCAAGCCCTGAGGAGATTTCACCCCTCCCATATCCAAGAATCTCCTGAGGAGCCTGCTGATTCTCCAGAGAGGAGGAGGCGTGTTCTGCTCTCTACTTATTCTGCTCCAGCACCAAGTCAGTCAGTCAGTCAGTCAGTGTCGGGGAGAGAGAGAGAGAGAGACTGAGTGTTAGAGATCGTGTGTAGAGATAAGGTTGCTGCTAAGAGCAGCTGCAGACACTCAGTGCAGTGCAGCATTTATTTATGCTTAGACCTATTAAGCTCTGTATATAGTTTGTATAGTTGTAGATAGAATAAAAGAAGATATTCTACAGAGCTGCTCTCCGAGTTGTTTATATACAGTGGTGCCCCGCAAGACGAATGCCTCGCAAGACGGAAAAACCGCTAGACGAAAGGGTTTTCCGTTTTGAAGTTGCTTCGCAGGACGAATTCCCCTATGGGCTTGCTTCGCAAGACGAAAATACCTTGCGAGTCTTGAGATTTTTTTTTCGCTTTTCCCCCCCTTTATCTAATCTGCTAAGCCTTTAATAGCCTTTTAGCAGCTAATCCCCTAAGACTTTAAGCCTTTAATAGCCGCTAAACCGCTAATAGCGCTAATAGCGCTAATCCGTCAATGGGCTTGCTTCGCAAGACGAAAAAACCGCTAGACGAAGACTCTCGCGGAACGGATTAATTTCGTCTTGCGAGGCACCACTGTACTCTGCTAGAGTCTGCTGTACTCTGCTGTGCGACGACTGTCTTCTTGTGGAAGTGAATCCGGTGCTCACAACTCTAAGCTGTGAGTCCACAGCACTTTGACCTGTTCCTGTGCAAAAGGTGGTCTCTGGAAGTGCTACCCAGCTCGCCTAGCCCAGTCGGGGCTGAAGTGGATGAGTCCAGTTGGTGGCACTGGCTCATGGGCGATGCTGACATCGGTTATGGGCCCAGTCGTTGTCCCAGTCATCTGACCATACATAGAAAAGCATGAGAATTTGCCCTTTGGCCACAACATCAACCCTGCACTGTGGGGGTTTGACTAGATGAGCTTTGGAGGTCCCTTCCCATTCCAAAATTCTAAGATTTCCCTCTTCCCTATCCATACGCCTCTCTTACCAGCTGGAGGCTAACCTGCACAAGCTACCTGGACCTGTCCATCGTGTATTACATTGCAGTGCCAAGCGAACCTTCGCCGGTAGGAGGGTAAGGCCTGGTAGCCAGCCTTGCTTGCCTCAGCATCAGTGCCCGCTGGCGATTCCGCTCTATCTTTGCCCTCATCGCGGCAGAGAGTGCAGGTTTCTCCTCTTCAGGAGCAGAAGATTCCATGGCCGGATCCAGAGACGGAAACCTAGAAAGGTTAAATTGAAATGAGAATGATTTTTCTACAAAAAGTGGTGCTGGAACCCATCATGAACGCCTCCCTTCTTCTCTTTTTAATTTATACATTTCATTAGTTTTACAATCAATTTAACGTTTCAAAAGTTGACTTCCTCCTCTTTCTGCGGTTCCTTAAAATCATTTTTTAACATCTTCTTCACATCCATTTAGCTTGCTCGTTTAATAATCTACTGTAAATATATACTCTTATAAAACTGCAGGTTACTATATTAATCCTGCTAATTTTTTGTGTTTATGATTTATCTGTAAATATTCAATAAACTATTTCCATTCTTTTATAAAAAGTTCCGTTATCTTGATTTCTTATTTTTCCGGTACGTTTCGCCATTTCTCCATATCCCATAAGCTTTTGTATCCATTCCCTTGTTCTCTTAAAATGGCAATGGCGACCACTTGAGAGGTCCCGGAACAGAGTTCCAGCAAGTTCCAGCTGGAAAAAAAGCCCCGATAATAATTATGATAAGGGAGGAGGTGGAAATAATAAAAGCAGCCCAAAGGATTGCTAGCTACCAACCAGGGGAATAGGCAGCAGTTGTTGATCCCATCATTCCGGACCATCTGCCAACTTCATGTGTCTGGTAAAGTCCTCAATGCTTCGTGCACCAATAAATTTCCTAGTCTCCAACAATACAGTTCTATGCATAGCTACATACTTCTGAAACTGAATTCAGTGCAGGGTACAGTGGTGCCTCGCAAGACAAAATTAATCCGTTCCGCGAGTCTCTTCGTCTTGCGGTTTTTTCGTCTTGCGAAGCACGGCTATTAGCGGCTTAGCGGCTTTAAGAAAAAGGAAACAAACTCGCAAGAACTCGCAAGACGTTTCGTCTTGCGAAGCAAGCCCATAGGGAAATTCGTCTTGCGGAACGACTCAAAAAACGGAAAACTCTTTTGTCTTGCGCGTTTTTCGTCTTGCGAGGCATTCGTCTTGCGAGGTACCACTGTAGATAGAAATCAATGATTAAAAAAAATCTGGTTTTTTAAAATTTTAAACAGATTTTTTAAATTTAAATTGGATTTTAAAAATAAAATGCTTTTGGAGGAAAATATCTTTCTAAAGTTAGCTTTCTATTTAAGTTACATTACAGTCCAGGAAATAAGGATTTGTTTTAAGTTTTTCATGTGTGCTGAAAATCAGTCTATTTAAAAAAAAAATGTTTAACCACATCAGTTAACAAACATGGATACATATGCTATAATATTACTGAAATAAATTTTTTATATTGTTATTAAGGAAATTATTATTTTTCTCCTTCCAATAAAGTACAGCAGAAAAGTTGTCCAGAGATAAACAGTTAACTTATTAAACCTCACAATAATTTCATAATTATCTGTCTACGTATTTCTAATAGTATAACCAAATCAGTAATTTTTGTTATAACTGTAAAAACTATTCTGAAAAGTCATTGTTCCAAAAATGAAACCTTCATCTGGTTGTAAATATTAAGATTATACCGGCAGGAATGCCTTTCTGTAAAAAATAAAATGATTTCAAATCGAGTCTTACTGACTAGTGATTTAAATCATGATTTAAATCGATTTGCTTTAAATCAAATCCACCTTGATTCAGTGGGACTTTCAGGTAAAAGTGGGTGTGAGATTGCACCTTGAAACGAGACCTTTCCTTTCCTAGCAATTGTTCCAACAGCAGATCTGAAAGCAAATGCTTGTTTTGCGCTTACCAAACTGGTAGATCATCATTTTATTCGTATAATTCAGGCCTTGCTCAAAGCAGCTTATGGCAATTACGCAATTACAAAAGCAAAGCAGTCACAAACAATAAGCAGAACGCATCGAAAAGTCCAGAAAATAGAGCAATTGCCACGTAATAAGTGGTTAAAAGAAATAAAGGCACAAAATATTAATATCAAATAAAAGCATGAGAGAGATAATAAAATAAAATAAAATAAAAGCATGAGATTTTTAATTTTTTTTTAAAAAAAGATGCAAAATATGAATAACAGCAGACACCAACCACAAAACCCAACAAGCAATACTCCAGCCCAGATCAAGCTCCAGTGGAAAGGCCGACTTGCCTTTGCCAGCCGCTTTCAGCCCTTCTGCAAAAGTGAGAGGCGCCCAAAACATCAACAGGACCGGAAAAAGGAACCTTACCTGCCCACACAAAGCTTGGCTTCTTGAAGCCGTGTGCGCATGCTCCTGGACGGAAGCCGTCCCTTTAGAAGCGCTCGGCTACTTCCGTGACTGTAGAAGTACGAAAGTGTAGAGGCGGCCGTCCATAGAGACGACCCTCGTTCCTACTAAGAGGCCTGTTTTGTGCCTGGTTTTTTTAAAAAACGTACTTCGAGGCAGAAATAAGAGCATAGCTGTCAACTTACAGATTTCAAAATAAGGGACCAGCAGCCTCGAAAATAAGGGATCAGCAGCCAAAATAAGGGATTTTGCTTAGCTTAGGCAGAAATCCGGCACTGATGGAGCCCTGCTACTTTGGCTGCCCCTGACTGTGTTTTGCAGGGGGTTGAACCAGATGATCCTAAGGGTCTACAACTCCCACCAAAGAAGAGGGGCAGACAAAACTGATGAACGACGTCGAGATGGCAAAGCTTACAGGCAGAATTAGAAACCAGGAAGAGGACCTCTTTAATAAAGAATGGGGAAAGTTTATAATTTATTGGAAAAGCTATTGCAAAGAGTTACATACATTGGTAGGATTGACAGAAAACTTGTAGTAAAAATTGAACTATGGATGGACAAATGATTTATGAAAATAGAGTTATGAAAGGGATGCCGAGGGGGAAATCACTACATTAAGATGCTGCACTGGCTGGAGGGGATGCTAAGCAGCACGTCGGGGCTGCCGTCGTCTTGGAGCGAGGAGTTCCATTGGCCCTTCCCCGCCCGAGAGAGAGGGAGGGAAGGAGGGAGAGAGACTCTCGCCCACCAGCCCGGCATGAGGCGGTTGCGGCGCAGCGGTGGCTTCCAGCCTTCCAACCTTTGCTTTGTCATTTCCACGTTTCTTTTTCTTTCCTTGGTTTTTCAGATTTTATTTATGCTTTTCAAGTTTATACACTTCACTAGTTTTATACATTTCACTAATTTTACAATCATTTTAACATTTCAAAACTTCCTTCCCCCTCTTTCTGTGTCTCCTTAAATTTATATTGAATATGCTCTGCATATCCAAATTAACTTAATTTGCTCATTTATTCATCTACTTTAAATATATACTCTTATGAAACTGCAGGCTATTACAACAATCCTGCCAATGATCTTACCTGTTTACAAATTATCTGTAAATATTCAATAAACCATTTCCATCATTTCCACATTTCTTAAATGTCAATTTAAGTGATTCCACCTGCTCCCATAAGCAACAAACCAATTCTGTGTACTTAAGTTTGCACTCCTCTTTCCAGGCCTTCGCAAATAAAATCCAAGCTAATGCTGGTATATATAATACCTGTGGGCGAATCTCTTCTTTTGTTATCACTTGGTCATTTGTGTTATTAAAACACAGCATAACAGGAAATCAGGTAGGAAGCCGTGTTGGTCTGACGCAGTCGAAATATATATAAAAATAAAAAATTGTCCAGTAGCACCTTAGAGACCAACTAAGTTTGTTCTTGGTATAAGTTTTCGTGTGCATGCACACTTCTTCAGATAACAGGAAAGTTCATCACCATGTCCTCCTCAAACCTACTTTCTTCCTTTACATTTCCTCTAATGATCATTTCATGATTAAACCTTGCAAGGAAGGCAAGACAAATGTGTGGCACTCATGACAACAGACAGCAGAGTGCGCTAAAAGCATTGTGGATTTGTACATCAGTTTTCATACAAATGTAGAATTGATGCTATAATAGCCTTAAACTGCAGTCCTGTGCTCATTTAGTTGGAAGTAAGTTTCACTGAGTTCAGGAGCAAAATTGGTGTTGGATTGGACAGCAATTGTATTTAGGATTGAGGTTTATTGTTTTTTCTTGTTTGACCTGACGTGAGGAGAAAGGAAATACATTGTTTGACTAAACTGGAAGTTGAGAGTACTGAATTTAAAAGCTCCAGACAGAGGGATTCAAATGCAATGGGTCATAAGATCAGTACAGTATTCTTATACATGAATGCTTGTAATCAGACAATGTTACTCATATACCTTAATGGTGATCATATACTAACCATCAGTTCAATGTGAACTAAAATAATCCAGATTTTTAATGAAAACTCATTTATCCCATTCAACATAATGGCATTGCTTTCTGGCTTCCAGAAAGGGAATTTGGAAATTAGTCTAATTGATGTCAATGGAACATGTTTTCAACTACAGTTTTTGGGTTCAGAGTGCAAATTGCCTTAAAAGTCCCAGCATCACCAATATGTGGATTAAGTTATTTTGGAATTTATTATGTAATTACATAACGTGTCATGTTTTTATATACATTGGAAGCCACCCAGAGTGGCTGAGGCAACCTAGTCAGATGGGCGGGGTGCTACTACTACTCGTACTACTGCTACTACTAATAATAACTTGGCCTGCCATACAGGGTTTCAGTAATTATTAGTCAGATTTTGTGTGCCATTTGTACACAGAAAACATTTTAAAATTTCTGTGAAGGGGTGTGTGATTTTTTAAAAAATTAATAACAATAGCAGTTCAGAAGCGGCAACTGCCATAATTTTGAGTGGTTCTGCTCATCAGAATTATATAGCATGGATTCTGCAGGATCTGTACTGACAGTTTATACAAGGTATGACCAGAAAGTTCAGTGAATGGTCACAGAAATCGGACAGTGAGAAACATCTGAACATACAATCGATATCAGAAACCCACGAAATTCTCACAGTTGTGTACAGAGATGAAGCTGTAACTCGAAAGACAATGTATGAGTAGTTTAAGTGTTTCTGTGAAGGGGGGCAAACCATTGAAGATGACCCTCAATCTGGCAGACCGTTGACGAGCAGAACGGCAGCAAATGACGACAGAGTTCGTGAGTTATTGATGTGGGATCGGCGTTTGTCCATCTGAAGGATGGCGGAAGAATTGCATATTCCACGTGAAATTGCTGCTGAGGTTATTGAGTTGTCCCACCCTCCATATTCTCCCAATCTGGCCCCACCAGATTTCTTTCTTTTCCAAAACTGAAATCTGCACTGAAAGGGCACCGATTTCCCAACATTTCACACGTTCAAGCTGCTGCTGTGATGAGGGAACTGAAAGCAGTACGAAAAGAGGACTTCTCCAGAAGTTTTCAACAGTTCTATGAACGTTGTCAATGGTGCATTGTATCAGAGGGGGGCCTACTTTGAAGACCTGTAAGATATGTGAGTTCAAATATTTCTCGCTGTCCGATTTCTGTGACCATTCACTGAACTTTCTGGTCACACCTTGTATGCTCTTGAGCCCAATTCATTGTTAACTTACAAAGCCCTAAGTGGCTTAGGAACCAAATACTTGAAATAACATCTCTTCCTATAGCAGCCTGCCCACATATATAAAGATCTGCAGGGGAAGCCCTTCTTGATGTCCTTCCAGTGCGTGAAGACATGAGATAGGGCTTTCTCTGTGGTGGCACCTTTCCCTTGGAGGTACAACTGGGACCACTGTCAATTTGGTGCCAGTTGAAGCAATACCTTTTAACCTGGGATTTTGGAAAATGTCGATTTGACCTGGCCAGCTATAGATTGATAGAGGTCTGTTTTCTGGTATTGCTAAGATGACTTACTTTTAGTTATTGCTTTCATGTTATTTTATGGAAAGTTATTGTTTTAAGGCTGGTGCCTCTGCAGCAAACTGCCCTGTGATCACAGTTGACGAAGGATGGCTTAGAAATTGAATTAATAAGATAAATAAACGGTGCCTATTCCAATATATTTTGGCTTTGCTTGCCACCTGGTGGGAAGGTTCATTTTGGAGTAGTCTTTCTGCTGTCTTTCTGCTTCATTTATCATCTCCCACCTATTGTCTGTGAACTTGGCTGATAGATGGGCAATTAAGGAAGCACGTCAAGTGTTGAAAGCTCCTGCCCCAGAACTGAAAAGCCGAGGTATGCGAGTAAAACTGAAGTGTAAATATTCAAGGGCAAAAAAACCTGGCACTTTTCCCTGACAGGCAACCTTAATGCAAGTTTGTTATTTTTGTTATTATCACAGGAGACGACAGGAGGACATGGCAGGATGTGAGCATGCCTTGTGTCTTTTTTTTAAAGAAAAAAACACCACTGTGTGGCTTGTCGTTATTATTACTGTTATTCAACAGGGTTTTACATCCCAGCGTAATCACTTTCCAGTAGATCAGGGGAGGTGCTTAAACATCTCTGGACAAGAAAGTGGCAGGAGGTTGAGTCAGGTAAAAGCTGGGATTCACTTGCACCGTTCCCTCCCTCTCCATCACACACATGAACCCTCGCGTCAGCGCTTGCTGTTCTGCCGCCAAAGTACTCAGCACGCTCTCGTTGTCAGCTGGTAATCCGGGAAGTAAGAAAGCTGTGATTTTCTAGTCGAATCGCTGCTGCCAAAGATTGCCTTTCAGTCTCCCTAGACCAAAACTCTTTGGGCATTGTGACAAAATGCCACACAGGTACTGAAATGCAGGCATTCTAGAATTTTAACTGCTAAAAAAAACCGCAACTCCACGCTTTATGTACAGTGGTACCTCGGGTTACAGACTCCGCTAAGCCAGAAATAGTGCTTCAGGTTAAGAACTTTGCTTCAGGATGAGAACAGAAATCGTGCTCCAGCGGCGCAGCAGCAGCAGTGGTCTTCAGGTTAAGAACAGAGATAAATACAGTGGTACCTCAGGTTACAGACACTTCAGGTTACAGACTCCGCTAACCCAGAAATAGTACCTCGGGTTAAGAACTTTACCTCAGGATGAGAACAGAAATCGCACAGCGGCAGCGGGAGACCCCATTAGCTAAAGTGGTACCTCAGGTTAAGAACAGTTTCAGGTTAAGAACGGACCTCCGGAACGAATTAAGTACCATATTTTTCACTCTATAAGACGCACCAGACCACAAGACGCACCTAGTTTTCGGAGGAGGAAAACAAGAAAAAAAAATATTCTGAATCTCAGAAGCCAGAACAGCAAGAGGGATCGCTACGCAGTGAGAGCAGCAATCCCTCTTGCTGTTCTGGCTTCTGGGATAGCTGTGCAGCCTGCATTCGCTCCATAAGACGCACACACATTTCCCCTTACTTTTTAGGAGGGAAAAAGTGAGTCTTATAGAGCAAAAAATACGGTACTCAACCCGAGGTACCACTGTATACCCCAAGGTCTAGGAGCTGACATCCACGTGCATCTACAGGATCTTGGCCTTCTCCCTGACATGCTGTGTGAGTAGACCAGGCACACGTCTGCAGTGGGAGGTTTTGTGTTATTGATTTTTAGCAAGAGAGATCATTCAGACCTTTGGTCCCCTCTTGCAGTTGGTCGTGGTACAGTTCAGCAGAGACACCCAGGCCAATGGAACACAGCAACTCTTCGCAAGATCAGGACCAAGTGCATAAGCCATCCCTCTCTGTTTTTAGTGGCATCAAACACCATAATGAATGATGCAGCTTCTAATCAATTCCAGGCTTTACAGAGTAGTCTGTATGAATGAAATCTTTAGATTTCCAAATGAGCTTACACTTTAAGCTAATTTCTTTCGGAAATGTGTACCACAATGGCAGTTCCATGTGGGAATGTTCAGGGTGGCAGGAGAGGGTATATTGTTTATTAATATCCTTCCTAACTTCCTTTACTTAGCAGAGTGCATTCCCCTTTACACAGCAGAAAACTAGTTGCAAATTCGTGAGCATTTCTTAAGACAATATGCAATTCAATCTGGCTTGTCCAGATTGAATTGGGTTCTAATATTTTCCTGGCCCACCCACTAGTCACATGCAAGCAAGGATGCTCCCGGCCAGGAGGAACAGGATGTTTTAACTGGCTGGACCAAACATTCCCTTGCATGTCCACTCTAGCAAAACAAGGAATGTTGTATTTGACTGCTCCCAGTGGATTACATCCCACATTCCAAAAGGAAACTTTTGGAAGGTAGTTCTGAGTTGAGCAGAAGCTTTTCTTTCTTTCTTTCTTTCTTTCTTTCTTTCTTTCTTTCTTTCTTTCTGCATTGGCTCCCAGTACGTTTCCGAGCACAATTCAAAGTGTTGGTGCTGACATTTAAAGCCCTAAACGGCCTCGGTCCTATATACCTGAAGGAGCGTCTCCACCCCCATCGTTCAGCCCGGACACTGAGATCCAGCGCCGAGGGCCTTCTGGCGGTTTCCTCATTGCGAGAAGTGAGGTTACAGGGAACCAGACAGAGGGCCTTTTTGGTAGTGGCGCCCAGCCTGTGGAACACCCTTCCTTCAGATGTGAAGGAAATACTGGTAAGCAGCTATCCTATCTTTAGAAGACATCTGAAGGCAGCCCTGTTCAGGGAAGTTTTTAATATTTAATGCTGTACTGTTTTTAACATTTGATTGGGAGCCGCCCAGAGTGGCTGGGGAAACTCAGCCAGATGGTGGGGTATAAATAATAAATTATTATTATTATTATTATTACTATTATTACTATTATTACTATTATTATTATTTTCTTTCTTTCTTTCTTTCTTTCTTTCTTTCTTTCTTTCTTTCTTTCTTTCTCCTTTCCTGAGGAACTGATCAAGTTGGAACACAAGTTTTCAGTTTGTGAGTCGGGATGTGATCTACAGTGAAGCATGTCAATTGTATCACCTCCCATTCCTTTTCTTCTTAAAGAAAGAAAAGTTGGGGAGAGACAAGCAAATGCAGTGGCGAAAATCCTAAAAGCGGGTACTGTGTACAGGTTTTGATTAAAGACAGGCCCCAAGTCTGAATAAGTTAAATCATAGTTGGAAGAGACCCTGAACATCATCTAATCTAACCCCCTGCAATGCAGGAATATGCAGTTGGATTGAACCTACAACCTTGGCATTATCAGCACCACGTTCTAACCAACTCAGCTATCCATCAGCACAGAGCTATCCTGCTGCTCTTTGCAAGGGACAAGGAATTTCTGCTGTTCCAGATGTTGCTGTACTACAACTGGAGGATGATGGATTTCCATATCCTTGCTCTTAGCAGACAGGAATACACTTATTCCTTTAATTAATACAAACATAAAATTAGGGGATAGCAATGCAGTGATATCAACAGAACAGCAGATCAACAGAACCACGCTGATAATGTATGGGCTAAGCCAATAAGACCAGGAGGGAGGTCTTACAGAAGCTGAGAAAAGCGACAGGCCGTATTATCTGCTAACATCTTTTGGGCCTCTCCAACATATCAACACTGTCATGTGCAAAACACTGACTAGTAGTTTGTGGATTTGCTGAAGTGTGGCCTTTGTTTGCAATTCTGAGGGGAGTACAGCTGTGGCCTAACTTCAGAAAATAAATTAGTAGCTGGCTAATCTTACCCCATTCATGTACTCCTTGGAAAAATGCCCCTCCCCTAATCTTGATGTAGGGTTTTGGTGGGGGTTTTTTTTGTCAACAGCATGAATAAGCAGAAAACTGAACTTTGCCACCAGTACAGGAATCTATTGTTTTATGAATGACAGATTGAAAGGAACATGAAAAAACAGCAGCCCAGAGGCTGTCAGTTGTGTGAAAGCATTCCTCCGTTTGACTCTGGGTGGTCCTCTCAGAGACTGCCATGATTTCAACGCACTTCATCACAAAAGAGGGTGCAGCATGTGTGCACAAAAGGAGAAACATTTAATTACATGACTTTGAAAAGCTAGGTTATTGACTACATGATTGGTCTGCAAGTTGTACGCATTTGATTGCAGAACTTTTATTTTAAACAAAATCAATTCAGCACATGTAGAAAACAAAAGAGCATGATCGCAATAATTATATCAGTGAAGTGACTAATAACTTGACAGGCTGTGTTTACTTTACCCTGTTCGTCCTGGCATTTGCTCATCCCTTGTTATACTTAACTCTTCCAATCCTATACTGCTCAGTAATTTGTCACTATTATCTTTTCCTTCCTTCCTCTACCCCTTTTTTGTCCTCCATTATTGAAATGTAGAATGCAAGCTTCTGGGGGCAGATAATTCCCCCCCGTTTTGCTTAAATGCTACTTATGATACAATATAAACAACAACAATTTTAAAGCATTTTCCCCAAATGACAGAAGCATCACTTCTTTTCTGGATTCGCTTCACTTTACTCTGACACCAAAAGAGATCCGTGTGTGGATTTTCCAGATCTCACAGCAAAATGCTATCCTCTATGCAACAGAAATACAGTGGTACCTCGGTTTTTGACCGTAATCCATCCCGGAAGACCGTTCGAGTTCTGAAATGTTCAAAAACCAAAAACTCAATAGCCAACAGCTAGGCTTGCCCTCAATAGAAACTGCCTGGCATGTTCGACTTCCGAGGTGTGTTTGAAAACCAAAGCATTTAGTTCTGGGTTTATAGCGTTCGAAAACCAAAATGTTCCTCAAAAGCCAAGGTACTGTTGTAGTCCAATTCCTATAGTCTCCCAGTGTCTTGCTCTTCCCTTTGCTTGATAGTCAAGGGGATTAGAGATGGGAGTGTGCTTTTCTTTTTTAAAACAACAACACTCACGCTTTTATTTTATATTTCTGTAACATCAAAAACAATTCAAATTAAAAACACAGAGTACAATTATGACTGTCGACCATTCAAAATGAAGTTGTTTCAGTTACAGATTTTGCTACATTTTCTTGGTTTCTGACTTTCTCTTTAGGAAGGACATTTTAGGTGTTACTTTGAATCAGTACTCTCCATAGCTTGACATGAGATGCTGGAGACAGTTCTTGTTTACATACTTCAAAAACAGCAAAACTGTCACATCTGGCCCTGTCTTTTAGGACTCTGTTGTATTGTGTGATCAGTTGTTCCAAGAAGGCTGCATCCCATATTACCGGTATCTCAAACCAGCCATGCCAAGAAAACTTGAGAATGCTGCTGCCACGAAAAGATACAACACCAAGTCTTTGTGAACAATCTTGACTTCCTCAAGCCTTCCCATTGATAACAAAACAGCATGGTTAGGGACTCCGCTTTTGTGAGTGTCGCCTCAGAGATTTTTTTAGTGCCCATCCACTGTAGCATGAGCTACACTTCTTCCCTCTCTCCTGTGGAATGATGTCACTGCCCCAGTATTAGCAGAGGGAAAGGGACGTGAGAGGCATTGTGGTCTAAACAACTGAGCCTCTTGGGCTTGCCGATCAGAAGGTTGGCGGTTCAAATCCCCGCGATGGGGTGAGATCCTGTTGCTTTTTCCCATCTCCTGCCAACCTAGCAATTTGAAAGCACACCAGTGCAAGTAGATAAATAGGTGCCGTTGTGGCGGGAAGGTAAACGGCGTTTCCGTGCGCTCTGGTTTCCGTCATGGTGTTCTGTCATGCCAGAAGCAGTTTAGTCATGCTGGCCACATGACCCAGAAAGCAGTCTGTGGGCAAACACCAACTCCCTCGGCCTGAAAGTGAGATGAGTGTCACAACCCCATAGTCGCCTTTGACTGGACTTAACCGTCCAGGGATCCTTTACCTTTTTTTTAACCTATTAGCAGAGGGAAACTGCACTTTGATTGATGCTGCACTTGATGATCTGAAAAAGTTGGCATAACCTGAAACATTTCTCTGGTGAAAACAGGGACATCCTTTTTAACAAGAACAACGTATTATTTATACCTTATTTATACCCGTCACTCTGGGCAGCTTCCAATATCTATAAAAGCATAATAAAACATTAAACATTAAAAAAAAATCCCTATACAGGGCTGCCTTCAGATGTCTTCTAAAGGTTGCATAGTTACTTATCTCCTTGGCTTGGGGGTCGCATAACTCCATAGCCCCAACATTTTTTCTGATAAAAATAGGGATGTCCTAAGGAAAACCAGGACATTCTGGGATCAAATCAGAAACTGGGATGGCTTCTGTAAATCCGGGGCTGTCCCTGGAAAATAAGGACACTTAGAGGGTCTGTGATAGTCTTTACTTGGACTTTGTTATTTTAATGCATGTGCAACTGCTCATTCTACGTGCCTATTTTATAGTTTTGTTTTTCATCTTTTAAATTTTGCCCATTGTTATAATTGTTATCTCTGTTTTTTATCTACATTATAAAATGAAATAATAATAATAATAATAATAATAATAATAATAATAATAATTTAAAAAAAAACCTGCTGCACAAGGCCTCTCCATTCTGATGGGCAAGTTCACTGTGACCGCATTCAAAACAAGGATTCTGTTTTTCAAATCCCACTTCAGTCCTTCTCACAGTCAACTAATGTGCCCCAGAGCAAAGTTTGGGAATCACTGTGTCACATTAATCTGCCTGTCTGTTTCAAGTCATTTGTGAGTCTTTGCAGCTGGATCAAGTGAAAGCCCAGAAATAATAAGCCGCTTGCCTCGGTTGCAAAGCAAGAGCTGCGCTTGGAGCCAGCCTAATTTTGATAATGCATCCCTAACCCATCTCAGAAGGCTCAGATTCTGATCCAACATGACTCTTCCAGTGAAAGAATAAGGAATGCTAGAACCTACAATAAAAAAACCAACAACAACCATGAGGAGGAGTAAAGGAACCTGTCTATCTATTTATGTCATGTGCAGCTTTATCTTAATAAGCAAATGGAACGATAGATCTGACTAAAGCCAGATTAGAAGACATGATATATTCTGAATTGACTGCTAATGACAGCAGAAGCTTTTCCTGTTCCCCTCTGTGTGGCTTTCAAACCAGAGGCAAGGAAAAGCAACCCTAGAAGTTCAGTGTCAACATTTTATGGAGGACTTGAATAGAAAATAATGTCTATTACTATTGTGTTACAGTTGTGAGACATTCCTGGTTCAATCACTATCTCATACCCTCCAACATTTCTCTGTTGAAAATAAGGACGTCAATAATAATAATAATAATAATAATAATAATAATAGTGTCTCACCCATCTGACTGTGTTGCTCCATTACCCCAGCCGCTCTGGGTAGCTTCCAACATATATAAAAACATAATAAACATTAAAAAAAACACCTTTCCTATGCAGAGCTGTCTTCCAAAGGTTGCATAGTTACTTATCTCTTTGCCTGGGGGGGGGGCACATAACTCCATGCCCTCCAACATTTCTCCACTGAAAATGTCTGCGGGCAGGTAGGGTCTCAGTGTGCGTACCAGATGGAATTGGTAAACAGCTGCCCTGGACACAGAATTGACCTGCACCTCCATGGACAGCTGTGAGTCCAGAATGACTCCCAGGCTGTGCGCCTGGTCCTTCAGGGGCACAGTTACCCCATTCAGGACCAGGGAGTCCTCCAGCATAATTTAACATGCAAAGGGAGGCAACCTTCCTGATCTTCAGAGCCCAGAATACAATGAGCCATAACTCTAGAAGCCAGTGTTATACCACCCAGGATGTTAGGCAAAGTGAAGTGCACATCCTTTGGCCAAAAAAAAAAAAAGTTTCCTTTTGTGTTACACAGTGAAAATGTATTGCTGTGAATAAGACATAACAAGCCCTCTGTTGGCTTGGCCCAGAGACCCATCAAATCCACGATTCTTTCCCCAGTTGTGGGCCCGCTGGATATTTTTGCAAAGCCTAAATACCAGGCTGGATGAAAATACCCTTCTTCTGTCATTTGGCTCTAGCCCCTGTTACTTCAAGGCATAAAGGTAAAGGGACCCTTGACCATTAGGTCCAGTTGTGATTGACTCTGGGGTTGCGGCGCTCATCTCGCTTTATTGGCCGAGGGAGCCGGCGTACAGCTTCCGGGTCATGTGGTTGGCATGACTAAGCCGCTTCTGGTGAACCAGAGCAGCGCACGGAAACGCTGTTTACCTTCCCGCCGGAGCAGTACCTATTCATCTACTTGCACTTTGATGTGCTTTCGAACTGCTAGGTTGACAGGAGCAGGGATCGAGCAACGGGAGCTCACCCCGTCATGGGAATTCGAACCGCCGACCTTCTGATCGGCAAGTCCTAGGCTCTGTGGT